GTCTCCTAGCAATTTTTCCTTTCTAAGGCTACTTTCTCTTTTACAAGAATAGGGTTAATTAACCCATACAATACGATCCCCAAATAAAGGTATTACATTTGTATCTTATCAATTACCTTATTTACTAAAATTTGTCCCCAACCATACCTAATAATTAGTAACAGTAAAGCTGCATAGGGTCTTCTCGTCTAACTAGAGGTAAATTGTATCTGCACAGTTATGCCAATTTCACTGAGTCAATCATAGAGACAGCTGTTGTATCGTTACATCATTCATGCAAAGACTGCATTTAACAGTCAAGGTATTCCGCTACCTTAGGACCCTCACGTTAAGGCCGCCATTAACCGGGGGTTCCTACTGTACCAAACCTTTCAAAGTTAGTTATTTTCGTTAGCCAGCCGGCACCGGGCAGTAATCACACCCTATACTTAGACTTTAAGTCTTTATGCAAAGTGCTTTGTTTTAATTAAACAGTCGTATAACACTATTTCATGCTTCTTCCTTCTTACCTGAGATTATCAGGACAAATGAGCCCTCCTTATTCCTAAGTTACGGTAGTCAATTTGCCGAGTTCCTTTATGATTGTTAGCTCATTTACGCCTTCGTATTCTACACTAGCTTACTTGTCACAGTTTCTAGGTACGGTTATTTTTTCATCAATATTAACTCATCTTTTTAGTCTGTTGTATAATATTAATATATTACTTATTTTTTCCAGCACACTTTTCACTTTAAAAATGTTGTCCTTTTAAAGAAGTAATAAGACTTTCTCATCGTTTCAACCTTTGGGATTGTAAACTTAGAGGCCGTTACTTTAAATAAACCATAAGCCTTAGGCGAGCGCTCGATTAGAAATTAATCCAACCGAACTTCTTTTTTGTTACTCACGTTACCATTCTCTCTTAAGTATACTGAGGGTAAAGTATTTTATATTTTACTTTAACACCGTCACCTCTATTAAAAAAAAAAAATTTTGTTGCAGGTTTACTCAATGTTCTGCTACCCCAGTAAATGACAATAATAAATTTATTATTATCAATTATGGACAAGGTATCGGTATATTATTTAGATCCGTTAAATTTTAGATGCATTTAAAAATTAACAAGCGCTCTGTTACGAGATCTTCGAATTATGGCTGCTTCTAAGCCCATCTCCTTGTCGACTTGAATAAAAACTTTCTTAATTTCACTTAATAATAATTTCGGAACCTTAACTCTTGTTCTGGGCTGTTTCCCTTTTGACATACAACCTTATCGTTCTATGTCTGATAATTCAAGATTCATCTTTGCCATTCCGAGTCTACATAATGGCGACGGCCGTCAACTGGGCTAATAATCTGCCTCTGATCAGAAAAGAGGAAATGCTACCATGTCGGGAACCCTATATCGGTGCGGAATGGGGGTAGGTTCCATAATTGCTTGCTTGTTCACAGAAGGCTCGCGCGCATGGGATCACCACTGCAGAAGGTCGATCGCCAGACTTGGCTGCTAACGCACCACAGCAGAAAGGAGCGTGCCGCCGACAACTAGGTACGCCGCCGTATCGACGAAGCTGATACGGAGGAACACAAATATTGGGACGAATATTCTTCATCCACAATAAGAGCAGCCAAGACGATAGCAGGCGACGCCATCCACCAGGGGATACGTCACGCAAACGAGCAGCTGGTAGGCAGCAAAGTCTTCCGGAACACCAGATGTCCTCTGCGGAGGCACACCGAACAACAAGAAGTCCTCATGAGAAGCTGCTTAGCTAGCAGCCGAAGCACCCGACCCTTCTAGCCGCAGAAGGCAGAACCATACCCCGCACCAATATAGGGCTCTCGCCATGGTAGCATCTCTTAAATAAGGTTGACATAAAATGGATAATAGTCAGTGTTTTAACTATAAATCTATAAGGTAGATTCCTACTTGAATATAAATAAAAAAGCCCTTTTATAATTAACCACTTGATATGAAATAATAAACTTATTACATAACGCTTATAAACTCTTCTTTTCTTTAATCTTTTTATCCTTTTTATTTAGCTGATAATTATAAATTATATTTAATGAGTACTCATTTACATTAATAAATATACTAGCTACTGATAGCTATTAATTCTTACTTGTTTTTTAATAAGGTGTTTTTTCAATTATATAATGAGGCTTTAATTATTATTATAATACTAAGAGCTCTAAAAAGATTAAAAATTTGAATAAAAGTTTGATTTAAGCAACCAGGTGGATACAGCTGTACACCGTCACATTTTATATATTTTTACGTGCTTTATATATAGTTCAAAAGCGCGTAGTTCTTTGGTTGCTTTTACTTAGTTTTCAAAATAACCGCGCTAGGTTTTATTGTCGATAATAAACTAGATTATATTTTCGATGTTAATTACATTAAGCCTTGTTAAACCTTTTGCTTCATTAGTTTGACTTCTTTTTTTAGAAATCCAAGTTTAAAGTCGAACATAATAATCTTTAATCACTTAATGTTTTCAGATAACGCTTTTTAATATATTGTAATTACATTTATATTATGAAAAGGTTATAATAGAAGCGGAAAATTAATACCCTTTTTAACCTTTTTATTTTGAGCCTTCCTATCTTTTTATGAATAAGTTCATATTACTACTTTTAACTCTCTTACTTTTTTATGTCTTAATTTAATAAGTTATTTACCACTTTAACTTTCAAATATCTTTATTTTAGATATCGGCCTTTTATTATATTATAATGTTATTAGTAAGCGCGCCTTCGCTTTCAGTATTATTTAAACCTATTATAAGAAGTGAAAAGGGTCATTAAAAGGTTAAAAAGCTATTTAGAAGCTTTTTTTACTTTCATATATATATTCTAATTTTATTAAAATAAAATATATTATTACAAAAAGCTTGAAGGTTGAAATAACAATAAAATAAAATAAATAATAATTGGCATTTTAATTGTAAGTTTACAGAGGAGGCACTTATATAAATATAGATATAAATATAAAAGACTTTTGATACCCGACTACTTAATATTAAATAACGCTTAAATGCTAATATTTTTACTTCTTTAAGTCTCCTTTATCATTTTTACCTACCTCATAGCTATAACGTACACTTAATAAGTAAAGCATTATAATTCTTATAACAATCCCTTAATTTTGAAGTTTATTACATAGGTTTAATAATAAATTAAATATATAAACCCGATTCAGAACTTAATCACTTAGTAATAATAGATTAACACGTCATCCGGGTTACGTAATTGATATACGTAATAAATTTAGAGCAATTAATAATGCTATCAGTAATTAAATTGTAATATTATTTATATTTTCTCGACCCGTATGTATACTACTTAGTTAAGTACTTAACTTTTTTATAGAACATTTCACTTATAACTTATTAGTCGTTAAAATATAATATTAAATACTTTTTCAAAAATTAAATATTTACGGATTAAGTAATAAAATATTTTGCCGTCACTCCTTCAATGTACCGTTAAAGCCCGTATAAAGATATATTAAAGAAGTTGTACTTATCACTTTGTCTAAACTAAACGATTAATTAAGGTATTTAAAAAAAATACTTGATTCAATTAATTACTAAAATAACGTTAACTTAATAATGATATTTGTAAATACAACATATATATATATATATACTTATTAAACCGATTCTTTAATAATATAACTTTAAATTAATGTTTAACTTAAGTAATTGTTTCAATAAAAACCTTACAATGTAAAATAAAATAAATAACGAAATCTTAATATAGTTAGTATTAAATAAGCTAGTAAGTCGCTACTAAGAAGTATGATTATAAAGCACTAAGATATATACTTAATGATTTAATATCTAACAGCTTAAATATATAAACCGTTACTGTTAATATAAACTTAGTCTATCAAGAAAGGCTTTTCTTTAATAATGAAGTTTTTAAAGGGTTTAAAATATTTCAATTTACTTTAGCATGTGTAATTAAAACAGCCTCAGTCTTTTTCTAATAAATGTTTAACTAGTTTATTAAGAAAGTATTTATAACACTAAGACGTATAGAGAAGGCTAGTTTATATATATATGTATATACTTTAACCCGTCTTAACAGGCTGAATAGCGTTTTGGCTATGAACTATGTAAGTTACCCGTTAAGCCGGCAGCGCTATCATATTCGCAGTGGCCATGCTAGGCTAGTACATGTGCCTCACCATCATGGCCGGGGAGCTGCGAATCACTCTCAAATTTCCAGCTGGGGACCGTTTCTGACCCAGAACAGACGTGCATTTGGCTGTGAATAAGCATTGTTACTAGCTCGGAAGGGGTCAAGGACAGGTCATCATCCCACCACGGTTCGATAATACGTCATGATGGTCTTATCCGGGGGTGACCCGTATGTGGACCAAGCCTGCCTGCGCGGCCACACGACGCGTGTGAATCCAGAGCAATGCGATGGGGAGCAGGTGGTAGAGCTGCCGGGGCTGTGACTGATCCAAAAACCATGGAGGTGCACTCAGGGCAAGCGTCGAATAACCCCAGGGGCGATCTACGAGGCGACGCTTCTACGTCGCGTGGGAACATACTGCACTCAGCCCTCATAAATCTCCGTACACACCATGTTAATAGGGTTTCATACCACCCGTAGAAATTTCGAAATACTAAAATAAGCACATATAAATAAGCAGCTTTAGTTTAATATCTTATTATTAACGCTTATTCCAGTGTGCTTATTCCGATTCGATAGATGCGCCGTTGTTCTGTGGACGGGTGGTGTACGGAGACTTATGAGGGTTCAGTGTACAGTACATTTCCTAAACCAGACATAACCTTATCCATCAGATCCCGTTGACCCTGCAAATCCTCGGCAAGTCACTCCGACCATAGACTCTGATGACAGTCGTTTCCACCACGGCGGGAATAACATGGTCTGGGTGTCGACAGCTCGTCACAAGCACCCGAGCGCCGTAGATGGCTGAGCCTCCCTCGAAGTCATGGTACAACAGTACAAACGTCCTGCCAGAGTGGCCATATACCTATCCGAGTCTGACAGGAAACCCGGGGTGAGGGACCACAGGCTGCGTCACCAACTGCCACGCTGCTTGGTCCCCTCCCAGCCCAACCGCAGTTGTGTCCGAGTGACGGAACTTTCGGGTCCCCGTACGTATGATCTTGAGCTGCGAGCTGCAGTTAGGGTCTGGGCAGGCAATCAGGGCGTCGGTGCTCATCCAGTCAGAGGGCTGCGTCTTTCTCTGCTTGGCAGCCAGCAACGGCAACATGGATGCTGCCCAACGCCTTAGCTCTCTCTCGTCGCCAGGCGGGTGAGCAAGGTAGGTACCTACCAAGACTGTATACGCTGATGCCCTGGCCGGGCGGTAGATACATCATCTCGCCCTCCAGCGTGAAGTAGTCGCCCTGCTTGGCGCCGCATTGGATGCTGCCTCCTTCTGGACAGACGACCTCGACACGCAGTTCATACAACTCAAATTCATCCAGGGGCGGCATCGGAGCACTGGGAGCCCGTTGGCACTGGGCTACAGGTTGGTACCGTAGACTGGCTACAGGGTACCGTAGACTGGCTATAGGGTGGGCAGTATGTGGATGAAATGGCGTGTAGGTCCTGGATAGGCGCGAGGTTTTCCTTGCTTGACTCGGCAGATGCTCGCGCGATTTCAAGTGCCGACCGAACAAGACAGGTGACCGGCCTATGTGGTGTCGAAGCGTGTGGATGGGGATGAAGAGTCGGGCAAGCAGCCGGCTGTCACGCAGGCCGATGGGCGGCTATGGCCATGTGCGGTATAACCAGGCCATGTAACCTGATAAGCGAAGCCCGGGGCGCCAGATATCTGCCTGGGATACATACATCCTTGTCAGACGCATGTGTACAACGCCCGCGTCGTGTTCTTCATTCGGCAGTGCATCACGGTCACCGCACTGTTCGGAAGCGGTCGGCGTATAGTACCAGCACAAGTGGTCCAATACCGTCGCAGCATCACTGCTACACAATCCTTTCCTCTTACAGTACAATATAGTAAGTAAGCAGCATTATATCTGTGCTCCTGAGGGACACTCGTGGTAGCTCGAGCGGCGGGGGTGAGGGTGCAACGGAAGCCTTTACTGTCACGACACGGCAATAGCTAAAGGCGGCGGTTCATAGGAGGATACCTTAATTAACCGTGTTTGGTTTATACAGCGAGTGTAATACACATACTATGAACTTCGCCGAGAGCAATCAACAGGTCCGCGTGCGCTATGTCGACCGGCTCAATGCGTTCCCCTATATTCGTTTCCACAGTCACCGAGCTTCTCGTACAGCACCGCTGTTTTCTTACGTCCTGTGCCCAAGGCAGCCCTGTTGATAACCTCGAGGTCTTCCTCGTCCAGGGTAAAGTCGAAAACAGCGAGGTTGTCGTCGACATGTGCTGTTATGCCGAGCCTCGTCCCGACAATAACTAGGGCAACCCGTACGTTAAGCAGTGAATGGAGATAGGCTGGGAACTTTGACAACTGAACCTGCGCACACTCGAGGCTGTTGCAACACCCACCGCGTCGCCACATTGGTGAGTGTCACTCGGTGCTTACTTGCAACCGATGAAAGCACGCGAAGGAGGCCTTGGAACTCCTGCCAACTGCCCCAGTGGTTGATAATATCGAGATACTACCAGCCTTCTGTCAGCTGCTTGAAGCCGTACGTGACGGAACGCGATGCCCCTTGCCTTTCGCTGCGAGGGTGTGAACCTGGACGACTCGGAGTACACCTCTGGCATCGGCTGACCGAGCCACTTGCTCGACAAGAACCCACCGCACTATGGATATGTCAGCATCGTGGACACCGAGCTTCGACCTGTACCCACGAAGGAACCATATGTCAATAGTTTCAAGCCGTATGCAGCACAAACAGTGCACATGTCTTTCAGCGGCCGAGAATCCAGCAAGGAGAACTAAGTTGGCCATCGTTTCAGTCTGTGGTCAACCAAATGCTCGCTGCATCATTACTTGCCTGTATCTGATTCGAGACCAGCCCCACGACGCCAGTCTTGGCCAGGAGGTACTCGCAAGCCTGCCGCGCGTGTTCCGAGTCAAAGTTACACAGCCCGATGGCGCCGACGAGCTCGGGATGTGTTCTCGTTATGGCCATAAGCTCTACCAGAATATCGAGATATTCCTCTGCTGCGTACTGACCCAGCGTCAGAAGTTTCTCCCTCGAAGGCCCTGGGGTGTGAGGGATACTCACATCATACCAGTGGAACTGCAGCAACTCGACTCTGCCTCCAAGCCGCCGGCACCGCTCCTTCACTGCCTCGAGCACCCAGTCGTTGCTGACGGCTCGGTCGACGGGGCCGAATACACACCACTTGGTAGCAGCGTAGACGTGCTCTCGCACCTCCAGCGGCAGTCGGTTGCGAAAGTCTCCATAGACAAGTTCTGCGTCTCCCTACAGTCTGAATGAGCCGGCGTGATCCAACGCGTCTTCGACGTGGGATCTCACGTAATGATCTGCCATGTCTGTCGCCGTCAGGCCCTTCTCGACGAGTTGGACGAGAGCAGTGTCTTGGTCGGCCACCGTCCCGGACCCCCAGGCGGGGGACGACATCTGCCAGAGACCATTGAATAGCCTGGGCATCTCGAAGGGACCCAAGCTCATCGTCTCAACAGATGCGCCCGTGGGCAGACTCGTTGACAGATCGGATGGTGGGTGGGCGATGCCAGGCTCTGCCTCGTCGAGGACCCGACTCTGGGGATACCAGAGCCACAGGACGTCAAGAAGCTGCCTCTCGGACCTGGCGAATGGGTATACCAACGGCCGTGGCTGGGCTTCCTCGCAATAGGTGCGGCACCCCCGCATCGACGATAACAAATTCACGAGCTGCTCCTCGAGATGGCTGTTGATGTCTGGTTTCGATTCTTTCAGGGCTTGCACCGCCTGCACCATGTCTCCGCCAAATTCGTGCAGGACGCCTGCCAGTTCAGAGCCCCCTGGCCAACGTGCCTCGGCAAGGCGAACTGAGGTAACGAAGTGTTCCAAACTGTTGATCTGGTCAGCCGTTGCCGTTATGAGCTTGACATTCGTTGGCAAATCAGGTCTACGGCATACTAGAGTAGCGATTGATGGACAAGTTTACAAGAGAAGAGGCATCTCGTAAGCGCCATGTACTTCCTACAGTCGGCCGTCACCTCGCCAGGCCCGGCAAAGAGGAGCGTCGGCGCTGTGAGCGCAGGAGCTGCTGCGGTAAAGCACTGACGGACGTGCTGCACGAACGGCTGCTGTGTCGCGGAGCCTTGGGAGACGAGCATTCGCAAAGCCGACCTGAGTTGCTCCGGAGGTACTGCAGCGGTGAGACTCGACGATATGGCGGGCCTTGCGTCTGGCTGGGTTATACTTACGGTTGGATATGAGGACATCGTCCATCAGGTTCCTGCCACACGGTCAGATAAATGTGCACCCTCGACCCTCGGGCCGTCCAGGGCCGCTGGTGACCCACACGTGTCCTCCCATCCTGATGGTCTTGCAGCTGTTGGCCCGGGATAGATCTCGCTGCGTAGGTGATCGTGTTGTGCGGGTGGCTTCTTGTTCAGCGAGTGCGGCGGCCTCCGTGAGACCCGGGGATGTTGCGAGGTGGAGTACATGCATTACTGGAGTATACAATAGACTTACCTTACTAAGTACCTATGGTGGTATTCGGCAAACCGGGCCTGTCCCGCTCGAGTATGCGTACATGGGCGTTATCGTCCGTCTCGGTACCTGGTCGTACCGCGGAAGCACGCCTGCTGGATGATATCACGGGAAATGGCCATGGCAGAAGAACAAGAAAGCCTGGCTGAATGTATTGTTTGAGAATATGTGCGCTACAACAAGGTGCCGTCTTGGAAACCCCAGAGCAGGAGGCATGACTCTATATATCTCACATCCACACGAGGCCCGCAGGATTGGGCATGACATTCCTCGACCTACAGGCGGAACGTATCAATCAGTTTCAGTGTCGAACATGTGTAGTGGCAAGCAAGACAAAGATACTCACCACTGCCTATTGAAATCGTCTAGACATCGTTATGATACGTGCTCTGCACATGGCGCTTGTGCCACCAGACATCGTAGCCAAGGACAAAGGCTATAGAGATGCCAATAGTCAGCCACACCGCCAAGCTGGGCCCCGACGCTACCATCGTAGATCTTGTCGCTCCTCCGCGGTATTATGGGTTCATTCGGGTGGCCTGTGATAGGCGGCAACTCGGAGCTCCGGGCAGATCGTGTGCGTAACTAGGACAGTCGATTGCAATAACGGTCTGAATACGTCGGTATGAAAGAAGCCGCATTCCTCGAGGCCGTGCTGATCAGTTGCCAGGTCAGATTCCGGCTGCACTTCAACAGCAACCCCCGAGGTACAGCTCCTACTAGGCTATGGACTTTATGTTAACCCACTCCTGTCACGACAAAGGGGAGTTAAGGCCTTACGTACAAAAGAGCGACCCCGGCCACCACCCAAAGCGTTACCGGTACCATCGAACGCGGAAATATGAACAACAAAGAGCAACATGGAAGTGGTAGCCGTGTTCCGACGAGATCAAGTACATAGTCGTTTCACAGCAACAGTATTTCATACGCACCAACTAAGCGGTCTCCCCTATACGGTGGGAGCGTCTTATCCCCAGAGGCTTATAAGCTACGGTACCCCCAGCAATACATCTGCATGCGAAAACCCCCCCGAGATCGACACTGGCTTTGGGAGAGACGTAAGAACCGTTGTCGAAGCCTCGACGGCGCATCCAATAATCTAAGGCCCTGCCACGCAGCTCCAAACCCGGGCTCTCTCTGACGGCTGAGTAGTGTCATGTAGTGACCTACCTTAGCTTCACTTTTTCTCGGCTCCTTCCGCTGGCCTTGCAACGTCGTACCTCGCCTGCTCGTGGACCTTCTCGACGTCTATGGCGGTTTCACTGGACCCAAACACTGCACCCACCATATGTCAGCACCGACCACCACGCGTCAAAAAAGGGGTGAGGTGACATACCAGCTTCCATCTCCTCCAGCGACTTGCCCTTGGTCTGCATAAGGCGTTATAATGGCATATCGGTGAGAGAGCGAGTGTAATTCGACGACTCACCTCTCGGATGAAAAACCACGTGTATACGACGAGAGACCAGTTGAAGATGCAGAACATCAGGAATGTTCTCCAGCCAATGTTGTTTATGGCATGGGGCGTGATCTATACCATGGACTAGGGTCAGCATGCTGTGTTGCTGACAGGGAGGCGACATCCTTTGGATGATCTCGCTCGGGCACCGACCTGAGAAAATACAAAGTTGAAGAGCCACTGCGTGGCCGTACCGACTGATCAAGTTAGCACAATGATAAGGGGCAGCGGAACAAGTGTTGTTACTTACCTGCAACGCCGGCTTCACGTATCCTGGATGGAAAGATCTCACTCATATAGAGCTGACACGGCTGTGAGTCGGCATGCAAAGAATAGGTGGGGAGCGCACGCAGGACTCACCCAGGGTACCGGTCCCCACGAAATGTTGTAGCTCACTGTCCATGTGTTCAGCAACTGAGGCTTCACGTGAAGCAAGACTTGCAGAGGGGTGACTCACTAGCCTCGAGGTATACCATGGCGACCGCAGCGGCGCCGGTGCTCGTCAGAGATTGGCCGGCCTTGGGCGGATGCGTGGCGGTCAGGCAGGCAATGATGAGCATGTATGCGCCCATCAGAGACGCGCCGCCGAGGAGTGAGCCACGTCGGCCGACCCTCTCCACGAGGAACAGGAGGAAGAACAAACACGAGACGACCTTGACGACCCCGAAGAACCCGCTAATCAGAAGGGCCTGGTCGCCAGCCCCGACAGCCTTGAATATTTGGGGAGCAACTGCAGAAGTTAGTGCCGTTCATGACAACTTGTACCGGTGTTGCGTCCGACCAACGTACAGTACGCCAGGCTGGTATTGCCTGTCAGCTGTACACCGATCTGGAGTGTGATGACGATGATGAAACGGAACCGATTCGCCGGGAGCATGCACTCCTTCCACGTCAGACCCTCCGTGACGCGCTCCTCCTCGTGGATGCCTGCGATGATCTCGGCGAACCTAGGCCAACTGTCAGCTATGGAGCCCGCATCCCTGACATACAAGTGTCGATATACTCTTCTTGAACCTCGGTGCTGTTCTCGCCTCGAACCCATACGAGCGACTCCATGGCCTTTTCTGTCTGCCCAGTCTTCGCTAGCCATCGCGTGCTCTCCTTTGTCAGCAGCATGCCGAGACCCAAAATGCCCCCAGGGACCAGTTGGAGTCCAATGGGAATCTGCCACTGCCGGGTTGTCGGGCCCAGGTGCTCGGATACAGCCTGCTACATGTCAGTCTCGTCTGAAAAGAAGAGGACCCCAACCCAACGTTTCGTCTTTCGTCTCCCTTTTCGGTTTGTATTCGCGGAAGGGCGATTCGCGATAGACGGTAACTGCAACTTACATACTGTAAAGACGTTAGTTGCCGCTTCACACGAATAGCCAGAACCGAGCAGATGTTGAGAGAACTCACATCAATCCAGTAACTCGTCATGACACCAAGCGTGAAGAAGAACTGGAACATCTGAACAGCCGAGTTAGCGGTGCTTTTCGAACGGCGTCAAACCATTCCACCGAGGGTCAGGATGCTGCTTACACTTCCCAGCTGACCGCGGATCTGCTTGGGAGCCATCTCGGCGCTGAACATGGGTATGATCACAGTCGCCATCCCCACCCCTTCGCACGACTGCATGTTAACACGTCGTCCCTGAGCCGGAATATGATATTGCTGAAAGTGGAACAAATGGAACAGGCCGACAGCGCCCGCTCGAGGAAAGACGGTCCGCAAAGCTTGACGAGTGATGACACAATACGTACCTATGCCACTAATGACACGAGCCACGTAGAACGCGGCCAAGGAGTGCGTGTTGATGGTCTGCACGATGGCCCCTATGTTGAAAATGATAGAAGCAATGACGAGAGACCATCGACGGCCAAACCGTGCCGTGAAGGGCCAGACGAAGAAGCAAGAGAAGAAGGCTGAGCAGTAACCAGTGTTAGCTGACACTCCAACTTGAGCGACTTCGGACAGAGCATGTTGGCTTGTCTGGTATCCCCGGTTGGACGTACCGCCGGCCTGCAAGAGACTTGTCGCATTGGAGCTGACACTGGACTGGTTGGATGAAGTGATCTTGAAGTCGTGTTGGAAAGAGGCCAGTGACAAGACACCACCAACTACACCCGTATCGTATCTAGAGACTTGCGTCAGCTCAGGAACGGCAACATCCGTACTCGTTCTGGCCGTGGGCTCGCGGCTGTCCTCGTAGACGAAGGCAGAACATCAAGCCAGTACACGCACGACTTACGCGAACAGGAAGCTTCCAGTACAGCAAAGAGCGACCAGATACCAGGCCCTGAATGTGCCTATAGATTTCGCCATGTTTTCGGTTTTCCTGGCGGTAAAACTTCTGTATCTCCTGTGCCCTGTTGTGCTACGCCGGATCTTCCCTAAGCTCCTCTTGCGATGAGGAATCACTTGCGAGAACGTCCACTCGTACAGCAGTGGACAAATGAAATAAGAGAGAACCCGACCAGACAGACACGCTCCGTGGCTGGCTAGAAATTAGACAAGTCGGACTGGGTTTGTGTTGGTGACTCGAATCGGCTACGAGAGAAGAATGGGACGGCGCTTCATCAATGGTGGCAGCGGGGAGACGACGACTATAGCCAGGTTGTCCATAGGCCCGTTCCAGAAGCACCGAAGGATGGCCGCACATGTGATGCTGCAGATGATGTTACCCCAGTCGACCCTAGACGTATCTCTACTGTCCTGCCACTTGACTTTCCGGAGCAGGCCAAGTGCGCCTCTTCAACATGCAGCAACGTGATATGACCCTGGCTGGGCATTACCAGGGGTTCGTTTTCAAGGTAACAGCGCATACAGAGTAACAGCACAACATGGGCACACATGCACGCGTTCTGGCTCGCAGGGCTGACTGTCGACATCAGGCCTAGCGATGGCGAGCTTGTATCCCTGCGCCTCCAGCCAATTGCGTGACCACTGACCACGTACGTACCCCGGCACATTCGTCCGAGGTACATGGGGATCATATCATTGATACGCGCCACATTCATCGGAATCGGTTTCCAGTATGAGAATATGGCACGGCCTGGTTTTCGCCAAAGCATGTTCCATCACCGAAGATGTAGGCGGCTCGGCCGATTCCTGGCGGGCTACCAGTCGCATAGTCGAAGGTGGTGCTCAACCAAGGGCATCGAGGCGGGATATGTCAGACTATCTAGATTGGCGGTGTAGGACTCGGGGCCCGAATGGCTAGGATTGTTGGCTCACGTGGAATAGGGGGACGGTTGGAAAGAGAAGAGTCATCGATCAAAGCGCCCCAGCCGACCTCGAACGAATATAACGAATATTTGAAGTTCGTACTAATCCATGGAGGATTCCTTCCAGTCGTCGCGCTACGGCTACGGCTACAGAAACACCACCGTCGCCCTCTAATGCTCCCAAAACAAATGCATGCATGCTTCTAGTTTGTAACCCCTCAAATATGCCCCAATGTGCTATGCCCCGTCCGACCATGGTGACTAGGCAGCCTCCCTGTGCCATAGCCCGTACCTTGAAGCCTCTCGTCCTGTATGTAACCTAGCGCCCACTTCTGTCTCATGGTCACCCATTCTCTATTTTCTGGGTTGCTTCACCGTGATGAATTAGTGATTTCATCCCCGCTTTCCCCATTGCAGCGCTCGTGACTGTGTCAGAGGGTTACTCCCAAAGACCGGCTCCAGGATCTATCGTGTCGTCCAAGCCAGAACGCACGTTTCGCTCCCATGTAGGCACAGAGAATACATCATCTTTCGACGACAACCCTTCGATTTCGACGTGGCCTATTGAGCCATCCCAGCTGTAGCCTTCAGTTTCGCCTTGATATGTATGGGATGACCTGAAGGCCGAGTCCGTCATACGGCCATCACTGTGACTATCAATGTCGCCGTCCGAGGAGTGTGGGTCGCTCGTCTCCAACTCGGCCGGATGCGGCGACGTCATAGAGGCTGTTTCGGTATCAAGGTGGACAGCGGCATCGTCCGACCCGACTGTGTACGTGGCCGAGAGGGTGCTCGCCGGTGGAGATTTCTTCCACAGCGAGCCCTCGGCGGCTCGGCTGGGCGCAAGTGGCTGAGAAAAGTCGAACGAGTCAGTCTCAGTAGTGGAAGACAAGACCGGGCTGGTCCTGGGACCGCTCTGCAGCAGATGGTGCTTTGGAAGTTTCTTGATCTTCATCTTGGGTTTCCCACGAGGATGACGCAAGGTCATTTCGAGCCGCTCTTCTTCATCAGTGTCAACGTCTGTTACTTCGTTTGGCGACTCGTGTGCCAGACCGTGGTGAGGCAGATGCAAAAGATTGCTCCCGCTGGACCTCCGCTGGCGCTGCCTCGGCTTTTCCCTGGCAGCGGCACTTTCGGCTTGCGAAGGAACCGAGACGAGCGGTTCGTGGCTTCCCCTGTGGGCATTGGCCAGGGTACCGGTTGCCATCCTTCGCAGGTCCACCTGACTCTTGCTAAAGACGACACGGGCTCGCAATGCGTGAACGGCTTGGTCGAGAGCTAGCTCGATGGCACAACGATCTCGTATCCGGGATAGCTTCGGCCAGGTGGCACGCTCGCCGAGCATACACGAGCGCACCATGAACTCGGTCGTGGGGTTCTTCAGGATCTTCGGCAGGTCTAGGATGCCTATGGCAGGCAGTATATTAATATCACCCGAGTACTTCTGACTCAGGATGGAGCGTAGTTTGCTGACCAGATTGGGCAGGATGCCAATCTCGGCCATGAACTGCATTCTGTGCAATGCCTCGCTCTTGGCCAGGGCCGTGAGGGTGTGTAGCCAATCAGACTCGTCCTGGGATACGGCCTGGTGACGCGCACTGGGATGTAGACACGGCGTGTCGTCCTTGGCGAGGAAGGGAACGACGTGCGGGTTGACCTGCGAGACGATGAAGTGATTGACGTTGAACATCTCGGCAAGCCTGGTCATGGGCAGGTCGTTGTCGACGGAGCCATCGATCCACATCTGCGGCGTCGGGTTCCACGGGCTGTGCTCGCCGGTCAGGGGGTTCTTGACCAGCAGGGCGGCGGCACTGAAGACGAGCGGGACGGAGCAAGAGGCAGCGACGGCGGACCATATCATGACATTCGGGGCCGTCACGTAGTTGAGGAGGCGCGGGAGCTCGTATATGGATGCGGTGGAGACGCATATATTGCATATCCTCCTGGTGCGGTTGTAGGCCTCCTGGAAGGTGATGTCGCCGAGCAACTGCTGCATGACGCGCGTCAGGTGCTTGATATCGGACCAGTTGCCCTCGGTGAAAAGGCGGCGGAAGTGGTCCAGGAGGCCGTCGGCATTGCCCTCCTCCTCGAAGACAGCCAAGTCGCCGTAGGGAAATTCTTTGAGCAAGGCGGGGATCTCGTCATCGGTCCTGGAACAGATGACGGAGCAGACGATGGACCCGGCCGAGGCGCCCGAGATGATGCGCGGGAGCAGCTTGGCGGCGAACATGGCCTTCATGACGCCGATATGGGTCATGCCGAAAGTGCCGCCTCCACTGAGCAGAAGCGCGCTCCGGCCGAAGCTTTGGCGAGCGTACAGCATGGCATCTAGCAGGTCCTTGGGACCTAGGTCGTCGGTAAGGTGGCGGGCGCTCCTCTCGACCAGGGCGGTGATGGTCTGCAGGGTAGAGTCGACATAACGCTCGATCAGCTTCTTGGTACCGCAGTAGGAGTGGCGATAGAGGTCTATGTTGCCCATGCCGCCCAGATCACGCGAGAGGGCGGTCCTCACGAGGTGCATCATGGCGCGCATATCGCAGTTGGTGCGGGCGCGGTCGAGCTCGCGCAAACGGGCCTCGAGCAGGTCGGGATTGTAGTCGCCGGTTGATGTGTCGGCCTTCCAGGCCTCATTGCCCTCGAGGACATCGAGCTCGTGGGCGGCGGCGTCCCACTGGCGGAAGGACTCGGCATTCTGCAGGTGGGCATGTAGGATCTGCCTGCGCTCGTCAAGCAGTCTCTTCTCCTCGCGCTGCGTATGGGTCATGCCATCGCGGAGGTAGAGGATGCCGTGCACGAGGCGCGAGAGGGAGGGCACGACGGGGCTGCTCGGAAGCCTCGCTGGCGGCTGCTTGCCTCGGGACTGTAGATGCAAGGCGGCGCCATCGGGCGAGAACCGCAGCGAAGGTATCGGAGGGAGCAGGTCGATGAGAAGTGTCATGGTGTCGGGCCGGGATTCGTAGGGGACGGGGGTCGCATTCCACTCGGCGCGGCTCTCTCGCGGCGGAGGCCCATAGCAGGCTCGCCGTCCGGACGGGCGTGGCGAGAGGTATAGATAGAGAGGGAAACGAAGGTAGGACGTAGGTACCTTGCAAGGGATGGGAAGGGAGAGGTCGCAAGACGAATGACTCGATGAACGACAAAGAGGCGGTGAAGGTAAAGATGAAAAGGGGAGATGGAAAGGCAGGACGGACCCTAGGTAAGTAGGGAGTCAAGCCTGCAATGCTGGCGATGTGGGGAGGGTCACGATGATGGTGATCGTTGTGGTGTTCAAAGTCGTTGACGATGGCTGCGATGGGTAGGGGAATGAATCACCGTTGGTCCTTTGCCAGATGGGCCAGATCGAGAATTGTCGAAACGGCCCAAACGGGAGATTGATCAGGTGGGTGGGTGCATATGTGGGTACGTGCATGCGGGCGACTGCGGGGTATGGGGTGCCGGGATGTTCATGTTTAGGAGGTGGGGGGCCATCTGACCAGCTGCAGCAGCCGCGGGGTAGAATCACATGTGCCTGTAGGTACCGTGAAGCTATAGGGGTGTTTCCGTCTGTTGGGCCTCGTGGTGATCCCGCCGTGACGCTTCAAGACCGACCACCAGACCATCAATACATACCTCTAGGTACCTTACCTAGTAAGTGCCTGTGAAGTATTTCTTATAAGCCTATCCGGCGAGGCTTCATCGTACCATTGCTGCTTGTGGATTATCTACATAAGGTACGTGATGTATACTTATGTGACTACCTTAGGTATACAGCGTACGCCAGTCGGGATGCGGTCCGGGTGCGGTCCGGGAGCAGGCCGTGGCAGGTTCCAGTTCGAATCATAAAACGACCGACTTGAAGTCTTCGCCTTGACTCGGACCAAAACCACCGATGCCTTGCATAGGGTAAGGGTTAGGGTAAGGATGATCAACTTTTCACATGCACGCCTCGTGCGCAGAGCCAAGAGCAAGAGTCAGACGTGGGACGCCTCATGACCTGCCCCACTACCACCCTACCGGCCCGCGGGCTGCATCAGCATACATCATCGATATGCCGTGCGACTACTAGGTACGACAGCAGATTGCGCCTCAAACGGGGGGCACTGACAGACCACCGCTCAACTTGCAAGCCAAACATGGCGCCGCCGCTCATCGTACCTTTTGCTCACCAATGAGGCCACTCGCAAACGAAGCTATGGCGCCTGTGAGCTTGGCCACAACGCCTTCTTCGTCCCAGAAGTGCCCGGCCCCCGACACCTCGACGTGTTGAAACAGAGAGCCCTCCGTGCGCGAGAGCTGCGCTGTCCATTCGCGAACCTTGCGAGGCGTCAAGAAGCCATCTTGGCTCCCGTAGATGACCAGCGTAGGGTTTGTCGTGAGCTTGCCCTCGGCCGCTGCCTGCTCTGCTGCGCCTTCGTCGCCGCCGTTCCTGCTTCTGCCGCTGGACCTCCGCGACCAGCTCGCGAAGGGATTTGAGAACGACATGGTAGCTAGGCTGGTGACGAGGCCGATGGGCGGCGACACGGCCAGGTAGGCGCTTCGGAACCCTACGAGGTCCTCCACCCTGGCCAGACAGTCGTGTGTTTGCTGTCCCTCGACAGCCTCCGTCTCCTGGTCGCCACTCAGGGCTGGGACCTTTTGTTTCTGGCGTATAAGCTTCGTCCGCTGCAGTAGATCCAACACCCCATTCCGTATCCTCTCTTCTCCATCGCGAGCCCGTTCCCTCGGCCGGTCGTAGCTCTTGCGGGGGAGCGTGTCTTCCCTGCCGCCAGTACGCATGCCCAGTGACTTCCTCGGCGAGACCGGCATGGCAAAGAGGGCGTTCTGTTGCTCGGCGAGGTGTTGTGCGCGAAGGCGGATGTCGGCAGCCGTCGTTCCGACGACGGGCGTCGAAAGGTAGGACATCACGGCGTCGAAAGGCGGGAGCTTGATGGTGATCATGGCGCCGTACGAATAGCCCGCCAGCAGCATCGTCGGACCGGGCCCTGTCTGGTTGGCACGAGGAGCCGAGGCCTGAGGGGGATCGAGGTAATGCACGTAATAGGCCAAGAAAGCAGCGGCCGACATGTAGTCGGCGCGCTCAGGTCGCGAGGTCCAGGATGTACGGCCGCCCGAGGAAGATGTGCCTCTGTTGCTCGTCGACGTTCTGCGTCAGCGGATGTCTGTGCACTGGAAGGTCGACCATGGACCACGCGACAGCTACGCAGGCCGTTGGAGTTTTAGTCGTAGCAAGACGAACCTGAAATTGAAGGTGGCGACGACGAAGCTAAGTTGCAGCAGGGCGCTGGCCACAACATCGACGACGGGGTCGTCAAAGCACCCGCCAAGAGGGGCGTAGGGGTGCGCGACAACAGCGGCGTGCCTGGGCCACGGCGCGGCGGCGAGCGACACCGACGGGTCGTTCAGGCAGGCCGGGTGGTAGACGCGACACTCGAGCTTGGTGCCGTCGTACAGGCTCGGGAGCTGCACGCTCAAGCTGGGTCTCGGAAGCATGCTGGTTGACCCGGCATGATGACAGCCAGCCTGAGCCAGGTGGTGGTGCATCTTAAGTCTTCAGATTAGAGATTAGAGATTAGAGAAGCCAGTTGCCGAGGGCCCGAGGCTCCCCCGATTGGCCCCACCACGTCTTCAAGGGTACATACATGTAGGTAGACGCCCCAACTTCAATGTTCCAGGTCGAATCATGCAGATATTTGAGTGAAAATCCACGTTATTTTATCCTGGTCCTCTAGGCCTGTTGCGTTACATCCGAGCGAGCTGGCTTTGGTATCATGCAGAAATCATACCCCAAGAATACGTACACCATCCTCCATGCCGCCTGACAGAGACCGGTCCTCGAGTGACCGACCCCGAAGTTTCTATGTGCGTTCACTATTGCCTTGCGCCTTTCGACGCCCAATCCCGGAAACCATGACTCGCGCCGACGCATGGCTCCTTTACAATTGCTTTCACCTGCTGATCCTCCTCCTCCTCCTCCTCCTCCCCGTGTCAAGTCCGAGTCAGCCCCGTGTCGGTACACAGTGTCCTCCTAGGAGCCGGCAATACCCAAGCCTACTCGCTGTCCGAACCTGTCCGACGCCGCCTGTCTCTCTCCTCGTCCGCCATCACGTTCACGGTCTACCGTCGCTCTCATCCGTCTTCCCTCCATCAAGCCCCGCAGGCCCCGTTTCTGTAGCCCGATCACGCTGCTCAACTCCCCGCTCCAGATCTCCTTGATAGCTCCACGTTCACTGTCGCCGAGCTCGCTGCTCCACTCGCTGCCCGATGCGCTCGTCGACGCGCTGAGCTCGTCGCTACCCGCCCTGTGACCCGGTACGCTCGTATTGATGCGGAGGCCTCTCATTCCACCCGTCGCACCGTCGAGGCCGGGCTGCGATACCGACGTGGATCGACTGCCGCCAGCCGTGCCTGCGCCTACTGTCAGAGACGAGTCCGCCGTCATGAAGAAGTTGGGGTTCATGCTGCCGTCGATACCACGCCCACCACCCGCTGCCATGGCCGTGGCGTTGAACACGGCCGCCGCATTGCGCGAGTCCAGTAGGGCGTGGAGTCGCTCAACCACTGCCTCGAGAAGCCCATCGATCTTGTAGGGCCGTGCGATCTGCAGGAGCGAGCAGAGGATCTGTGGCGTACAGAGTGACGACGACGGTGGGGGGAGGGACGACGTGTAGAGGAAGTGGAGGAGCGCCTGGATCGTGAGATATGTGTGCGGCAGATACAAGCACCGCGGCCGCGTGTTGGGCGGTAGGGATGCCGGCGTCGGTGCCGCGTTGATCATGCTCGCATCCGTCGAGCCACTGCTGCCCGACACCGACGTGCCCGCCGTGCTGGGTGGCTTCATGGACCCGGCCGACGACGCGTTGCCGAGCGTCGAGGCCATCGACAGGCTGCTGCTGTCGCCCGTGTTCCGGTTGGACTGCGTGATGGTCATGGTCGACATGCGCGCGCCCGCCTGGCTGGACATGCCCGTTCTTAACGTTGCCGAATCGCTGCCGTCTTGCGTGGCCGCCCCCTCGCGCAACAACTGCACGAAGTAAGGTCCCCACCGCCGCCCGACAATCCTCGAGTTGATGGGTATCCGCTCCCCACCGATGCACAGGATGTCCATGTCTGCGAGCTCACGAAGCGCCAAAGCCTTCTCGCCCAGCTCCTCGGCCGCGCGCGAGTGATACCGGCCTCCAGCCGTCCAGCCGGCCTTCCGCGCCAAGCTTAGACCGGGCGCCGTGAAAGGGCTGCTGGCTGACACGAGGCCCGCCATGGGTGTGGTCTTGCGGGGGTTGTCGTAGAAGCCAAACGCCTCCAGCTCGACCATGCACACATTGGAGAAGTTGATTCGCCGGTGATTGTAGTCGTCGACAAGGCTCCTCTTCCGGTTGCCCAGGATCACAAACGTGTTCCTCCTGTTCCACAGAATCCCTCGGTTCCAGCTGCCCTGACTAAAGACGCTCCCGCCCGCGTCGATTCGCGACCATGTCAGACTCCTCAGGTCCAGTGCCCAAAGCGCATACTCCTGCTTGGAGCTCGTGAGATACGTGCCGCTGACCACAAAGTATGTGTCTATGACACCACCGTTGGGAAAGCGCAGCCCGGGCGGCGAGAAGCTTCCTGACATGGGCTTTTCCGCCAAGGACCCGTCCGACCCCCGTACCTGCAGCTCCAGCTTCACGTCCAGGAAGTTGTAGTTGGAATAAATGAGCATGGACGAGCCCGGCTCCTTGGCCTCCTGGCTAATTCCCCCCTCCTGGCGTGAGTTGCTGGTATGGGCCTTGCCAATTCTGGCCGTGACAGACGGCGGAAGAGAGGCCACGACACTACGATACGCGCCGCAGGACTTTTCAAGTGGCTGTGTCGAGGTCCATTTCAGGCTGCGGAGGTTGAAAACGCTAATCTGTTCAATGTAGTGATTCGCGCCGTCTTGCCCGCCAACCACGATCATCTCGGCCCCCCCTGCACCGTCGATATTGATACCGATTCTCCCCTCGTTGGGGTTCCCGCTGGACGGATTGTGCTGAAGCGCCGACAGCGGGGCCTTGTGGGATGAGAACGTCGCAGAGGAGGGTAATATACAGGCGCAATGGGCATACCGGCCTTGGGGCGCATCTTGCGAAGGGATATAGGTCCACTTCTTGGTTGGGACATCATAGATGTAGATATCCGACATGACGGTCACTTCAGGCTGCTGATCCTGCGATGCCGAGGTGGGCTGGCTCGTTGTCGGTGACATGCCTCCGTAGCAGACCAGCTTCGTGTCTCCCAGCGCACACATCGAATGGAAGTACCGGGGTGGGGGCACATCGCCGGTGGTTTCGAGCTTGGTCCAATGTCTCCTGATCAGGTCCAGCTCGTACAAGTCTGAAGTAAGCGGCGCGGGTCGACTCCGCGAGAGTATCCTTCCACCAAAGACGTATAACTTATCCCCCACTATCGTAGTCGTTGCTCCGACGAGGGGGTGAGGCTCCCGGCCCGTGGTGCGATGTACATTGCACATCAGCCCGGACAGGTGGGCCGAGGATCCCGAAGTCGAGGGCGTGCCGACGGCCGTGCCCACGGGCGGCGCTCGGCTCCAGGACGCGACGGGCGGCGAAGGACCTGCCGAGAGTGGCCCATTACTCCGAGGAGTCAGGCTGTCCTTCTGGCCTTCTCCGCCGTCATTTCTCGAATAGCTTGCCGCGCTGCTCTGACGGCCGCTCATATCTTGTAGACCTCCATTATACATCTGTGCTCCGGCCAAGGAAGCGTTGGAGTCCATCGTGTTGGACCGGCTGTTGTTCCGGCTGTTGTTCCGGCTGTTGGACCGGCTGTTGGACCGGCTCTCCATGGGCGCTGCTTCTTCGATATCGCTGTCCACGATGTCTTGGAGATAACTCTCGGCGTTGGTAGCTGACGGTTGAGGTGTGACGGGGCTCGTAACAGCGGGCGGCGCAGGCAGGGGTTTCTCGAGGCTGTTCTGCAGACTCAGGCCCCGGGCATGTTGTAACGGCGAATGGTGTCTCGGTGGGAAGGGTGTCGAGTTGGGGTTGAAGGCTTTCAGAGCTAGCCTCGAAGGTGCTCTTCCAATCTTAAAAGAGTCTTCACGGGTCGGGATGGCTTTCCTGATGCCTCGATAGACGTCGGACAGGATCTCAGAAGGGGACTTGGACGAGGTTGGAGGTCGATCTTCTTCGAATGTGCTGACTTGGTTGACGTGGAAGCTGTCGGCTGCCTGCCAGCTATCTCGACGGGCTGCTTGGCCCGAGGTCAGCTCAGATCCCGACATGTTGGTCCTCCCCTCTTCCTCGCTCGCGCTCTTTGACGGCTGCTCGTGGCGGCAGCGACGTTGGGGCCAAGGGGGCAAGTGTGCGAGAGGGCCGGGACGGATGAGGCAGGACGGGGTGGCAGACAGCTGGGCGAGTAGGGCAGGAGAAGAGTCTCAGACTCAGACCCGGGTGCAGCTTTGCAGACGGCATATGGTGGTCGGGAACGTGGATGTTTCCCGTGGCCTCGTGGAGTCGTGATGAAACAAAAGACGCGATGGGTCCCAGATGGCAGGCGGCTCAACGGTCAGGAGGGGGTACAACGAGTAACGAGACAGGGGGCGGACAGGCGGCCAGGTCGCCGAGGATTGGAACTTGAAAGAGGAAGAGGAGATGAACGCTACCAACGGAACGGTGACATACCTGGGGTTAACCCTGTGAAGTAGGCACGTTGGCGGGTTGATATTAGATAACGGTACTGTGAACAGCACGAGCACCTCCAGAGTAGGGGAGAGGCGAATTAAGCGATGGCCCCAGGAGAAGGTCGCAGCGGGCAATCTTAATAATTCTGGTGCTGACGATGGGGGCACTGGGGGATGCGTCTTCCCTGTCGTTCTCCGTTCTCTGGGACTGTGCGTTCCTCTTTCTCGTCAGCCTTGGAGCTGGCGGTGGCCTGTGTCTCTTTGTTCCAACTTCTCGCGGTCCCCTGAGCTGACGGGAGGCTGCTCGTCGCACGTGAGCCGCTGGCGCCGGTGCTTGTTCGGGTGCTGGTGCTGACTGATCTCGAGCTCGTCTGCTTCCTCCCTCGGGGGCCAGTCAACCAGTTTGGAATGGAATAATACTAGTAGTGATATCAATCTGAACCAGACTGGACCGCCTGGTTACCCTGGGTGTGGGGAGGGCCGAGTCGAGGGTCGTGGGTAAAACGGCTTTCCAAATTCCATGGGCCACCGGCCATGTGTCACAGCGGCGCTTGACCTCATCTGGGATCGGGCATCTTTGCTTACTACCTTTCGTATGTACCGATGCGCTAGACCATACTGTTTAATCGCATGGCACATGGTTGCGCCCACCGACCCCGCCATGTCTTCTCCTTTTCCGAGTTCGTTCTCCTTTTCTCCATCAAGCTGTCCACCTCCCTATTGCTCAACTACCATCCACATAATTCACCACTACCTACATCCCATCCTCCTGACGGCTCAATCCAACACGAGATAACCCAGCTCGCTTTGTTCTCCGGATGTGCAAGTAAGCGAAACCGAACCCTTAAGAAACCTGTGTGAATGGGGGCGTGCAGACATGGTGTCAGAAAGGGGACGATGTGGGATTTGCTATAAATATCTAAGGGTTACACGATTCCCTGGTGTTTCGTTTCGGCTCTTCCACTTGGCCTGCCCTACATACACGTTACAAGCGCCCGTAGATGCGTGACACGGGTGCGGCACCGTTTCAGCAACTTGGGGGAGCCACGTTTCCTGCAGGGTTGACATACCTCATACTACGGCATACTGCGTTCATGTCGTCTACTAAGGTAGGTATCAAGTAGGCACTGTACCTCAACTTGAATGCAAGATATGGGCAACGGTTTACCTCTTCCGCCCCTTGTGCCTCGACGACCCGGGCAAGTCTCCATCATTACAAAATACACAGTCGGCATAGAATACCGAAAGGGGCATTAAGAATGACGGAGATTACTGGCTGCTGAGATTGCATCTGATACTAATACCGTAGGCCCCCGACGTATATGTCAGCCCGTGCTAAGGCCCCGGCTCTCTCGCTCTTCTAGAACATCTGACGATCGATCTCGACAGGGTCAACAGCAGACCTCAGTGCAGCCTGCAAGATATCATTGCGAACCAGCTGCAGCCTGCCAGCATATGTGGCCATGAGATATGTCGCGAATCCAGTCGAATTGCCAGTTATTCATCTGTGTGTGTTTTACTCGGGAGGCAAATCATCCCGGCAGTCCTGTACACGGTATACCATGGCCTCTCTGCCCCATGGGCGCTTACTTGAGACTGGCTCCAATTTCCACTGCATACCTATAAGGTAGGTACGTAGGTAGGTAGTGATGATTATACAGCACCAATGGTTTCACCTGCATATCCGCTTGGTATATACGGCCGAGCCGGACGGAGGCAAGCTCATCAAAGACGACAACTCAGTATGGCGCATTTTGCCTATGCAGGACAACATGTTCCCTTATGTGTGGACTTGTTCTGATTTGGTAGTTTTTTTGTTTGTTTTTCGGGGCTATCTATTTTGGGCTGCGAGTCTGGGTTGGTCTGAAAGCTCCACGAACCAGTATCCTATGGGACTACCCAATACTCTCGCAGGCGACAATCGAGCAATTGTTCTCGGGCATCGCAGGTAGTCCACTCTTCCGTACTGACGGCACATGGCTGGTTGTTCCCTCTGGACCCTGGCAGCCTGGACCCTCGCCTCTGCTCATCTGACGTCTTCCGTCTATGAGACGGTGGCCTTCTCCTTGGGCAGCGGGGTGAATCTGAGGTAGGGCTTGACGGCACGGAATTCGGGGAATAGCTCCTTGGCCTGGTCGTTCTTGATGCTGGGGTGGACAATGACATCGTCGCCCGGAACCCAGTTGATCGGTGTGGTGACCTTGTGCTTGTCTCCCGTCTGCAGGGAGTCGACGATGCGAAGGACCTCGGCCGAGTTTCGGCCGGTCGAGGCCGGGTAGGACAGGATGGTGCGGATGGTCTTCTTGGGGTCTATGACGAAGACGGAGCGGATGGTGAAGGCGATGCCCTTCTCGTCGACGTTGGTGGTGTCCTGGTAGTCGATCATGTCGTATTGGTAAGCGACCTTGCGCTCCTTGTCGGCGATGATGGGGAAGGCGACCTTGCCGCCGGTGACCTCGCCGATGTCCTTGATCCAGCCCTCGTGGCTGCCGACGGTGTTGGCCGACAGGCCGATCAGCTTGACGCCCCGCTTGGAGAACTCGGGCTCGAGCTTGGCGAAGGCGCCGAGCTCGGTGGTGCAGACCGGGGTGTAGTCTTCGGGGTGGGAGAAGAGGACCACCCACTTGTCGCCGATGAAGTCGTGGAAGTCGATGGGACCCGTCGTGGTCTCGGCCTTGAAGTTGGGGGCGGTAGAGCCCAGGCGAAGACTACATGGCAGCGGTTAGCCGGTCTGCGCAGGCCATATTAAAAGGGTATCGCACTTACGGGGTAGGACGGTCGTCAGCCATTGTGGATGGGGATATGTGAGGTATGTGAGAAGAGGTATCTAAGAGTGGTGTACGGCACAGATAAGACGGGGTATCACTGGTGAGGGTTGGTAAAAACAGCAGGGAGTCGAGGTGAGGGGTGTCTGCAGCTATTTATTATTTATCGTGGTCCGATGGCGCCATGACCGAGGGGGATTATAAATACGGGCTACATACGTACATGCAAACATGCATATGCCACACGTGCAACAAGGGTCCCTTTAAACGTTGACGGTTCTCGTGTTTCCTTTTGGGCAAGAGGCGTTGATGGCGCAATCACCACATCCCCATCGGTTCTCTGTGCCCAGGTGGTCTCTGAGAGGCAGAGGCAGAAGAGGGAAGGGCCAAGGCTGAGAGCTGTATGGCTGTGCCCCGCGATGCCTACCGTGTCGCGTTACCCCGCACTGATCCCCATTCGTGACGGTGCGCCAATTGCGTGCTGCGCCCTGCCTCTGATTGGCTCTGGTCTTTCATTCTATTGCATTATGTCATTCCAGCCCTCTTATTGTATCATCCCGACTGCCTGCTATTGACCAGACTCATAACCCAGCTACCGGCTATCGGTGAGCGTCTCACCTCTATGTAGGTTCCTACATATGTAGCTGTGATGTGCGGCAGGATTACCATATTTACAACATGAAGTTAGTCCCAGCACGATGGCACAACTTTGGACCATCTGTACCGAGTATACTCCTGCAGATAGAAAGGGGGGTGACCGGGTATCGGCCGCTCTGCCCCTGATCGCGGCTACCGGTCGCGAAAGTATTCACACCACCAACTTTGTCTGGCCTCGTATACCTAGGTATCTAATAACTAGCAAGTGCTGGGGCATGATTTTGATCATAGGAATATTTCTGAGAAGAAATGGCGGGAAAGAGGCATACTATTTCACCAGACTAGGAACCGTTTTATCCTTTGCTATGGGCGGATGGTGATTTATGTGCCTCTGGCCTAGTTTCAAGACACGGCGACTTAAGAGTTCCTCCTTTCGGCACATAGGAGGTATATATGCAACACGGTCTACGAGCCTGTCGTCAGACAATGCCGTAGCTATTCTTGACTAGGTCTTCATGTTCAAGACCCAGGAAACACACATACGCATATTCCTTCTCCAAGTATAAAGACACACGGTCAAAGGGCCTTCAAAATGCGTCCTACTACGCCGTGCTGGTTTGCTGGATCACACCTAATAGCACCCATAGCAGCAACTGAAACCCCCTTGCCTCCCACAGAGCTTATAGTTGACGGAGCAAAGCTGCAGCTCTATCAAGACACTCTGCTGTCGTATTGCCATCCACCAACACACTAGTCTCACTCCTCGTCTCTGTGGGACAGCGCGACGACGAAGACAACTGCGCAGGAACGAGAGTCAAGAGCATCCCATGATGAGAGACCGGGACCCTTAGCTGTGACAAAGGAACTACAACACCTTTTCCGGAGCCGGCGACTTTTATGCAGAAACCCAAACAAACGCCAAACGGAAGCGTGGCCAACGAACTTGACCGACGTCACTTTTCCGGAACCTATGCCGCTGCTGACTCTCGTGAGATCGATTCCCTCCCGCCCAACAAGCAGCAGCAGCACAACTTGGCAACCATATCGTCCCATCTCTTGTACCGTTGCCGTCAGCCAGCCCGCGCCGAGTGCCATGCTAGCTCGCGTGCTCCTGGGTACAGTCGTCGCAGAGTCCCCCGGCATCAGACTCCTCCTCTCGGACGAGGTCCTTCTGCTCGCAGTCGCCCGTCGTCTCGAAGGCATCGCAGTCGACGACCTTGACCTCGTCGCTGGTGTACCAGGCGCCACATTCGTCGCAGTACCATTTCAGCAGCATGTACTGGCACATGTCTTCTCGGGGGCACTGGACGTTCTGGCGCCGGGTGCTGCGGCTTTGTCATCCGGCAAAAATGGATAATTAGCAAGATTGCTCCCCCAAATGCGGCGAGAGAGGGAGGGGGTCGGCCAAGGCCATCCCTTCCAATTACTCACCAGAGCCTCGAGATTCTGACTTTGTTCATCGTTACAGAAGTCAAGGTAGCTGGAGGGCAGATCGGCCTCGAACGGCAGGGCACGAACCTCAAGATGGACGGACAACAGGTGGGCAGAGGGAGGCCTTGGAGGTTGATACTTCATCCCATTGACTTGGTGACTTGCATACGACGACTTGCCACGTGTGCGAGTGAGACCAGTCAGTCTTGAACGACTGACACATATTTGCGATGCTAGTGACGAGCGAAACGTAAGAGTATCATGAGGTAATAGAGGTTCATCAAGGGGTCGCATAGATGGCGACATGAGCCGACGTTGGCGAGTCCAAGCTGATTGGGCCATTGATCGGGACAGCCGCACGGTAATTTGGCGGGGAGGCCAATGGCTGTCTCACTGGACACATCAAGTGGTTGGACACATCAAGTGGTGTGTTGTGTGTAGCTAGGGGGCAATGAGTCTGTCCAACAAGCGAACCAACGGCTACCACACGCGTCGAAACCGGTAAACCGGAACCGCTTGGTACCAGGTACGCGCGGACGAACACTCTTCTTTTGGTCAGGCACATGGACCGAGGCATGGAAGAAACAATGAAACCAGTTTCCGACATTTATCTGCGATGTGCTTCGCTTGGTATCTTAATCATGATGGCTGCGCAACTACATATTGGTGCGCTTAGCGAGACCCCCCCGGGCCTTGTCGTAGGTGACAGTGAGCACCTCATCTTTCCGGGTGGCTGGCGATGTGAGAAATATATGGTACCATGTCCTCTGTCAAATTTGGGTTTTGCTGCGAGACGTGTTAGCAGGAGTATAGATTTGTAGTTCATCGGGGTCAAGGTATTACGAACCCGATCCCACTCAATGCCTCTGTGTCCAGCCGGTTTTTCTTGTCGACTCCGCCAGAGATCGGGTTAGCTCGGTAGTTGAACAGGTAGTAATGTAGCTGGCCATCGCCAGGACCGAACTTGAGTTCCTCCAGGAACAGGCCGTTGTCCATGAGCGAGAGTGCGTTGTAGACGTCAAACTTGTACTGCTTGCAGTATACCAACGAGTCCGAGATGAGTGCTTTGAGACGACCCTGAACCGCATCTTTGTCGGCGGGTATGGTGAGACCCGTTTCGGTGGCATAGTAGAACAGGTAAGCCGCCTTCACGTTCGAGTGCTTGGGATGGTTGATCACCGAGGACGCGAGACAGTAGAAAGAGACAAAATCCGTGATCTTCTTGTGCTCATCCTGCGCCGATAGTCAGTGGTGTCAGGCGTGCTTGTCAACAGCACAGAACGTACCTCGACGACGTAGGTCCAGACGACCTGCTCTTCCAAGGCATTCTTCTTGTTATGCAAAAGCCAGTGCTCGACTTCTGACTTGTCAAACTCGGCGGCCATGTCGTACTTGGCCAGGTAGCGCGTGAGTAGATCCTGCACCGCAGCAACGTCCTTCTTCTGCATCTCCCTCAACCCCCGGAGCGAGGTGCGTTCCGGTACCGCGTATTTCTTGATCTGGAACTGAGGCTTGCTGTTAGGCGGCAAGGGGCTGAAACCGACATCGTAGAGCTTCTGCCAGTTGATGGCACGGTGATAGTAACGACATGTGCTGACAGGCCTGGGAAGGACGATGCCACCAGTGTAGATGGCCTGGAAGATGCCTTCCAGATTACATAACCGCGTTATCTCCTTAATCAGGACCGGGGCAAGACGCTTTGCGCGGAGCTTCTTGTGGATGCAGAGGAAGTTTACCTCGGAGGCATGGAGGACCTTGGTTCGGATGCGAAGCTCGACGGGAATGGCGGCGATGAAGGCGACGAGCTTCCTGGACTTGGCGGCCCGGACTCCGCGGTGCCACTCCTTCTTCCAGCCCGGAGGCATCATGGCCCTGGACGCGGTGGGTCAGCACACAGACGAGGAGGCAGGAGGGAGGAATGGGGCGCACCATTTCAGGATGCTGGGAGAATAGTTGAAGCGAAACATGGCCTCGTCGTCCTCGACATAGTGGCCGTTCAGGAGTTCCCACACCTCCTTCAGCTGGGCGTCGTCGAGGAGGTCCAAGGTACTCCACTCGAAGCCTTCATACATAGGCGCAGGGTCCTTGGGTACCTCGTCTACTGTCTGGACCTTGATGGGGCCTTCCTCGACGGTCTTGTTGGCGTCGGCCTCGTCGCCAAACTTGGGCACGGGCTGGGTGGCCCAGAACTTGTAGGCGCCCATGTCCTTGACGTTCTTTCCGCTCGAGGCCAGGCCGGTCATGATCTCCTGCAGGTCGAGATGCTTGAGGGCGTTGGCGGCGGCCTTGGGGTCGTCATCGCTGGCGCCGGCGAGCTCGTTGGCGAGGGCCGGGTTCAGGTCGAGGAGCTGGGAGACTTGGTCGTTGGACAGGCCATCGAGGGCCTTGTGCAGCTTCTTGGCAGCCTTCTCCTTGTCCTTCTCCTTGCCCTTTTCCTTCCCTTTGCCCTTGACGACGGGCTTGGACTCTTCGGCCATGTCTGCGAGCTTCGGAATCGCGTGACGTTCAATGTTGGTGCTGGGCTGCGGGTTGCAAGTTGCGAGTTGCAAGTTGCAGCCAGGTTGCAATGTAGCTTGCAGGAGTCGGCCACCGCGGGGCACCTGGGAGCTTGAGATGGTGGGATGGGAGATGGGACCTTCTTGGCGGGGTACATGCCTCACATTACGATTATCGCAGTAGTCAGCATTATCGTTTTAGGCGTTTTATCTAACTATGCAGTACCATATCCAAACCCACGCCCCTTTGTGCCTTGTGGTAGCGGTATCCAGAATAAGGACCAGGGCCACAATAGGTGGCTATTGGTCTGTATTCTGGAAGTTGCTTGATTGAAAGAAGGGATGGGTGGTGTCCCCGTCCCAGAAGTAGCTATCATCCCAGTTGGGTACGAATCTGGTACAAACGGGTACCAGTTGGGCTCCAAGGTACCTTGTACCCTGGTCCGTGACCCATCCGTCATTGTGGCTGGAAAATGGGTTGAGGAGCCACACCTTTCTTATCACCAGACGGTATCCGAGGTATGCTTGTTCTCTCACAGCCCATCGTATTCATGAAAGAAGGAGGGGGAAAAAGAAGAAAAAACCGGACGCTTGTAGGCGGCCCATTCCACCCAGATTCTGTATATAGAAGAAGTACTCTACTACTCAGCATACGTACACCCTCGTCAATTTCCATCTAATACTGTCTACATGACCAATACAGTACTATGTGTTACAGCAATCAGTTACGAATTAAGGAGACGTCGCATCTGTATCTGGCTCGAACGACCTCATGACAGCGAGCGCGACGGTCGAGGACAACATGACATCGTTATGCCCTGAGTTGGTCAGCATTGTCCTTAACCCTACAGGTCTGAAGTGGCTACTCACCTCCATAGGGTACCAACTCTTCTCGAATAACCACGTTTGGATCCGACTTGGCGATTGCGACAAAGGTACCATCATCGCGGTTGACAGTGTTTTGCTTCTTCCAGGCAGAGAACTGCTTGTCGTCCAGATCTTGGCCAATGGTGGCATTGGCGGCAGACCTGAACAGCGCATCGCTCTGATAATATGGTATCTCCAGGTCATTTTTGGCATGGATCAGTGTCAGGCGTAGTCTCGCGCGTGTTAGGCTCACAAGATGAGCGAGCCGGTCGGCCGACTGCCACTTGTCGACGACGAAACCCTGGAAGAAGCGCAAAACAGGCGGGAACGATCGCAGGGGCGACAGAACCGGGATGAAGCCAGCCGCGGTGTAGCTGCTGAGCAGATTGGGAAGATTTGAGAAGCCGGCGACAAGGAGGACGCCGGCAAACTCGACCCCCTGCATGGCAAAGTGTTCAGCTACACCACTCGTGACTGCGGTTCCAAGGCTCTGGCCCATGATGACAATGCGGCTGGCGGGGACGCGGGCGACATGCATGGCCCAATCTACGGCAGCAACACCATCGTGGATCAGGCCGGCTTCGGAAGGCGACCCGGTGGATTTGCCGAAGCCACGGTAGTCGATACTCAAAACATGGTAGTGCGAGGTGTCGGTCAGTGTATGGAAGTTGGCCGGTCTTATGGCCTGCGCAATGTGACCGGCGTTCTATGGGCCGACAGTCAGTTGTCATGGCCTGGTAGTGGCAGGTGTTCACCTTGATCCGCTTACTCCGTGAACTGTGGACGGTTGTCAGTACACGCACGACACGGTGCTGTAGGAGGAATGACAGCAGGAATGACAGCGTACAAGAGACTATGAGACGAGCGTCCGGATCATGGCGGAGGATGTTGAAGGACTCGGTCTGAGTGATGTCTCGAGAGAAACCGGCAGGGGCAGCTTGAAGCTTTTCCTCGTGCTTCAGGTAGGTTGCAAGTGGTAATATGTGCCATGCGTAGATGGTTTCCCCATCGACAGTGTCAAGTGAGAACGGGGTCACCTGGTTTCCTACCACCACACCGGTCGTGTCAGTACCTTAGGGGCCGAATGCAATAAGAAGCTGAGAAGAGGGAACATTGCCTACTTGCAAAGCCCCAGTACTCGGGCCTGTCGATGTCATGCCAAAACAGGGTGTTGAATTTATGCGCATAGAGAAAGCTGACTTGCGCGGGTCAGTCAACACAAACATAGCTACATGGCGCATGGAAAGTTGCTTACTGCTTCTGGAAGAAAGGAAAGGCTCCCAGCAAGAGGAAGGTCACATAGAGGCTGACGGGGATGCCCAGGCTGACAGCGAGAGGAACTGCCCACTGCGAGGGGTGACGAGCCATGGAAGCGACAAAAGGCAACACAATTCGGATAGATGCAGTTGGAGATACAAGCAAGCCGCTTTGAATTCCTGTGTCGCTGAGGACCTGGACTAAGACTTCAACGAATGTGTGCAGATGCACGTGTACATGCAAGTACATGACTACATGTAATTATTGCCGGCCTGTGGCGCAGCTGGAGGCTCAAGCTTGGATCACATCATGGCTGGGAACCCGAGAGCAGCTTGCCGCTAACCTTTAAAAGCTCCAAGCTCCAATTTAAGAGTCGCGACTCGCCCACCTCCCAGCCTCAAAGCCCCAAAGCAGACCCGCCGCCGTCCACAAGGTGCTGTCTGGTACCGGTACCTATTCCGACATTCATTACCCACCTTTCTTTCCCATGCAATGCGCCCTCGCCTTGCCCTTCTCAACCTTCACCACATCAATTCGCCTTGATCACCTACACAGAGCGAGAAATTACACACATTTACTCAGTGCCAACAACATCTTACTCATTGACCATAACCGTCTCTAGGCCTTGGGTCGAGCCGACATTCACCGTCCACCGACCACCATCTACCGCCAGTCGTCCGCCCTCGTCAGCCTCGCATGTCTCCATTTTATTGTTGAACCCCCCGTCGCCGCGATGGAGAGAAAGCGAAAGCTGCCTGCGAGGGCTGCTGCGAGAGTCGATCACGTCAACAAGAAGCGTACCACCACCCCTCCCGAGCCGTCTGTCACGCCTTCACCCCCAGAACCTCTGTCCGTGCCCGTCCCTGTGCCCGACGCCGCCCCCGTCCCTGAAGAGCCTCAGCTGCCTAGGTCCATTCAAGCCGGCAATCCCCTACCTACCGTCGAGAACCCCCAGCCGGATGACCTGCCTGCCAAAGACTATCAGTCAATACAAGAGAGGTACGCCGTGACTCGCACCCACGCCTGTCGCCTGTATCGCTGACCATCTCCCAGTGGTGTCCTGGCCGAGTCGCTTGCGAGATCGCGCCAGAAATGGATCAACGAAGGCATATTCGAAAAGTACTGGACGAAGCCCACCAAGCGGAAAGGCGTCAAGGAGGAGCCCAACAACCCTGCCAAGGATACCATGGCCAAGATTGGCCAGATCACCATCAACGTCGAACCCTACCAGCTCGAGGCTACCATGTTCGCCGTCAAAGACCCCAAGCTCTCACCCACCACCAACTCTACCTTCAGACCCGTCATGCAGTATGGTCCTCCCAACGGTGTCATGCCTCTTCCGCCGAAGCCCGGCACCCCGTCCTCCCTCCCGCCTGCACCGCCAGTGCAAGCTTCGCCTTCCCAGCCTCCAGCTCCGTCGCAGGCGCCACCACAGTCTACCCCACGACAACAACCGCAGCAGCAGCAGCAGCAGTCACCGCCACCGTCGGCACCGGCACTGGCCACGCCTCAGCCCTTGACGCAACCGCCGCAACCTTCCTCGGCTCACCCACAGTCCCAATATTTCGAACCTCACCGGCCCCCGTCGTCGGCGGCTATGAGTAAGCCTCTGGCTTCACCCCGTGGTCTCGAGTCCGTGCTTGCTGCTCCCCAACGTTCTCCTGCGCCCGGTCCCACCATTGCACCCCCTCAACCACCGCCGCCATCCCATGCAAACGGCCCCTCTCAACCTGGCATGACTATGAACCGTCCCCTGCATGCGCCAAGCCCAACCGCAGCTCCAGCTGGACCTGGCCCGGCGCTTCCACCGGGTGCCAAACCGACGGCCCCGACAGCCCCCGGTGCCGATCCCATCATTGTGACCCTGGCCGAGAAAGCTTCCGAGGATCCCCATCTTCGCGATCTGATGAAGCGAGTGGCGGTTGGGGAAGCTGCTCCGCCCGAGCTGGCACATTTCCAGAGGATTATCGATCAAATCACTATCGAGTATAAGAAAAAGGGAGGACAACAGGGGCCCTCAGCGGATAGACTGATTGTCGATGGAAAGACGGTCAAATACTTTGCCGACGAAGTCCGCACGATATTAGATATAGTTCTGGCCTCAAACCCGCAGCAGCGGTCTATTGGTTTGCGGCCCCCTCCGGGCAGCGACCCCTTGGTCATTCTGCTGGTCAAGGAGGCGCTGGACAAGCCCACTACGAGAGATATGGTCCGACGGGTAGCCGAAGGAAGGACCAAATTTTCGGACGCTCTCGAGCTCAAGTCCATTCTGGACAAGCTGAAGGATATGGTGGTCAAGGAGACGGCCAAAGACCAGCAAGCAACACTTGCCACTCCACAACTACCAGCTTCCCTTACCAACGGGATCGAACCTCCTAGTGGTGCCCCGAATGGAATCGGTCCGAGAAAATCGTCAGTCAGTGGCGTGGCTCATTCTCCGAATGCGCCGGCCTCGCAGCAAGCTTTGCGCTCGAAGGGACCACTCCCATCCGTGAAATCTGATATATCAGCTATCGTACTCGAGTTTTCCAGTGGCACAGGTGACAGGTATATGTTTCCCAAATACAGCATTCTCGAGTATTCTGCAGGAGGTTCCCAGGTGATTGCGTCCTTTCTGATAGTTCGCAAGGGGAGCAGGCTGGAATACGGGGGAGATCCAACTTTGGATTATTACCAGCCCATGACGATTCGGATATCATCGCATTCGGGAAAGCACCTTGAAAACTTGGCCCGGGTTGTGGCCCCTCAAGACGAGGTGCGCCGATACATGGACGACGTCATGGACAACATGACGCGAGCCGAGTTTGTGCTTCTGGCCATGCGCCTTCCGAGAGCCGAGAAGGAGGACCAGATTGATGACCAGTCTGATACGCCAAGGGCCGAGCTGTCGCAACAGCCTCCGCAGCCGGGTGTGCTCTGGGATGTCAGGCCGACGCCCCTTCCCACGGCCCCGCCGAACGCTTTGGCAAACCCACCCCCTAGTGAGGATGCACAGTATCAGGGCTTCATCACCACTGTAAGTTAAGAAGGAGACAAGGGATAGAAGACGCTCATGACTGCTGGCGTGATGTATCCTGGGACCCTGAGAGATCAGGATGACCCTGTGTTCTTTATTCATCGTGGGATTCGTACCAGGTGCATACCTGGCAGACGCTATCTTATTTTCATGACTTGGTTGGGGGAGTTAGCAAATATCAGATACCTAGGACTTGGCGGTTAGGCGTAACGCCCAAGATGCGAAATGAGATTTATACATGATGCAATGGATGTCGGCAGACGCCTGGCACTTTACGTTACGCACAATTGCCACGTGCGGTTCCAAGCTTTCCAGTGAATGCCCAAGTTATGCGTTGACCTGCCTAACAGCCATCGAATTCCTCTCCCTTCGCGCACATGTCGGCGATAAGCTCGTTGAACCACTGCGTCCGCTCCATGATAGGAGCGTGTCCCATGCCGTCGACGACAAGGCCCTTTCCGGGCCGCAGCTGGTCGATCAGCTTCCGGCCATGCGGCGTGGAGATGACTCTGTCTTCGGTGCCGTGCAAGACGAGGATCCTCTCCCTGCCCACCCTGTCGCCGAGCTCGGCCAGCTGCTCGGCCGTCTTGCGGTGCCAGCCGGCGGCGACGACCTGCATCAGGAAACCGGCCTTGGTGAAGCCGTCGCGGTCGCGCTGCTTGGCCACCTCCTGCGCCGCGAAGCGCGCGTAGTTGCTCTCGAACTTGCGGTACCCGCCCTCGGGGACGCGGCATCGCGGGACCGAGGCGTCGGGCAGGATGGCTTTGTCGGGCTGCGCGAGCCAGTCGGCGGGAAAGAGGGCGTCGGCTGCGTAGGCGACGGTGCGGTCGAGGCTGCGAATGGGCGGGAGGGTCAGTGGTCACGGGTTATGTTGTGAGGTGGATACCGGGACCTGAATCAGGGGAAGGGGTCAGGGGAAGGGGTCAGAGGGTGGTGCATAGGAGAGGAAGGAAAGGAGCCTGGAGCCGTGTGAACCGGGTCCGGAACAGAGATGCAGAGTCTCAAGTACTAACCTCTTGGGCAGTAGCATGATGATGCGATTCGTCATATTCTCCACGAAGCCGGTGGTGTTTTCGATGGCGGCAGCCGTGCAGATCAGACTCAGGCTGCTGATACGGTTGGGAACGGCATAGGCCAACTCCTGCGCGATCATGCCGCCCATGCTGAGCCCGACGACGTGCAGCTGGCGCTCCTGGGTCCAGCCGAGGTGCGCCAACACCTCGAGGAGATCGGACGCCATGGCCGACGTGCTGTACCGCGCCAGCGGCTTGTCGGAGCTGCCGACGCCGCGGTTGTCGAGGATCAGCACCGAGTACTTGCTGCTGTGGGTGTGGCCAAAGTGCATGGTCTGGCGCTGGTACGAGGTCTTGAAGACGCCCATACCACTAATAAACTGGACTCACAGCGTCGGTGAGCACTACTGTACTGTGTATCTGTGACACATCGGGGCTGAGCACTTGCTCCCTCCCAGTGGAAGGTTCCTGATGTTGGTATATTTATCTGTGAGAATGGCGAAACCTACGACGAGCCTTATGGGGCCGTCACCATGGACTTCCCAGCTGATGTTGAAAGGTCCGCCTCGGCCGGCGGCAACGGGCAGGAATCCGCTCTGATGTGGCTCCAGTTGCCACATGGCAGTTGGGAAAGCATCGCTTTGGGCGACCTCCTCGACGGAGGGGAACGTCGCTGTCACCGGCCTGGATGATACGTCAGTACTAGGGAAAGTAGTCATATTATATGTAGGGAGGCACATAATTGATCTAGAAGGCGGAGAGCTGGGGAAGGGGGTATGTACGATGCACTTACATTTAATACCTTGCGTGTCTACCTGGACTCGGTACACTCTGCCTAACGGGTTAATCAGATGGTTCTTGAAAGGACCCGCGCGGTGCACACGAATATCTAACACGAGAATGTAAACGATGGGCCGTCTATATACTCCTGAAAATGGGGTTTATCGTGTTCAACTCTCGGGTGGGATGTTCAAGACATGGAGGATGAGCTTCAAGTTCCTCGGCAACATGTGGCGCACCTTGGCAGGTACATAACTTGCCTAATTGCGCAGAGTTATCCCTGCGCTATGCAATAACCGGGCGCTTCCCAACGGCGCGAGCATCGTGACAAGTCACAAATCTGAACAGACAACAAATAACAGTAGCACGTTAGATTCGCATGACCCGAAAGAGCTTGATGACACCGATAAAACAGCTTGATGATCACAGCTGATAATTAGAAAATAGGGTATCTGCCAGAAAGTGAACCAATGTATCTATCCGCCACCGTACGCCGTCCGTTGAAAGCCAATAGGTTTAGGTAGCTGAGAGGCAAGGAAACCGGCAATGCATTACAACACGATTTTCAACCTCTGTGAAAGGCAGACTCCGAAAGCTCTGTCCCATTAATGTGTGGGTAGAAACTTATTGGAGTCATCTTCCTGCTCGGCGAAGGTCTGAGGAAAGGCTGCAATACCGGCGACGATGCCGGCAGCCATGAACAGAACTGAAATGATGGACCAGATGACGCCCCAGCACTGAGAAGAACCTCCGTATCGCTTGGCGAAGATGCTGGCGTCGGAGCTGTTGACTTTGCGGAGGATGAGATCATCACACTGTTGGCTTATCAGCATATTCACGTTCCTCATGATACCTTAAGGCACAACGACTTACGATATCCCACACGCTGTACAGCGAGCTCATGACACCAATGAACAGGACGACAAAGCGCAAGGCCTCGGCATGGACGATGAACCAGCAAGCGACCAGCAGCCCGACGGCGAGGAGGATGGTCAAGATGGTCAGCCAGTCTTTCTTGCCCACCACAGTGTGAGCAGGAAACAGGGGGCCAGCACGAGACTGGCGATCTTGCTGGCGACGATGTCGAAGCCGCAGAAGATGAGCAGTGCGCCGATGAGCGACGAGCCCAGATAGCCGGCAGGCAGGGTGATGGCGCTCTTGCCGCCGACCATGTGCGTGACACCGCCCTCCCGCGGGTCGAGCGAAATAGACTTAACGCGGCCTCCGGTGCAGCAGGCGGTGATGGCGTGACCGAATTCGTGGAAGGCGATGACCAGCATCTTGAAGGGCCACAAGGACCAGCGGACATAGGGGACGTTCCACAGGATGGCGATGACGACGACGTAGAGGGCGATGATGCCTAGCGTGACCTTTTGAGAGTCGCTTGTTACGGCGAGGTCCCGGCTGGCGAGCTCCGCAACGTGCGGGCCGGCGGCCACGACGGCGGCCACGACGGCGGCCACGACGGCGGCCCTGGCGCTCCGGACCAGGTGGTCGGTGAAGTAGGGTCCGGTATTTGCGTGGACGGGGGCCATGGCGAATGGAAACGAATGTAGGTAGGTAGGCAGGGAGGAACGAGTGTCGATGGTTGTCTGTACGAGTAATGAAACAACACAGTAACTAACGATTAACAAAAGGAGAAGGTCACATGTCTGGAGGAGTGCTCTGAGGTTCATGCGCTTCTCAAACAGTGAAATTATTATTAGAGGCTACCTTCTTAGCACTGCCAGGGATGACATGGTCAGGTGGGCTGAGGCTGTCTTGGCTGAGGCTGTCTTGGCTGAGGCTGTCTTGGCTGGCCCACGACTGCTGTTATGAGTTGGGAGGTTGCTGAGACAAGGAATGCAACGGTCACTTATAAGTTATCCGTTGCCGTGTTCCGTGTTTCGTGTTTCGCGTTTCAGTCTTCCTTTTGTCTCCTGTATCAAACTTATCACCACGACATTTGCTGCGCCTCTTTCTATAGGTAACTACAGTGGCGTCAGTCCCACGCGTCCTCTCTACGCGTGTGAACATCACTTTGCTCTAGGTGTAGAGGGAGTTGCCGCATATAGGTAGCCAAGGTAAGTTTTCTCAACGCGAAGAGAAACTTCACCTCGATCTGTTCTGCATTGCACACTTTGAGATCATCATGCGTCCCAATCAAGTCTGCGATCCACCGCATTCCCAGCTGATGGTTCACTGGTTGATACGTCCTCGCCAGAGTTGACCATCACCACGACAGATAAGTCAAGAGTCAAGAATGGGCGAGACCTTTTGGCTTCGTCATTGAGCCAGCAGAGGTCGCAGCCGAGTCCGCACCTTGTCTGCTATACGGGGCGCACTTTACCATACCAACTACTGCCAAGGTGACGAATGGAGGCTCGACAAGTCGTCTGTAGTGAGACATATCACAAGGGCTGTGGCGAGGTAGATCACCGCCGACACCTTCGTGGACCTTCTATGGACCAAGCACAACCTCCATCCAGCGATGCAGCCACCGTCCAGCACTCCTGCCACATATATGTAGCGGATACGAGCCCCTAATATAGGTCTCCAGGCGATTATACCTCCAGATTGCAGATTGGATGAATGGCAGCCAACCGCGATAGGCAACGGCATCCATTGGACCGCCAAGTCATGCATGCCGTCACACATCAGCAACGGTAAGATCCGGTACGATGATGTTAACGTGGCCGCAGGTCAAGCAGGGCAAATGATAAGGTACCTATGACCCAGTTGGGCAATGTCTTGAATCAGACCAAACTTCGACGTCAACCGACTTGTCTGTGAAGGATATATAAGTAGACTGTCTCTAGCTCGGAACAAAGCACTCACCCAGGCTTCCACGTCGACTCGCATTGCCTCACTTACACCATACTCTCGTTCAAATCCAACTTGACAAGTGCTCCAAACATGAAGGTGTCATCGACGACGACAGGCACAATACTTGCCAGCTTCTTCGTAGCGGCCAGTCCCACGGACGCCCAAGGCTACGGAAGCCGCCCTCTCTTCGCTGTCTCCAGGTTCTCGGCCGGTGCGACGCCGCACTCTTCTATCGGATAGTGAGTAGACAGAGCTCAAGAGGCCACAAGAGATGGTGTGACTGATGAAGCGAAAGCATCGAGCTCACCTGGTCCTACTCTCCGGGGGCCAACGCTTCGACGTGCCGCGCCAGTCCGGCAACGTACCAGGTCTTCCCTTCGGTCGAGCAGACGCCATGCAACGATCCGGCAACGTCGTTCAACCTGACCATGAGGGCGGATGGCGGTGCCGACCTGGAGCTCTGGTATGAGCCACGCTCGGGTGCGTCGGCCTACGGCATCCACGGCATCAAGGCCGAGGAGATTGTCTGGGCAAATCAGGAATCTCCCACAGGAATCGTGCAGGTATACGCGGGCATGCAGAACTTCACGGTCAGGGCAATTCATCCTGAAGTGAGGAACACGGTGTCGCTGGGTTTTTGAAGCAGCCGGACAGCAGCGAGATGAAGACATGTTGCGAGGCCGTGGTTAAGAGGGTCAATGACGGAGTGCTCACTGTAAACCTGCATCACACAGTAGACCGGTTGCATTGAACGTTACCTTGCACGCCTTGCCTTGCCGTTTCTGCCATCAAAAATAGAAGACCGATGGGTGGCTTTGAGATCGGTTGATCTCAACCACTGCCCAACGCTGTAATAACTAATAACACTGATGATGTGCATAACCTTGGTATGTGCATGTACTACCCTCGGGCTGTCTGTTCTGCCGATCGCCGCCGCCTACATTGGATGTAGGTACCCTACCTGTCACACACTGCCCCACTTGCCGTCTTTGCTTACTTCCACCTGCAATATAGCTCCGGCAAGCTTGCAGTGAAGCTTCGTCACATCACGCATTACAACAACCATATCGCAACAACCCAAACCTGAACTTCTCTCGCCCTTCTATACCGGCACGCGAAGACGGGGCAACGAGAGCACTCGTCGTCACACACGCGTACATGCTCACCACACCCTTCTCACATATCCATCTCCATATCTTCAGTGCGCAATGAGCTGCATCGAAGCGACATGGCTTCCTCGTCCGCAGCAGCCTCGACCTTGACCCGTCCGAGAGCACAGGTTGCCATCACCCTTGTTTCCCTCGCAGCCGCTTCGCTAGGCTACTACTACTACTACTACTACTACTACTACTACTACACGCAATACACCCTCCACGGCCAAGAGCAGCTCGACGACCCCGCCCCGGGCCTGCATCGCCGCAATGCTCTCCGCCGACCTCGCGGAGCTGGCCAGTCGCTCGACGACTCGGACGAGTCTGAATCCCATGGCGACGAGAACCAAGATGCCGGTCCCCTCATCCCCCTCACCGAACTCCCCCCGGTCGACGGCCACACCCCCGACGAGTGGTACAACGACCCCGTCCACGCCCCGAGGCAGCGTACCGGCGAGAACATCGTGACCTTGCTGTTCAGGGTCTCCGAGGACAACGCTAGACGGAACGCTTATGTCCATCGTGGCTGCCAGTGTAACGGCTGCGGCATGTTGCCCATCCGCGGCATTCGCTATCGCTGTGCCAACTGCGCCGACTTCGATCTGTGTGAGGTCTGCGAGTCGCAACGCCTGCACAACCAGACGCACGTCTTCTACAAGATCAAGGTGCCCGCCCCGCCCTTCGGCCCGCGACACGTCCAGCCAGCCTGGTACCCGGGCGACCCCGACAGCGCCCTTAGGAGCCTGCCTAGGTACCTGCTCACCAAGTGGTCCAACGACACGGGCTTCGAGAGGGTCGAACTGGATGCTTTCTGGGAACAGTGGACTTTCATGGCAAACACCGAATGGAGGGAAGACCCGCACGGCCTGGGTCTGGCCATGGATCGGAAGACTTTCGAGCGCTGTCTGGTGCCGTCTGGCGGCTACCGACACGCCGCTCCCAACCTGATCCACGACCGCATGTTTGCATTCTATGATACAAACCACGACGACCTGATCGGTTTCGAGGAGTTCCTCCACGGCCTATCATACAGAAAGAGGAAGGATAAGCTTCGGAGGACTTTCGATGGCTACGACATTGACGGGGATGGCTATGTGAACCGCCGTGACTTCCTGCGCATGTTCCGAGCCTACTACGTTCTCTACAAGCAGATGCACCGAGATATTCTCGAGGGACTAGACGACCACGTCATGACCACTACCGAGGCTCATCAGCTTATCAACGGCAGACAGCCCCTGAGCAGCTTCTTTGGCCGAGAAGGTAGGGTGCCTCCCGCCGACCATGGCAGACCCATGGAGGGCAAGATATTTCGATCGGATGGCGAGATAGATGTACGTGACGGCCGGGGCGTCGTCAACCAGGACAAGCCAGATACCTCGAGCCGCGAGGAGATACTGACTGGACTCCTCACACGCAACAGCAACCAGAGCTTGTTCACCGAGTCTTTCGGATCCTCCTCCAGAATGCCCCATTCTCCCAACCGAGACACCCGTTATTTGTCAGGCGTTATAAACCCACCTCAGAATACCGTTGACCTGGCTTCGTTGCTCTCTGGCGACTACGCACAGCTTGACGATATCATCGAGTCCATCCGCCATGAAGACCCAGGCCCCTCCTTGGTAGTCGATGCAGAGTCTGGCTCGTCTGACGAAGGTGAACAGAGCACGCCAGAAGAACAGGATACAAATGATGCCGAGGAAGCTGAGCCTATCGATGAAGCCACGAATGTCGCCAGCGAAACTGTTTCGAACCGCTCACTCCCAGACGCCTCAAGGTTCACCAATACACTGCCGACACAAAGCCAGCTTCGTGTACAGCATCAAGCGATTGTCGCGAGGACCCAACGCCTGGGCCTCGATAAGCACAAGAGACTTGTCGCCCGAAAGGCGCTTCACGAAAGATGGAAGCGGCGTCAATTCTACCTGGACGAGGAAGAGGGCGGCTTACCGCCACAGGGCTGGGATCAGGGCCAGGATATCCTCGACAAAGCGAACGGCGTTGGCAAGTCTTCCAAGTCGGCCCATCCACGCATGTCCGCGCGATCCAGGTCCTCCTCTAAAGTTCGATTCGCGGAGGATATGGATGATTTTGAGACCCGGTCCAACCCATCCACCTCGTCGCGAAGCGTACCAGAGCGGTGGGGAGGCATGGAAATCCCCGACGCAGAACGCGATGCTGGCAAAGAAATTCTGTACCAAGTGACACAGCAGGCCTTCAATGAGCTGCTGGACGAGGTCTTCAAGAGAAAAGAAGACCTGGCTGTACGGGCGGCCGAAACCAAGGAGGAGCGGGAAAAGCATCGTGAACTCCTAAACTCGGTCGAATGTGAAGATGAAGACGATGAAAATGAGGAAGCCAAGTCTACCCAAGAGGCCCCACGGCAGACTTGGGCCCAGGACTCGCAGCAAACCGAGCCCATCCCGCATCAAAGCCTGGAGGAATTGCTGTCTGCTAGTGGCTACGCAGTTAGCCCCCCGGGCGGAGATGCCGAGGTGCAGGCCGGACCCGCCAACGGCGTGGTAACAGATGCGCCGCACGGAAGCAACGAGGAGCGGGGCGCAGCCATCGGGTCTACTGGCGCGGAAGTAGATGCTTCTCGGCCCGAGACAGCAACATACCGTGATCCGACCATGCCGCAGTTCAGGCCCGACAGCCCTTCGCAGGCTACAGTTAACGGGGTGACCTCGTTGAGTGCAGGTGACAAGCCGGACAGTTCAGGTTCGAAGGGTAAGGAAAAAGCGACGGAATGCGACTCGGCAGACCATATACCCCATTCCACGCTGGTGACATGGAGACGGCTTGACTACGCGGAGGAGGAGGCGCGGGAGAGAGGTGGATGGGGCAGGCTCAGCTATGAGGAGTTTGAGGAGATATACCGCGAACACGAGTTCCAGGATAGCACTCGGAACCGGCTCGACTACCTGGGGAGCTGGATCGACTTCTGCATTCCCTAGAATGGACAAGATTGTCGGCACCAGCCTATGTTCCAAGCAGGTCGACACCAGCTCGCGCGCGCCCTGTTCAACGTGCCGTAGACTTGATGTCCGGTCTTGACGAAGCTATTTGATGAGACTTGGGGTTTGCACCGGCGAGAGCTGCTGCAGGTGTTGGTTGTAAAATACATGTAACGACTATTAAGTACCTACATGAGGTGCGTTTCTTGGTGGACGCGATGGCTCACCTGTAACGTTATGGGCTGAAAATCAAATACTACTAGTACCACCTTTTGAAGCTGCAATGTGCAGGCCAGTTTCCTGCACTTTTTATGACTGTGATGGCGTAATTAACGATGCGGGCATCCGGTCATGTTTAAAACTTCCAAAGTTATTAAAGGGCGGACCACGTCAGAATGTACCACCGACGGAGCTAGCTAGTAGCTACCTACACGACGTGGCCACTGAAAAGTCGAGCGATGATGTAACATTTGAAGATGCTCAACTGCCGGTGAAATTTCATGATGATTTCAAATCAGGCACTGGGGACAACCCCACACCGCGCGACGACTGCTCCGCCCGCTCTATGGGTGAACTATTTAACGACGGCGACCCATCGAGCAACATGTCATATCATATCAGTCCTTGGGTTTCCCACCTGCCGAATCTCATCAAGCCAAAGCAGCGCCTCATCAGACACAGGCCAGTCAAGCACGTGCAGAAGACGCCATCATGAAGGAAGCCATCGTCGCCAAAGGTAACCAACCAACTGCCGTTACCCGTATCACCAGGCGCGTAGTAGGGAACCTCTTAAAGCCTTACTAATTCCGTCCTCCTCTAGGGTGCAAGGTCGAGATTATCGACTCCCCTATCCCCAAGCCCAACGCAGACCAGGTCCTCATCAAGGTCGTTGTGAGCGGTTCCAACCCAAAGGACTGGAAGGTCCCGGATTGGGTCTCGGACAAGGTCATCAACCAGGGCGATGACATCGCCGGCTTCGTGCACCAGGTCGGCGCCAACGTGACCGAGTTCAAGGTAGGTGATCGCGTGGCCGCCTTTCACGAGATGATGTCGCCGCATGGATCCTATGCCGAGTACGCCATCGCCTGGAGCAACACGACCTTTCACATTCCCAAGGAGACGTCGTTTGAAGGTGAGATTAAACGACATAACGAAAGACAGCAGAGGGCTGACAGACAGGCGAACAGAGGCAGCCGCTATTCCGTTGGCGGCCATGACCGCCGCCATCGGGCTGTTCATCCGCCTCGGCCTCCCGCAGCCCTGGACACCGGCCACCGAGCCCATCCCGGTGGTCATCTACGGCGCCGCGTCGGCCGTGGGAGCCTACGCCGTCCAGCTCGCGCAGAAGGCAAACATCCACCCGCTGATCTGCGTCGCCGGAGGCTCCAGCGCCCACGTCGAGAAGATGATCGACCGCAGCAAGGGCGACACCATCGTCGACTACCGGAAAGGCGACGACGCCGTCGTCGAGGGCCTGAAGAAGGCCGCGGGCGGGGCGAAGCTGCTCCACGCCTTCGACGCCGTGTCCGACCACGGCAGCTACATGAACCTGAGCAAGGTCCTGGCCGACGAGGGCGCCAAAATCACCCTCGTGCTGCCCGGTAAGGATTTTAGTGAGATCCCGTCGCACATCAACCAGTCGATCACCATGGTCGGCTCGGTGCACAACGATGCCAAGGACTTTGGCTACATATTTTTCCGGTACTTTGGTCGCGGCTTGGCCGAGGGTTGGTTCAAGCCGCAACCACAGGAGGTCGTGCGGGGCGGACTCGGGGGCGTCCAGAAGGGGCTGGAGAATCTGAGAGACGGAAAGGCGAATGCTATCAAGTATGTCTTCCGGATTGCAGACACAGAAGGAGTCGAGAAGTAGAGTAAGTGGTATATATATATCATGTGTGGTATTCAAGAAGGTATCATTCAAATAAGAGAAAGAGACTATTGAATATGCATCGGGTTGACACCCGAATAAACCCCTTCAGGCCTATCGGCAGTCAAAGTCTTCCAACATCGTCGACGATCCCCTTAATTACTTAGGTAGACGGCGACGTACTTGACCCGGAGCCCACTTCGTGGGCCAGTTGTCGTCTTCGCATCCGGCTGCCCACCTCCTTGGGAGATGCTGCTCACAGCCACGCGCAGAATTTGGAAGAAGGACTTGTGAACGACTCGCCTTTCAGAGTTCCCCTTCATTCACATCGCTCTCTCCCGAGCTCAAGAAACTCTGGGTGACACCCTCTCGCGAGTGTACCTTTCTAGGGAGATCATTACCTTTGTTTCAAAGGCTAGGTGCTGCAGAGTCGGGGCCCTTGTGGAGATACGACAGGATGGCGGAAGACGAAGCGTAAGGAAGTATGTATATTCAGTTCATTCAGTTGGACTATCATCTAATCTTACTAGGGCCTTTTTGTAACCCGTAGCCAGAAGTCGGTTGCCACCCAGAAGATGGCGCTCCATGCCTTGATGGGGGTCTTGGGGTTCACAATGGTAAAGTCATATCTCCGTAACAGCTAGACAAGGAACAGCAGTCGTCAGTCCATGAATCTCTGCCATTTCAAAAGGGGGGAGGCGTGGCTAGCATACCTCGACGAATATCTTGTTGAGCTCCATCATCGCAATGGGCTTTCCCAAACATTGATACTTTCCAGAACCGAAATCCATATCCACTGCGGCTTTCATCTTCCTGAGATCATCCTCGCTGGCCTCGAGCCATCTCTCAGGCCTGGAGACATCAGCATCCGGTCCCCATAACTCGGTGGAGCGCATGAGGCCGAAAAAAATCATGCCTATTTGGGTCCCCTCGGGGACGAAGAAGCCGTTGATGGAGTCCCCGCCCCTCGGCACCTGCTTGCTACCCAGGCCAAGGACCGGCGGGTACATGCGGAGACCCTCTCTGATGACGGATTGTAGGTACGGCATGCTCCTCGACTCGAGATCGGTAACCGGACTGCTCAACCTGCCCGACGCCAGCGTCGCGTCTATCTCACGCCGCAGTGATGCGTAGGCTGAGGGCGACATGATCAGGCAGAGTAGTGTCATGCAGATGGCCGTCGTTGTCGTAACGGAGCCAGGAATGCTGCGAGGGGTGAGCACGAATGGTCCAGGGGATGAAAGGAATGGCCGAGGGACCGAGGCGGTCTTACATCTGAACAAAGACCTGCTGTGTGAGCTCGGCGGGCGTCATGCCACTGTTGATGAACGCCTGCGTCATATCCTTCCGCGGCCTCGCGTCAGGCTCAAGCCGCTCGGTGACACACGATTTGGCGAAACTGTATGGCGAGGTCAGAATCGGGGCAGGGAACAGGTGTCTAAGCCAGTCCAGAGGCAACAGAGGTGTTGATTGTGCACATACCCCATCAGACGGCCAAAGCCAACTCGGTCCCCTTCTTTTGGCAGCATGGTGTTGAACGGCCACTTGTACAGGAAGCTCGCAAGCCACGGCATCGTCGACATGATGTTCATGACGGGCAGGGCTTCGTCGTTGATCTCATGGTAGCGGTACAGATCCTCGTCTTGGCTCAGATAGCCAAACGCGGTGCCAAAGGAGATGTCGCCAATGACGTCGAGTGCGAAGAAGGAGACCTTCTGGAAAAACTGTACGGGGCGGTACTCGGTGGGTGTGGACAGATACTTGTCGTCGATGAGCTTCACGAATTCGAGGATCTGGCGGTCGATGCCGGCGCCGAAGCCAAATCCCTCGTTCTGCCTCCCGGCGAAATTGAACAATAGCAAAATCAATATTGGTGCTCAACGGTACCTAATCGGCAATGGAAGTTGTACATACAGCAGTTCCCATCTTGGCACGCAAGGCCCGATGCTCGGCATCGTTGCGCAACGACACAACCGTGTTCTCCTCGGGTATGATGCGGCCGGTCTCGTAGAATATGCCCTTGGTGTAAGGCGAGCGGACGGCCGACATCATCCGGAGCACATTGGTGTCGGTGGAGATGAGATCATTGGGGCCGATGCGGACCAGAGAGCCTGGCAAAGTGGTCAGCGCCTGGGCTGTGTCGGGTTGGAAATCAGTACTCAATACCATATTCTCTAGGAACGTCTCTCCGGTGCTCGTGGAACCGACCGCTCAAGGCCTTCCTCACCATCCAAATGGACGAGACAAAGGCCAGGAACGGCCCCGGGAGATGTCTCAGACGGTACCAGGACCAGAGGCCGCGGGCCAGGATTACGGTCAGGAAGATGACAGCGCCGTGCGTAGCCAGCGTGGCAGTCGTCAGGCCGTGCAGGCTCGCTGAAAATCCCCCGTTGGTCCCCATGATGGCTGCGGCAGGACGCACCACGAAGATGGTATACTCGGTCTGGCTATCGGGTGGTCGTACAGCACAAAGCGCGTCCCGACGGATTGGTAACGAACCCGATTCAGGAATTAGCGTTGGGTTGGGTTAGGGTTAAAGCTAAAGCTAGAGACAGATAGACGGTAACTGTTAATGGCCTTACTATTAGACGAGGTGTTGTCGTTAAGGTAGATATGGTTATGCCCTTTCTGGAGACAGAGACGAGATCTATGGAGCTGCCAAGTAACAGAGCAACCCGTCTTCTACCCCGCGTAATTCGGCATCAATAATGAAGTCCACCCCTGTTCTGGGTGTTCACGGATAGTCTGGTGAGTGATAAAAGAACGAGCGGCGCAGCATACGCGGGTCTCCAATGTCTGTCTGGGCCGCTGGGCTGCATGGGGAACGGAACATATTATACTGACTAAAGGACTGGAAGCTGTTACTTCCCAAACGTGTGGAATTGTTCAAATCGTAATTGGACCGCTCTGACGCTATATAGGTATCATCATACATCTCTTTACTTCGTAAACGTGCGTCATTTTCGTAATGACAGCACTATGGGTTTGGCAGCTCCGCGCCATGCCCGGGTATCTATTTAGGCCTTGGAGACGCGCTGCGCCCTCATCTGCTTCTGGATCTCCCTCGACTTCTTGACACCAAAGCCATCCTGGAAAATGACACGAATGTCCTCGAGAGTCATCCCAGCAACCTCGGGGTAGCCAAAGTAGATGCAGACACTGGGTATTACTGTTAGCAATGCTGTTTGGATCAGTTGATACGTAGAGACTCACTATCCAAGAATGCAAATGGCCGCATAGAAGCCAAAGGCGCCGGAGGGCGTGGTGTTCTCCATCTGAGTCAGAAAAGTCGACGCGACGATAATGTTGGCTCCCCAGCACGTCATGGTCAACATCATTGTGCCCATGGATCGGACCTCTAGCGGGAAGAATTCGCTGCTCAGCCAAGCCGTGTTTCCGATACCCGAGGAATAGAAGGCCACGAAGAAGACCATGCAGGCCAGGATAAGGTTGGCCTGCCACCCGATGGAAGCTCCAGCGACAATGGTGAGGTCCTTGTTCATTGGGATATAGGAGAAGGCGACGGCGGCGATGATGAGGAAGAAGCCCATGAATTGTACAGTGCAGAGCAGGATTCGTCTTCTACCGACACGATCGACGGCGATGAGGTTGACAAAGGTGAAGAAGAAGTTGACACCCGCGATGATGGTTCCAACAGCTACGGGGTTGCTGAAGCCAATCTGGGAAAAGATGGTGGGAGAATAGTACATGAGGGAGTTGAAACCGCAGAGCTGGGAGATGGCCATGAGAGTACAAGCCGACAGCAGAGCTCTGAAGTTGGCCGGGACGACGTAGAGCTGCTTCAGGATCCACCACTGAGAGTGTCCGGCGTTCAATCGCTTGGACTTCTCGACGTGGTAGGAGATGAGCTTGACCTTATTCTCGACCTCCTCGGCGGTACCGTGGGGGAAGATCTTTCGGATGACATCCCTGGCCTCGTCCTGCTTGCCATGGAGGATGAGCTGTCTGGGCGACTCGGGGCAGAACATGAGCAAGACGCCGAGGATGAGAGCCGGGATGGCACCGCCGCCGACCATGTATCGCCAGCCTCCGCGGACGTGAGCGAAACCAGCCCCCACGCCGTAGCTGATGAGCTGGCCACCAGTGATGGACATGTTGTCTAGGCCGATCATGCGACCTCTGTACTTGGCGGGCGAGACTTCTGCAATGTAAAGGGGTATTATCATAGCTGCGGAGCCGACACCGAAACCGACGACCAGCCGGCCGACTACCATCTGTGCAAGGGAGAAGGAGGCGGCCTGGAGAACGGCACCAATGGCGAAGAGCACACATCCGACATAGATGGCAATCTTGCGTCCATATCTGTCGGCGGTGGTACCGGCAAAAATGGCACCAAGAAAGGCACCGCCAGAGGTGATGGATGTGATGAGCTCCTTGTCTTGGTTGGTGAGAGGGGTGTTGAGGTCGTCGCCAATATACAGGAGAACAGCTGCAATGATGCCAGTATCGTAACCGAAGAGCAGGCCGCCAATGGCAGCGGTGATGGACACGAGCCACGAGTAGAAGCCGGTGTTTGTGAGCTCGATGGTGTCGAGGCTGTTCAGTGTCTCCTCGCTGATGTTGTCGATGCCGGCATCCTGGAATTCGACGTGCTGCGCATCATCCTTGGAGTCGTGCTCGATAGAGGGTTTTTCGAGGCTCGGGGTCGACATGCTGACTGACTAACAACATATAATGCTGTGTGCCAGTGGGGATGTGAGGATGTGAGGATGTGAGGATGCAGCCCAATTACAGATAGATTTAAGGTTAAAGGTGTGGAAATGTCGTTGGAATGTACAGCTATTTAACCTAACCAGCGGTTGGTTGGTTCGATGCCGGAGTACATCCTCCGCTGCGCCGGGCCGTTCACCTTGTTCACCTGACACCGACCGAGTCCACCCGCAGTGATGTCAGTGTACACAGCACCAAGGCTTTGTGGATTACCATTTATCCGGGGTTTGCTTTCGTATGATTAGCTCCCCCAGGTTTCCCCCAGGTCTCCCCCAGGTTTTCGGTCAGATGATCACCTACTAGTACCGGTAGAGGATTCACGTGGGGTGGTGGAACACCCTAAACGCAAGCGGTCTACCATGACGCACCGGTAGTCGAGTCGACATGGTCGGTCGGCCCGAATGTCTACAAACACAGCTACCGCAATTGGCCGCGATACCACAAGTTCAGACGCCGGTCCCCCGGTCTCTGACATGGTGCGTGCTAGAAACGGGCGCTACCCCATAACTACCGAACGACGAGGCGGAGCAGAACTGGGAAGACATGTTGCACGCCATGACGTTGGAGGCGAACGAAGGGAGGCTGTTCTTCGCGCCAGCCGCGCCCATCGGTCATCACCCGCAAGGGATACTCGACCTAGGCACGGGAACCGGCGTCTGGGTCATGGAGATGGCCGACAAGTGTCCCTCGGCCGAGGTCCTGGGCATCAGTAGGTCATGCGCGCCGTGGTCTGGGCTAGTAGGGATATCGTAATAACCCGTCAGACCTGGGACCGATTCAACCGGATTTGCCCCATCACATTGCAAATTCCTGTTTGACCATGTGAGTGAGCAGCACGGACTATAGGTATAGCCGTAACTGATGTCGCCCCGTAGGTAGGTGGAGGATACGTGGGAGAACGGCCCCGGCTGCGACTTTGTATACCTGCGCAATACCGGTATGACACAATACCTGTATTGAGGTTCGTGTCCAAAGACTAAGTGTGATGCTCTATAGCTGACCAGGGGAATCCGTCGCAGGGATCCCGTGAAGCAGCTGAGAGATGTATTCGAGAGAGCCGGCCTTGGGTACCGCCGTGTTGACGGCGGTGCGCATCCAAAATCAACTGACGGCTGCTCCCACACAAACCTGAAGCCCAGCGCGTGGCTTGAACTTCAGGACGTCGACGGTATGGTTCACTGCGACGACGGCACGCTGCCACCTGACCTGCCGGTGCTCGTCTTCACCAACCTCATGGTAGAAGCCTTGAAATTCAGGACGAAGTCGCACGCGGCCGTCTTCGGGGGGCAGTACCTGGCTGAGTGCAGGTTTGTCAATATCGGGACGTGGCCAAAAGATACATAGGTGTGCCGTACCCAGGTATCCAACGAACGAGCGTATACGCACCAGATCAGACATGGCTGTCCTGAGTCCTGAGTCCTGAGTCATCCTACTGACTCGACGGCAGGACAATGAGACTTATCGGCATTTACTATAGAAGTGCTTGCGAGCAGTTCTTCCCAGCTAGTAGGGGCCCTTTCGAAACACTGGCGCTTTCGTGTGCACGTTTGATGGTCAGGTGTTGGCTTGCTCTGTTACCATGCAGACACGACAGGCGGCCGTTATCAGGTATGTCGACCATACGGTGTACTCAGTGGGAGCGATCCAGCTACCGTTGCTCGATTGGCAGGCGGAAGAGATCGAGGTCTTGTTCGCGAAATGTCGAAATGCAATGGGAGAAAGCGATGTCCACGCGTAGTATTTCCATGCCCGTGGGCCCGTCCACGATGCTGCCTGAGCTCGCGGGTCCTGTTCCCATGTCTGTTACAGCTTGGGTTCAGTCGAGCGCTTGCTGACTGACCACTGGTATGTCTTGCCAGCGGAAGATGCACTTCTGGTCGGGCTAGAAACCGCTGAGCGAATCATAGCACCGTGTACATGACCGACGCGCTGTGCTCACTGACAATACAACGTGCACTCACAGGGAGTCCATGACTCGTGGGCCATGTTCTTGTTCTCCCAGAGCAGGGTTGCAATCGGAGGCATCTCAGACGGGCCACGGCAAGCCAATCTTGGCTTGCCGTCTCCATCTCGCTGAGATACACCCACTCGGGCTGTTGAAACGGCAACGGTCGGCCAGTGCTGCCACAGGAGGGCCGATATCAGCAGATGATGGCGAGGATGGGATCATGTTGGGCGACGAGGCAGTCGAGGTCGTGTTCGAAGGGGCCGAGAGCCCGTATACCCACATTTCAAGAAACGTCTTGGCTGGAGATCTGGCACAAGTGACAAGGGGAGCAAGGACAGGGGGGCAGGGGGGCAGGGGAAAGGCCTGGGTGGATCACCGCCGCCCGGCAGATCTCGAGTGATCATTGCGAATTCATCTCATCAGAGTCATCACTCTCACCAGCCTCGTTCGCGTTCGATTGTCAGTGGCGTCTGCCTTTGTCGGATACCTGTATGCAGTATGCCGGTGTACCGTATATTACCCGGCGATACCCTCAAGCAGCCTTGAGCCTGTGCGTGTTCATGGCAGCAGCACAGTAGTGGGAGTCTACACGAAGCGAGGGTCTTTGAAGCGAAACGGTATGCCACTGCCATCCCATCATGGGTGTCGAACCTTGCCGCGACCGTCCTCATTCCTGCTCTCCTTCTGTAGGAAATACACATCTCTGCCCGTGCCTGCGAGAAAGGCATCGCTTTCCACAGGCTATTGGTACGGTATATGTCCTCGTCCCACCACCTGCCCGCCGCCGCTTGGCGCGTGTATCATGTGCCCAGCCTACCAGCCTCCCAAAACATGAAGACATACCCTTGCCGGTATCCATCGTTGAGCCTCCATCCCCCTGTCCTTGGTAGCCACGATTAGAAATCGACCGTGTTCCATGGGTGTCTGGAGAGGCAGCTCGACACGATTGGACGCGGTGGGTGGGTTTATGCACTGATGGCAGTTCTCACTTCCCCTGGATTCTGGATGCTGTGTTCCATAGAACCCACCGCCATGACACGGTTGTCGTTGCAAGCCATCTCCATGCGAGCCTGCCCTCTACCGTCGTATCGTGCCCCGAGTCCTGCTCTCAAGAGCCCCCGCCGCTTGGCCGGGCTGGTTAGCCCCATGGACATCTCTGCCAATATATAGCCCGTGTTTCTCGCAAGAGGTCATCTTCTTTCACACAGCTCTGCAGGTCTATTCTCCATTTCAGCTTCCGTCGTTCTCTTCTCTTCCCTTCTCTTCGTTGCTAGCGATCCTGGGGATCTTCTGTTTCCACCATCCTTTTTCTGATCCTTCTTTTGCCTGTCCCTTCTTTTGCAGACCTTGTGCTGGTCACCTTCGACTAATCTTCACCATGCCTTCTTCCTCGTCTATCCTTTCCTTCCTCGGCCTGTTGGCCATGGTCTCGGGACACTCCGTCATATTAAACGTCCAGGGCATCGCAGGAACACCGGCAAGCGTCGGCTTCCAGGGTGAGTCCCAATCATCGTTACCCCCTTCTAACCAGATGCTGACTCTCAACAGTCGATCCCGAGATCGCAAGGAACTGCACTTCCATCAGCCCTTGCCAGCAAGATGCGACCCTCATAAGAGACGCCGAGATCAAGGCCAACGTGGTCAACGAGTGCGGCCGTACCGAGATTAACGGCAACATCGACATTGGCGAGAATACTGAAAATGCCCTCTCAGCCAATGCCGTGACACAGGTCGAGGCTGGAACACAGATGACCGTCACCATTCGTACATAACCCTCCCCCGACGCTTGTTGTGAAAACCCTAGCTGACAGGAAACAGACCAAGTCAATGCGGACGGTGCCGGTCCTTATGCTTGCGACCTGGTCGAGGCTGGAAACAACGGTGTCATCACCCAAAACCTGACGGTTGCGAACAACGTGCCTGGCGTCAATGGCTTCTCCCAGGCCAAGGAACAGGACTTCAATGTCACGGTCACCATGCCCGACACCCTGGCCTGCACCGGCTGTGAGTATTCCCCATCATCGGCACCGTAGTGGACGCCGAGCTGACACGTCTCGCAGCTTCTGCCGGCAATGTATGCACAGTTCGCTGCCGCAACAACGCTCTAGCTGGTCCGTTCGGCGGCTGCTTCCCCGTGCAGCAAGTCGACACCACGGCCAGCAAAAATGTGGCGTCCGCTGTTGACACCAACCTGAGCCTGGAGAAGGTGCAAGCACAAGTTGCCCAGGACAAGCAGGACCTGCCGGCCGCCATCAAGGCGGTCCAGGATGCTGGCACACCCGAAAACCTCTCTGCTGCTGCCGTTGCCAGCAGTGTTCTTGGTCTACAGGTAACGAGCTCTGCGGCTCCTGTGCAGACAGTAAGTCACTTCCTGCCGTCCTCGACTGGTGTGCAGAATCTGGCACTGATTCAGAGAACGTAGGTCGACGTGGTCACCGGAATAGCTGCGGCGGCTGCTACGGCTACTGCTGACGCCAGCAACAACGGCAAGAAAGGCAAAGGCAACGACAAGAACAACCAGCGAAGAGAGGGTACGCAACATCTTGACTCATTTCCTACCCCCACTGATCATGCCTCGGGCGTTCGCCTCTTCGTACTCACCAGTCTCCAACTTTCGAACACTCGCCGACGTGCTACTGAAAGAGTATTGGCTAACTCGGAGTATTCTAGTGGCTTTCTACGCATAAATAGACACTGGAGAAATCCTCCAAGTTCTATCCAAGTTGAAGTGACACTGCTGTCATTGGAGCATCCTGGAGCTGCCGAGCGAGTTGTGTGCATGTTTTCAGGAGTTGAGTAATTACCCGCGGCGTCGGAATAGAGAGCGGCTAGATGGGGAGCCTGCATCATTGTACAAAGCTTTGCCTGTATTTAGGTTCGACGAACAGTTGACTGCATGCGCTCAACGTTTTATGTTGCTCACCAACGGGAACAGTTTGCGCCATCCTGGGCTGTAGTCTTGACGGCTAGTAGCAAGACTTTTTCCATTGTTCCCCTCCGAGAGTGAAGATTTTTGGCTTGGAGATAGGACTGCTTCTGCCTTCTGCCTATTTGGTGGGTGGTATGATGTTGCGAACTCTAGACAGACCCACCACACTATTTCGAAACCTCTGTGTGTCATGAGGTCGCGCTTATGATTGTATGGGTTATAGACGCCCGATGGTGAATCCCCTAGAACGACATATCTTATCAATTTTATTGTGGACATCTCGTATCTCAATTCCTCTTCTTCCACGGTCATCTTTCCATCCCTGTGATCCTTAACGTGCCAGGCTCAATAACAGACCGACGACGTCGTATGATGTATCAAACCTGTCCGGTAACATGAGGGTCTGGGAAGAACACAAGCTCTTGACAGCGCGACGCATCTGTTGCTCTGATAGTCCTCCCATCTACAAGCTCTGATACTCGGTAGCTAGTAACTGTAGACAGTCGTTTCACAGCAACAGTACTTCATATGCACCACTCAGGGGACCCCCCATACAAAAAGGCAGCCTACCTCCAGCAACACAGTCCAGCAGCTCCATATCCCAAAATGTAATGTAATAATGATCACCTCTACATTAGCTGAAATCCAACCGCAAGGCCAGTCTCCAACCCCAGAAAAGCGTGGCACCGATCGAGATGAGGTTCAAGTGTATGCTCATGGCGTGATTGCGGGAGAACGTCCGATTCAACTTCTGCATTTCCATGCTGACCTCCGTCACGTCGTCCGGGTTTCTTGCATCCCTCGTCGCTACCAGGCTGTTAGCACGTCTCTCCGCTTCTGAGCCGTCCCGACATACCTTGGTGAACCCGCTCGATCATGATGTCCCGCGTTCGCGGTCCGTAGACCATCAAGTTCAAGAGCGCCGTGACACCCGCGATGGTGAAGGGGATCCACGCCGCTTTATTCGCCACCAGTGTGAGCGGGCCTTGGGGAGGAACCGTCACTACTGTCAAGAGTAACAGCAACGACTGGACGCGGAAATAGATGGGGAATAGGCGTTTTTGGAGGGTGGTGAAGGCCGACCTGGGCAACGCATCGTAGCAGATCTTCGTTACGATGAAGGTCTGGTAGAGTTGCGTGCCCAGAAGCGCTGAGTAGGAGAGGAGGTGAAGCGGAGCTGTGAGGCTCGCTAGATGCATGGAACGTATGTTGATGACCATGATGCTTTCTTGCAGTGAAGGCTCTGACATGAACATGGTGCCGCTGATGATGGCAATGAGCTTTGACGAAAGAAGAAGGCATGTTTAAGTAGAAAATGCTCCCCAATGAGTCCGACTGTGTTCGGAGGTTGAGAGGTGAGCTGACCGTGGTGCCCCTGAAGCTCCGAGCATCACCGGAGCTTAGATGTGGCGGCGACGACCCGCCCAGAGAATTGATGGCACCACACAACGAGCAGAGGTCGTCAGCAAGCTACAACGTGCGTACAGTCGACACTTATTTTATATTGCGCATATAACCCGGTATCAGCTGACTGCGGCCTAGTCCCAGTGTCGAACGAAAGGTTATCTTCATCTCACTTTCAAGCATTAAGATAGTGTGGGCGAGTGCATATGCCATGCGTCGCAGACAAGGAAGGCATATTGGAAAACATCCCAGTCAATTGATGTTTTCAATCCATCTCGGTGTCACTGCCCAACGTGACATGGAAGAACGACCAGTATCCACGATGCCCTTTGCCCTAAACTGTATAAAATTCGAAACGCCGTGCCGTCCCGCCCAGAGCCTGGTATACCAGTATCACATCCCAGTGACCCCAAGTGCGAACGCGTATCTTCTGCTAGACTATGCCTGCGTGGCGCCAGTGACAGGACAGGCACCAGTGGCACCCTTGACCGCGGGATGTGTGACCACCTTGTCCTTGTGATGTCCGACCTTCGCCTTGGTGACCGGACACTCGGCTCCGTCGGCTTGGCCCTCGGTGCTCGGGTGGTCGGGGGGCAGGACAGTAGTTACGGGCCCGACGACGGGGCAGACCTTGTCGTCCATCTCCTTGCTCTTGGCCTGGTTGACGACGCTCTTGAGGGCAGGGCAGGCTTGGGCGTCAGCGGAGCCGGTCGACTTGGTGGTGGAAGAAGCAGTGCTATCGCTGGGGACGGACGGGTGCTTGGACAGGTTGTGATGGTGGTCTGTCTTGGCACCGACGACGGGACACGTCTGTCCCGGCTTCGAGAGGTCTACCTCGGGGTGTGTAGGCGGCAGGGTGCTGTTGGTGGTTCCCACGACGGGACAGACCTGAGCGGAAGCCATGATTGCTGATGGTGCTGGTTTGTTTGCTGTTCTTGCTGTTCTGCTGGATGATACCGATGTATGCCTGTTGGATAAACGTTGACGACGACGAGGTAGCTTGTTGATGGAGGGGGGTGAGGTAGACAGGGAAGGAGGAGAAAGGGGACAAAGGGCATATATGTCTAGGTACGTATGCCTAACCTTACCTAGGCATCCAGCCAGCCAGCCAACCTCGTAGGCAGCCAGAGTCAGCCCACATGAGCCCAATGGGTAACCTCAAGCTAGCATTCCAAGGTACGGTAGCTATAGAATGATATGGTCTCGACTCCGCCAGGTTGCCTCGTGTACTTGGTGGGCATGATTTGAATCGCATCGAGTCCTATTGGTTGTGGCCGTGGGGATCTAGGTATGCGGGAATCCCAGGGATACCGGGCAGCCAGAGTCAGGTAGCAGCAGCGGTCCAACCTACCTTGGCCTTTACCTACCGCCAACCTCGTACTGCATTGGTAGCATGCAGCTCGACGCTGGCCGAACCCCGTCTTGTTCACTCGGACGGCAAAGCCCTTCAGATGTGAGCGGAAGAGCAACGTCGGCATGACCTCGCCTCTGATGGCAATGCCTGCCCATAATTGTGAGCTTTGAGGACGCCCACCAGCTTGCCTCATGATAATGGGCCATGGCGGGATCGAGGGGCTCTTTCTTGGTGGATCTGACCAAAGCTACCCCTCATCCAAAACCGCTAACTGACATGGGCTTAGTCCTGCCATATCGGAGGTAGGCCACTAGGAGCCTCCGAACTGACCGCGCCAGTCTCAGTTCAGCGGTAAAGCCCGCCTCCACCGCCCGGCAGAAATGCGTCCCCACTAAAATTTTGGGCGCAGAGCTATGCGCCTCTGGCAAGAAATCATCGTGGGTTTCCTTCTCTGCGACGCTAAAGCTCTCGAGGCCGGAACATTGTGCGCTCTTTTTCATTCACGATGGAGTCCAGGATGGAGCAGAAGGTCTTGTAAGATCAACCTCCCGCTAGCCCACATTTCCATATTGTCGCATCAGGTCGCTGACTACCATCATGTAGAGACTCGAGAATTCCTGCCCTCATCCGGAATGGTAAGGACACCCGCGCTGCCAGCTGCTATACTCGACTAACACTCGGAAAGGAATTCAAGAGAAGCGCCGGAGCTTTTTTGTCGTCATTGGAGACAACTCCAAAGACATGATCACCAAGCTGGTGAGGACGTCCCTCCACCCATCGCCCGAGTCTACCGACAGCTGATACCGACCTGCGCAGCACTTCATAGCAACACAGCAGAACCTGAAGCAGAACAAGTCGGTACTATGGGCGTACAAGAGCAAGCTGCTTGGTTTCACTAGGTATATTACTCTCTTCCTGTCTTCTAGATATAGGAATCAGGACTGACTGACGGGCTCGGGCAGTCACCGAAAGAAGCGCGAGAACAAGATCAAGAAGGAGATCAAACGCGGCATCCGTGAGGCCAATACCGATGATGCTTTCGAACTATTCGTCACTCTCAACGACATCAGATATTGTTATTGTGCGTTACCCCCAGGACTCATTTCAGGAGTAGCGATAAGGGAAGCGATTACTGACTTTAGCATTTGCAGACAAGGAGACCGAAAAGGTACCGACCGAAGCCACTCCGAGGCCAGACAACCCGCAGCACGATCGACTAATAACTCGTATAGATATTAGGTCAAACCTTTGGCATGTGTGTTTTACAGGACTTCGAAGCTATCACACCGAACACTCTTGCGCGCACAATCGAGACGGTATGTCGATACCGCCCCCTTCCCTCCCCTCGCCCACATATTCTTGCTAACAAACCGGCCCAGGTGGAAGGTGGTGGCCTAGTGGTCTTGTTGCTAAAGGGTCTTCAAAGTCTCAAGCAGCTCTACACACTTTCTATGGATGTCCACTCGAGATACCGCACCGAAGCCCATGACGACGTTACCGCGCGATTCACCGAGCGCTTCATCTTGTCGCTAGGAAGCTGTGAGAGTTGTCTCGTCATCGATGATGAGTTCAACGTCCTGCCCATTTCCGGCGCCAAGGGGGTAACCGCACTTCCTGCTCCCGATCCAGACAAATCAAAGACCGAGGCCCAGAAGGAGCTAGAAGCTATCAAGGGATCGCTTCAAGATACACGCCCCGTCGGATCGCTCGTCACCCTGGCTCGGACCGTTGATCAAGCAAAGGCGCTGTTGACCTTTGTTGAAGCCATTGCCGAAAAGACTTTGCGGAATACGGTTACCCTTACAGCAGCACGTGGAAGAGGTAAATCAGCCGCCCTCGGAGTTGCAGTGGCAGCTGCTATTGCTCATGGATACTCGAACATCTTCATAACGTAAGTCCTACGACTTGATTCGACCTTGACTGTGTTGCTTTTTTCTCGCAAGAGATTCCGCTCCCATTCCATGTGCGTGTCCCTGCTAACACGCATAAGCTCACCGTCTCCCGAGAACTTGAAGACTCTGTTCGAATTCCTCTTCAAAGGCTTCGATGCTTTAGGGTACTCAGACCATGCCGACTACTCTATCATTCAGTCTACAAATCCCGACTTTAATAAAGCAATCGTCCGTGTCAACGTTCACCGATCCCACCGCCAGACCGTGCAGTATATCCGGCCCCAGGATGCCCACGTCTTGGGCCAAGCTGAACTTCTAGTCATCGATGAAGCAGCAGCAATCCCACTACCTCTGGTGCGAAAGCTGATGGGGCCTTACCTCGTTTTTATGGCCTCGACCATCAATGGCTACGAGGGCACGGGTCGTGCTCTGTCCTTGAAACTCATTAAGTCTATGAGAGAATCATCAAGAGCCGGGGCACCAACCAACGGCACCGAACTTGCTGACCGGTCAACTGGAAGAACTGCCAAAATCCAGGAGGAGAGCCACCAAGGGGGACGCAAGCTAAGAGAGATTACCCTTGCCGAGCCAATCAGATACTCCCAGGGCGATCCTATCGAGCGGTGGCTCAATACTCTTCTGTGTTTAGACGCGACTCTGCCACGCTCCAAGATAAACACGCAGGGTTGTCCGGACCCGTCTCAGTGTCAGCTGCTCAAAGTCAACCGTGACACCTTGTTCTCATTCCAGTACGTCCGTCCAGTTTGCCGTCCTCATTTTCCTCTGTCGCTCGCCAGGACGGCCTATCGAGTGTTCTACACTTTGAGCACTGATTTGCACTACGACCTACCGAAGTCATCTGACAGCAATGTGTGCTAATCGTGACCTTTCAAAGTCCCGTTTCTGAGAAATTCCTTCAACAGATGGTCGCTCTATACGTGGCGAGTCATTGTGAGTATCATCGCTCGTCTAAAGCATGGGCCACACTGGACCACTGACGAAACGAACAGATAAGAATTCACCTGATGATCTACAATTGATGAGTGACGCTCCCGCTCACGAGCTATTCGCCCTTACAGCTCCGATTACTGAAGCTGGCCGGTTGCCGGAACCGCTTTGTGTCATACAAGTTGCCCTGGAAGGTAAGATCAGTCGACAGAGCGTTTTGAACAGTCTGAGCCGCGGCTCGCGACCTGCTGGCGACTTGATTCCGTGGCTGGTCTCGCAACAATTCCAAGATGAAGATTTCGCGTCACTGTCTGGAGCTAGAGTGGTACGCATTGCCACGAATCCAGATTATGCGGGCATGGGTTACGGTTCGAAGGCACTCGAGCTTCTCACCGACTTCTACGAAGGCAGGTTCGCTAGTCTGTCCGAAGATAGCGACCTTGGTGTTGAGGAGACGATGGTCCGAGTCACGGATGCCGAGTTGGCAGATGCTTCTTTGCAAGATGAGATCAAGGTTCGCGACATCAACAAAATGCCGCCACTCTTCGCCAAGCTTTCCGAGGTGCGACCTGCGACTCTCGACTATGTAGGTGTCAGCTATGGGCTAACCCAGCCACTTCACAAATTCTGGAAGAGAGCTGCGTTTGCGCCCGTATATCTGCGACAGACAGCGAACGATTTGACTGGGGAGCATACCTGTGGTGAGTAAAAGCCCAAGCTATCTCGTTTCCTAGTCGCCCGTTGTCCGAGTTGGTGCAGTTTGGGCCATGCTTACACTAGGGCTTTCCTCCGCCTCACCTTAACAACTTATAGAGGACCAGTACTAACCCTAGTGCTGCAGTGATGCTTCGACCGCTCGAGCGAAGCGACGACACGACGTGGCTAGGAGCGTATGCAAACGACTTCCACTCTCGATTCCTCTCGTTGCTGTCATACCAGTTCCGGACGTTCGCGTCCATCATGGCGCTGAGCATCGACGAGTCGGCGAACTCGGGGGCTCGACTTGACCCGTCAACCACGCCTCCGCCGCTCACCAAAGAGGTCTTGGACTCCCTCCTCAGCCCTTTTGATATGAAAAGGCTTGATTCCTACTCCAACAACATGCTCGACTACCATGTTATCCTCGATCTCATACCGGCGCTGGCAAATCTCTATTTCACTGGTCGGATCAGGGGCGATGTCAAGCTCACGGGTGTGCAGCAGGCGATCCTGCTGGCGGTCGGGCTGCAGCGTAAGGATATGGATGCGGTTGCAGAGGAGCTCTCGCTTCCGACGTCTCAGCTCCTGGCCATGTTCATCAAGATCATGAAGAAGATGACGTCGCATTTCGGGTCACTGATCTCCGGGGCTATTGAGGCGACCATGCCCAAGGCGAATGCCATCGGCGTCACTGTCGAGAATGCGAGCGGAGTACACGATGACGAGAAGGTAGACACAAGGTTTGCCCCCCTGGAGACGGCATTGCAGGATGAGTTGGAGGAAGGCGGAGATGAGGCACTGAAAGAACTGCGGCGGAAGCAAAGAGAGTTGATCGACTCTCTGCCATTGGACCAGTAAGGCGCCCGTTACCCCTGATACAGCTCTCGTTTTGCAACGGCGATTCTAATGTCACATTCAGGTACGAGGTAGAGGGCGATGCTCCCGGATGGGTGGATGCGGAGAAGCAGGTGCAGAAGGCCAGCAAGCACGGACAGTCTCGGACGGTTGTGAGCGTCAAATCCAGCAAGTCCAAGAGGAAAGCCGGCGGGGCTACGGCGGCAGAGGTTTATGAAGAAGCATTTGCAGATAAGCCACACAAGAAGGCCAAGAAGTCGAAGAAGAGCCACTGATGAGGTTCTGTGGGTTGTCATATGATTGATATTTGTACATAGATTTGGCATGGGCTGGGTGTTGAGGCGTCATTTCAGGAGATTCCCTGTTGCGACTTTAGCTACTCAGTTGTCCTACTTGTATATTCCTTCTTCCTGTCCCTTGCCCGCTGTAGCCACGTGTGTGACTTGCCCTGAGACTGCTGGACCATCGAGTACATTCAATTGTCGGCTACGTCCAGTGTAAACGGGTGCTACACCCTGTAGGATCATTAGCCCGAGCTAACCTTAACGCCTATGTCCGTTCGGCCTCAGACTGCAGTAGTTGAAGTACAGCATACCCGCTCCGGATTCGTCAGATGGAAGTTCAGAGACGGGTGAAACCATGTCGGTCAAGCGTGTCCATGATGACGCATCCACATCGTGTGACAGTGGAGGTTCCAATTATCAGTGCCGAGACATGGTGGACGAGTGCCGCGCAGCACTAAAGGAGGGGAAAGAGAACCTTGAGGAACAAGGGTTGAACAACCTTGGAAGGGTTAGGCAAGCAGTGGCAAGCAGTGGCAACCTTGGTATACCGACCCGAGACATCTGATACCTTGATGACGATAGTGTTGAGTGATGGAGGAAGGAACTCTATGGCGTCATAGGTAGCCACAGACTGCAGCTGCCGTGATTGCTGAGTAAAAAAAGCAAAACGTTGGAACCCTATCACCATCACTTTTAGATAAGAGGTATCTACCCGCATCTATCTATAACTGCTCGTGCTGCCCACCAAAGCTCAACTTAACCCTCACTTCATAAGTTATATGTCTCGCAACGTCCGCGCCTTTTCAACCATCATCTCCAGACATCTACCCGCCGAAGCAATCACCGCCACCATGCCCGCCGTCCGATCAGCCTACGACCCCAAGGACATGCAGTTCCGCCACCTGGGCCCCACGGGGCTCAAGGTGAGCGTGCTGTCCCTCGGTGGATGGCTCACATACGGAGGCACCCAGAAGGGCGAGATCGTCAAAAAGTGCCTCGAGGCAGCGTGGAGCCACGGCATCAACACCTTCGACACGGCTGAGACGTACGCGTCGGGCGAGTCCGAGGTCGAGATGGGCCAGGCCCTGAAGGAGCTCGACTGGCCGCGTGACGAGTACGTCTTGACCACCAAGATCTTCTTCGGAACCGGTCGCAAGGAGCCCAACACGCGCGGTCTGAGCCGAAAGCACGTCGTCGAGGGCCTGAAGAGTTCTCTTGAGCGTCTGCAGCAGCCCTACGTTGACGTCGTGCTCGCTCACCGCCCGGACTACGCCACGCCCATGAAGGAGATCGTCGAGGGCTTCACCCAGGTCATTCGCAACCTCAACCTCGCCTACTACTGGGGAACCTCGGAGTGGAGTGCCGTCCAGATCCAGGAGGCCACCCAGATCGCCGAGCGGTACAACCTCATTGCACCCGTCGTCGAACAACCTCAGTACAACGCCTTCCACCGTGAGCGCTTCGAGGTCGAGTATGCCCCCATCTTTGACCAGTACAAGTACGGAACCACCATCTGGTCGCCGCTGGCCTCGGGCTTCCTGACGGGCAAGTACAACAACGGCATTCCCGAAGGCTCGCGGTACGCGAACCACAAGGACTTCTTCGAGGGCACCATCAAGCAGCTCGAGAGCGAGGAGGGCAAGGCCAAGATTGAGAAGGTCAAGAAGCTCACCAAGATTGCCGAGCGACTGGGCGGCACCATGGCATCGCTGGCGCTGGCGTGGACCCTCAAGAACCCCAACGTGAGCACAGTCATCCTCGGCGCCACCAAGGTCGAGCAGATCGAGGACAACGTCAAGGCCGTCAAACTGGCGGACAAGATCACGCCCGAGGTCATGGAGGAGATCGAGAAGATTCTCGACAACGCCCCCGCGCAGCCTCCCAAGTTTGGACGTGAGAGATGAGGGTAGAGCAGTGAGTATGCAGATGTGCAGCTCGTGCAGACGAACCCAGTTGTTCCAGCACGGTCTGGGCACGGAGGAAACCTAGTCAATCACAATACGATATGATCAAATTGAAATGGGGGTATCCTTACGTATCCTGATGTGTACTGAACTGCTCAGGCTGTCAGCTCCCACGCGCATGCGACATGCTACAAGAGCACCACGATTCATTGACAGGTCGTCAAGATTGAGGCGCTCTGCGGTCCAGCCCAGTCGCACAGCATGTAAGCATGTAAGATTCTTAAACTGACTACGAAGGGGCTATAATTGGCACCCCACGTGTCAGCAGCCAACATGCAGCCAAGTAAAAGTTCCAACATGCATCCCATCCCGGTGGGTAAGTCTGCGGGTGAGGGTTAAGTCCGAACCACTTACATATATGTGAGGCTTGCGACCGAATGTCCTGGTACGTTACCTTCGAGTGTTCTTGTTACGCCCTGTTGACTGGCGGACTGGGAGAATACGCCTGTCGACACAGCCCTCTCGTTCATGGTGTGTATGGTCTCATCACCCTTCGCGATGGTGAGACTTTCGTCCCTTGGAACGGTACGCCGGCTTTTTCTACTACGATGTCGAGTATAACTCGTCGGTCGACATCTAATTCACTAAAGTAATTTAAGCTAGGCGATGGGGGTTTCTCTGGCTATATGAGCAGTTTCTATGCGTCTGCTTCCACATATGAGGCGGTCGCGGCCGAAAAGTCACAACGTCATACCCCTTGTCAGGAGTGACACGAAGCCTGAATATACTCATTGAGTCTACGGGCGGGTTTGCCTACCACGTCCATAGTACTTGTTATCTTGGCGGAGCAGCATCAAGCGCTGTCTCGAGCACAGAACTCGCAGCAACCAGTGTGCTAACAAGGGCTTCTATTTCGGCCTCGAGGCAGAGCTTATCAGCCGGTTCACGCTTCTTCAACTTCAAACCGCAGGTCGATGGCTAGTAGACTACTCACCGGCTGCCCCATGAATGCTATTGGAGCATGCTCTCGACATGCGCGGACTCCTTCTCAAAGTATACCCGTCCACCTGTGACGTTCCAGTCAGGCTTGAGGCCCATTGACTGCTCAGTTCTGGGGCTTATAAATATCGAACACTTCGAGGCCATATTAACTCGTGTTTTCCAATCTAACTTCCTCCCCCAGGTCTCAGCGACAGCATCCACCCATTGGACAGCATCCACCCAGTGGACAACATCATTCATCGATCACATTGCATCGCTAATCTCGGCTGATCAAGATGCTCATACACGGGTTACAAACCCGGTACGTCGATCGCACCCTCTACATCCTTCTGATATCAAATTGTGTCCTTGGCTGCCTAGCTGTCGTCAGCACGGGGCTTCGGGTAGCATCTCGCAAGCTTTCTCGTGTTGGTCTCAGCTGGGATGACTACTTGGCACTCTGTTCCGTGGTATGTCGGCTTGGAGTTCCTTCGAAATTGGGAATACTAACCCAAGCACTTGAACGGGTAGCCGCAAGCTATAGGACTGCTAGTTATACTGGGCATGTGTCAGTGCCTCTTGTCTTCCACCCACTCAAGCCGCGACACACAACAACTGATCTATAGTAGGGGCTTCGCTCGGCCTAGGCTACGCTTTCATGCATGTATACCTTAACCTTTCGTGGATACTTATGGTTAGTAGACCTACAGATACCGCTTGGACCTGTAACGAACTTGACGAACTTCGGGGCTGACGGAGTCTAGCTGCTAATACCATTCCAACTGCTCTACGCGACATCTCTGGCCACCACCAAGCTGAGCATGCTGTGCTTCTACCTGCGTCTCTTTCGTAACCAAGCCAACAAGCGCCTACGATGGGCAACGAAAGGCGTAATCGTGTTAATCATCGTATGGACTACCGGCAACATCCTACAGGTGCTGCTGATCTGTCGCCCTCTGGCAGCGGCCTTTGAATCGACGGTTGATGGCGTGTGCGGATATCAGAACCTGTCTCTCATATGCATTTCTGCCTTCAGTGTTGTCACAGACTTCATTGTGCTCTTGCTACCATTATCGACAGTATGGGGATTGAAGATGAGCAAGTGGTGAAAGGTCCAGCTGACACTGGTCTTTTCGCTAGGCTTCATGTACGTCTCTATGCTCCTCGGCTGCCCATCACACGAATTCACTACTATGAACTCACCCCCTTTATAGCACGAGCTTCGTCAGTGTCGCCCGCATGGTCCTGATCTCGACCAGACATCTGCTAGAGTTTCACAGGAGTGGCCTAAGCAGAGGCACCGAAGCAATGGTATGGCCCGCTGGCCTGTCGGCCATGGAGACAAATCTAGCGATACTATGTATCAATATGCCGATGCTACGCCCGTTGTGGTCCAAGAACAGAGACAAGATACGCGCTCCCACGACAGGGACAGGTTCTCAAGGCACGATTCTTACAGGCTCTAACTGGTCAAAGATCGCCGAAGAGGGAAGAGAGAAAGTATCGGACGAGCGCTGTCCGTTTCACAGCCCAAAGCGACTTTCCGGACCCTCCGACGAAGAGCAAGCTTGAGGCCGCTTCGCTTCGGCTCCAGTCCGGTAGAGCCAGGCTGTCCGTAGTTCGGTTCCACGTCAAAATATGCCCGGGGTCTCGTTGCTTCTATCAGAAGCATGGATGACTGGAAGTCTTCGGTAATCTATTGATGAGGGCATATGCAGATGTCGTGACGATCCACAGAAAGGTATGATAGCTTGAATTGATGATTTTTGACTGTATAATACCGGTGCTTCGAGGAGATGACAAGAGACAGTATGAGGCCTAACTTGTTTGTCTGGCCACAGTCTCAGGTGCTTCGAAGAGAGGAGTTATCCTACTCCATACAGCCCTCCCTCCAAGGACGCCCACTTCCGACCTCAGACGGTTTTAAACAACCTCGATGCCCTGGGTATGGCTTAAAACTGGCTGATCATGTGTCTATTCTGTGTTTTTGATAGGTGTATTACGGGGTTTGTGACGGTCATTAGTCGACTATTAATTAAATTAATCTAGGGCTAAACATCTCCCCGTATACGTATCTTGCGACAGCTGACTTAGTAGTCGGAGCGCCGGCGCTAACGTTAACGCCGATAATAATCGCCCGATTTATCCGATATTTTGCGTTATATTAACGACGATATTTTTTCGATTTTAATGTTAAATTGTCGCTACGAATTTAAATTATAACGTAATCTTATTCTTTCTTATATATGTAATCCGATTTATAAACTCGTCTTATTTATTATTATAACTTTTAATATCCGGTATTTTGTATAATTTATACAACTTAATAATTTATTACGCAAAATCATCGTATAATTTATTAATTTAAATCTTTTTATATTTTTATATCGTACTGTGTATATTCGCGTCTCATTTCTAGTGTTTTAATTTTAATATCTTTCGTATTTCGTTTAATTTAAATTACGTATATTAGGGGTTTTGTTTTAAATCGGGCGGATTAAAATTTTCTTCTTCTTACATATTTAATATCGAATTTAATACATAGTTTAAATAACTATAAGCTAGTAAACTTACCTTAAAATCTTCATTATCGTTTAATCGTTTTATAAATTATAGTATTAATTAATATGATTATAAAAATGTTTTAAATAATAGTAGTAAAAAAAGAGAAAAACCGGCCGTTTTATACGTAATAAACGAAGTTTTCATTATAATCGGTTAGTTACTTAATGCGAGTAGTTAATAGGCTAAATATATTATTATATGTAGGTTAACTATTTAGCTAGCTAGGTAAAAGCTGCTATTATATATAATAACAGTCTTTTTTTATCTTATTTATTTCATTACAACATAATTAATTAAAGCACCTACTAATACTAGGTTTTTTTAACAACTTATATTAAAATGCCGGGCGTAAGAAAAGACTTAATTACCTTGAATTATAATAATAAAGCTTTAAAGGTTTAAACTAATTAAAAGGGTTTATTTTGAGTATAGCTTTATAATTTTAACGACGTATATAAGTATAAATGTTAGAAAGACTTTAAAGGCTTTAAAGGTTTTAAAAGGCTCGAAACGCTTGAATTTTTTTAAAAAAAAACCGACCATAAAAATACGTTTTTTAACGCTAGTTTGATTTAAGCGTCGAAACGATTATTTTTCCGTGTTTTTTATTACGTTATAACCTTTAAACTTTACAAAGGCTTTCTTATTTATAAAAGCCGTTTGTTTTATTATGACATAGTTAAAATCGAAGGGTTTTTAAAATAAACTAACTATTTATGTGCTTAATTTATACGTTAAAAGATTGAAATACGATAGGTAATAAAAAAAATTCGGTAATAACTTATTGACTTAGCTTTTAAAAGCTTAAAAACGAAATAAGCGGTTATTTTAACTTAACGTTATTTTCGGTTACTCAACGGTACTTATACATAAGGGTTTAAAAAAAGGAGTAATATTTTTAAGCGAGGTATTAAAGTTGTAAAGATCGGGGTTTTTATAAGTACATGCCCGCGGTAAAAAGAAAGTATATTATTTTTAATATTATTACCAAGGGTTAAAAAGTATTAATTAGGCTTAAAAATATGTTAAATATATATAATTCTAAACTTCAACTTTAAAACAGCCGGCTTTTAAATATGTTGGATCTATGTGATTCCACAGTCAAACCATCCATACAGAACCCACATGTATGATTAAATAAGAGATTAGATACCAGATTGTGAGGTCACTTAGCCAGACCTGCAGGTCCAGCTAGACTTCTCAATCCAACTATCAGCAACATCATGACCTTGACCCCATACTCGAGTATTATGATTGATCGTTCAAGCCTGTTCCAACAAAATATATAAATAATTTATTATTTAAAAAGAATTATTACTTATAATAACAACAATATCACAAGATAACTAGTTTAAGTAGCTTAAAAACGAAGTATTTACAGTTTAACTAGTTTTTAAGTAGATTTATTAGTAGTTATTACTAGCTTTTTTTCTTATACTCGATAATATATAAAACGGTAAAAGCTTTGAATATATAAGGTAATAAAACTCCTTAAAAGGTATAAAGTATTAGTATTATTAGTAGCTTTTAAAGCTGCTTTTATTGTAATAAACCTTGTTATATTCTCAGTATATATATATAATATATGTAATATCTTATATACGTTGTTCTATTAAAGTAGCTTCTCAATAAAGCTTTTTTATCATAATTTCGAAGAATAAGTAACGATAATAATTGAAAAATGAAATGTTATAAAGTTTTTTAATTTAGAATTTCTTTTCGTTCATAATATTTTATGGTAATAAGGTAAGGTTAACGTGCTTTAATAACTTAAATTGAAAAAAGTAACGAGGTATTATATATGAAAACGTTAATAATATAATTTCTTTTTCAAAAAATAAATAAAAATTTAATAAACAATTTTATTTTATAGGGTACGGAAACTTAAATATTATTTTAAGTAATAATTACCAGCATAACGAAATAGTGTTATAAGCGATATAGAAAATTAAAAGATTTAATCGATTAAAAGTAAGTCTGATTACTAGGATTTCGTCGTAAAGTTATAAAAGTAGTATGGTTGTACTTATAAAGGTATAGCGAATTTAAGTAATTTTGATATAAATAAAAGTAAAACGAGGTAGCTTTATGAGAAAAATAATATAATAACGGCCTTATTAAAACTTTAGAAGCCCGTTATGATAAAGCTAATAATAACCTTGATCTTCGTCGTATAAAAACTAAAATAGGCTTTTTATAAAGAGGTTAACACGGCGAAAATGCGAGCTTTAAAAGCTACGTTATTATCGTTAATACTGTAAAGCGACGCGACTTAAAGTCGCGTTACGACGTTGTTAATGTTTTTTAAATCGCGTCGATCTAGCCTCGAAGGTATATAACAATATATATAAAGCTTAACTCTACTGTTCTGATCTGCCACACCGCCAGAAGTAGTGGACAAATAGAACGAGAGTGTAACATAATGCCATCTGAGATACTGTGGTACAGGGAGTCACACAATGAATCTGATGTTCGTGTCTCGGATGGGTGCATGACAATTGTATGGCTCTCACTCAAGGCACACAATCGGGGCTTAGGTCGAGCCTGGCCAGCATGCAAACTCCATCAGACGCAAGCAATAAATGACTTGCTCATGAATCTGACACTGGAGTTTTCTTTAAAAAAGAGAACCTGATTCCACAATATAGTGGCTGCATCCCCAGCCTGTCAAACATTGCCAATGTCCGGACCCACACCCTGCCCCCTTTTTGAAGAACCAAGGGGCGATCCTAAGATGGGAAGAATGCAAGTTCCATCTCTTGACTTTTCGGCGTATAGAACACCTGTGTGAAATGAATACTTGTCGATTAATTGCTTTGGGATTATACTGAATGGAAGCGGAGGGAAAATGGGGTCAGCTGTACAGACCGGTTTTCCATATAGGCGTGGACTATCAACCAGTCCTCGAACTCAAACATCCATCTCGCAACACAGCAGGCTGTTGTGGTCACTCACTCATCGCTGACACACTTCCATCCACACCCTCTCCACGGCCGGCTCTTGCACTGTTCCGAAGAACGATTCGCCTCAACCCCAATTCAGCTTGATAATTTCCTTGCCTCCCATCTTTCTCCGCACAAGCCGAAAGTCATCCCTTTCGAAATAATTCACGATGTTTCGCACGTTCTTCCATTCACTCGCTCTCCTGGCCGCGGCCCACTTGAGCTTTGCCATGCCAAAAGATAGTAGTAAAGCAGCAAACGCCAGTGGTGTTGCCAACCAGACGACATATCAGAATAAGTCCGGTAAAATCACTCTCGGAGTCATGCTGGTGTACATGGTTCGTCCGCATCTATTCACCTACAAGAGCACTCATATAAAAGGAAGAGCACACTGACACATTCCTCTGATTAGTTCTACCAGGAGGCCGCCGTATGGCAAGAGAAGCTGCCCGGCACGGGCCTGGGCGACCTCTTTGCCCACAACATCTCGATTCCTGGTCTTTCTCCCCTATTCCCGCAGATCCACTGCACGTTCTCCGGAGAGATCTGCCAGCTCACGACCGGCGAGTCCGAGATCAACGCGGCCGCCACGACAATGGCGCTCATGGTCTCGAACAAGTTCGACCTGACGCAGACGTACTTCCTTCTGGGCGGGATCGCGGGCGTTAACCCGAAGCTCGGCAGCTTGGGCAGTGTTGCCATCGCCCGGTTTGCGGTCCAAGTTGCGCTGCAGTCCGGGATTGACCCCCGCGAGCTGCCGGACGGCTATGACACCGGCTACATTCCCTACGACGTCAACCACACCGACGAGTACCCCGTGAACCTATACGGCACGGAAGTCATGGAAGTCAGCTCTACCGTGCCGCCGGACCGTCATACGAGGCCGCCACGAAGAGGCCGCAGGTCATCCGCTGCGACACGGCCACGAGTGATGCATACTACTCCGGTAAGATTCGCAGCGAGGGTTTCGAGAAGACCACGCGGATCTGGACCAACCAGACCGACATCACCTACTGCATGACGGCGCAGGAGGACAATGCGGTCCTGCAGGTGCTAATGCGGGCCGCGGGATGGGGGCTGGTGGATTACTCACGGAAGATCGTGACGCGGAGCGGTAAGTCCAAATTTCTCGCCACGCTTTGAACCGCATGTCGATATCGTAACTTACCAGAGAGGCTAACCCGTTCAACATAGGATCCAACTTCGACCGCCCACCCCCCAACGTCACGGCCTTCGACCATCTGCTCGGCACCTCGTCTGGCGAATTCCCCATCGCCATCGAGAACATGTTCCTCGTCGGAGTTGAGATCGTCAAAGGTATACTCATAGACTGGGGTCACGCGTTTGAGAAGGGCACCCGACCCGAAAACTACGTCGGTGACATCTTCGGGTCTCTGGGCGGCGAGCCGGATTTCGGGCCCGGGAGCACGTTTGGTGGGGCCGGCGCTTATGCGGATGCGAACGAACATGGCGATGTCGCCATGAAGTTGTTTGCTGCGCGACCAACTACTGGTGGAGGGAAGTAAGAGAGAGGCGCGAGATATTCGACGAATCGAGATGATCTGTAATTGTGTGCTGTACATAGTGATACTGAGGGCGCAAGCATGCAAAGGTACGATTATACATCCAGACGGCGACATGACAGCCATACTCAGACACGGATCTCTCGGTGAACACGCGCCTCGTAGAATGATGGGATCACGCATGTATGTGCTGGGTAGCAATGGAACCACGTAATATCTAGCAACCATGTAGCATGTACACACAGACTGCTACTTGTACACATCAGCGACGGATTTGCTATGTAGGTCACGGTGTGTGTCAATTTCGGGGCAAGCACTCATTTGCGATAATAATGTCAGAAAGACACGAATGAAGATTGTGAGAGAAGTTGGTGAGTTGATTAATACGTATGTATGCCGCTATATGGTGGACATTATGAAGTTCTTAAGCCCTGGCAAAGAATCCTCTGCCAACCATGTCCCTCCTCATTAAGATCTGGCATTGATTCCTCTCGCCCAACATTTTCCATCCTCCTGAACACCGAAGTAAAAGATTGTGGGTATTTCCAACAGCAAAATTCAAAACCAAGAAACAAGTACAACGTTCTGCAATCGGTGTCATGGGCAAAAGCGAGTGGCGACATGGTCTCGTCGCGATGCACTCTGCCGTGCGGGGGTCTGAACAGAAAGCAGCGATGGCCGATACAACGGAGACGACGTCCGGATTAGACGTTGTTGCCGACACTGTGGCCAGTGCCGGCAACCCCGGAGCCAGTGCCGCCGACGTTAGACCCGGGACCCTCGGAGTGCACACCGTTGTTGGCCTGCCTACCGTTGCGGTATTTCTCTGCTGTATGGGCGGGCTGGCGGATGTGCAGGCCCAAGTTGGCAGGGTCGATGTTTCGGTGGCCCCAGATCAGCAGAGCACCAAAAACGGGCTTGGCCATGATATCGAGGACGCCGTAGAAGATGGACTCGGAGTCGGGGTGGATGACGTTGCCGCCCTCGCTCAAGCCCCAGGCGATGGGGTACAAGAACCAGAGGAAGATCAACCAGACGCCGCAGAGGTTGAAAATCTTCTTGGCATCACCACCCAGAGCGTTGGCATGCTTTCTGGCATCGAACAGAAGCTCGTAGGCAATATAGAAGAGAGCAGCCATGCCAAAGGTCCAGAAACCCCACTTGTACCTTGTTTGGGTGAGCGCACCGACGAGGCCAGTTACGATCATGATCTCGTCGGCGAGGAGGACGGCCAAGATGGTAGGCCATGGGAGGGCGGCCGTCAAGAGAAGATCAAGGAGTAGCAACGGCGTAGTTAGAGCCCAGTCAATGTATCGAACGTAGAAGATCTCTCGGGTGCCAGCGGCTGCGACCTGGCGGTTGTACGGACGGACAAACTCGGCCTGGATCGGGGTCTGGCCAAGGTTGGACCCCATGGCGAAGTAGGCTATGCATGCGATAGCGGTGATGCCGGCGGTGATGTAGTGGAATATGCGATGGGATTGCGGCTTCCTGAGGGCTAGAGCCATGAAAACAATGGTGGCGAAGCCCATAACGGCACAGACGGTGTAGTACCAGTCGGAGCCATGGGTGGTGATGGACAAGTCGGGCTGCCGACCAACGACACTGTTAGTCTGGAGTGCGTGGTTGCCTGACATGATGATGGCAGTAGTCTGATAATGTAAACTCGAGGTGTCGGCGCAGTGGCGTTGCGGAGGCAGTTACAGCAGTTAGGTTGTTAAAAGCTTGGGAAAATAAAGTGCTGGGAGTGAAGGGGGGCTCTGGTATTTGAACACAGGCGCAAGCAAGGGAGACGGTGTACCCCCAGGGACAAACGATGACTTCATCTCCCTATCAGGCAAACGACACGGGTGCTAAACCATCATCATGTCGTCCAACTGCAACCTGACACCCACCACTGCATTAGAGGACCCACGAAAGCCCGACCTTGACCGTCCACGCCGAAGTCGCCAGCCAGTAGGTAGTCACTGTTTCATCAGATGAAGGACTGGAAGGCTAGGGCGTAGTGACGAACAAACAAGCTTTTCCCGCTGCTGCAGGCGGGCGAGCCGCGGTGGATCATAGGGCATAGGGGAGAGCAGGATGACTCAACCGGACAGCTGATAGGCTGTCACAAAGGAAGTGGGTGGTCGGTTGTACGTTGGACGTTGGACGTTGGACGTTGGACAGCCAACAGCTGACAACTGACAGCGCGTTACAACCCTCCAGCACTCCGATCGGAGTGCTCGGATCAATCGAGGACATGAGGACATGCTTCCATCATGGTGAGGCGGGGGTTTGAGTTTGGCGCTGGTGAATCATCAACTCGCGAAGTTGGCATAGTCGCCCAGGTCATGATATCATCATGAGCATTTGCTAACCACCGCAGCTCCTCTGTAATGTCGCACGCTCCTCCTGGCTCCTCTAGTTGGCCAGCCCATGCAGCGAGCCGCCTGCTAGCTGTTCTGGCTGTTCACACTACCTACTTTAGTCTGTATTAGTTGCCTTGCGAGCTCTTGAACATTGAAATTGGCAGTTTTGATGGACCTGTATTATGTATAGTGCCAGACCTACCGGCAGTTGTAGCCGTGCGCCTTGCAGATGAGACGATACCCGTTCGTCGATGACCAAAGAATGTCCAGATCGGCGCGGTCCAATAGAGTATGCCGTGGTATCCGGAGCCATCTCCGCCATCTCCGTGGTAAGTTAGCGGCCCCTTGTCCAATAAGTCCAACCTGATTACCTGGAATACTTGGCCGCAACTACCGGCATATTGTCGTCATCGTCTCGCCATTGTGACTGTTGCACGATTAGCGATCCACGCTGCAAGGCCGAGCAACCCGGCCTTTCCATTATCGTGAGAGACGGGAGGCTGCGGGACTCACCCGGATCTGCACCACGGACAACATGAACTCACCCTTCCTCTCCCTTGCTTCTTCGATGTAGGTCGCGTATGAGTGAATCTACGCCAATCTAAAGCCACCTCAATCCTCGCTATTAGGCGCATGAGACATTCTCTGAGCGCAGCCTGGGTAGAGTCAAGCCGTCGGCACCATGGAAGAACATATTCGCAACCCTCACCCGTAAGTGACCCGGCACGCGCACGAGAGTATCATCATGTCTGACAACATGTCGAAGGTACTTATCGGGCAACTTTGCTCCCATCAAGCGCACACGGTTTCTTACCGCGTGCGCACACACCGGCACAATACCTACAGAGCTCGCCGGAGGCCAATATGTGCGGAACGGCGGGAACCCCGTCACCAACGAGGATATGGGCCGGGATGCCCATTGGTTTGATGGCGACGGCATGCTCACTGGCGTGCTGTTCCGGCGCACGGGCGAGAAGGGAAACCAGATTCAGCCCGAGTTCGTGAATCAGTATATCCTCACCGATGTTTTTCTCAACGCCAAGGAGAATCGCAACCTCCGGCGGCCGCTGCTGCCCAGTATTGCAACATTGGTCAGTGCTTCGTTCTTCACTGTTATCCTGGTGGTCATGAGAACGATCGCTTTGGTGGTACTGTCGCGATTGCCGGGTTCCAGGCGCGCAGTCAAGAAGATCAGCGTCGCCAACACCGCCGTTGTCTACCACGATGGCAGGTCTCTGGCAACTTGTGAAAGCGGCCCTCCCATGAGATTCCAGCTGCCTGGCCTTGAGACTGTGGGTTGGTACAATGGACGGAAGGCTGAAAACGAGCATAGCGACGATACTCGTGCAGGCTTTGGCGGCGAAGGCCCCATCGGCTTCATGAAGGAGTGGACGACGGGTCATCCACGCGTCGACCCGGTGACCAAGGAGTTCATATCCATGCATGCCGTCTTCATCACGCCGTACGTCTATTATTCGATTGTGCCGCCCAGCGAAAAGGTGCTGGGGCAGGGAGTCCCAGCCAGACCGAGATTTGACGTGCCCGTCCCTGGTGTGAAGTCCCCAAAGATGATGCATGACTTCGGAGTCTCGGCTCATCACACAATCATTCTCGACCTGCCCTTGTCGTTGAACCCGATGAACAGCATCACGGGGACACCGGTAGTCTCATACGACCCAACCGCGCGATCACGCTTTGGTGTCTTCCCGCGATACAATCCTGAAAAGATTCAGTGGTTCGAGACAAACCCCTGTGTCATTTTCCACACGGCCAACAGCTGGGAGACAACTACACCCGCGCCAGCCACCGAAACATGCGTTCACCTGCTTGCGTGCCGTCTCACGTCGGCCTCGATGGTGTACAGCGCAGGTGCGCTCGCGCCGCCCACGCCGAAGCCGGTGCCCCCAGAATACGTCGAGGAGGAACAATGTCGTCTTTACTACTACAACTTTCCCCTCGTGGCCGACGGCTCTGAGACCGCACCCACGGTACGGAGCCAGTGGGCCCTTTCGGCCATCCCGTTCGAGTTCCCAACGCTGTCGTCGTCACATGCCATGAAAGCAGCTCGCTTCATCTACGGTTGTAGCACTGGGTCGTCATCGTACTACTCGGCAGCACTTGGCAAAGCATCCAAGATTGATTACCTCGCCAAGATAGACGCGACGACGCTCATCGCGCGTGGTACGGCGCATCCGCCACAGGCGATCAAGGGCTGTGTTGATACGCGAAAACTCGACGAGGTGATGCAGAGCCCCGACCCCGACGACCCGATCAAACTCTTCCCCATGCCCGAGGGCTGGTATGCACAGGAGCCACGCTTTGTGGCTCGGGAGCAGGCCGAGTCCGAAGACGACGGTTGGCTGCTCACGTACGTGTTTGACGAATCACAGCTGAACGCCGACGGCGCGTGCGGGGACGAGACGGCCAGCGAGCTCTGGATCATCGACGCGAGGAACATGAAGGACGTGGTGACTAGAGTCAAGCTACCGCAGCGTGTGCCGTACGGACTCCATGGCGCCTGGTTCTCGGAAGGCGACATTGCCGGGCAGAAGGCCTTCGAAAATGTCAGGCGAGTAGCACACAAAGACGAGCTTGACGTGTCAAGCCCGCTGTCGAAAATTAGGGACAGCCTTGAGAGGTTGATTGGATGATGGTGATTTTGACAACATCCCAGCGCATCACTTGGAGTTTTTGGGCGTTTAGGCAATACCCATGCGCGCCGCGCAGACATCTAAGTCGTGGTGATTGGGTTTGATGGCATCCGTTTATACCCTGTACATGTGACCTAGGGAGGTCAGCTCGAAAGAGGCGATAGGTCAGAAGTAATGATAATAGTTATTACCAAGTCAGCATGCTAGCGACCCTTGGATGTTGGTTTCCGGCTACGTGATGACGATAGGGAAACTCAAAGACAGCCCATGATCTCGCCTGTCGTTGTGGAAGAGAGTAGGACGCGGATCAGGCTCCAGTGTGAAGATTGATTAGCCTGTCAGTCTAGCCTCGTGGCGATGGTTGACCGATACTGTTGCGTGGTCACGTGACCCACTTGGGTTGGCATATTGCCCACCTCCAGACCTCAACAACAACAACAACACCAAAACAGCAGATATGCAATCTTTTGGCCTTCTTGCTGTGCAACAGATACATGCAATGAAAACGCGTCTAAGACAGCATGTGCACCGAGGGATCGTTGGCATGATATCGCTTCTGTTATAGATATCGATTCTTGACGCTACCTAGCGGTTGTACCGCAACACGAAGTCGCAGTGAAATGAGCATCGATTGGATGGCTGTTCCTGTTAATCGTGTCTTGAATCATGGCTTATCATCTTCGCAGCCGCTTGGCTGGCTCATGAGCTTCACAATGTCAGCCCTCTAGCATCAGCCCAATCCAGACCACTGGATCAATCACCTACAGTTATGAACGCTAGGGATATGTAACCTCACAATACCTTCAAACCAGGTTACCAATCTAGCCGCTCATCACGTGTGGCGCAGAGGGCTCCCCATCGTGATATGGCCCCTAATGCTATGAAATGCAACATGAGCAAGAAAGTGCTGACCCGCCAGCCCCATCTCCAAGTTTGTGACGAATCCTTGGATATCTGCCTACGTGAACCTCCTTGGTAAGAGCTGGACGGCATTGCGAGGTCCAGTCCTGCAACACCGACCAGGGGCACACCAACGCCAGCATTGACGATGAAAGGCCAGCAAACTTGTGCAAGTGATGCGATCTTGACCAGGAACAAGCCAAACCGAACGGTGAAGATTATCGACTCGCTATGGTTGCTCAAGAAATACTGAGAGAGCATCGCTCGTTGCCCCCATGCTCCAAGGGGCTCTACTGGGGGTGGCATGAGTAGAGGGGTCTGGATATTGGAGGGTGAAGGTGAATGAGCTATTCCCGTGGCAAGGGCTCGATCGGGGGGTGAGTGGACGATGTTGTCCTGGCTGCGGGATAGCGTCATGGCTTGTGGTCGATGACGGGGTTTGCTAGACTTCAAGTATTTCTGGAGGCTGTTTTCCAGGCTTGCTTGGGGTGACTGATTCACATGATCCGAGCTGAAACCACCATCGAAAGTGGCATGGTCCTCGGGCTCCATACTGCCGTACCGCTGCTTCACGGGTTCTGGCTGGGGAGTGCTGGGGGGCATGGGGGAGTCGAGGCTCTGGATTCGACGACCTTGCAATCCTATGGGAGGGCTCGTACTCCTCGGCACCGTACGCAGCCCACCATGATGAGATTCGTGATTCATCACACTGAGCACTTCGGTGGCGCTTGGTCGCTGGGCAGGCTCGAGCGCCAACATCTTCTTCAGTAACTGGTAAAGTTGTGGAGGTAGGTCAGGTCGCTCTCTCCTCTCGTCCTGAAAGCCCTCCCAGTGAGTAATTTCTGCTCGAAGCTGGTCAACGTCCTCCAACTCCTCCTGGGCTATATTGGCGCTGGAATAGGGAAGACGACCGAAACACAAAAAGTACAAAATCATGCCCAAAGAGAAGACGTCGGACTTGGTGGTGAAGTCACCGAAGCGGCCGAGGGCATCCATCTTCAAGACCTCTGGAGCACAATAAGATATAGTCCCCGTTGTGCCTGTCGACTTTCGAACGGCATCACCAGGCTGGACCTCGCCAAAGTCACTGATCAAGCAGGTGAGCTTCCCGTTTTCAAGATGGAGCAGGCAATTACTGGGTTTGAGGTCACGGTGGATGTAGTTGGCGGCATGGAGGTATGCGAGCCCGGAGGTGATGTCTCTGAACAGGGCATATATCTCCTCAAATGGAAGACGGCGCAGAGTGGGAACTGCAGGTGCGTCCTGGGCGTGGTCAGCCGTGTCTTTGGATCGCCGGCGCATGCGTGCCTTGAGCTGCTCCTTCGTCGTCTCCTTGGGCTGTTCGCCGACGATATAGCGTAGGAGGTCGCCGCTGTTGCAATATTGCTGGAGTATGAAGGCGCATGCCACACTGGGGCCAAAACGATGGAGCTTGACGTCCTCGAGCCACACATGCCGATAGGAAACAAGGTTGGGGTGTGTCAGCTTGGCTAGCAGCTCGACCTCTATCAAGACCTTCTCCAGCCAGGCGTGGTCGTCGCCCACAGGGACTCTCTTGCAGGCGAAGTGGCCCAAGGCACAGCGGTCGAGGACATGGCGGACCAGCAGGACGACACCCTTTCCGCCTCGGCCTAGTTCCCCCTCCTCGACGAAGAAGGTCTTGAAGTAGTCCTGATTAAAAGCAGCGCGCCGTATGCGAGCGCCTTCTCGGGGCGCGGGGATGCTCGAGACGAACTCGGCTTCATCGGCGTCTTGCGGCCTAGGGTCGCCGCTTGGCAGAGGTCTCGTCAGCCTCCGGACGGGGCTGGACGGGGCCTGGCGCTGGGCATTGTGTTCATCGTCTGTATCGAGTCCGGCCTGGAGCATCCGAAAGTAGTTGGGGTCTACATAGGACTCATTCTGGGTGGGTATATCGAAGTGGCGCTCGGGTGAAGCAGATCGCGCTCGTAAAGGCTGATGACAGGTGGGGCATTTGGTCAGGTCAATACCCCGGATCTCGAGGCGCTGGGACGTCGGGTCACGGACGACGAGGGCATTGCGGTGCCGTCTGCATCAGATGTCTCGGGGTCAGCTTCCATATCTGTGGTCTGTTTAGCCCTAAGGCGTGACGTACAAGACGATCTCGCGACCCTCCCTCGACGTGTAGGGAATCAGCTCCATTGCTCAACACCTCCTGGGCGATGTAGCAATGATGGGATCCGGGGGTCATGCATGGACTATGTAGAGAGGTCGCAATGGGTGCGAGACCTCAAGATTCGGTTGTTATTGTTGTTGTTTGGGAGGCGGTGGATGGCCGTTGACTGCCCAGACAGCCAGGCAGCCAGGTGGGAGGCAGCATAGAATTGAGTTCACTGGAGGTGGTGTTGACTGTTGATGGAATCGTGACAAGACCGGCGCCAAAGTTGGTGCATTTACGGTACCTACAGTGAGGCCTGTCACCTGTCACCTCACCTGTCACGGCGGGGCGTGGCGGGGCTACAGTCGGGTGGCAGTGGTTGCAGGCGGCGCCACAGGGCTGAACTGTGCCATGGATAGCGCATCTCCACACTGAACCTCATCCTCTTGATTCTTGGGGCCAACCAAGTCAAACGATTTCCTGGTACACTGCCACAGCCTTTCTCCAACACTCGGTGGACTGTTCTTGTTGTCGAATCATTTAAGTACCTACTTGGAATCTGCTTCAACACCGCTTCTTCGACACGATGTCAAGAAGCACTCGATCAGCTATGAGGCATGGTGACGACGAGCTTCATTGGTAACAGAGTCATGAAGAAGATGGTTATGATTGATTAAAAGGGGCGGCGGACGAAGCCAAGTTGATTAAACTACTAAGACAAGTCAAGCACCAATATCATGGTTTGACCAGGAACATGAGTGTCTGAAAGATACAGATGAACAACCGGTATACCCCTTTCCACTATACATGCGATATGTCCATCTCTCCACGACGGCGCAACCAATTATAGGGCAAGCCCACTCTTGCTTGCACCGGGATAGGTATCAACGAGGTGAGTCAGGAGGTCTGTCCCATTCACCGTCAGGTCGTCCCAGCTCGGGCAAGAGAGATCGAGAATGGGATCCACGAGCGCATCGTTGACAAGCTTAAGAGGAGTCGCGAGGGTGGCGAAGAGCGTCGAAAGCGAGTTGGGCGAGAAGGTCTTGACGATCTCAAGAGCGAAGCAGAGGAGGTTGTTCCCTTCCAGGAGGGATGCCGAGTTGACCAGGCCGCCAGAGATATCATCCAAGTTCAAGCCCGCGAAACTGTTCGTCTTGCCCAGGTTGCCACCAATGCTCGCCAGCACGGGGTACTTGGTCAACCAGGTGACGAGGTCCATGTTGAGGTCCACCAGGCCGTAATCGACTTGGAGACGGAACCAGTTTTCGGGGATCTGCTCCCAGCCCTCCTTGTAGACCAGCTCGCCGTCTTCCTCGTACACGCCGTAGAAGCTGGCGAACACCTCCTTGGCTGCGATAAGTTAGCCGATGTCCAGAGTGCCGGGGGTTATACTGCTCACTTATGTTGTTTCCCCGCGGATATTCTGCAGAGTGGTTGCTCAAAATGCGTCCAATGAAGACGTAGCCTGCATTGCGGGCCACCATGCCGGTATACGGGCCATAGTAGAACCAGGGGTTGATGGAGATGCTTTCATTGAACCGCTGGGCGGCCCGGGCACCAATGTCGTCCAGAGTCATGGCTCCGTCGATGCCATCGTAGACTTCCCTGAACAAGGTCATGTTCATGGTCCAACTGTTCCCAGTGACATAGAGATCATCGCGCGTGCCCGACGAGTCACTCTCGATCCAGTTGTGAGCGCCATCGAGACCTCTAGGCGTGCCTGTACTCCGAGTTAATCGACGTGCCGCTGTTGCTCGGGGGTCTTGGACTTACCAAGCAGGCCGAGAAGGTTTCCCAGGATGTTGGAGACCTTCTTGGACTCGCCACCGATGGAGAATCCAGGGTTCAGGGACAGAGGGTCGCCAACGCCCACGGTTCCCATGACTGCGAGAATAGTGACCAGATCGACGCCCATGCCGTACACTGGAAGGTAGGTCAGTCACAACTCGACTCCGACTGCCCCAGGTTGCCACGCACCTGTGTTTACCGCTTCGATCAACTCCAAGGTCTGCGGCGTCGGTCAGTGCATGCTGTGCGCATCATACCAAGCGGGCTACATACTCCGACAACGCCATCGTGTGGAATGTAGCCATGGTTGGCCAGAGCATTCAGACCGGCACAGGGCCCACGCTGGTCACCGTTGTCAAGATCGGGCGCCTGGAAAGCGTGGTCACCGCTGACTGGAAGGGCATCAGCAGGTCTCGTCCCATCTCAGAGTTCCGGGTCACTCGCCGTCGATGGGGCTGGTCATAGGGTCGAAGAGCAGCCTCTTGTTCTTGATCCTCAGCAGGCTCTCGTGCAAGGCTTCCGGCGTAAGGTCGGACGTATCCAGCAGGCCGCGTTGCGCCAGCTTGGCAAAGTTCTCGGCCGTTGGAAAGGAGTGGACCAAGGCGGACAACGGTGCCAACAGCACGGCGCAGAAACCGAACGACTTCATGGTTTGATGATGCAAGCAACGCAGCGTACCAACAAAAGCGGGCAGTAAAGGAGTGACTAGAGAAGCAAAGGCTCGCTCTGGAAACTGACGAATGCGACAAACACCGAAGTCATTCGATATTTCGTAGATGACCTCAGCCGAACTGCCGAACAGTCGCCAATCTCCTGACTCCTGAGTACAGTCCTGCGGAGCAGGTCGGTGGGGACGACCCGATGTCGCGGAAGGCTTCCATTATCTTCCCGGCCAGGGACAGCGAAGAGTGAACGTGGAGACCAAGATGATAGCAACGACTGCCTTGGGGTGTCGGGCTCAGCACTGTCGAAGATCATCTCTCGATCCGCGACCCCTCATCACTCAAAGAGTCAAAGTCTGTTCGCCGAGCATGGGGCTGATGAGGAGTGAGAATCCCGGGTGGACCGCCGGGCAATTTTTGGTAAATGACGGTTGACGTGGAACGGTCCGGGGCCCTTGTGTTAGGGTACAGGGGCAGGGGGGTTTGGCAGCAGTACTATTGTAGTAAAAGAGTATGGATTTCTGCCCGCTCAAAGGTGGAAGACGGAAAGAAGACTACAAAGACACGCAGGACCGGGACTTGCCGCCTACGCACGGTATAGCTCGCTCATCACTCACATCTCCCGAGAGCAGCGGGTCGGGAGTGCCAGCGACTCCCCACATAGCACAGTATGGGACCCAGATATCCACGGAAGCCCACCTCACGATAGCCTCCTCGTCAGCTCGTATACCATGTGCGGAGGTTACCGTGTCCAACTTCATATCGTACGAATCCCGTAGTGGCCTGACCGCTGGGCTTGAAAGGAGTACACTCTCTGTTGGGAATTGTCTCAACGACCCTGGCAGCCTGGACTTGACGAGTTGTCTCCTGATATCCAGAAAGTCAATGTGACAACCCGCTCTCATCTACAGTACAGGCGGCCCTGGATATGTGATGCACGTTGCCAGCCCATCACAATTCTACTTGATGGAACTTCCAGGAAGAATCTGACCTTTTGGTCACAGAAGCCTGCGGGGGCTCTGCCATGCTAGTATGGTCTATAGGCAGGGGCACGGAGATTCCTGAGCCCTCGCAACGTCCCCTATTCCAACATGATTCGTGCTTGCTGGGAAGTCTTGGCGATGGACGTGACGCTGAGATGCTACTATCAAGCTCCATCCCACGTGCGTACAAGGTGGTGAGTGCTGCTATCATGGGTTGTGGGTGCATCAGACCCTTCACGGCGGACCCTGGGGTATAACGCACATGCCTTGAGAATATCATGATTGGCACACAAAATGCCCTTCCCATCGACACTCCAGATTTCTCTCCATTTCCCGACCTCCCCTGACTGGATCCCCTTCCAGTCAAGACAGGCGAATTTCGGCCGAGAGTGGCTTCATCTACGGATACCAACCCGCAATCTGCCCGCTATGCCAAGCACGATCTTCGCGTAGAGCTGCTCTGCATCTGATATATAAGAATAACCCTCTTCTTCTGCCAAATTCTCCTCACGAACCGTCGAGTAGCCGTCCAAGGAGATCACATCGCAGCCATGAAGTTCCTCGCTGGTGTATTGGCATTCGTAGCTGCCCTCGCCGGGCATGCCGCCGCCGGGTCAGTACTGGAGATGTACGAGTCCCAGTATCCCACGTGCGCTGTATGTAACTCTTCGTTCGACCCCTTCTCTGAGACCAACACCCACTGACGTTGAGCCTCAAACAGCTGGCTTGCATGTTGAAGACGGTCCCTTCGTCCGGATGTCTCAATGGCACGGATATCGAACAAGTCACCTGCCTCTGTACCAACGAGGCCCTCCAGGCCGAGATCACTGAGTGTGTTCTGGGAGGCTGTACGATATACGAGGGTCTAAGTAAGTCGAAACGAAGGCCAGGATGCTTATACCGCTCTCGGAAGAACCGCTCTGACATTTGCTGCCACAGTGACCAAGAACACGACTCTGACCATGTGCGGCGCCAAACCCCGCGACGAAAGTCTCACTCCGCTACTCGTCGGTGTCGTTGGCGGCGCCATCGCCCTCCTGGTCTTCATCTTGCGTATGTGCTCGACCCTTCCCTCGGGAGGTCGTGTGCTAGGCTGGGACGACTGGACCATAGCTATCGCCGTGGTCTTGGCTGTGCCGCCCACTGTCTTCTCAGTCTTGTTATCGAACAATGGACTGGGGAAGGACATGTGGACCCTTCCTCTCAAGAACATCGAGAACGTCCTCTTTGTAAGTCTGGCTGAAACGGCCGGCCAATCTTCAGTCACTAACGCCTTCCAGTATTACTATCTTGGAGAGATCTTCTACTTCGCTTCGCTCTCTGTGAACAAGATATCCCTGCTGCTGTTCATCCTCCGGGTGTTCCCCGAGAAGAAGTTCCGCAGAATCGTCTTCATTGTCTGCGGCCTGTGCGTCGGCTACGGAGCGGGCTTCATCTTCGCAACAATCTTCCAATGCAGCCCTGTCGACTACTCGTGGCTGCAGGTCGACAGCACGGTAGCAGGGCATTGCAACAACATCAACCTCCAGGGGTGGATGTCGGCCATTTGCAACATATTACTTGACCTCTTGATCATCGCTCTTCCCTTGAGGAACCTCTATCATCTCCAGATTAATTTCAAGACAAAGATCATGATCATGTTCATGTTTTCTCTGGGTATCTTGTAAGTTGGCACCTTCACCGGTCGATGGAGCGACAGCCTAACCGTACCCAGTGTCACCGTTGTTAGTGTGGTCCGACTACGCTCTCTGATCCTGTTCGCGAGCACCCAGAACCCCACATGTAAGTTCATCTGCCGTCCGCAATCTCTTGTCGCACAAGGGCCGCTGACACCTTTGCCAGGGGACTACAACGAAGCTGCTTGGTGGAGTACAATCGAGCTCCACGTAGGCATCATATGCGCCTGCCTTCCGAGTCTACGCTCACTGTTCGTCAACCTCGGTCTTCGCATTCTCGGTTCCAGCAATGGTCAGTCCAAGGCTACTGGCTACGCGACGGGCACCATGAGTCGGGGCGGAGGAAGTCGCCTTGCTGGTCACCTGGCAAACGAGAAACAGGCACCAGCACAGAGCACCCCAAAGCGTGGCGACGAGAGCGACTTCATCCCGCTGGTCGACGTTCCCGAGACCAAGATACACAGGGAGTTCACCACGGTTATTGAGGAGTCGGACTCGAATGACAGTTTCGATTCCCGGAAGAGCGGGTATCAAGCCCGGGCGTACAGGTGATGGGGCTTGTTGGGAAGGCGTATTGTGTTCGATACTTGATTCTGTGTATTACTAATGAGCATTTGGATCCTTTGCCCGATCGGCGGGCGGGCGGGCTAGGGCCGGGCCGGCTTAAAAAAGTTGAGTGGTCTACCTGGATCTACCTGGTAACTACTTATCTAGGGAACTGGACCGACGGCCTTTTTTTTGTGTCAGTCGCTTCCGCGAGGAAAATATTTAGAGAGGAATACGTTCACTACGACACTACAATCATGAATCATACCTAATTTTGAGCAACTTCGTCGATCGTCAAGTGATTCGCCTCATGGCTTTTGGCCCATTTCTCGTAGGAAAGTGTCAGAAACTGCAACGCTGCGTGTTGCTGAGTCTCACTGTCTAGTTCGGCTTCCCCTGACTCCTGAGCGAAGTCCCTGCTTCCATTGCCAGGGACATACCCCCAATCGCGACTGTCGAGCAACACATGTATGCAGCACACAGTGCCGTAGCGGTGAGGCTGTCTGTCAGTCTGTCCAAGGGACGTGTAGTCTTTTACTGTGTAATACGGTCAGCGGTATACCTACTGTGTAAGTACCGGCGCAAGGGAACCCCATGTAAGCAGCCCCTGTCATAATGGGGTCAATGTAATTGCGATCGGCTGCGCCTTACATTCGCCTGTCTGGTACAGATAGGGTTATTCTCCTTCCCCACGTTCCCAACGTCTTTCCAACCTGGATACACCACAGCGGGCTCTAATATGGCGAGCGATATAGCGTTACAGTTGCTGGCCCAGTCGTCTGGACGGCCCGCGGTGATCGCGGTTGTGGCACAGAGGGTGGACCAGCGTTGTGATTTGCGACCAACGATGTGATAGCTAGTATGGTCTGTCGGTCTCGGTATGCTACATACGACAATCAACAATGCCGGCCCGAGTTCTGTCACTGCTTGATAATACCTTCGAGCTGGATATCCACCTATCAAGACTCATGCGGAAGAGATGTGCCGGGTGGGCTGGCTACCTTGCTATCTCAGCCAATATGACAGAACTGAGAAGACAGGAGGCAGGCGACTACTGTACCTCCAGGGGGACTGCATACTGCTGCCTGCATACATTGGGCGTCCCTTATCTGGCCGCCCCTCTCCCTTGCGGTGAGGAAGCGAGGGAGATAGCTATGAACCAGGTCCCCGGGAAACCAAGGAGGCAAAGGCAAATTCCGCCCTTCGCAGCTTGCTGTGAAGGTGACAAGGGTTCTGGACTGTGGAGGCTGGGCGAAGGGTTTTCAGATGGGGCATTTGTTCGGGCAGTATCTGCAGACTGCAGCCACTATTCCCGGGACCTCCACTGCTGCCCCCGGCCTAACAATCACCTGAGAATGATATGATTTACAGGTGCATATCGCGCGTGTCTGCTGGGATCATGGAATGAAAGGGTGGGTAGTCAGATGGAACACCTCCAGGGGCACATTCGGCGAAGTCACCTTGATAGCGCAACGGCTGTGCCGAGGCCGGCAGTGGTGAGCGTCAACGGCTGTCATTATTGTCCCGGTACTCCGCAAAGGGGGCAATAGGGAGTCGTATGACGGTATGAGACTTGAGAGCGTTGATGAGTGATGGGTCTCGACGACCCTGCCGCCAGCCTTTTTCATTACCAAGAGTGGCAAGCAGCTCCCCAGTCGGTCATTTCGACCCCATCCGGCATCTACTGTTTCGGCAACGATGATGCCGATCTCACCTTCTCCCGGGCCAGTCGTGCAAATCCACCCCAAGGCGGTCACCAGCGCGTCACGGGCAGAACGGGTCCCGGCAGATCAGCGACTCGGACTGGCCGTCAGTCCCTGCACCGGCAACCCTTTTTAACGGCCTCGTCCTGCAGCACCTTGGCACATTGTGTTGCATCCAAACACCATCCAGTTGAAAGACTGCGTCGCTCCTTTTTTACATCTCAGTTTCGTTCAGCTGCTGGTGCGCTGTTCTGTCCCTCCTTACTGAAGTCGACATCATCTTCGACTCGTCCCGTGTCTTCGTTTTCTGCTAGACACTTCCTATCGTTTGTAATATTATTCTAATCATAATGAGGGCTGTTGCGTCCGTCGCTGGCTTTGCGGCCTATGCTGCCGCGTGAGTCACCTCGTGAACCGACATGTGCGAGAGTTTGAACTGACGGTTCTTAGATTTACAACGCCCATTATCTGGGATGAGCCCATGGCCGATCCTCTTGGTCCTCAGTGGACTGCTGCGGCGCCCGAAGTGAACTCGACGTATGAGTATGTCATCGTCGGATCCGGCGCTGGCGGTAGTCCATTGGCCGCGCGACTCGCTCTGGCTGGTCACAGCGTACTGCTCATCGATGCTGGTGAAGACCACCACATGGAGAGGCAGGTGCAGATTCCAGCTCTCAACGGGTTCGCGTCCGAGTACAACCCCATCAGATGGGAGTACTTCGTCGAGCATTACGCGAACGAAACCCAGGCGAACCGTGACAGCAAGATGACCTATCTTACCGCCGATGGCGAATACTACGTTGGACTCTACCCACCAGAGGGTGCCACCAAGCTGGGAATCTACTACCCTCGTACGTCCACGAAGTTGGTTAGTGGTCTGAAACTACGTACTGACAAGCCGCAGGCACTGGCGCTCTGGGCGGATGTACTGAGCACAACGCCCTGGTTACCATCAAGCCCACAGACAAGGACTGGAATGACATAGCAGCCTTGACTGGCGACGATTCGTGGAACGCCAAGAACATGCTATCGTACTGGGAGAAGCTGGAGGCCTGCCGATACCTCCCCAACAGCGTCGTAGGCCACGGATTCACCGGGTGGCTGCAGACTCGGCTCACCCCTGTCATCCTGATCGCCGAGGATCTCAAGGTTGCGTCTCTGGTCGTTGCCGCCGCCACAGCCATGGGCAAAGGTCTCCTTGGAGCTCTCGCTCACACCGTCACCGGCCTGCTCAACATCCTCACCCTTGATGTCAACACCCCGTCCAGCACACGCGACAGCGGCGAGCTGATCTACCAGATCCCCATGTCTGCAACTGAGGACTACGCCCGCTCAGGCCCCCGAGACTTTGTCATCTCCGTCGCCAACGCCACGAACCCCGACGGCTCCAAGAAATACAAGCTGGACATTGCGCTGAACACTCTCGTCACCAAGATCAACTTTGACACGACCGGCGACAAGCCCAAGGCAACCGGTGTGAACTACCTTTACGGCCAGCATATCTACCGCGCCGACCCCCAGGCTAGCAGATCCGAGGATGCCGGTGTCTCTGGTTCCGTGTCCGCCAGCCGCGAGGTCATTGTGTCTGCAGGTTCTTTCAACACGCCTCAGCTGCTGAAGCTTTCTGGCGTTGGCCCTGCTGCCGAACTCCAGTCATTCGACATCCCTGTTGTCAAGGATCTTCCTGGCGTCGGAGGTAACATGCAGGACAGGTACGAGTTTGGCGTTGTCGGACAGTCCACCTCCAAGTTCTCTCTGTTGGAGGAGTGCACCTTCCTCCAGGGCGATGACCCTTGCTACGACAACTGGAAGAACAACATCGGTGACCTGAAGGGTGGCTACACCACCAACGGTATTGCTTTTGGTTGGTTGCAGTAAGTTTTCCCGCTGATTGCCGCCTTTGTGTTTTCAAACGCAGAGCACAGGAACTAACCCGACCTCTTTTCTCACTAGTCACTCTTCCGTTGCTGAGGAGGGCGATGACCCTGACTTGTTCCTGGGTGGTATCCCTGCCTACCTGAACGGCTACAAGCCTGGTTACTCTCTCACCTCTACCGCGACCCTCGACGTGTGGACCTTCCTGACCCTCAAGGCCCACTCCCGCAACAACGCTGGCACCGTCAACATCACCTCCACAAACCCCCGCGACACCCCCAAGATCGTCTTCCATTCGTTTGATGAGGGTGTTGGTGGTGAGAAGGACTTGCAAGCCGTCGTCGAAGGAATGCAGTATGGTATCAAGGCTTGTGAGTAGCATCTCTTTCCGCCCCTATTCCCCTCCCTTGGGTCTCTTCCACCCCCCGTTTTCTGAAGCAATGCTAACTTGAATGTCACAGTCGAGGACGTCATTCCCCTGGATGGTGCCTTCGAGCGTGTCTGGCCTCCTCTCAATGTCTCGACCGAGGCTGAGCTCAAGCAGTTCGCTCGCGATGAGGCTTGGGGCCACCACGCTTCTTGCACCTGCCCTATTGGTACTGATGACGACCCGCTGGCCGTGCTCGACAGCGACCTCAAGGTCCGTGGTATTGATGGTCTCCGCGTTATGGATGCCTCGATCTTCCCCAAGATCCCCGGCATGTACATCGTCACCGCCATCTACATGGCCGCTGAGAAGGCTGCTGATGTCATCATCGCCGAGGCGAAATCGTCGTAAAGACCATGTATCTATCCTTTGGCATACTAGAGTTCCGTTCTTGCCGGTGATCTGGAAGCATAGTTCTTATTAATGTACATATCTGGTATCAAAGCATCGTATAATGTCTCTCCTGCTCCTAGTATTGTGTCCGGACATCCATTGTCTCTTCTGGTATTTGACATGACTCTTGAGAATTCGCATAAGACCAGCGAGAGCAGCCATGCATGAAACTAGCCGTATTGACTTATTCTCCCGCGGGTCAAGGTGAAGCCATGCTGGAGACATGAAAATCCATCCCTGCCATCACCCACAACATGCGGGCTCCTGGGTCCTTCCGCACAGGAGTTGGAAGAAAATTTTCGGATCGGCCCATCCCCTACGTCCACCGCCTGGCCCCTGGCGATCAATCTTACTTGTGAAGATATGATCACGTGCTGGTAAGCAGAGGCTGGGTCTCCCCTGAATCCTTATTTGCATGCCCCTGGCTTCGTGAGCCCACCAGTCACGGCATCATTTCCCCGACCCCAGTCTCTCTTAGGGAGCCACTCTAGGAGACCCCCACAATAGTCGACCCACCTGGGTTACCCACGTAGCCCACGGTCAAACCTCTCCTGCCAGCCCTGCCTCTGTCGCCTCGCCCCATCGAACTATCTCTACATCCCTTGCTAGTACGCTAGAAGCACGCCAGAAAATTGGCGTCTGTCACTGTGCAGTTCTCCATACGGCTGCCATGCTAATTCGGGTAAGACGATAGTGTGATGGATACCGCCGGCAACCCTCGTGGGTTGTCGATAGTGAGAGGAAATTGACACATGTGTTGGGCCTACTCGGCAGATGAGATGATACCGCAACCCGGCGGTGTACCCGGTACGTTACAAGGTGACAGTACTGCGGCAAGGATGAATGAAGATATAAACATTTTCATGGCAGAGGCCAGGCGATCAGGAAGAAGCAGCCAACGTGTGTGACATACAATACCTGCAGGTACCGCATACATACCGGTAGACTACAGCGGCCCGCATCCATCACCATGATATACAACGAGGGAAACACTGCGGATGTACCGCAGGTAGACCTCCTCACATTCCTCTTTGGTAAGTACTGTTCCGTGAGACAATCTGCCATGTCGTTCACCGACTAACAACCACCCAGAATCGAGACATTGTGCTGCCGTAGAAAGCACGCCCCTCCACGCAGAGGCCGACGACCCATCCAATGTCATCACCAAGGCCAAGGCCCGCGTGTTGACGCAGCAGATAGCGCACTTCCTTCGCAGCCGGTACGCCATCGGCAAAAACGGCCCGGGGAAGGACGTGGTCGTGACGCTGTCCACGGGCCAGTCCGGACTTCCGTGTCTGTTCTTCGGGGTCGTAGCAGCGGACGGTGTATACTCGGCTGCGAGCCCAGCTGCCACTGCTGATGAGATCGCCCGCCAGATCGGCGAAGGAGATGCGAAGGTACTTGTCTGCAGCCCTGACGTGCAGGCGCTGGCTGTCGCCGCCGCGGCACTCGCAGGTATGCCCCGCGAGAATATTCTCGTTCTGGAACCGAAGCCAACCATGAGGCTCGCGAACATCGACGCGACTGCGAGCTGCAGCTTTGGCAAGGAGCAACTAGCATGGCGCATTATCACGGACCCCAAAGAGCTGCAGGAATCCCGGATATGCATACTCTACTCATCAGGTACCACGGGGCTGCCAAAGGGGGTCCTGATCTCCCATGCGAACATGGTTGCAGAGGCTTTCTTGCCAGCCTATATCAATCGGCCAATATGGCACGCCTGGGCTGCGGCGGGCAAACCCTTCGAGTCCAGAACCTTGGCGCACCTGCCTACGCCGCACATCTCGGCCGTCCAGGGGTACTTCGTGAACCCTTTCTATGACGGCGGCATCGTGTACTGGATGTCCAAGTTCGACTTTGGGGATTTCCTGAAGTACAACGTCCAGCTCCGGATCACAACCTTCTTCAGCGTACCGAGGATATACCTGGCTCTTGCCAAGCATCCGGTAGTCACGAACCAGTTTGCCTCTCTCCGGATTGCGTACTCTGGCGCTGCGCCTCTGTCTAGGGAGGTCATCGAAAGCACCAAGTTCGGTGGCGACGGTGATGGTAGGACATTGCTCAGCGAGACGTGGGGGGCCAGTGAGACGACTGGAGCAGTGACGCATATGGCTCCCAACAGACGGGACGTATCTGGCAGTGTAGGCGCACTGTTGCCGAACATGACTATGCGGTGCATACTTCTCCTATCTTCCCACAGCCTACTACAGTGCTAACGTAGCCGCAGGCTCGTGGACGAGAACGATAACGACGTCCAGCCAGGCCAGCCTGGCGAGGCACTGCTTCAAGGGCCTGTTATTACACAGGGATATCACAACAACCCCGAGGCCAACATCGTCGGCTTCAAGGATGGCTGGTACCGCACAGGCGATGTCATGCAAATGAAGGGCGACCTATTATACGTCGTCGGCCGAAGAAAGGTACCTACCTTCCCATCAACCCCCCACATCAATGTCAAAAGCAAGCCCTGACAATACCCAGGAAATCATCAAATACCACGGCTACCAGGTGCCACCAGCAGAACTGGAAGCCATCCTCTGTGGTCACCCAGCCATTGCCGATGCAGCCGTCGTCGGCGTACCTGCCGAAGAGACCGAGGTGCCGCGGGCTCTGGTGGCGCTGAAGCCGCACATCCAGCTCGGCGAGGTGACCGAGAGTGAGATTGTGGAATATCTAGGACAGCGAGTCAGTGACCACAAACAGTTACGTGGTGGTGTCGGATTCGTGGAGGCGATTCCGCGGCTTCTGTCTGGGAAGATCTGGCGAGCTAAGTTGCCTGCATTGGCGGGACAGGCTGATAACAGTAGCTAACAATCCCGAGAAACATATGAGACGGTCTTCTCCACTGGGGCAGGGTGGTTCTTCGTTGTGTGAAGGAAGGATGGGTGGTTTTCGAGGTCCCCTTACCTGGTGGCAAGTATATAGCCCGGGCCAGCTGCAGTGACCATGTAATGCCGTATACAAAGTCCGGATTGCCTGAACCATCTGATCTCCGAGAATCATGCATGATAGCACAGCACTTATACAGGGTCGCATGTTACAGTGCCGCTTCTAGCTTGATGAGGTGGTTTCAGGAGTGTACACTGTTGGACCACGGCATCGGCCCTCTCTCCATTCTAGACGATAGATCACCACTCTGAAGATGGAGTCAGAACTTATAACCTCCTTGTAGCTATATGTGATACTTCCGGTAGAGTTTTCGCGTAGTGAAAGTGCGACCTCGGGACAGGAAGCTGACCAATGACTCCGGCAGTGCTGAGCGCAAGGCCGTCACCGATGACCCTATCGCTACCGGAAAGTACGTGCCCATGATGTTAAGCTGACGCGACTGTGGCTCGTTCTTATTATAAGCTCAGTACGGGAAGTCAAGATAGGAATCTTGGCATTACAGGGAGAGCATTGACTGGTGCTGTAGCATCCTGTAGTAGTCTACTCATTTCGACATGCCTCAATAGGGAAGTGAACTCATGCGAGGTGAACAATATTCTATACGTCTCATATTGATACCATGGCTGCTCCAGGCCCCATAAATAACGCCTGAGTCAGGAATAATATGGTCTTGCCCAGGGTACTATATGTTCGGGTCTTTGGGCTTGAGTTATCCCTAGCACTTAGTCCATCCCTCCAGCAAGGGCATCTGCCACCCGCCCCTTGATTCTGGCAACACCTGCATCGCCGCGATCCGCCGCAGCCTCGTAAGCGAGGCGATACGCATGCAGATTCTCGGTGAATAGCATCCTTCTGTCAGTCCAACCCGTCAGCCTACGGATCTTGGCGCTGTCCACCCACTGGCTGAATCCAAGAACCATTTCGAGGCCGGGGTACGATCTCTGCCCTTCGAGCAGAGAGCCCACGCCGCCCGGAAAGCCGAACTCGTCGGACAAGGCCCTGGCGAAGTCTGCCAGGGTCTCGTAGCGGTGCGACGAGATGTTGAAACACTCGCCGGTCACCTCGCTGCGGGTAGCGTGCTCAGCTAGTGCGACGTATGCCTCGGTGCAGTCGTCAACGTGGCACCCGTGAAGGATGGTTTCAAAGTCACCGGGTACATCGACTTTCGTGCGGCCTTGGCCGGCCTTCATGGCCTCGAAGATGACACCGTAGTAGCTGCTGTCGTAGCCGTAGACGTTGGTCGGACGCAGGACCGCCGCATCGAACAGTTCGGGGTGATCAAAGACCTTGAGGCAGCAATATGTTCTCTCCTTCAGGACCGCGGGTGGGTCCAGGGGCGACTCCTCGGTATGCGGTTTGAGGTTGGGGGATCCGTGTACGCCGGTAGTACCGTAGTCCTTGCAGCCGGAGGACATCAGTACGAGCGGCTTGACGTTCGCCCTATGGGCGCAGTCGGCTATTTTCTCGAACAGCTCTAGGAGGTGTCCGTAGTGGGTGTCGAAGGGGACTTGCTCCGTGCACGAGACGACGACGTCGAATACTGGCGTGTTGCGAGCCTCCAATAATTCATCCAGGAAAGCGAGGTCTACTGAGATGGAGCCCACGACAGCGGTGACTTCCTCGGCTTGGAGTGCTTTGCCAGCTTCGGGGCGTCGGACAAGACCGTATACCTTCCACCCGGCGCGGACGAATGCCCGGCAGACTGCAGAGCCGATGTAACCGTTTGCGCCGGTGACGAAGACGGCCTTCTTGGGAGCTCGCGCAGTATCGGGTGTTGCTTGTGCGGGGGGCATGATTGCTGTCTTTGGATACCTTAGGCTACTTACCGGCGAGGCGGCCGGAGGTGTTCGCCTTTATATCCATCAGAACCGGACAGATCATTGCTCCGGGTTGGGTCTGCCAAGACGGGCTCCTCGTCCGACCCGGGCGAGTACATATCGGACCCAGAGATATGCTCGCCGGCCAACTGGCGGACTTCGCCGGCGGACCTCCACAGCCGCCAGACCCGTCCGCCAGCTCTAGGAGTCTAGTCTCATCCCGCTCCACCATGTCTGATTTTCCACGCGATAAGGTTGCTTCACTTTTCCTTAACCGAGGACCCACAAACCATCAAGAGCGCCAGTGATCGAGTTATTTTGTTTTGTGACCACAGGTCATTCAGATATGGTGGGACCAGAGGTCCAGTAACAAGTAAGAATAAACAGTTCCAAGGCCACATCCTCAAGCCTGAAACAGTGACTAGGAATTTGCTGATACAGCCTTCAGCTTCAGCCTGGCTCTCTGCCAGCCACAAGAGCGCCAGTGATACTGCCCCAGGATAGCAAGGCTCTACCCTCCTGTCTAGTTCGACGACTACGAAGCCTGACCGATCGCGCGTGCCGCGTTACCTACGCGTCGTGGTGGGACCTACACTACTATCGCTGCCGCCTGAGATGCTGGAAGCCGTCTTCAGACCACTCGTCCCAGATCCCACCCGCGCGGGCGAATCTCAATTCTTAAGTCGTGACTTCAGAATTCGTCGAAGAGCGCTTCGGAGTCTCTGCCTTACCTCACGGACCTGTCGGGATATAGCACTGCGTCTGCTGTATCATACTGTGGCCCTCGCCAGTGTCGATAACGCCGTACTGCTATTCCGCAACCTCATCGTGCATCCACATCTACGGCCTGCAATACGGAACCTCGCTTGTCTAGAGCCAAAACTTGTGGGGAGGTCAATGGATAATGAACGCGAGTGTTGGAATGCGACCGTGCCCTCATTCGAGGGCCTCACCCTCGACGAGGCGGGACAGCACGTACTCGCCCAGATCGGTATCAAACTAGAGCCACTCCCCGAGATAGAGAAAGGACTGGACGAAGCCCGAGAAGAGGATGTGGAGGATCTGATGCCGGCCCTAAACTGCGCTATCGTCTGCCTTGCAAATCAGCTCGAAGACTTACGGCTGAACCGAAGCAAGATGAACTCATCGTGGCTCGCTAAATTCCTCGACTACAACAAGAACCTCAGCACTCTCCACTACACCACCCGGCATCAAGAGTGGATGCACGACCTCTGCGATTATTGGGACCCGTCAACAATCGATCACTTCAGCATGAACCAAGCCATTCGTGTCGGGAGGCGGCAACTAAAACAGCTATATCTGGGGAGCGTAGCTCTCCCCATTGACGAAGGCTTGAATGAACATGCAAGCGTGGAAACCCTTGTGGTTCTGCCATTTACCCTGTTAGAACGTCTGTCCATCGATCTTCGGTGGCTGATGCCTCCTACCAGAGATAGCGGCGATGGCCGCGATGTTGAGGATGATCTTTCGGGTTTCCCACCGGCATTACTACTCCCGTCGAGCCTCCAAGAGCTGGAATTGACCGAGACTTGGAGCTCTGCTGACCTGGAGCGTTTTAGGGTTGATGTTGTAACGGAAGTGAGATGCACCATGTGGATACAGATGGCACTATACACCTTGCTTACAGGCGATCCAAACCTGTGGCCATCATTAGCCTTTCGGGAAAGGCTACCTCACTTGCGCAAGGTGACTTTCAGTGCCCGTTGGCCCCGCCATGACAAGGAAACCATGTATGCCCGTCTTGAGGACTTAGACGACGTCAACGAACTGCCACCCACGTCGGACGAGGCCATCAAGAGAATCAAGGAGCTATTCATGAGACTGGGAGTGGAATTCGTCTGGAAGTGGCAGGAATTCAACATGCGAGCTATGTAGGACGGCAGTATGGACCCAAAGACGACAATATGTGGTGGGTGCGCCTCACTGTCGACGGAAATGGCCGGTAGGGGTACGAGCTCCGAGGGATTCCCGACGAGGTACAGAGATCTACCTTTAATTCGGGCGTGGCTCCTATGCCGGCTGCGTTTAGAATTCCTACCGATAGAGGGTTGAGGACCGGTCAAGTTCTATACAAACTGCGCAGTGGTTACCATGCTCGCGTATTCGCGGCTCCTTCTGCAAACGATGATCGATCGGTGCTATGTGTGACTAAGTCATTGGGAAAAATGAATAATAAGCCATACTCTGTTCTAGATCTATCTACCATGATATACGAGAAGAAACATGGATAGATTGTACGGCTTTCAACGCTGTTGACACATGTCAACACCTAATGCCACATGCCGCCCGCTATGTTGGGTTGGCTGCACTGGGCCGGCAAGACTTCGGACTCAGCCCCGGGTAACCTTGACAACCTTCGACCAGACCTTCAATCTTCAGCTTTCAACCTCACCACCTGATAGTAATAGTATCACCATTGACCGTCGCGAACACTCCCACATCTGCCAAAGGAGCCCTCATACACTTATCTTCCTGGACCTTATTTCGCGACAGAACCCGCCCACTGCTCCAATGCTCGCACGATGTCTCTCTGGTGGTTCAAACATCAGTTCACTTCACCCCCAACAATCTCGAGCTCGAGGTCAGAGATAGAGTCGCATGCAGCCGCCGCCACACCTTCCTTTGCCCTCTTCCGACATCTGCCCACCGAACTCCGCCTGCAGATCTGGAAGGAGCCCTCATACACTTATCTTCCTGGACCTTATTTCGCGACAGAACCCGCCCACTGCTCCAATGCTCGCACGATGTCTCTCTGGTGGTTCAAACATCAGTTCACTTCACCCCCAACAATCTCGAGCTCGAGGTCAGAGATAGAGTCGCATGCAGCCGCCGCCACACCTTCCTTTGCCCTCTTCCGACATCTGCCCACCGAACTCCGCCTGCAGATCTGGAAGCACTATTTCGACGTCCCTCGCATCCACGTAGTCCATCCCGGGCAGCCGCTAGGGCCCCATTTCACTAGATGGGCCATGACCAACCCTCCCCCGGATTACACTGAGATAGTCGCGCGCACCAACCAGCCGACCACCTCGAAGCAGCAGTTCGCAGCAGTGCTGGTGAGTCGCGAGGCCCTGGAGATATTCACCAAGACTGTCGACCTCGCCCACATGGCCTTCCTCGACTTTGAGACGCGGTCGTTCCAAATCATGTTCGAGAGGAAATTTGGAGATCTCGCACCGCCCTCGAGGATCGCGACCGTGTCCCCGGAGGAGCTGGACGCGATACCAGGCTTCCGGGAGTTCGTCCGCAACCCGGTTGGTAGTGGCACCCAGAGAATGGTGCCCCCGGCTCACATCAACTGGCGCGACGACCTGATCTACCTCACGGGTCCCGAGGGCGAACAGATGCAGATGCTCAAGAGAATCTGCCGCGGCCCGTGGGCGCGCAAGGTCCAGCGCATCGCCTTGCTCATCAACGACCGCACCTACAAGAACGGGGATGTCTTCCACCAGAACAGCCGGTCGTTCCGCAGCCTCCGCATCTTCCTGGAGCGGAAACGGTCCATTCTGAGGCGCTACCTTCAGATCACGGAGGTCATCCTCGTCGTCCGCCTGAGCCAAGAGACCCACCCTAAGCAGAGGGGATTTAAGCGCGATGGATTTGGATTCGTGCCCTTCCAGAAGATGAATGGATACGATGGCGGGGCTTGGGATAACATGAAGGTCACGACTCGCTTCAGAGACGTGACGACGCTGCTACAGGAGGCTTTCCCCCCTCTGGCACAGAAAGGGAGGATACGATGGGTTGTGGACGTTGACTGCATCCAGGCAGAAGGCGATTTCTACTCACGGCATCCGCGATGATGTATATACAACTTGAATGCTACAGAAATAGGCGCGAGGAGCAACCCATTTGGAAGGGGTCAAATAGCCTGCCTGGTCTTCGATTCGCTAGGGTATCTCTGAGAATACATGTCCAACTATGAAACCAACGCCAAACCTCCCATGACGCGCTGATAGAAAGCACAGGTCTCCTCTGCAATGCATCTGGTCAAGTTTCCCAGTGACCCGCCATGTCGCGATCATGCAACAACTGCCACTTGGTGTGCGACGCATCGAGGTGTGCCCTCAAATCCTCGACGTTCTCATATGTCTTTGTCTTGCCGGTCGACTGCAGTAACAAAAGTCAGTACTAACCCAGTCCAAGGATCCTGTTGGGTACGGAGTAGACTCCCGAGTAGGAAAGATGGTGACATACCGTACACACCACACAGCCGAACCGCCCGTCTTCGCAATGCGACTTGCCCAAGAACCGAGGCGTGATCTGGAAGCCCTCCTTCACCATCAGAGCCGCCCTGTCCTGGGTCTGTCTGCCGTTCCAGTCGTACCCACACCTGCACCTCCGACCCTTCGGAGGTATAGACTTCTGCAGGTTGACCTGGTACTTCATGGCCTCAGGACAGAAGGCGCTGAAGATGCTGTTCTTCGGGCCGCCCCGTGGCCCCAGCCCCGATGTAGACGTAGTAGAGGTGCGCGTGGACTGGAGGTGGCCGTCAGGGATCATCTTGGGCGTTGGCGGTGGAGACGGTGGTTCGGACTGGTATGGGGACTTGCTAGAGCTCGCGCGTCGGTGCACCGTCTGGGCATCATCATCGTCGTCGCTGTTGCCGTCTTCGTCATCGTCATCATCGTCATCCTCCTTCTCCGTCTCCTCCTCTTCCGGTGTCGTCGCCGGTGTCTCTGCGATGCCCGAGACGTCGAGCCAGGATCGCTGGCGCGAGCCCGGCAGTTCTCGGGGCACCAGGCGACCGACGGCGACTCGTTGGTACTGCTTCGACAGCGCGGCTAGACATTCTATGCGCACAGCCTCCGAGACGCGTATCAGCTCAGCCAGCTCCAGCGGGGCGTCGTCGGCGTTGACTGCGCTCTGTAAGACGTCGATGCGCTCCTGCAAGCGCTCGAAGTTGGCTTGCAGTGTCTCGCGACAAGCTCCTGTTTCTCTCCGTCAGCCAGCCGTCTCCACGCGCAAACAGACAAATCAAGGGGACCCGTACTATCGCCTATAGCGAAGTCATTGCCGAGAATGTCGACCCCGCCGTCGAATGCCTCGCGGATCTTGGCGGCCGCAACACGCAGCGAGATGCTGGCGGCGCAGAAGCCGCTGTTGGTCACGTTGCCCCGGGTGGCGCGCGTGTACCGGTTCTCCTGCCATTTACGCTGGCGCCAGCCGGTGTAGTATTCGAGCGCGGTGGCGTAAGCGCCCACGAGGGCCGTGACGACGTCGCCGACCGTCTTGATGTCCATAGGTCCATGCAGATTGAACGTGCGCGATCAAATCAGGTCTCGTTGAGCGTTCATGTCGTACACGGATGTACAGTCATCAAGGTGGATGGGACACTCGAAGACTTCGGATTGTAAGGTTGTAGCAGCGGAGGCACCAAGACAGTAAAGACAGTAAGACGGGGTCCAAGACGAACGCCAGACGAACGGCAGACGAGGAGGATTTGAGATAATTTGAGGGTTCGTAGGTATGAGAGGATCAGGGTGGCTTGCAAGGGCTTCCTTCCTGTCGTCCTGATAAGAAACATGTAAGACAGTAAGACAGGTCCGGAACTTTTCCGTCGCTGTGATGTGTGGTCGGGCTTATCGCTGCCGCCGCTTGCTGTGCCTTGTCACCATCATCCTACCCAGACCCTTCGGCCAACCAACATTGGCACGCGTGTGACAGCATCTCCAGAATGGTGCATGAGATGAGATGGCATATCAGTGATGACCTTACCCCGCCGTCACACCGAGGATGTCAGGCTCCAACCAATGATGAGCTGGAGTAGGAATCCTTTCCATACTCTCATCATTTCCAGGGTGTTATTATTAGTTACTACGGCGGGCCATCCGGCTCTCTTGCCTGCAGCATTCCTGCCTGCTGATGCACCCACAGGGGGTCGAGACTCGAGCGTTCCCTTCGCTGTGGAGTACTATAGTCCTGCTCGTCAGTGCTGTGATAGCTTCCCCACGCAGGGCTTGTTCAACTTGGGGAAATTGGGGGAGCTGCCGGTCGTCTCTGTTGTCTCAGACAGCACGGCTTGCACGCACTATCTCAATTGTCCAGCTGGATAGCAACATGGACATGGGCCTCGGGTGGCCTTCCTGTGAGATTGACCACACGTGGACAATTCCATCCGAGCTTCGGCAGGAGCCGGATCAGCCGGATCAGTAACCGCAATGAGACCCGGCGCCGCCGCAGGAGCCGAGGTCCATCGGCGTCCGTCAACTACCTAACCAGCTTGGCGACCGAGATCGATCAGATATCTCTGGACTTGCCCAAATTCTGTCGAAGGGCGTTAAAGAGTCCATCACGAATAGCGATGGGAGTGGCAAGGCAAGAAAGATGATGCCGCTTCAATGTCAGCTCTTGGAGGAGCGGAATCGGTCACATGTCGTTCAATGGAACCATATTCGGGACGGGTTGACGAAGGTAGGGATTATCAATCATCGTCTACGGTATTCACCTGCAGTTCCGATCTGAGGAGACTGTCCCAACTAAGAACAGTCGCTACACCACGAGTAATGTTGAGTGGTGCTCATGTGCGAAGGATATAGAAGGCCACTTTGGGATCGGGACTCGCCCTAGCATAAGGGCGCTGTCACCATGAGTGCTCCAGTTCGACTCTTGAGAGCCAATATCCCATGAGAACCGCCACTGCGCTGCTGTGCTCGCCAACATGGCGTTAGCTCTGTGACTGATAGCTTCGGTGCACGCCACGATACGCACACCCACACCGAAGCGACCCTACTAGATGGACCGAGAGCTGAACGGGGATTCCGGCCTGGGTGCCAACGTTCTGTGCTGAGGGAAAATAGTTCTGCTCCTGGTCAATTTCTACGGGTTGCTCGCATCCCAGGTCTCCTCCACCATGTCTGTGGTCTAGGTAAACCCCGGCCGGTTGGCATCACCGTCAACCATGTGTTCGCCAACCCGAACAAAGCGTAGGACCAGCAGCTCATCTTTCGGATAAAGGGCCGTTCAATATTGTTGGGAAGAGGATTCCTTTGTTGGTATAAAGACTCGTGTCCAACCTCCTCTCCACTTATACCATCTGCACCAATCCCGGCGAGCCTCGAACATGACCACGATTTGGATACCTTGCAGACTACCTGACTTCCGAGTCCATAGCAGCGGTGTTGAAAAGCATCGCTCGTACTTCTAGGCCGAGTCTGGGGTATTGCCTTCTGACGAAGGTCTCATGATATGAGCAGAGTTCCTCGAGACTTGGTCACGCCCGTAACTAATGAAGTCGATCCGCCAGATGGGGGTCAGGGCAGACAGGCCAGTATAGATTGTCAAATATACAGTCCATGAACATGTCTTCCTTGTCGAACTGGAATAGGTGGTGTCATCGTGGCACGTGTGGACGCCGCAGTCCAGCTAGGATCTGGCCTGGCCACCTACAGATATCAGAAACTAGCAGCTTTACGCGGCACCGATGTGCAAACACCGCCTCGACTTAACAGCGAACAACGGGGCCTCCAGAGAGCCGACCAGAGAGCCGACCAGAGATCCTCAGGACAAAGCCTGCCTCGTGGCCAAAGCGGATGACAAGCACATTGTTCGTAAACAGCGCCTTTGTGTACTCGACTATCCGAAGACCTCGACTATGGTATTGTTTCTTAGTCGAGGTCTTTGACACCGACAATCAGGGTTATATTAGGCATGGCCCACGCCTCGTCTTGCCCCTTCTTCCCAGCAAGAAGCTACGATTGTATTCGAATTGGTGAGGCAGGAGCATCATCACAACACCCAGTACTAACAATGCCAAACACCACCATGAACGGCCTAAAGCATCTCAAGCAGGAGATAAGCCTGGAAATGGGCCTCCCACAGCGCTCGAGCACACTGCCGGTAGCTCGACGTGAGGGCTGGGCCCGCGAGAAACCGTACGTCCTAGGCGAGAAACCCTCGCGTAGTATCTCACTGACGACCAAGGTCAAAGGTCGCATCACCAACCTCGCAGTCGAGTGCCACCCCCGGTATAGGGGCAGCGGCGGCTCGAACGGAGCCGAAGCCGAAGCCGAAGCCGAAGCCGACGGCTACGACAGCGACGAGGAGGACCGCAGGAACGGCGTCCCCGTCACCGTCGTCGAGGCCAACCACATTCAAGAGGACAGGCAGGCGGCGCTGAAAAGCAAGATCGAGACGCTGCAGTGCAGGCGCAAGGAGCTCCAGGCGCGCTTCGAGGCGCACAGCGGTAGGTATCTGGCGTATCGTAGGTTATTCCTCTCCAAACGCGGGCCCGTGGGATGGTCCGCCGAGCGGTGGGCCATGTTCCTGGTGCTCGAAGATGACTATTTTGCTCGAAGAGACAGGCTGTGGCAGTTGGAGGAGCGGGTCCAGAAGATCTTCACCCAGTGTATGAGCTTTCAGAACCACGCTGAACTTACTAGCATGCGAAATGGCGGTCACTGGCACCGACAAGGGGCGATGATGGTCTGGTCCATGTCGGATCCTGCTGTGGAGAAAGAGATAGCTGGTGGTGGTGGTGGTATGCCGCTGGTGTACAACGGCATAGATTACAATGCTATAGCTACGTAGGTAACCAGAGCCATTGAGCCTATACAAGTCCCCGGTATCTTGATCCTGTGGTGTGTTCCCTTTTTGAAAGCCATCTTACTGACCTTCGTGACGTGACTAGAACCATCGACTCTACTCAAGGACTCCAGTATCTTGCGCACGCGCTTGATCCAGTGTCGCGTTCCTTTTTAGGCCAGCTTACTGACCTTCTTCGCCGGCTCAAGTTCGACTTCGATACCTGTGGGCGCGCTTCTCTTCTTGGAACCTTCCTTGGTGCCCCTGTGAACCTTTTTGGACTCGGCCACTGTAACATCTTCGGTTTCGCGGTCAGCCGACCGCGTCTTCGGCGCGTAATACTCCCTTCCGATCTTACCGTGCTTTCCGTTCTGTCCGTTCTTTCCGACCACTCCGTTTGCCTCCAGTTGTTCCGCCAGTTCCTCTTCATCCTCTTCGTCCTCGTCTTCTCCGGCTTCCTCGATCTCGGGCTCCTCCCCCAACAAGGTAACTTCCTCGAGGGTTTCGCCGTTCTCGGTGCCGAGTCCCTTCTCGAAGTCAGCCATGGAGATGGCGGGGGCGACTGTGGTGCTGTGCAGCTGGTCCTTCAGGTGCTCGGTTTCGTGGACGTGGTTGGTGACGTGGATGACCTTTGTCTTGATGGTCTCTCTCTCGATGACGGGCTGGATAGTCTCGTGGATATGGCTAGAAAGGTCTGGTCAGCAGCAGCACCCCGGTCTGGGCGTCTCAATGCTCACTGGTGAATGTGCTCCTCCTTCTGAGTAGGCGCAACGTCCCTCGCGTACGTGGTTTCGTCAATATGCTTCTCGTTGTGGATGGATGCAGCCTCTTTCTTGGCGGCCAGCTTGGCGGCATTATTTCGGTGATCGATCTCACGCTCAGCCTCGTTGTCCTGATAGACGTGCTTGGTGGGGACGACCTTGGTGTCCTTGACGGGAACGACGGTGGTGTGGTAGTGGTCTTGGTGTATCTCCTTGTCGACTACGGTCTGGACTTGCTCAACCTCCTGGGGCTTGACCTCCTCGTGGACGACGGCGGCGGCCTGTTCCTTGTGTATAACTGCGGTGTCCTCCTGCATGTCCTCGGTTCTCGTGACCTCAGCGGCACCTGCAGCCTCGACCACGGTGTCTTCCTCCCCGTCTTCCTGGGCGACGATGGTGACAGAGTGGTCAGGATGACCGGTTACGATGTTCTTGACCGAGTTGGCCAGGGTGCCCAAGACACCGGGAGACTGTTCGGAGGCCATGATGGTGATGAGAGGGTGATGAGAGGATGGTGAAAGATGATGGGAGTTGTATGCCTGGGGATGATTGGTGTGAGAGATCAAAGATGATGGGAAAGCTCGCCAATTGTGTTGACTGGAGGTTTTGGGAAAGAAGAGAAGGTGGAGGTGCTGCAAGATGGATGACGACGGGGCTGTAGGTAATTGCTCTTGGTTGCCCGGCTGCCCGGTTGCCTCAGGTACTACTCACATGCACCGACTTATTAGCAGAAGGTAGGTTCTGCATGTCTGTAAATTAGGTACACCCGTGGACCTGGGGATTGCGTTTGCGCCAGCTGCTAATGCTCCGATGTTGACCTCATCCGAGGCTTGGCTGCTTGGCTCACGGTGCTTGTAAGCTGCCCTGGTCCTGTACGTCATCTGCACCTCCCAGAGCTGCAGCATTGGAACCTGGATGGAACCTGGCCTGTAGCCTGTAGGTAGGTGATTCCGGATGATGGTGCAATACCGGTTTTCCATCCCAATGCTACCAGTCAGCCCAGTCTACGACCGACATATCGTGTTTGCTGCATGGTTGTTTCAGATCACCCCTGAATGTGAATAATCCCAGCCCTGACAGAGCCTGGGCTCTGGGTCACCACGCGTTACGTCATTGGCGGCAACCTCCCTGAGACCTTGCTGCAGTCGGGTGTGCACGGGCCTTTCCTAACGCGTCACGGAAAGGTGCGTCTATCTAGATCGGCATCTACCAGGCCTGGGGATCTACTTAGTACTAGTAAATGCGGGGGGTTTTGCAGGACGCCGTCTTTCAACTTTCAACTTTCAAGGGGGAACTCCGAATCAAGAATCAAGTACTTATTAATGTTGGATCATCATTATATTACGACTTTATTTTGGCCATTCTACTTATTACTAGATAATGATCGAGGGACCAGCCTCCGACGCCTCTAGCCAGAGAAGCATCACCGACGAGAGCCGGGCACCCACTTGAACCACTTACCCTCCGTGCTCTTGGCTGGCTCCGGACAGATCGCTGCCCTTGCCTCGCATGCCGAGCAGACAGCAATCCTAGTTTCTGTGCTATCAAGAGGCCCGATGCAGACATGACCATAGGCTTCGGCCGCAGGACACTTAAGCACCGCCTCACCCTCGAGGGGCTCACGGTCGCCGCAAATGACAAAAAGGATCTCGCGTTGACCACACATATTTGAGACTTACCGCTGACTTCCTGGTCTAGAGGTAAGAATGGTGTGGTGCTTTCGATTGTAAGAGCTTGCGAGATGGTCGAGTCTTGATTAGCTTGGCTTGATGGTTCTTGACTGGACTATCTGATGGCGAAGCTGCGATGTTGATGAGTGATGCTGGATATCTTCTCAGATGGTCACCTTGAGTGGAACAATGGTCCTTGTCAATCCAGGATGAAAGAGGCATTGTCTGTGTTCTCTTTGTCCAAAGTGAAAACGTTGAAAGGACTGAAGTTACGAAGCATTGGCATTGTGGTCCTTTTGGGCTCCTCATAGCCTTGTTCTCGTGGCGAACTCCTCCGCTGGCTGGCTGCCTGAAAGTTGCACAATTGACATTGTCTCTTATCTAACAAGGGACTGAACCCTTGATAAACCCGTAACGATAGCTTCATCAGAAAAAGTAGCGATACCTTGCTATTGCTACGCTGGCGAACCGGCAACCGGCCAACTCAAGGGAGAACGATGTAATTCATAATAACGTAGCTGACAAGCGAGTTGACATTACAAGCGAGTTGGCACTCGTCATGAACTCTCCAACTGCCATGTCAAATAACTTCACCACAACGCATTCAGTTCAATTCAATCAATCGGATTCCTCTTCCTCAGAGGTTTCTATCTCTATTGTACAAGTTCGCGCATTATGGCCAGTATTGCCGCAAATGCCACACCGTCGCCCACGCGCTGCCGCCCGCCTTGGACGACGACTACCTTCATCCATTTCCTATTTTGCCAGCTTAGTACCATCCTTTGCAGCCTGAAGATTTACTGCATCTTCAACAAAAAGTACTCCTCTTTTCACTAGACGTTTGTTTTTTGTTCTCTGGCGTTTACTTAGTAGGTGATTGGCCTCTTCTAGTTCGCGAACCCGGGAATCAACCAAAGCGACCTTATGCATAAGACCGTATGTAGCCTTTGAAAACGAGCTCAACGCATTAATTATTGATGTAGGTGAGCTTCCCTGGTGGTTTCTGACTCGGTTTCGGATATAAACCGATTGATTTACCGCTTCATTAATGGTGGTAGGCGTCTTCAAAGTCCAAGTAGTGGGTGGCAGATTGGGGTCTGGCGACGGTGTTCGTATGACAGCGACAGCATCCAGCTTTGAAATGACACTTTCTGGGTCAAAAGGAACAAGCCCAGTGGCACTGAAACCTGCTCGAATGTTTCCTGGCGTCATAGCAGCGTTATGTGCTTCACAAAACGCTGCAAGGAAGTCTTCTTTCGAAACATGGGTTATATGACACCGGATGAGATCCTCAATCATGCGACCGTAAGCTCGTTTGAGCGGGCTAAAACAGCCGACATCTAGAGGCTGGAGCCTGTGTGACAAGTGGGCAGGCATACAAAGGGTGATAATGCCGTTGTTCTGACAATAATCCTCAAAGACCTGGGAATGGTGGCTTTCGTGACCATCTAGGATGAGGAGGCGTTTACCGGCAGTCATACGCGGTCTGGTATACTTATCGAAATGCTGAATCCATTCCAAACCAATCTCATTCGTGGTCCACCCGTTGTCGGACACGGCCACCTTCCAATCGCGTGGTAATATCGTGTCGCGATACCATGACGCGAGGTGGGTTTTGCCCTGTAGAATGATGAACGGCGGGACCACCCAACCATCAGCATTAACAGCAGAGATTGCTGTAGACCATTCCCTGTTGCTTTGCTGAGCTTGTCTAGGCCTGCCACGTCTTTCGGCGCTTGTAACGACCATGCCGGACCCAATAATGCCTATCATAAACCCAGTCTCGTCGAATTTGTAAATATCCGCGTCTTGGATACCATGTTTTGCGACTGCCGCTGCAACTTGGCAAAACCACGCGCGATACGCGTCTGGATCCTTGTTCAAGACCCTTTGGTAGTCTATCTTCCGATGAAAACGCGTCCGGAGGCCTGGTGTACGTTTGATGAAGTTCCGCGTCCAGTTCTTTCCAACGCGTCTAGCCCCACGCGCCGCCAATAATTGATTCGCCATATCTTCAACATAACTGTACCGGGGCGGAAATGCTCTCGCATCCAGGTCGAGAATGAAGGAACAAATGGCATTCTCTTTGGAAACCATAAGTTTCAAAGTATTGGGCATGCTGTCGCGTCGTGATGGCATTCCTTTGACTCTATTGCTCAAAATGGAACGAGGGACGTTGAAGAGTTTCGCAAGCTGAAATATAGGAATATGAGGGTCACGTAGTTTAGCTTGAACAGCTAGCTGCAAGTCTGATTCGTTATAACGCGGTGCCATTGTTGTTGGTGGAGATATGATGGTTTGAATCGTATTGGTTGGAAAGTTCATGACGAGTGCCAACTCGCTTGTAATGTCAACTCGCTTGTCAGCTACGTTAACAAGCAAACATATAAAGTAATGTTGCTGTCAAACAGTCAGCTACTCCTACCAAAGGTTTCCACTTAAGGGAGACTGTCTCCTGAAGGGGCACAAACTTCTACTCCTTCTAAATTCAACATCTTTCCCAGTAGTCTGTGTTTTTACCTAGTCCTTCCATACCCCCTTTTCCGAAAGGAGTCGAGATCCCACGTTAACGCCTGCGGCTCCAAAGCCGTCAACCCCTGGTGCGACTAGGAAAGATACACGGTTCAGCCACAAGAAGAGTTATTCACAGATGTCTTAGCGGTAGATAACTATCGGCATATGATGTCCGTATATAATACGTAGACACTAGGCCGCGGCTTTTTTTCTACTCAAGTATCCTTCCGCGGAGTATAACGGCGTTGTCTAAAGCCTCGGGAAGGGCATGGAGAAATCCTAAAGATATGCTGCTCGTATAAATCGCCCAGTGAAATGATTTTCCAAGAAGGAGATTATCAGCCGTCATATGCAAGCTGCCCCTGAACCTCTACACAGGCTCAACTGTCCACGACCGCCACTATCTATAGCAGCTATATGTGTGGTCCTCAACTGTCCAAGCTCTTTGTGCCGATGTTCGGAGCAGGGTAGCTTCCTATACAGCCCACAATCCTCAACTCGGGGGGTATCTCCTGACTCAACTCAAGGACAGATGACAGCAACCCCTCTCTATATATATCCAGGTCATTCTCAGCCCCATAAAACAGCGGAGCTGCGCATACATCAACTACGTCGGTACTCAGTACTTAGGTAAATTTCACCAACTTGCTTCGCTCTTCGCCCCTCCAACCCTCCTCCACCTTACATCTACCTACATGCGGTCCATGCACCTCTTCTGGACTTATACCTGCCCTCTGCGCCACACTTTGATGCTGTACTTCCCCCCTGCCTTTCGCCTTTGAAGTTGATCTCTGCACCCTCCCAGGGCCTAGCACTGACCCCCCTCGGAGTGTTCGCATGCCCTGCAAACGGAGTTTTATACCCACACCGAAATAAAATCCCGGAGACTAAGCCCGTCTCCCGAACCATCAAGCGAGTCTCTCCCACGATTCATTGTACCACTTCTTGCTTCCAAACAGTTTCTCATCTAAGACTGTTCAACCACCTTAGGTGCAGACAAGCGAGCTTGTGAACTACGGATGATACCACGAACGACTCACTCACTTCACATATCACTGCATCAACACCTACGTCAACAGCTTTGTGCCAGCTCAATACACAAAGGGGCAAGACACAATCTTTTTGTTTGACAAAGCCTCATTCTGCAGGTATCTCGATAACCCTTTCCCCAACGTTGCGCAGACTGTTCACTGATTTGACAACTAGATACTTCGACCAAGTCTCATTAACGTGTCCAACATGTCCAAGGCGTCCAACACGTCCGTCGCAAATACGACATCTTCCACTTGCCTAGCTGCATATTTCTTTCTTGATCGACTCGACCTGGTACCTTGATAGCTCTCTCCCAAAGTTGCACGACTGTTCACTGATTTAACAACTAGAAGTTTGCCCTGACAGGGAGTTGCATACTTCGACCACTCTCAGCGACGTGCCCGACGCGCCCGACGCAAATACCACGTCTTCCATTCGCCTGGCTGCATACCCCCTTCTAGATCTACTGGACCTGCTCCGGCTAATTCTGCGTCGCTAAGATGGAGTCCAATGAATCAGCTCAACTGGTCCCGACCGAGCCTCAGCCCTTCCCATTCATGAAGCTTGCACCCGAGCTCAGAGACATGATCTGGGATGCCGCAATACCTCGCCGAATCATCCTTCCCAAAACCCGGGGATTCATCTATAATCCTCGACCACCTGCCATTTCACATGTCTGCCGTGATTCAAGATACCGGGTACTCAAGTCCGGCGGCCCTCGCTCCTTTGACAGATCGAACAAGCAGGGCAGCACATCTTGGTTCGACTCAAGTCATGATGTCATGTGGTGGGAAGACAATGCCCTGGGTGGTGGAAAAAACATGTTCCTGTGCACACAATACGCCCGGACCTTTCCCCCCACGTTCGAAGCATGGTCGCTGAATTTCCTGTCGTGAGTTATAGTGCTCGTGGGTTCGTGCCCTTTTTGCAACCCGATCCCTATTCCCCCGGTAGCCTAGCCCCACACGTCCTCGGTGCACTTCGATGGGCTCAGGAACACACCACCTCACTCCGCACATTCAACGTGTCCCTTTCTTTGAAGACGAGAAGTGACTATCATGTTTCAGGTCCGAAATGGACGCTGGAGATTGTAGCGTCCCTGTTTGGCATAGACTCGGTTCGGCTTATCGACCTCACCAACGAGAACGATGTCACACGGGCCACACAGATTCTTGAGCGACATAAATCAAGCCTATCTACGGCAAGAGAACTCCGAGCGAGCTGCGGCCTAGTCAACAACGGAACGAACAGCATCTGGGCTGACCTTACTCAACGCGCGAAATATCGGTGGTTGATGGAGGCCTACGAAAAAAGCACAGACGAGGATCAGCCGGCCGTCATCCAAGAACACAACTACAACCAAGATGACCCTTACCAGAATGCCAGAGTTCCGACCCGTCTTTTTGCTCGTCAAAAAGGACGAGGCATTTACTCTTGACAGGAATCGTGGTCTGCGGGTTGTGAACGGGCTTGGACTGGTCTGGAACGAAACGTCATGGGATCGTGTACCGCCTACTTAATACCTCTGTAGGTTCCTCTGTCGGTTCCTCTGAATTTATGGCGTTTGGAGCGAAGATACCCCCTGAGGCCCCTGATTTGGCTGGAGGCGGAGGATACTGCCAAGAGGCACCGCCTGCCTTGTTGGAGTGATGGTATCACTCGCGCGATCTGTTTCTATTGCGCTTTCGAGCTTTTGGAGAGCTCACTGGAGCCACCAGGGCTATTGGAGCGGCAGAAGGATATTGCCAGGTACTGCCAGGGCCCTGGCTCACCGCTTGCTTAGTTTGAGTGATGCTATCACTCACGCAACCTGTTTTTTTGGGCTGTATGAATATGAATATTCCGCACGACGAATTCTGACATGGTTGCATCTGTCGGTTCTGCTATGGGTACCATGGTGGAGAGGTCCCCTTAAGCGTGTCGAGTACTCTCACCTATCGAGATCTATGGTTTACTCGCTAATTGCTGGCTGCTCGTGCTGACTCCTCGTAGTAGTTTCAAACCAGGAAAGAGGTAGACACATCTGTTGGCCTGGAAGGTAGTTCACGCCATAGTGTGGAAAGTCAGGGTTCAGTGTTGGCAGATGATGGTGAATTGTATACGTAAATCAGCCCTTGGGTCAGGGGCTGACGTCTACCACTAAATACACACTCAAACACAAGAGCAGGTCCATCCTTTGATCTGCTAGGCAAAGCCCTTTTCATATCCGTACACCGAAGGACGGAGCCTTCATAAATCTCCGTGCCCCCAGGTTGGGAGGGTCCCATACCACACGTGCAAAATTGGAAATATTGGAATAAGCATAAAGGAATACGCAGTTTTGGTTCGATATGCCACTTTCAATGCTTATTTCATTGAGCTTATTCCGATTCGATGAATAAACCGTTGTCTGCTGGACGGGTGGTACGGAGACTTATGAGGGTTCAGTGTATGTACGATACACCATGCATGGTCGTGCCGCATGTATACTTGGATGACCATGTCTCTGGCTGATCTCACGTGGGAATTCTATATGGCATGGAACGGATCCCGGCTTATGGCCGACAGCCCATCAAGAACATGTATATCGGATTAGGCCATGGAGTTCGGAATCGGTGGTAAACGCTGGAGGGCGGCTCAGACCGATAGATTCATGCAGGTGTCCTTATCTGCGTTCCAGATCCGTCAGTCATCATCAAGCACCCGCCCCTATGGGTTGGGCCAAGAGTCTGGGGTGTTCCCAAGGTTGCAGAGGTACCCCAGATTGCGGCCTCGTGGTCATCGAGTCATATAGACTATCTGCTTGTCGGGTTGCCAATAAATATTCGTTCATCCAATATCTGTGGCCTGCAATCTCGACTGGAGCTCCTGACTGGCGGTGCGTTGCCCCCTATATCGATAATCTATTTACCCGTCGCGACTTTACCCGCTCGGCAGCCGAGTCGCCGCATTCAAGCTGGTATATTGTGCGAGAACCATCGAGTACGATTGTCCAATAATGTAAATGATAAACTACGGCTCAGCCATGCATACCCAAGGATGATATAGAAAAGTATATAAGAGACAGGTAGCGTCGATCCGCCTCCGAAGCTTGGTCTCGTCGAGATTCGCTGCGCCCTCAAACTCCTATCAGTGTCCAGAAACCCGCCAACTGCTATCTCAATCACCAGAGTAGGACAGAATGAAGGTCGTTGCCAGTCTTCTCGCGCTCGCTGCGGCAGTGCAGGCTCACTGTAAGAGGAGTATCATCTCGTGCTTGTCAGGTAGTATACTGACATGATAACCACAGACACGTTCCCAGCCCTTGTTGCAAATGGTGCAGCGTCCAGCGACTGGGAGTACGTGAGAAAGATCACAAACTACCAGAGCAATGGTCCAGGTGCGTACCCAACTCCCACCAACAGCAAGGCCTCCCAACTGACCACACAATACGAACAGTCACGGACGTCAGCTCCGAGCAGATCCGCTACTAACAGCTCGCCCCCGGCAACGAAGGCGCAAAGACCATATCCGTAGCCGCCGGCTCAACCGTCGGCTTCAAGTCCAGCTCAACCGTCTCGCACCCGGGCGTCCTGCAATTCTACATGGCCAAGGTCCCCTCAGGCCAGACCGCGGCCTCCTGGGACGGCTCTGGCGCCGTCTGGTTCAAGATCTTCTCGCAGGGCCCCAACATCGCGCCCAGCGGCCTGACGTGGCCGAGCTAGGGCGCCAGCCAGGTCTCCACCACGATCCCGTCGTGCATCCCGTCCGGCGACTACCTCATCCGCGTCGAGCACATCGCGCTGCACAGCGCGAGTGTTGCCGGCGGCGCTCAGAGCTACATCTCGTGTGCCCAGTTGACGGTCACGGGCGGTGGCAGCAAGACGCCGACGGGGCTTGTGGCTTTCCCCGGGGCGTACAAGGCGACGGACCCGGGCTTGATGATCAATATCTACTACCCCGTCCCGACATCATACACCGCCCCTGGACCGGCAGTCTTCACATGCTAGAGCAGAGCAGGCGCATAGGGAGCTGCCACTCGGCAGGCAAAGGCGTATATTCACAGACGACACATCGACAACTAACTAGGTCCACACGCGATTTCATCCTTTCTGTCCCTGTTCTTGGCGTAGACGGCTGGCCAGGTTGACTACCGTGACCCCATAGAGGGTATATTGAACCATCCTAGAGTGACCACCAAGCTGAACCATTCCACCACCAGCTTTCTTTCCCCTAGCACCTATGCTTCAGGACGTGGTAGCATCAAACTGCACAGCAGTCGACGGATTTCCAGCCTCATCCTCGTCCTGCTGAATGTTGGTAGCGAGCTTCCCCTGCTCCGTAGCCAGCTCATCGGCGGTATCCTTCCCCTGCGCCTGGTCGATCGACAGGCGAAGTACGCTAGCTGTGAGCTTGAGGACCTTGTTCTTTATCTTGCCGCGCTGGAGGGCATCGGCCGCATCGCCAGTCGCCGCGGCGACGGCCCCGTTGAAGACGTCATCCTCGGCGCCGTTGCAGATCTGGTTGACCGAGTCGAGAAATGCGATATCGTCCTGGTCGGCGCCGGCCAGGTCGTTCTGGTCCAGTGCGCTGAAGACGGCCTCGGCCTCGGCCTGGGCGTTTCCTGCCGTTCCGCCGGATATTTGGACGGCGTTGTAGGTCGTTTGGGTGAAGACACCTGCCTGGGTGGAGGCTGCCGAGGCAAGAAGAAGAGCAAGCGTGAAGCGCATCTTGGAAGATAGTTGAAGGGGCGTGTGAAGAATGGTAGTGATTTTCGGTTGGTCGTCAATGACAAGAATTGAAGACAGGACGGACTAGAGCAAGTGATGGTAAGAAGCGAAGGACAGCACAGCTGTGAGTGGTTGAACCGAAAAGAAAGAGAGAAACCTGGCTGTTGGTGATGGCTGAGATGGGATGGTGAGATAGGAGAATTCGAGGATAGACAGGCGGGAAGTCGACGATCTTATGTGATCTGATCTTCATATGAGCTGCCAATCAACTTACCAATGCCATGGTTTTCATAACCGCCCATCGACTGGTTGACCCGGTCGTGAAGGCTTCACGATCATGATGGCCCTGTCTCGTCTCAGCTAGGCGCAGGTCTGATGTGGAACGCGGAGTGATTGAAGAAGTCTTGGCTGAAACTTCCATGTCCTTTTCTCTCCTTCTGCTACGCATTTGCATCGCGCCAAGTCGACGAACAGACTCGACAGACATGAAAATACCGTACCAATCGCAGATCTGGAAGTTGCCTCATTGGCGGAATATCATCCTGCAGCGCCTGACTCTTGAGCCTCCATCTCTGTCGAAACCAGTCTGGAGAAGACCCCTTCAATCAAGCTTGCAGACCGAGAAGATGGACCTTTGCTTCCGGCTATCTATCTCTCGAGACAAAAATCAATGAGATCGCTGACGGAGGTAGGTACGATTCTAGTACGCCCATTCGGTATTCACGAGAAGATGTTGGAGTCGTCTAAAGTCGCAGTGAAGGTCAGCCACCGCGGCTAAGATAGATCGGACGGACATGTCCACTTTTGCTGTCGCAAGCGAACCACTTCGCATCTCCGCGCTGAAAGGCACGATCAAGCGTTCGGCGGGCCTCAAAGTTCAGGAGTCTGACAGCGTTACGATCCAAACGAGCTGGGGTGCCTAGCTCCATGAACGACCAGCGTGGGACCTTCTTTCGTGGGTATTCTACATTCGCAACAATGGCAACGTATGGGGCACGATGGCGGCTGGACAGAGCAAAAGGAGGCACACGAGGAACATATGGTTTTACCGGCCATTGCTGGATGGCTTGCAATGGGTTGGGGTGGCGGACCATATAATTCCGCCCGCCCACAGAGACACCGACACATGAAGCTATTCGGAACCCATATGTGTAGTTACTAACGTTAGCTACAGGACCAAGCCCACGAACCTTGATCCAGACAACTCAGCAGACAGACAGCACCTCACCAAAACCTCGAAACCCACGCCGAGAACCCCCAACCCCACGCGCGCGACGGCCGTCCCGGCTTCTCATCCCCGCCCTCAACCGGATCATCAAGAAACACCCTAACCGTCTTCCCGGGCTCGTCCTCCGGCCAAAAGTCCATACTAACCGCACTACCAGCCGACGACGCCGCATCCGCATCATCAGTATCGCAGTCGCAGTCCCAGATGACCTCCTTTGGTGTTGCCCGCGCCTCAGCTCCTTCTTCACCTTCACCTTCACCTTCAAAAGCCCCATATTCAAACCCAAGCCAGAGCCCAGGCCGACCGCTCTCGTCGCCGCCAAACGGCACAAACACATCCTCCCCAAACGAATCGCCCGCGCACAGCTGCTCCTGCCCCAGTTCCTGCTTGCCGCCTAGCTCGGCCGCGTGCCCGCACGGGACGATGACCTCGCGGCTGAAGCGGCAGCACGTGTGCAGCGCACACTTGACGCCGCCACCCGCGGACTCTCCGCGAAATACGCGCCTGCACTTGTGGGATTCCCGCTCCGAGGCGTGTAGGCTGAGGAGGTCGTAGTGGTAGCACTCGTGGATGTTCTGGTAAAAGCACATCGTTCGTTGCCTTTGTTCTGGTGCTTTGACTGCGAAGTATATGGGTCTGTGATATGTACTTGACACGTAGAAGTATAATTCATATAATGATGATGTGGACGTATAGGTGTAAACTCTCTTGGGCTTCTCGCCTGCTGATGGGGCCTTGAGGTAAGATATATGCGATGTGCCCTGCGACCAGGCGATGTGGGAGTGAACATGGATGATGTAATGAAAAAGGCCAGAAAGGCACAACAAAGCCACAGATAAAAAGATTGTTCTTCCAGAGATGACATAGACACGCACTTGGTCAGTGAAAGAACAAAGCATATCATGGGCTGGCGTATCAAAGATTGCAGCACGGTGGAAGCTTTGAACATGACCTTGTGTGAGTCGAAAAAACGGCCATCCTCGCAGACTGATTCATAGCCGTACACTCCTCACTCAACAAAAGCATCGATTAGGTAGCTACTGCTACCTCCTGTTTAGACCTACAGTTTGTGCCCCACTAGAAACCTAAACTCCTCGCGACTTCTGTCCATGCCTTTCCTTTTGCCATACTCTCTAATCATCGTCGGTGTACCGGGGTCCTGCAGCCGGAGTGTCCGCATTGTAGGCACCCGGGGTCGGCGCACCGTAGTAGCCACTGGATGAAGCAAACCCACTAGCCGCAGGTGTCGGTGCAGCGGCAGCTGGTGTCGGTGCCGAATCAGCACCCCATCCTCCTTGCCAACCTCCGCCAGGCGTAGGAGCATTCATGGCTCCTGGTGTAGGCGCATTGTAGGCACCAGGAGTCGGAGCGTTTAGAGCGCCTGGCGTAGGGGCACCTAATAAGCCAGCACCGGGCGTGGGCGCATCATAGGCGGTCGATGATCCGCTCGCACCGGGCGTATAACCCCACGTGTCAGTGCCGCTTGCTCCTGGAGTAGCTGCAGAGGCACCATATGGCGTCTTCGATCCCCACGCATCACCGCTGCTGCCAGCATAAGCGGGAGTCTTGGAACCGAAATGATCTGAAGCGGGAGTCTTGGCGCCCGAGGACCAAGCAGGAGTCCGACTGCCAGACCCGTAGGCAGTCCTGCTTCCATCGTAAGGATTGGCCGTTCTCGAGCCGTCGGCCCATGCAGGTGTTCGCCCGCCGTCACCCTTGCTCCATGCAGGCGTTCGTCCTCCAGCGGCCCCAGACGGTGTCTTCCAGGCTGGTGTTCTCGACGAAGCGGCGCCGATCGGGGTGCGGCTTCCACCATTCCAGTCGGGTACTCTTCCTGGAGTTCCGTTGAATCCACCAGGACGTCGACTGTCATAGTTCTTGATCTCGCGACCGCTAACGCTGTCTCTGACCATGATGTCCACTTTTGGGACGCTGACGATCTTGCTCTTCGTGTGCAGTTCTATACGAGCATGTGTATCCGTGGTATCCTTGACGCGACCCAGCAGACCCTTCCATCCACCTTTCCGGATCGTCACCGTCTGACCCAGAAGCTTGTCTCTTCCGAAAGTAGCCTTTGGAGGTGGCATATCATTCTTGCCACCAGGGTTCATCTTCAGGGCCGGGTTCATGGTGGTCAAGTCAGGACCAGAGATCGACGAGACCACGCGACCACCTTTGGCCGAGATGGTGGACACGCTGCTGACCTTGGACACGAAGATACCCGCGTTCTCGGTTGTGGCATTGGTGTGACAGAACACATAGCTGCGGTGGATGTGAATGATCTTGCCTTGTCGACCCATGCCGCCGTACTCCTTGACCACATCATCCGGTCTGATTTCCGATCCGTTGCGGTCAGCAGCGACAGCAAGTTTTCGCCTAGGCAGCTTGTTGGCAATTTGTGACGGCATCACCTGTCTTGCATCTCCGTTCTGGTCGAGGATGACCAACGATTCGCGGTCCACTTTCACAATACAACCGACCGTAGTAGGGTCCAGCTGAACTAGATCAAGGAGCGAATACTGACCCAGTGACCCCTGGCCACCTGCGTCACTGGCTTCTCTGAGGTCCTTGCTGAAGACGGTGATTTCCGTCGTGGTTTGGTCGGTCAGGAGCGTCACGCGGTCCTCGGAAATCTTGACAACCATACCAAGTTCGTCGCGATATCGACTGCCTCCTATAACCTTGACGTGGTCACCGGTTCGGAACCGTTTCCGTAAGCCCTTGGTGGGAACCTCAATATTTCGCCCAGCAAGGGCGCCCTCTGTGACCTCGAGCGTGACAATGTCTGCTTGCACGTTGGTAGCCCTACCAATGACACCTCTCTGCTCACCCTCGTAGACTTCGACGATATCGCCGGGGAGATAGGTGACATTTGCACTGCTGTCTTTGAGACTGGCCGCAAGAGATTTGAGGTCAATGTTCTCGACGCCATCCTCGCCACCAGACGTGAACTTCGTAACCTCCTCTAAGCTCGGATTGACATCCTTGACAACCAAATGTTGGATTTTGATGTCCTTCACCTGAAAGCCCTTCTCGAACTCGTCACCGTTGTAGTTCCAGTTGTTGGTCTGCGGGTTACCGGTGAGGTTGCGCGGGTGTCGCTTGCGGGCCTCGACTTCGCTGAACAGCTTCTGGGGAGGGCGTGGGCCACCTACTGGGCGCTTTCGCTTGCCATCGGGTCCGGTGGACAGAACATCGTCTCGCAGCCCGTAGTCGAGTCGGGGAATGAATCGAACCCTGGCATCGAGGCCATTCTCGGTAATATCGAGGACCTGAGCCAGATCGCCTGCATGCTTGACCGGTCTGCGTAGTCGTACCCATGCACCCGGCTCCAGTGTGGGCGTCTTCTGTACTCGGAGGAGATCGGGCATCTCCTTGATTTCGACAAGAAGCAGCTTGCTCCGGGGATACACATTAAGCATCCCTTCGAGCGCCTGCAGAACAGCCGTCTGGTTCTCAGCTTCCACGTAGATGAGACCCTTCATGACAGAGTTGGGCCCGCCTCGCTCGAAAGCGCCAGTGATGAGAAGTTCATCCTTCGTGAATCTCCTCTCCTCTATTCGCTTCTGGATTGAGTAGATGACCTCGCGCTCTTTCCCCTCCTTGCAGCGCACCATATAAATGCTGGGGTCGTTGACGCTGGGTAGAAGGAGTCTCTGTGGCACTGGTCCATTTGCGCCCATGGCTCGAGCATTGGTTTTCTTCCCATACTTGCGCACGTAGGACTGAGCCTGCAATTCGAGATCTTCCTGGGTGATGGCTTCGCGCTGTCGATCAAGTTCTCTATGTCTCCGATCGTCGTCCAGTCGACTCGCATCGCCATAATCGCCCGGCTCCTCTTGCTCGATGAAGCCTTCGTTCTCCTCGGCAGCTTCTTCGTCATCTTCGCCTTCGTCCTCATCGTCGACTTCGGCCTCGATATCGAAGAAAGCATTTCGCTTGTCGCGACGACGTTTCCGACGGTGGCCCTAAGGAAGCTGTGGTCAGGCATGCAACTCTCTTTGAGCCTGGGTCAGGCATGGCGCTGAGTTGATGTACTCACTTGGATCTCGTCTTCCTCGTCGTCCTCTTCGTCTTCTTCGTCCTCATCATCATCGTCACCGTGGCCGCCTACTTCGCCATCGGCACCCTCCTCGTCTTCAACTTCATCGTCGCCTCCGCCGTTGCGAGCAGGTGAGGAATCGGCTCGAGGCTCTGGCTTGGGCTCCTCCTCCTCCTCGTCTTTTTCGATCTCCTCGTCGCTGTTGTCGGCAGGCGCTGGGTTGAAGTCCTCTTCGTCCTCGGAGTCAGCTTGTTCGTGGTCGCGTGGATCGCTCATTGTGTCGGCTGGCAACGTGAATGCTGAATGAGGAGAAGCTGCAGAGATGGTAGCAGGTCCCAAAAGTATTAGAAAGAGGAAGTAGAAATGAACAAAGGGTTAATGGGATGGTCGACGGTAGTGATGGAATGAGGGAAACGGCTCTTTCTCTGAAGTTGAATGCCCCGGTGGCTGTAATCTTTTGGGGCGAGCTACCCACTTACGGCGCTAGACTGTATCTGTACTAGCGGATAGTAGAGGACGAATGACGATGCGAACCTTGATAATCGATAACGTTAGTGGACGCCTTAGGGACCGGCGGTGCAATGGAGTTGGTTGTGGCGGTGCGGCAGCTTGGTGACCTGCCAGACGTCAACAACCCTACGGTCACCACCTGGAATCCCGAGTACTAGAGGACCAGGTACATTAGCAGTCCCAGGACCCTCACGACTGGCCGATATTAACGTTGCTTGTACTTAACACGACTTGTTCTTCCCCTTAGATTGAACGCTTTGACCAAGATGAGGGCTGTGGTGGTCAATTCATTCGTCAAAGTAAGTTGGACGCACCGTGAAAAGGCGGCACAATGCTAAGAATAGGAGGACCACGACGAGCCAAGTATTCCTCAGGTTCGCCAACCAGAGGCTCCAGCTGATGCAATACTCATCAAGTTAAGTCAAGACAGCTGGAGCAAGTTTGTTGAAACTCTCTATGTAGGTATTCATCCTGGACGAAAAAGGAGAATGTGGCCTGGGTCGAATACAACACTTTTATTCCAATACCTGCTAGACATTCGTGATACTCCTCACGAACCTTTAGTGCTTCATACAATATTACCCTGCAACCACGCATGATAGGCCCGAGGCAAGCACCAGAATAAATGCCGGTACGTCAAAGCCCCCTTCACGCTCGGCCTCGATTACTCAGGGGTAGTCCTCTCCGCCCACTATCTGCCCCCTACGGTCAGGAGACTTGATCTTTGGCGACTACAGCGGCTCACAAGCCGAGTACATAAGGTTGCTTTGAGTCTCACAAGCTTCCTCTATGCACCGCGTGCCTGCACCGCGTGCCTACGGGGTGGAGTTTCGTTGAATCGGCCAGCTTGGCTGCCACATTGGCAGTCTCGTATGGCGCCTTGGTTAGACGTGGGGGCTTACGGAAAGGGGAAACATTTCTTGTGCATTACACAGCTGGTGGACTCGGTCTTGCGGGCGTGTAGATTGCCAAGGCGCTTGGATGTAGCATAGTTGGGACTGCTGGGTCCGAGGAGAAGTGCCATGTGGCAGGGTGGTATGGAGCCGAAGTCTATACCAATTATCGGCAGGAGAAGAGGTGGTATGAGCTGGTGCTTAGACCAGAGGGATGGGCAAGGTGTAGACGTGGCCTTTGCTATTGTCGGGCTAGTGGACCTCAGTCTGAATTGTTTCGTACATCGAGGCCGACTGCTGGTTGTCGGGTTTGTAGCACGAGAGGACGATGTGGAGGGCCTACAAATGAACAAGGCCCCTTTGAGACAGGCTCAGATCATTGATATGTGAATCATCCCGTTCCTTGTCCGTAAGGAAGGTTCGAGTAGTGACCTGACAGGCATCACAGAGATATGGCGAGAGCGTCAGAACGTATCCGGGGGGAGAGCAGCCGTGCTAAAGTCGATGATCGTGAGAGGCTAGATCAAGCCTACAATCTTCAATAAGGAGCAACGATGACTCGAACATGTTCCAAGTACTCCAAGCGCCAGAATAGAGGTGTATGGAAATTTCTGAAGGTCCAGTGTAGATGTCGGGCTGACAATGGTCATGGGCGTGGCGACTTTCTTGTGGATTTGATCAAGCTGCGAAGGTCGACACAGATCTACTGACGATTGACGCCCGTTAAACTTTTCTATAGACTATGGATGACAGGGGATCAATGGCCAACCCTCATGAACAGATCTTGTGTACAAGCTACCCCGGCAGACATAATTGCTCAGCATAGACGCAGCTGTACAACAGGCAGGGAGCTCGTAAGGATATGGGCGAAAAGGGGGTGGGAAGAAGGCTGCTGGCCTCCCCAGGTGGATTGATTCTTTACTACATCGTTACACTTGGCCCTCATAAGTCTCCGTACTGACCATGTTGACAGTGATCCAGATCATACGTGCAAATTTAGAAATAATGGAATAAGCAGACAGGAATAAGCAGCTCTAGTTAAATACGCCATTCTCAAAGCTTATTAGATCGTGCTCATGCCGTTTTGATAAATGTGCCGTTGTTTCTTAGACAGGTACCTAAGTGTACGGAAACTTATGAGGGTTCATTGTTCCTGGGTACCTGATTGTTTGCTTGGTTGCCTGAGGAACTCAACGAAACCTGGGTGCCGCCGAACTTGCATAACATCCCGCCCTCGTACCTTCTCAACTTCTCCTCCACCACCAACCCTCCTACAACAACCACCACACCTCGTGCGAAACTTGTTCTTCCTGCTGGAGCATATCGTGAGTACAATCCGCATTGACACATCCTTTCCTGTCTCACTACCCGCGGCACTCCGTACGTTTATGACTGACGGTTACCACAGAGAGGTTACAATGGAGCGCATCCGACACACTCCGGCAATGCTGGCGCGCGAAGCAGGCTACGAAGGCGAAGCCGGCTTCGGAAGATGGATCATACCGCTTCTGAGAGACGAACTACACGACACACCGGCAGACGACGGAGACGAAAGTCGATTGAAACTCGCGAAGCAGCTAGTCAGGGCTGACAAAGCATACATGCCTTCGAACAGCTACCCAGGCTTGATCAAGTTTGCAAACCCGGACATGAATGAGATTTTGATGGAGTATACTAGTCAGATTCTCATTGAATTCAATGTGAGTCCAGAAAGAGAACTGCAACTTGCCACAGCCTTTGATCTGCCTATAGGCCGTTCGCTAACTCACCTGTACAGGAGCTGTACCCTTCATACCGACCGAACAAGCCGGACTTCCAGGCTGCCGACTTCTACTGGGTATACCAGGCGCTCGCGAAGGCACGCATGGACATTGAATATCGCCTGGTTCGGCCTTTCATGGTTGTCTTCCACCAGCATGGACGCCGGCGGTTCGGCAAACAACTCAACTATTCTATGTTCAGCGAGAAGGAGCTCGAGGACTTGGTCAAGGACAGCTACAACGCTGCGGAAGAGATCTGCGGTCGACCTGACGCCTAGGCCACAAAGGCGAGACGGTTGGAAAGAGCAGAGCAACAGGAAGCAAGGTCATCCGCCTTACAAGATCTGAGCATGAAAACATTCTCTCTACTCAACCCAAGGTCAACACTCTTCAAGGATGACAACAGTAGGCTGGTAGGCTCAGAGGTCAAACCAATTACATTACACGCACTGAACATCCCAGTGCGTGTATGTACTGCAAATACACTGAAGGCTCAGTGTAATGGACTCCAGTGGACCACTGAAGCCCTGAATGTAATATAATTGGTTGGTGTATGAGAATTTCTGGTCCCTTTTCCCCCTTTTTCGCTCCTAGTTACCCTTTATAGCGAAAAAGAAATCGGGAAAAAATGCCACTAGCAAGGGTGTCCTTTTTAAACGTTTAAAAAAGCCGTAACTAGCCTTATATAATGTCGAAAAGATAATAACATAGTTAGAATTCAAACCTAAGTTTTTTTAATAGCTTTATTTTAGCCTTTAAAAAAAGCATTTATTAAAGAAGAATTTTATTAAAGAAAACTAGGTTGTAGCTTTTATATTATAAATTATTGAATTATTTTGGTATTATTGTAAATTCGTTTTTTACTATATCTATCGGATCATCAGAGTCAGAACATGGGGGTGATGATCGGTCTAGTGCGTTGCGTTTTATCCATGGGTCTGAAGGACCAATCTAGTACTAAATACACACCAAAATACAAAGATGTACCCATCCATTGATCCTCCAGCCAAAGATACCTTGTCTATCACCAATGAAAGCCACCTTTCCTGGTGCTTCTATCCCTTTATTCTGCTAAGGTGCCTGCCTGACCCCTTGTCAGCTGGGAGCTCACTGACTGCCACTATACTGCTACCACAATCCTCACAATATCTATAGTTTTAAAAGTATTCGTATAATTATAAATAAGCTAAGAAAAAAAGAGTATAACTGTGACGGAACGCTCACCATAACCACCATGCCACGGCTGTCCCTCTCAAAAGGATGTCAAATATCAAGCGTGACAGCTCGACATTCAATAGTGGTACATGTACTCATGTCCGGGCTCCAGGACTCACCACATAGGCTACCTGTACCAGACCATGAGAATAATTAATAAAAAAACACGTTATTAATCAACGCGCGGTAAAATACCGTATTAAAAAACCGTTAAATAGTATTATTTATATATTTAATTAACTTTTATCGTAAATTTTAACAAATGAACTTTTATTAAACTTGTTTATAATTACGTATATTATAAAATTAATATTAATTATTATATATAACGCGGTAAAATAACTAGGTAAAAAACGGTTGTTAAAAGGAAAATATGATTATTAATTAAAATAGATTATTATTATTATTTTAAGTTAAATTCCCCCAAAAAAATCAAGCTTATTAGCGTAGCTTTGTTTAAGCTCGTTGTTTTAATATTACTACTAACTAGCTATTACGATTACTTTGTTATCGTTTTTGTTATATTTAAGCTTTATATTTTTATTTATCTAAAGGCTTTATCCTTAAGCTCGTAAAGAATTATATGTTTAAATGCAAAAATGTTAAGCTTTCCGTTAAAAGTTAAAAATTTTCATTTTTTTTTACTAGTCGGTTAACTTAACTTATAACTATAAACGTAATATTTAATAAATACTAATAATTATAACAATCAATATGTTGCGACGTTTTAAAATAAATTATCATTATAAAAAATAAAATTTCATATTTTATTAATATTAATTAAACTAACGTAGCTGATAAGCGAGTTGGTATTACAAGCGAGTTGGCACTCGTCATGAACACTCTAAGTGCCTTGTGTAATAACTTCACCACAATGCATTCAATTTAATTCAATCAGTTGTATTCCTCTTTTTCAGACGTTTCTATCTCTATTGTACAAATTTGCGCATTATAGCCAGTGTTGCCGCAAACGCCACACCGTCACTCACGCGCTGCTATCCTCCTTGGATGACGACTACCTTCACCCATTTCCTGTCTCACCAGCTCAGTACCATCCTTTATAGCCTGAAGACCTACTGTATCTTCAACAGAAAGTATTCCTCCTTTTATCAGATGTTTATTTATTGTTCTCCGGCGTTTACTTAGTAAGTCTGAAACCTGCTTGGATGTTTCCTGGTGTCATTGCAGCATTGTGTGCTTCACAAAACGCTGTGAGGAAGTCCTCCTTTGAAACATGGGTTATATAACGCCGGATGAGATCCTCAATTGAGCGACCATAAGCTTGTTTAAGTGAGCTGAAACAACTGACATCTAAAGGCTGGAGCCTATATGAGGAGTGGCAGGCATATAAAGAGTAATGATACCATTGTTCTGGCAATAATTCTCAAAAACCTGGAAATGATGGCTTTTGTGACCATCTAAGATAAGGAGACGTTTACCAGCAGTCATATGCGGTCTGATATACTTGTCGAAATGCTGAATCCATTTCAAACCGAGCTCATTCGTAGTCCATCTGTTATCAGACACGGCTACCTTCCAATCACATAGTAATGTCGTGTTGCAATACCATGATGCGAGGTGGGTTTTGCCCTGTAGAATGATGAACGGCGGGACCACCCAACCATCAGCATTGATAGCAGAGATTGCTGTAGACCATTCTCTGTTGCCTTAATGAGCTTGTCTAGGCCTGCCACTTCTTTCAGTGCTTGTGATGACTATGCCAGATCCAATAATGCCTATCATAAACCCAGTCTCATTAAAGTTGTAAATGTCCGCGTCTTAGATACTATGTTTTGTGATTGCCGCTGCAATTTAACGAAACCACGCACGATACACGTCTGGATCTTTGTTCAAGGCCCTCTTGTAGTCCATCCTCTGATGAAAATGCGTCCGGAGACCTGGTGTGCATTTAATGAAGTTGTGCGTCCAGTTTTTTCCAACGCGTTCAGCCCCACGTGCCGCCAACAATTGATTCGCCATATCTTCAACATAACTGTGCCAGGGTGGAAATGTTCGCGCATCCAGGTCAAGAATGAAGAAAAGAATGGCATTCTCTTCAGAAACCGTAAATTTCAAAGTATTGTGCATACTGTCGCGTCGTGATGGCAGTTCTTTAATTCTATTGCTCAAAGAGGAACGAGGGATGCTGAAGAGTTTCGCACGCTGAAATATAGAAATATGAGGGTCACGTCGTTTAGCTTGGACAGTTAGCTGTAAGTCTGATTCATTGTAACGTGGTGCCATTGTTGTTGGTGGAGATATAATGATTTGAATCGTATTGGTTGGAAAGTTCATGACAAGTGCCAACTCGCTTGTCAGTTACGTTATAGGATAGTTAAAAATATTTATAAAAACCAAAAATATTAAAAAAACCTTTTATATTAATATATATAAAGGTTAAATAACGTAACAGTATTATATATTCTTACTTATTAAAATTGATATTTATTTTTAATGAAAAGGTCAACTTATATATTATTAACTTATTTGTTCATATATACCGTGCAAAATCTAACTTTTGTTATTCGTTATTTTATATCAAACTAGCTGCTAATAAGGTAAGGCTAGAGTTCAAAATTATAATGTTCGATATTTTTGTTGGATCCATGCGATTCCACATTCAAACCATCCATACCAAACCCACATGTATGATTAGATAAGAGATTAGAAACCGGATTGTGAGATCACTTAGCCAGACCTGCAAGTCCAGCTAGACCTCTCAATCCAACCATCAGTAATATCATGACTTTGACCCATATCTGAGTATTATGATTGATTGGTTAAGCCTGTTTTAACAATTTTAAAGCTTTCAAACCAAAAAACTGCCGTTACGGTTTATTTAATTTTTAATAATAACTATAAACCCTTTTTCATCTTATATTAATATTCACTTTGAAGTAATTATTATTAAAAAGATTGTTAATAATAAACCTTTAATATTCAAGCTTTTTCAAAAAGATTGAAATTTAATAATAACCTTCTGTCAGATGTTGGATCCCAGGTATAGTGCCCTTAGGTACAGTACCCGCTAGGAGGCTGCCAGTGGACCAGTGGATCCACCCTGGTATGGTGCAATATGGTAATTAGCTGTAGATTAGCCCTGCCAAGCATACTTGAGAATGACAACAACATTTGCAGCAACCGCTCACACCCCTAAGGCTTGTGACCCTTCTAGAATCCCACACCTTCAAATATTACTTACTATATAAGCTTATTAATTTTTTCTGCTTATGTTATATGCTATCGCTTTTAAATAACTTTATAATGTTTTCATAATATAATAGAATATCTTTAATAATTGTCACAGTACCTGCAGCGGTACGTTGCAATCTGGGATTGATTACAAAAATAACAGGGCGAGGAAGAAACAAGAAGCCAGCAAGGTGGTGTGCGCAGCACACACCTTAAGTGGTCGTCCCGTTACTTCCTTATCTAATCTAAACGTGATTTGATGACGAAGCATCCATCCATCCAGGTGGATACGGCTGTACACCGTCACACCATGTTTTAACGGAGGACTTCCTTACAGCGTTTTTTGAAGCACATAACGCTGCTATGACGCCAGGAAACATCTGAGCAGGTTTTAGTGCTACTGGGCTTGTGTTGAATGGGAGCCGGAGATAGACACTGGAAGATCTCCAGTGGGGCAGAGACGCACAGGGCATCTTACCCACCAAGAAAACAGATGATCAATCTCTGCACATAGAGCAGAACAACCAATAGCATCCGGTCAATCAACATCCGTGTATTCAACAGCTTATTCCTTTTGACCCAGAAAGTGTTATTTCAAAGCTGGATGCTGTCGCTATCATACGAATACCGTCACCAGACCCCAATCTACCACCCACTACTTGGACTTCAAAGACGCCTACCACTATTAACAAAGCGGTAAACCGATTGGTTTATATCCGGAATTGAGTCAGAAACCACCAGGGAAGCTCACCTACATCAATAATTGATGCGTTGAGCTTATTTTTAAAGGCTACATACGGTCTCATACACAAGGTCACTTTGGTTGGTTCCTGGGTCCGCGAGTTAGAGAAGGCCAATCACTTATTAAATAAACACCAGAGAACAAGAAATAAATGTCTAATAAAAAGAGGAATACTTTCTGTTAAAGATGCAATAGGTCTTCAGGCTGCAAAGGATGGTGCTAAGCTGGCAAAAAAGGAAATGGGTGAAGGTAGTTGTCGTCTAAGGAGGGTGACAGCGCGTGAGCGGCGGTGTGGCGTTTGCGGCAACACTGGCTATAATGCGCAAACTTGTACAATAGAGTTAGAAACGTCTTAGGAAGAGGAATCCGATTGATTGAATTGAATTGAATTGAATGCGTTATGATTAAGTTATTTAACATGGTAATTAAGAGGTTGGTAAGAAGTTGCCGTTCGCTTGTGATTGCCGCTTGCTTGTTACCTACATTAATCGTAAAAAATAATAACGTTTATTTAAAGCTAGCGTTAAAGGTTTAATTAGAAATTAACGGTTTGTTTTTTAACTTTAACTTAACTTTTATCTTTAATAATTTCGTTATTAAGCACTTTAATTTTCTTGTTATATAGTCATTATTCTCTCGCATTTTAAAACCCACTTTTTAAAAATATTTAAAAATTAAAATAACGTTTAGATATATAAAACTTACTCACTTATTAAGTATTAATACTGTCGTGTTACGAACCAACGAACAGTGCGGCCTGATAGCAGGCCAAGAGGAGACGATTGGAAACAGGTTAACCAGTAAGTGGGGTGCTGATCAGTAGAGAGATCAGAGCAACGGAGCAACGGTACACAGATCACGTGACCAGCAGAACCTGGGTCATGTGACTAAGAATTTGGATCACTGGATCACCGTTGTGATCCAGGGTGAGCCACCTAATCAGTGAGGGAGAGATTGGTTATATAAGGACAGACATTTCCCAACTAGATAGATAGACAGTCTCTACCTCAGTGATCAATTTAAGCATCTTAGCCAACCCTAAGGTGGGAGAAATCTCCTGACGACTCGACTACACAGTGAACCCAGTTCAGACCAAGCCCCAGCCTCTGAGTGTCTTCTATTTGACAGAGCCTCTATCGTCCTTTGTGTTGACTTACCTAAGAACATAAACCCTATAGAACCCTTTAGCCTTATAGGTTAGACGTCTCGTCACACATCGTTAATATTATGAGTATAATTTCAAACTTAAAAACTAGACCCTCGCTTTTATTATACATAAATATAATTAATACATAATTTAAAAAAGGTTTTATTTTTAAATGAGAATATGCAATAAAATTAATAAAATTTAAAACAAATTAAAACAAAAATAGCTTTAATAAGAAGAAAAAAGATATTGTCACGGCGAGCGTACTGAGGTGCTAGATAATGGCCGGCAGCAAGCAGCTATTACTCTATTGACGAGAATATCAAGACTAGAGAGGAAAGAAAGAGAGACAGAGAGATGGGTACAGTGGGAGGTTGCCCCTTTAAGGGGATCCTCTGGTCAGATCCTTCTCTATTGGGAAGTATCCGCTTGTCATGTGGGAAGGTCTGTGCAGGCCGTCATAGATATTAAAAAGCTTAAATTATTAACAATTGCGATTTTAAATATATTAAACATCGTATTAACAATTAAAAAAATTAAATAATAGTTAAAAAAGCTGTTAAAAAGCATATTGATATAATTATAATAAAATATTATTGTTTAACGCGTATTAAACGTATCTTTAACTACTTAATAATTAATTAACAATCGATTAGATGTTATTTTTTGTATATTTTTTTAGGGTTTGAACTTACTAAAATATCTTGATCCAAAAAAATATCAAAGTATTTTAAATAAGTGTGAGATTCTAGAAGGGTCACAAGCCTTGGGGGTGTGAGCGGTCACTACAAATGTTGTTGTCATTCTCAAGTATGCTCGGCAGGGCTAATCTACAGCTAAATACCATACTGCACCATGCAAGGGTGAATCCACTGTTCCCTTGACAGCCCCTTAGTGGGTACTGCACCTAAGGGCACTATATATGGCATCCAACATCTGACAATAAGTTAATAAATATTAAGTACTACTAGTATAGTTTTAAAACTTATTTTAAAATCTATGTTTACTTTATACTTAATTATTTTAACTAATTATAAGTGTTTTTTAATATATTAACCTATGAAGTTACAAGTAGTTTATATATTAAGCTTAAAATATAATTAGCTTTAACGAAATTTTAATACGTATATATATTAATAAACCTATCAATAAAGCCTACTAGTTTATGAAGTGTAATTAGTTTAACCTTTAAATACGCTAGACAGTTAGACCAAATACCCCTTGCCCTCATATAACTAGCTGTTGAACACACGGATCTTGATTGATGCTATTGATTGTTCTGCTCTGTGTGCAGAGATTGATTATCTGTCTTCTTCGTGGGTCAGATGCCCTGTGCGTCTCTGCCCCACTGGAGATCTTCCGGTGTCTATCTCCGGCTCCCATTCAACACTAGCTGCCTTAAATCCAATACACTACTAAATGAATAACAGTCTTTATAAATCGTGACAATCGCTAGCTGCACAGAAGAGACTCAGAGAGAGTAGTACGCGTAGTGAAATATGACGACACTGACCCAATGCCCAAAGACCAACACGAGCGGATACACTGAACCCTCAAAAGTCTGCGTACGCCCCTCATTCACCAAGCAAAAGATGCGTTTATTATAAATGGGATAATCACGCTGGAATAAGCATTAAATGTGACTTTTTGGATTAGAGCTGCTTATTCCTGTATGCTTATTCCAGTATTTCGAAAATTTCACGGGTGGTTTGGAGTCTTATTAACACGGCGCTTACGGAGACTTCTGAGGGCTGAGTGTACCGGCAGCTTTGTCCGGTACTCAGCACGTATCCCAAAGACGATTATCACCTCTGAGAGTGTGTGTCCAACAAATGTCAAGTCGGACACTGTCAGGAATTGTCTTCCTCAGTAGTGTCGCAGATCGTCGTCCAGGAAAGCACACATGCTCCAGCCAAAGACCTACACTGACGATTAATTGGACAAGTCGTGATAGCCAACAAATATCGATTCTTCAACAAGCAGAGCCATCTGCGCCGCAGCAAGTGACCAGCAGACACCATTCAAGACAGCGACTAAACCTGTTACCCACCCTCGATCTGACTGACTCAGCATGCCCCTGGCAGGTGATAGTATACACATGCGATATCGAATCTGGAGCCAACCAACAGCGATTCACGTAACATCGGAACCTCTCATCGGCAACATATCAGAGGCCTCTCCCACCGGCTAACCGTGGTCCCGACATTTGACCCTCGTGTCTCCTTGTCTTGTCATTCATACCCCCTCCCTGACACCTCCCAACTATCCCCGTAAGCTCATTACCATGCCCCTAGACGCTCCCTCTGTCCCGAAACGCCGTGCTTCGTAAATGCGTGTCGCAGGTTGATGCCGATGTCAACGTATCGAGCTCACTTCGTATTCTTCGGGAGAAGGATTCACTTCGTCTTTTCGGTTGGGCGTAGTTGTAGGGAAGTGGTTTGCAGTTTTTCAAGGCCCGCATCATTCTGGAAATGCGACCTTGCTTGATCATATCCTCACGCCCCAGACGCCTCTTCCGCCGCTAACGCCAAGCCAGTCTCCAGTGCCATCGCTGTTGGGAAGGGGAGGAGCCCAACTCAAATTGCCAACTTCGTAGTCGCAATACCAGCTGGCAACGGGAGTGAGGTGTTTGTCAGTCGAACCAGCACCGCCGTTGGAAGATGGCCCCGTGGCTGGTGTGCTGTTCATGAGATCCCACAGGAGAACTTGACTGTCATCTCCGCCCGAGGCAAGCAGTCCCCTCCGGTTTGGCGACCATTCTACAGAGTTGAGGGATCCCCCGTGGCCTCGCAGCTCCAACAAAGCTTGCCCAGGTTGCCGCACATCGAGAATGCGGATGACGTTGGAGTCCTGGGCAAACGTCGCTAGAAGATGAGTATCATGAGGCGATGTTGCTAACCGCATCAGGGGCGGTGCATTCGTCATGGTCTGTTGGGCCAGCGTTGGACTGATCCTGCCGCCATTCGCGTCTGATAAAGGGGTCAGTACTTATTGCGGACTGGTGGACATGGGAAGGGGGCATTACCTCGGTCGTCCTTGGCAGTTGGTTCGTAGATGATCGTGCTGTGTTCTAGACTGCGAAGGTCAAACATCCGTACACTTCCATCCTGCCCACAGCTGACAAACACGTCCACACTATTGGCACAGAAACGAACGTCGTAGACTTCCTTGTCGTGTGCGATCAACTGCGTCTTGGCGGTCAAAGAAGGGATATCCCAGATGGTGCAGGTCGTATCGATGCTGGAGGTGATGATCAAGCTTGGAGAAACCGTATTCCAGTCTAGCGAGGTGAGGGGCGCCGTGTGGTCGGGCGTCTTGGAGTTGGAGAGAAGGGCCAACGGAGTTAGCTTGGTGATGGGTGTACCCATGGCAGATTTATTTATCGAGTTCGAGTGTATGTGCTGGGCATCCGCTGGAAGAGACCATAGCCTCAGATGATCGCCCGACGTTGCTAATAAGTCGGTGCTCTGCTTCTGCGAGGAAGGAGGTTCCCATAACAGGCGAGTGACCGGGTACGAGTGGGTTGCCTCTGCGACCTTGGTGAATTCCATACTATATTTGGACGAACCAGGGGTGTAAACATCAGAAGGGGTATCAACGAGTTGGGTATCGAGGATTTGAATCTGGAGGACAACATGGTCAGTACTAATTCCGCGGATTCCATGTCCCATGATCCCATGATCCGAATAACAAAGACTGATTTCGAAAGAGAACTCACAAAGTTGTGCCCATCTTCGAGGTAGCTACCGACTGCCAATTTGCCAGCACTCTTGCCTTGAGGAGCCCACTTGCACCAGTCGAATGCGTAGAGGGCCCACGGTGCCATGTAGTTGCTCGTGGACGACTGAGGGTTGGCGAGCTCATATCCGTGGGTGCCAGGATGTCCGTCAGATAAGCTGGAGTCGGCTCGTGGTCTGATATCGGCAAGACCGAGAGGCGTGTTGGAGATGTTTCTTTGGGAGCCGGGAGCGCCATACTTGATGTCTTGCGGCGACATGTACTGAGACTGACCGCCAGCTGAGCCTCCAGGCGTGGTGGGGGTATAGGGCGCGTAGCCAGAGGATGCATCGTAGGGAGCTGCGGGGCTGGATCTCGAATAGCCATGCGACGAAAGGCTTAGTGATGGTGGTTTCGAGGGCGAGGCGTATTGGCTGGGGGAGTGCTGTATGGCACCTGACATGGTCGGCAGGGCTGGAGCGGTGTTGGCGCTCATGGCGGATGGACGAGATGCGGCCAGTCCCCCGGGCTGGAGGACGTTGGGCACTCCCGAGTTCTGGTACTGGGGGTTGACGGGCTGCGAGGAGGGCTGTTCGAGCTTGATCTGTGGGCCGGCGGAGTTGGTGAAGTCTCGCGGGGACATCTGGCCGGGGTGGCTCATGGTGGGAGAGATATGGAGTTCGTCGTGCTGCGAGCCGTAGTTGTTGGACCGTCTCGGAGTGGTCCCGTACTGGCCTGACTGATTCATGCTGGCGGCGCTAGCAGTCGCGACAGATCGATGTGTCGCGAGGTGTCGCGGAAGGTGCCGTTGTCGGTCACTCGGCAGTGAATGGGACGCGAGGTGGGCTCGGGAGAGTCTCGAGGGAATGAGGACGATACGATGGCGGTTCAGCGCTTGCGGCTACGAATGCGGTGCTAGCAGCTGTCGCGAATGGGTATTGGCGGCGGTCGAACGGGTTGCTGCAGGTGAGTTCGCGACTGCAGGGTCCGTATGCGAGTAGGGTTCGTAGGTTCGTCAGGTTCGTAGGGTCGGGGGAGGAAGAGAGAGGCCGCGGCGGTTGGTTGGGCTCTGACGACAACAGTGAGCCTTTCGCAGACCGAGTCGCAGTCGTAGCCGTAGCCGTAGTCGTGGTCCTAGTCGTGCCAATGTGGTGCTGATGGTTTGAAGGCAGAGGTGCACGTCGTTGTTGGCCCGTTCTTCTGGTATCGGACCTGTGCCTGCTGCTGCGTGGCTGCAGGTCGAAAGGTTGCCGATGATAGTATGGAGTACGGAGCGGCGATAGGAATGGAATGAGTGAATGCAGGTGGGTGATTGAATGAACGGTGGCGCTGCCGCTGCTGCGACGGTACAGAGAGGCATGTGGATTGTGGAGGGTTGTGCGGGGGAGTTGGGCAGCAGGATGGATATTTCTTGGATTATTCTCTCAACCTCCAACCTCCAACCTGAACTCCCACAACAACACAGCATTGCAGCTCACGACTTCTGTTATATTTGGCAGTGCTTCTAGCAACATGCTACCGTAGAGCAAGATACATACATACACGCATTTTCGTATCGCTGTCACATCACACGCCTTTTCCTTTGCGCATTGGCTTAGGTATAAGCTCATCAAAGTCGCTTGCCCCATCTCGTGATCCTCGACACTCCCCCTTGTGTTCGCTTCCATCTATCCAGCCATCTAGATCTTGCCGTAGCTCTTGCCGTGTATAATGTTGTGGCCACGCGGATCCTCTAGTATACTGCTTGCAAAAGGCTTGTCATAATGCGGGTAGAAGTGTATCGCCATTGGTGTTGGCTTTACAGCACTTGCAGCACACTCAACACTCACCACTCCTCCCTTCCACTTACTCCTTTCCCGTGGCAGTATCAGTAGGAGCACGATAGAAGCACGGGTGTTCAATATTGGCAATCGATGCTAATAAACTTGATGCTCTAATATTAGATACTCGTCGGGCAGACATTAAACCCGCGCCGTGAATCAGTGTCCGCATTCCACGTTGCCTACCCTCTTAACTGCGAGAATGAGGATCTTCCAGTACTTACTTCACCATACTTGATCTCCCTACTCCAACAGCGAACCGAGCATTGTTCGCCATGACTACCACTGCATCGGAACCACGACCTACCGGCCGCAAAGCGCCAATGCAAGTACCATCTCTCGGCTTCTCACGAATGGGCACGGCATCCATGCGCACGGCATCCATGCGCGCTGCGCTTGAACAGCTAGGATACCACACCCATCACGGCTTTGATCCCCAGGACTTCCCTCTGACCTCGATAGGTTGGGATAGAGTTGCCGATCTCAAATTCTACCCACAAAAGAGTGACAGGAAGCTGGAGAAGAGGGATCTTGATGACTTGTTGGGAAGTTATGGGGCGGTGACGGATATGCCATGTTTTGCGTTTTGGGAGGAGTTGGTGGAATTCTATCCCGAGGTGTGTTGCTCATGGCTCATGATATCCGTGCCAAGTCTCAGAGAATAGGGGAACTCAGTGTCGTTCGTTCACTTCCCCTTCTGACTCTTGATGCACACCACAGGCGAAAGTCGTCCTCGTACAATGCGACTACGATTCGTGGCATGGATCTCTTGTCCCTCTGCTCGATGGTCTCTTTGGTGGAAAGGCGGGTTAATTCGATATTGCATCGATCCTAGTATGTTCTCACATATTTGAACAAGCGGATATCTCTCTCTTATTACCATCCATGGATGCTTACACGACAGCGTAGTCCTAGGCTACAAGACGATAGCACAGTGCCAAAAGACATGGCTCGGCTACTTCCATGCCCGCAACCAAGCAGAGATTCTCGCCAATTCTCGCCAGGTTTACGACGAGCACTACCTCTCCATCGGCAAGGCCGTTCCACCAGCACGACTGCTGAACTTCGAGCTCGCGTACGGCTGGGAGCCCCTCTGCAAGTTCTTAGATAAGGATATTCCAGATAAACCATTCCCTAGAATCAACGACACGAAGGCATTGGAGGAGAAGATGATGAAAGTTACTGGTACTAGGATAGGTGAGTTGATGGATAAGGTTGGGTTGGCGGTGATGTGCTTTCTGGGTGTGATGTTAGCATTGTGGATTGGATTCAAGGTGAGGTGAGGTGAGCGACTTTGTTGATGAGAGAAGTGCGCGATACCTGCAAAAAACCGTAGAGCTATGACTGGAAGCCGTACATGCTCATGAAACACCAATACTCGATGAATTCTCTTCAGTGTCTGTACCTACAATGAACGGGTGATTGCCTCCAGTCATACACCGCACATGGGAGCTTACCTAATGTCGGAGCAGCAGCTGGCGAGACCAAATGTTATGGCAAAGCAACTGCTGACAGCTGTCAATAGCAGCTGGTTTCGTGGATTCACCATAACACGGATCGGAGCTTGATTGATTGAACCTTATTGAAGCTGCTTATTATGGAGGTACCTATTTTCAACTCACAGTCTCACCCATCAGTTTCGTAATCGTTTTCGACCTTTTCATCGCATGGTATACTTAGAACCTACTTACAACCTTCCCGTCGACTGATTCCAAGTCGAAAGAACCACGTCACTGTCGTCATTCCATCGTTGGTCATCCCAGTGCCTGCAGGAGTTGCCGAAGGATTGTCCCCAGAACTCACCAAAGAAACCGCTCGGCAACCTCTCCAGCCTCGCTATCGCTGTCACCTCTTCCCTTCATCTTCCTCCCATCAGCCCGTGTCAGAAAAATAGCAGGATATCGAGTACGCATTTGCAATGGCAGATCAGCTCCCGTCACTACTATTACTACCCCCGCCTCCACACCCCGCAAACCGCGCTGCTCTCAAGGCCGCCTTTGAACCTCCCCTAAAAGCCGCAATCTCACGGCTGAAGGATGAGAAGGCGGATCAGCATGCTTCAATTCTTATTGTCGGACTCGCCTCGCCTATCCTCAGGGGTACTTCACTGCGCCAGAAATCACTCTCATGGCCTGAGGCGCAATCTGTCGTAGCTGGCATATACAGCATCGTGTCTGTCATCTGCGCCCAGCTGTCCGTCCCCTCACACATGTACGCTGGACCAGGCTCGGTTGATGTCAGAGTACTCCTGATCGACCACGATCCATCCGCGCCACCCCCGAAAGACTTCAAGCCTGCAATCGAGCCCAACAACACTGTTGTGCCTGACCTCGCAACCTTCGCATCTGCCTACCACCCCTGGAAGTACATATTTCACACAAGCAACGAACCAGGCTATCAGATACTGTCAACCTACTTGAAGCTCGCTGAACCCGTCCAGACGCTGAAGCAGGATCAACTGATTGCTGTCCAAGGTGGACTTGCTCTAAACGTTGCCCCGACAGACCGTTCGCAGTCTTCGCAGCAGACCGAGCCGCATAACATAATGTGTCTGGGAGGCACATTTGACCATCTACACCCTGGCCACAAGCTGTTGCTTACTGCTGCCGTATTGCTCCTGAATGTCCCAGAAAAGGGGACAGCCGGGCCGTGTCGGTTCATCATCGGTGTCACAGGCGATGAGCTACTCAAGAGAAAGAAGTACGCCGAGTTGGTGCAGCCGTGGAACGTTCGTGCGATGAGTATCATGGACTTTCTATCGTCCATCCTTCGACTCTCCAAGGATGGGTGGAACGGCGCTGAGCAACCGAAGCTTGACAGTGGATCCGGCGAGCTGGTGTCACGATTCAGAGATGACACAATTGAAATCCAGTGTGTCGAGATACAGGACGCCTTTGGGCCCACCATCACAGCTGAAGACATGGATGCGCTCGTCGTGTCGGGAGAAACGAGATCCGGCGGAAATGCTGTGAATGAGCGACGAAGGGAACTTGACTGGCGACAGCTGGAGATTTTCGAAGTCGACGTTCTCGACGCCGACGACGTCGTCGACGGTCCGACCAAGACCCAGGACTTTGCGTCCAAGATAAGCAGTACTGCTATTCGACAGAAGAAGGCCGAATCTCGTATATAGTCAAGAGGGATGCTATTGTCTTGGTCGAATCTCACAGCACGACATTATGGACAGTGTATCACAAGAGCAGCGACTGACCACCGTCCACCAAGAGGTCTGCGCCAGTAAAGTAACTTCCCGCGCGACTGGCCAGCATCACTACAACCCCCGAAAGCTCATCAGGCTGCCCCATCCGTCCCATTGGATGCCGACTCAACCACACCTTTCTTGCCTCGTCTAGGCCGTCTCCCTCGTTGAGAATAGTGTCCATGTAACCCGGGCTGATACTGTTTACTCTGATGCCATGCACAGCCCATTCTGCAGCAAGCGACTTCACCATCGCCTTGACCCCCGCCTTGGACACGTTGTATGAAGCTTGGGGCTGCGGGAAGTTGACCCCATGGGCCGACACGCTGGCCACGAAGACGATGCTGCCGCCGCTCCCGTGGTCGATCATGGTGCGAGCGACTGCGCGGGCCACCAGGAACGCCCCTATCGTGTTGACGTTCATCACGCGATTCCAGTCTTTCGAGGACCAATCTAGCGCGTGGCCACAGGCGACCATCCCGGCAAAGTTCAGGAGAGTCGTGACGGGGCCAAGCGATTTGCTAGTGCTTTCAACGGCCTCATTGACAGCGTCCTCGTCCGTCACGTCCACCTTCTGGAACTGGATTGTCGCCGGAAACTCGGACTGGAGCATCTTGATTTTCTTCTCTGCCTCGTCGGGGTTCATGTCGAGTATCATCAAGCCTTCCAGACCGTGCTCGAGCAGAGCTCTGCACACGGCAAAGCCGAGGTCGCCGGCACCGCCTGTCACGATGGCATTGCCCTTTACCCGGAAGCGCTCCTGGGCCCGGGCCGCGGGCGGAGTATCGCGGGGTAGAGGCGGAGGCGGGGCAGTGAGGGAGCCGGGCGACCCGTCGCCCAGGGTCATCTGGGGTATGACCCGATCTGTGAGATCGGACCGTTCAGTCGTCATGTTTTTGTACGCCTTCTAGAATTATTATAAGTTAATAAGAACAATACGATAGTGCGGGCGTTCGGCAGGATGTGTCTTGTAAGAAAAGAGGAACTGGATACATTCAGCAGACGTGTGACCGAGAGATATGTAAGAAACCACCAGGAGATTTGATGGAGACACTTCTACCAGGCGGGCGACTGTCGCCCTGGGGGGTGTGGGAATACCGATGCTGATGACGTTTAGGGCGAGCAGTCGATGGAGTTCCAGAGATGCTTCGGGTCACCGTGACCCGGTCACGTCATAGCAGAAGCGTGGGTCTTATCATATGGGAACTGGCTACAGCATGAACGACCTAAAGTAATCTCTTCTTCACGTTTTATCTAATTATTAAGAACAATGTGGTGAATAAAAAGATGCTATTATAATTCACTGTGTTTCGGTGTTCAAGACCTCGAGTATTGGGATTGAAAGTTCCCTCTTGAGAGACGACGTCTTTTTGGACGGGCAGAACCCCGTACCATGCTTACCTATCTGCACGTGTTCCGATCAACGTCCGATCTTTCCTTATCGTCCCCAAGTGATTCTCCTTAGGCGAAGTCCGATTTCGACCGGGAAAACTACTACTCAGATGATGGATTGACACCTCTGCGTAACAACTCGATCAGATACACGCATTGGGCCTACGACGACGAGGTCCGGGCCTGCTGTCGCCGGACGGGCCCGAGGACGCGCAGGGACGGGAATGGGGCATGATGGTGGAGAAGGACTACCTGCGCCCGGACAAGTTCGCGCAGGACATTGCGAAGATCGGCAACGGGGCGTGATACTTGGCAAGTACAATCATCCGCCGACGGGGTCCGGCACGTCATCGCGTGGCTGTTTGCCGGGTCGTCGGTGAGATGCTGGACTTCAGCGTCGTCAAGTACCAGGCAGACCGTTGGCGACATGGATGCCAACGCGGTCTATTCGGGTCAGGATGAGCTGGCCATATCCTTCGCGGCGGCGCGCAAGGTATGCTCGAACCTGTGGTCCATTCCCACGGCGGACTGGCTGAAGAAGTACACCATGTGACATTCGCGGCGAGCAAGCTGGCTTTCACGTCCATCGGGGACCCGACGGCGGTATGCGACTCAGTCAGGGAGTTGTTTTGCAAGGCTTGGGTGGCGAAGAGGATTAATGTCAGAGAAGAGGGAGCAAACAGACGAACAAATAAACAGGAGCCGGAGCAAAAGCAAACGCCGACAGGAAATCGAACCTGTGTCCCCGAATACACGTGTGCCGTCGGTCGGCTCCATATGCCAGAAGTGTCGGACGGGGAATCCTATTCAGTCCCGCACTCACACCTCGGTTGACGGTCCGGCTTTCCATGCAGTCCACGCTGCGATACATTCTGGTCAGGATCAACATCTTCAGGTACCCATTGCACTCGCCATTGCAGAAGGATTCCTCGGCAGCCTCCAGCATCTTGTCGACCTTGTCGTCGAAGGAGGAAACTCCAGGGGCAGCCGTTGTTGATGCCGACACCGACCCTCCGTCGGCATCAGGCGGATTGGCCTCGAGAAGACGCGATGTGCAGCATGGCAATCTACTTGCGAGCCTTGGGGAGCAACGCCCTGAGCATCGGCCCCGGTCTCATCAGCCTCGTCAAGGTCCAGTGCCCAACCAGCCAACCGCAATACGGTGCGATTCCGCTCTCTACATTCCTTCCTCGCCCTGACCATCGGGACTTTCTCTAAGTGGGCTTCGTGGAGTACCGCGTCGATCGTGTCCAGCGCCTTCGCTTCGATGTCGGTGTGCGCATGTGCATAACTGTACCGGACTCTGGTCATCTCCCCCGTAATCGCGTCGACGAGCTCGACCATGACATCCACATGATCGCCCCTCACCGCGTCGCCGGTCGATACGTAGCGAGACGCAATTTCGAAGCGAGACGGGGGAAGAATAAAGCCCTTCTCGATGAGCCAGTCGCCGTACTCCCAGTGGCGGTCGAAGTGTCCGATCTCCTCGTACATCCTAGGCGTGATGTACCGACCGAACCAGTCCAACTTCTCTCCCGATTGCAGCGCGTGCCAGATCCTGGCGCGGGTATCCTCGTACATCTTGTGCGTCGAGTTGTTGCAGCCATATTGCATCTGTGCCTGTGTGAACTCGCTTCCAGCCTTTATCTGCTAGGCAGGGATCAGATGGCCGCAGCCGTAGGTTTGCCGGCGTCTGCACATCGGACAGTCGCCGTGGGGAGAGTGAGCGAGCCATTTGCGCAGGCCGTCGGCGCAGAACCGATGTCCGCAGCTAAGGGCGGCGGCCGATCTGCGATCGATGTCCGTTTGGCAGATGGGACAGAGGACGGTCCGTTTCGCGATTGTCTCCTATGATGGCTGCGGCGCATGTTTCTTGACCATCGCCACCAGCTCGCGACGCTGCTCTCTCGACCGAGCACCGGGTTGGGTACACACAGCCGGTCGTGTCTCGAATTCGGCCTGGAGGTCCTCCGCCAGACGCCTTAGGCGCTTCCCGAAGTCTTTGGCCCGTTCTTGGAGGTTTAGTAGACGACGTAGATGTTCGTCTAACCGCTCTGTCATGTCGTCCGTTGCCTCGGCGCGTGCCAATAGACGCGCCCAACTCTTATATTCCTCGTCAACAAGTTCCCTAATTCGTTGGGCGTGTTTGCATAGCTCTTCGATTTCCGACGCCAAGTTGGATGCGACACTCTGCGAGTTCCTGTTGCCGACCGGGGAGTCCTGTGATAAGTGGTGATCCATTGCGTCCGTTTGCTTGTGGTTGGTACCTATATTCCGACAACAGGGGTACCAAGAGTTGCTCACGGAAGTAAGTTGACTTGCAAAGGTAAGTTGACAGATATGCTTCAGACTTGTCAAGTGGTGCTAGGTAATGCATCTAATATGGCAGTGGCATGGCAGGTGCTTATAATCTTGTCAATTTCGTTCTCCGAAGCGTCAATTTGCGCGGACGTGACCCGAGAAACTCTAAATCCTGCATCGTGCACTTGGGAGGCGCAAAACCTGCTCAACGACATGGTGGATAACGAGGCCGGCTACCCACGAGGCCAACCACGAGGAGTCCCCCAAGGAGATCCGGGACGATAGAAAGGTGTGCACCAGCGTCTGCTGCAAGTACAGGTATGAAAACATCTCGCACCCTCAGATACTCGTTACTCTATTAAAACATATAGTATTAAGTACGTGTCTGGGGGAGAGGTCATCAGCAACAGCGCCCCCGTCTCGCCACTCACTAGCTCGTAGGGGAAACATCGTTTCAGTTTTCTTACTTCTTTCTTTTTTTGTCTCTCTTGTTTTGAAAATCGAAAATATTCAAGGGACTATAGTACCTGGTTCTGGTTATAGTTTCATACCTCACGCGCACCGAAGCGGATGATTTATTTAGGTGGCGATTAAGATCTGAGATATCAGGACATCAGCTCACCAAACCCTCATAAGTCTCCGTACACCAACAACTAACGGTATATTCATCGTAATTGGAATAATCACATCGGAATAAGCACCAGAAGAAGCGTACAACACTAGGGATCTTTATTCATGTATGATTATTCCAGTGTTTCCAACTATCCTACTGGTGATCGAATCTTGCCAACATGTGCGTACGGACACTTGTAAGGGCTTGAGTGTAGCCTGCGTATATGGCCCTCTTGAAGCTCTCTGCCAATCCCTCCTAGGAGCACAGGGTTGTCGTTGCAGAAAGCATGTTAAATCCTGACACTACAACGTATCAATTACACAAAAGATGATAACCCAGTATGGAATCAGACTCTGTGTTTTCTACCTGACTTAAACGGAAATCCTGATGCGTTATTAAAGTATGCTCGGGCCAGGTGCACCCAGTGGAACGCCAGCGTTCTAAATAAATTGCTCAACATAAGGGTCGCACGAGGACACGGTGCTTCACTTTGAAGGTGAGACGCTGGCGTTCAAGCATCACCGTCCAGCCAGTCAGTCTAGACACAAGGGACGAAGCTGTCGTGGCATGTTGTTTCATTCGTAAGCGTCTATGCTCTTTAAAGGTATTAAGCGATCTCTACTTCTAGTAAGTATTCAGGCGTTCAATTCATTTTGCTACCGCCCATCATCGCCCCTCGCCCATCATCCATCACCCGGGACTCATCGCCTACCACACACCGCTAGGAGTGTACGTACGTCCGTCGACGCCTCGCGCCCCAAGCTTACGCCAGTTGACCGATTCCGAGGTGCTCGGGATCGGCCTTGATGATACGGAGCGTGTTGGTGTTGCCCATGCCGCCTCTCCAGCCCTGGACGACAACAACCGTAGCTCCCTTGGTCAGGACCCCGAGGCTGAGTGCGTGATTGACGCCCCAGCTGATACGGCGATCCACATCCTCTTGCCAGTTGACCTTGGTGAAGTCGGGCTTCTCTTCCGGGAAGTAGAAGGGGTAAACACCACGGTACAGGTGACCGTACCGACTCGCGCTGGCGCTCCGGGTGACCATGAAGATGGGGCAGACGGGTCGGTACTTGCTGATGAAGCGGGCAGACTCGCCAGAGGTGGAGAGAACGATGATACCTCCGGCATTCAGGTCCAGGGAAGCTCGGACACCCGCCATAGCACACGACTCGACGACGGAGACAGGTCGCTTGACCAGAGTGCACATCTCCTCGAAGTGGCTGACGTAGGGGATCGAGTTCTCGGCCTTGAGACAGGTCTCGTGCATCTCACTAACGGACTCCACAGGGTAGGAGCCCTTGGCAGTCTCACCCGACAACATGACGCAGTCGGCACCGTCGGTGATAGCGTTGCCGACGTCGGAGATCTCGGCACGGGTAGGTCGCGGGTTCTTGATCATGGACTCGAGCATCTGGGTTGCGCAGATGACGGGCTTGCCTGCCATGTTGCACATGGCGATGAGCTTCTTCTGGGCAGCAAACACCTCGGCGGCGGGGATCTCGATACCCAGGTCACCTCGGGCAACCATGACGCCATCGGTCTCGCTGAGGATCTCGGGGAAGTTGTTGAGGCCCTGTCGGTTCTCGATCTTGGCAATGATCTGGATGTGCTTGCCCTCCTCACCAAGAACCTCGCGGATGTCCTTGATGTCCTGTCCACGACGAATGAACGAAGCGAAGACCATGTCCACGTTGTTCTTGACACCAAATCTCAAGTCGTTTTTGTCCTTCTCGGACAGGGCAGGGAGATCGACGTCGGTGTTGGGCAGGTTGACACCCTTTCGGGAGCTGATGTAGCCGTTGTTCATGGCCTTGACCTTGAGAGTCTTGTCGTCGACAATCTCAAGAACTTTGAAAGCGAGGATACCGTCGTCGACGTAGATGATTCGGCCGGGCTTGATGACGTTGGTGATGTTCTTGTAGTCAACGTACCTGGTCAAATGTGTCAGCATGATGACCCATATTCGCAACAGGACAAAAAGAGCATCACATACATGTTCTCGGTGCTGCAAGATGTAGCGTATTGGTCGTCGGTGGTGATGTTCAACTCGGTGCCAGCAGAGAGAGGCAGATCCTCGTCTCCCGTGGTGTTACCGGTTCGAATCTCGGGGCCCTTGGTGTCCAGGGCGATGGCGACCTGACGGCCAGGTTGAGATTTCTCGGCAGCGCGGGCATTGTCAATGACGGACTGGTGGTACTCGTAGGAGCCGTGGGAAAAGTTCATGCGGACGACATTGAGACCAGCTGTTCGCAGCTTGTTGATGGCCTCGACCGAGTTCGTCTTGGGGCCAATTGTGCAGATGATTGACGACCGGCGGTAGTTGTGCTCGGGGGTGAAGGCGGTGTCGAGGGAAGCGAGCCATTGTATCTTACCACCTAGGTTGAGGTGGTCCATGGTGGGCACGGCAATTGATTGCGTTCGTTTGTGGCCAGACATGGTCGGTTGATCTGGAGGAAGGAGGGGCGGTGTTTGGCGTTTTGCTTAAATCTGATGGGCGAGATTAGTAAATTGTTGGGAGCTCGAAAAGGAAGAGGACAGCTCTTGATAAGCAGAGCTGACAAGTCTGCGTGTAGTATTGGGCGGGACTAATAATAAAGCAAGGCAGAGCAGGAATACGGCAGGATGAAGGCTCGTTCAACCATGTCTCGCCAAGTCCGGCGCACCTCAATGATCTGCGCGCATTTGCTGCAGTAGATGGCGGAGTGCCGGACTTGGCAGCTCATAGGTTCTGGTGAAACTTCTTGGACGAAACGGATGGGACCAACGCCAGTAGGATCACGGTGGGAAAGCAAAGGCAACCAGGCGGCTTGAACACAAGGCGACGGCTGTGTACCCTCTGTGTGACCTGAGGGGTGAGGCTGGGGGCGGCCCATGCCGAAATAGGGAGCGACTCCGAACAGACAGCTTTGGTCTGAAGTTTTGCTTGAGCGTACGTACTTGAAAGGATTGCAACAAATCTTGCTCGGCTGCGGGGATTAGAGGATCGCAAGTCTTACGGTTGGCGGGAAGAGGATCTGGGTATCTCAAAGTAGGAATGAGGAGTATGCGGAGTTGACAGGCTGTCGAGGTATTTTATATAGGACGCGTAGGATGTTTTGCGGGATATTGTCGACAACTTGTTCAGCCTTCCGGTGCGGTCGACTGCATGTGCCAGACAGAGGAAGTGGGATGCAATGGAAGCACGAGATGCAAAGTCGATGATTGGAGTTCTGCCCCGCCAAAAAGTGCCTCATCAAAGCCGAAAGAACTGCGACCCAAGTTGCGCAACACGGGTCCAGCGCTGCAGTGGTGACTGGCCCCTGGGTGGAGGGGTCCCTGCCTGCCCCTCCATGGATTGATACCCCTCAACATTTCCCATTGTGACAACTGCGATGCCAATACGGGAGAAGCCCCGCCACATCCAGCTGGGCACGTCCGATGGCTGGACTTCAAGTTGGTCGGGCCGTTTCCCAGGGCATCTAATTTAGAGCCGATCCTCTGTGAAAAGATCTGGTCGGTGGATGCCGTCTTTGATAACGTAAGCAGACGGGAATCTCCCTTATCGATGAGTGCCCGAGCGATAAGATTAGTTCTTGGTGGTGGTACCCCGTGGGCGTTTGTGCATGGCGTTGACTGGCAGCCCGTCTCTCCCGCCTGCCAGGTGGGTGGGCACCTTGACACCAGCTGGAGCACACCTGTCACGCGCCGCGCCGCTTGTACCTGCGCTTGCTGGAACCCAACCTAGCCATAGCCAGGGCGAGGCATGAACACCTTCAAACATACCACTTCACACCTTCGCACCAGCATCTTCGCCCTCATCTGACCGACACTGCCATACTGCGACAGCTCAGCGTGCGATCCAGAGAACTTCGACATCAATACATTAGTAAACGAGCCTCCGCCAAGATGGTTGTAAGTCGTCATACCTTCAAACCCCGTTTGATTCCGGCTCCCGCTGCGCAAGCAGATGTCTTGTCTGTCGCATCACAGCGGAGCTTCCGTTTCACTCAACCGCTCGTTTCTTTGATGAGAACGCTGAATTCTGAGACTCCCGGCTCCCAGTTCCTCAACTTGCTGACATTTGGCCTCTGGGGAAAGCTCGGGAGATTAACCCACTACGCCGTCGATGCCGTCCTCAGTACGTCTGACGCTCTCCCGAAAGTTCGTTGCCGATGATCGCATGACTGACACCTCGCTCCTCCAGTTTCGACGATACTCGCTGGAATGAGACGCTCGACCGGCCTGACGTGAGTTGCACCCCAGTCCGACATCCCGAGCAGCGAAGAATACTGGAAAGGACGGCAGAAGAAACACAGAACAGACAGGCTGACATGTGCTCCCTCTGGGGACGGTCCCAGCCCTAGTCTCAAGAGCGAACAAATAGCCGGCGAGAACAACAAGGAGGTGAACAAATGGGTCGGCAAGTACCTCAGCGTTGGCGAGTGGGTGATGGACACCTCGGTTGCCTTTGCCGGCAGCAGCGGCTTCTTCGAACGGAAACGATAAACATGATGATAGGCAACCCGGGAAAGGGGGAAGGTGTATGAATGGACGAAGGAACGAGCACAACCACGATGCGGTCCACCCGGCCTACCACGAGGAAATGGTCCTATGCGGTATACCCGAAATGTTCAACTGGATCCGGAGAGGAAACAACGCAGTTCTGGCGGTGCGTTGTAACTTGTTTGAGTGTGCGGTCTTGCTGCCCACTCTCCTGTGTCATATCGGGGGATACATCGGGGGATACCGGGACGAAAGAAGAGCGCGGCCCCATCTCAACTCTTGTCGGCATGGATGGACTGATTTTTCCCTCCACCATGAAACGGCGTTATTATTGGGTTGGGTAGACCTTACTTATATATCATTTGCTTCGGTCAAGAAGATACGAAAGGGATAAATGAAAACCCCCAGTTCATGTCTTCTCTCGTCTTACATAAACATGGGTAGGTGCACAGCCAACTGGGGATGAATACCTTCCGGCAAGGCGGCCCACCCGGTGTGTACACTTGCAGCCCAGCCTAGCCGAAACTTGACGACCGACTCTTTCAACTCCCGACGCTCGCACGGAAAAAGCCATTCATTGTTCACGTTTCTAGCCATACGACGTTGTTATTGGAATGATATCGTTTCGTAGCTAGCTAGCTAGCTAGACAATACAGAAGCGTGCTGCCGCCAATGTTATCAAATATCCAGCAAGCCTCATGATGGGAGGTTCATCAGTGCGATGACATGACATGGAAAACACCCCGACCCCCAGTTATGCTCTACCAATGCATACTCCTTCCTGCTCTCCAGTGCGCATTATGGTATACTAAACCTTACACTGATCCAAACAACCTGGCTAAGTAGCTGAAGGTGTAAATCCCCAAGCGTCGTCTTCCCTTTCCCTCCGAGAGCCCCTTCGGCTCTCCGTCATCAGGTCGGCCGGCACCTCGTTCGCGCTGCTCTCCCTGGTCAGTTCGTGATGCTCATCTTCCTCCTCCTCTTCTCCCGAGTGGAAAGGCGTCTCCTTGGCCTTGGAAGGCGGGAAGTGCACCGATAGAAACTCAGCGGGCACCTCGTTGTGGTGTTCGTCCTCGCTTTCGAGGCGCTCGTCGCTGAGCAGACCGGGCGGGACCTCGTTGTCGCTGCTCTCGTCCTCCCTGTGCTCGCTGTTTGTGTGCTCGCCCAGTATATCCGCAGGGACATTGTTGTCGTTTGGCTCCTCAGTGCCGTCCCAGCGGCGGATAACACTTCTGCTCAACTCGTCCTCATCGGCTACGTTCTTATGATCCTCTGCGCTATGATGTATATCAACCAAGTCCTCGCCTCTATCCGTCTTGGTCGGTGACGAAGACCGCGGCGTAACCACGCCATCCGCATGCCCGGCAATCTCCAGTGTCTCCCCCAAGTGCTTCCTCAGCCCCGTGAAAAAGCCGCCCTCGGCAGCGAGTGCGATGACCAGGAGATTCCAGCCCTGCGACTCGGCATAATTGTGATAGTCCTGGAGCTTTTCGACCGTCGACTTGCACAGCCGGTACTGCTTTTGCAGGATCTCCCCGGGCTCTCTAAGCTCGAGGTTTCGCTGCCGATACGCGTACTTAGCGATGACGCCGAGGGCGAAGCTCATGTGGTTGTCGTGCCCGTCGAGCACGCGGATTGTGTCCTGCCATATCTGACCACCCTCGTCCAGGGCAGCGCGCTCGCGGTTGACGGCAGCCTTGCGTATTTCGAGGACCTGCACCTCGCCCTCCCACCAGTCCTTGGCCATCGACAGAGTCCTCCTCTCGGGCCGCAGGGAGAGGAATTCAAAGCCCGAGATGTGCGTCCCCACGAGCGTTCTGAGCTCCTCGTCCTGGGCCATCAGATCCTCGACTTCCAAGACTTGAATGCCGGGATATTTCATGATATCCGTAATCCCCTTGTCACATTCCCTCAGTGCGCCCTGGTAGCCGCTGAACTGCGAGTCCCGCACGCTCTTGGCCTCTTGGATTCGGGATTCTAGTTTTGTCTTCTCCTGTTTAAGCAGCCGCAGTCTCCTCTCGCACGCCTCGATCTCATCACACACAATGCGATGCTTGTGCTCCATCTTCTTGATCTGGTTCTTGACTGGAAGCTCGCGGTCCGCCTCTATGGCCTTCATCTCGGCGGTGATGGAGGCTCTCTGGGTCGACAGGTTGCGCAACCTCGACAGAGCGGCTTTACGCTCTGCGAGTGCTGTCGCGATATACGCCTCCTCTTCGTTCTTCAGAGCCGACAGCTGGTTCATACACCGCGCAATGCCAACGCGGGCTTCCCGCTTGGACATATGTCTTTTCTTTGGCTGACGCACGGGTATAATGTGGTTTATGGACGTGTCTGAGTGCGACGAAGCTGGTGTAAGCGAGTGCTGGTCGTCGTCGTCCTCTTGCGATATGTCGGCCAGGTTCCGCTCTAGTGCGTATTGCTGCGCATCTAGCAGCTGCTGAGTTTCCTGTTGTAGCTGTCGCTCTCGTCTCTGTATCAATTTGAAGCTCTGGTCGACTTGGGAAGGTACACGTTCGGCCGAGTGACTACGCGTCATGAACATGCTCTCGAAGAAAGACATGTGAGGCCCGGCGTTTGGGGCGGTGCGATCGCGCGGTTCGGAAGGGAAGGGTGGTCGCCATAGTTCGGGACCTGAAAGCTTCTGCTGACGGTCCTGGTATGCCCTTCTCCCTGCCCGATAATCGCCTACGTGGTCGCCTGTTCTCTTCGGTGCCCATGCTGGCTCCTGGATGGTTACGACAGCTTTTGCTTTCCCCTTTGCGACAGCTGAAACATTAGCATGCACTGAAGTACCGCCCGGCAAGGTATTATTGTTTTTGATAGTCCCGCTATTTTCAGTATTGTAGGTGGCATCATGGGAGGAATCGGGGTCGAGGAGCGCATCGTCGGGTCGCGGGGAGAGCTCGGAGAGGTCATGTTCGTCTGCCCTGCCCCGAGGAGGAGAGACGTATCGCGGGAGTAACGAGGACATGCCGCCTTCGCCAAGCCCAAGTCTCGATAAGAAGTTATTTCCAAAAATCATGTCGTTTATAACCTGTCAAGCGGTCTGTAGGCGTACCTCAAGCGGCGGATGGCATGGCTATCGAAAGAAGAAAAGGCTCGAAACAGGAGGCGCAAGATTAGCAATTTATAGGCAGGCAAACCAAATCAGTATTCAGAGAGCGTCACATTGAGTCAAAGGGAATGCAGTGTCTGTGGAACAACATGAATATGCGAATTTGTGTAATGCGTCAATATCAAGCGCCGTTGGAATGACTGTAGAGAACAATGAAGGAAGACGGAAGCTCCCAAGGGCACGATGATGATATCACAACCGTAGCTTCAATTCTACAGCTGGTCCTTATCGATAAGCGCTTGCAGGGGGGATGACCTGCAGCTCACGAGGGCCACAGCAGGAGGTGCTCTCCTCAGCTGAGAGACATACAGTGGAACGGGGGCATCGTCATTGGCTGCCCGTCTTGTGAATCTCAACCTCAACCTTCGAGTCCCGTGATGCAAACGAGTATAGTATAGGCTCACAATAGGTGTTTTAGATAACATTGTCACTCACCAAAGATCGAGTTCCGGAAAACAGCTGCACAAGGTCCATTGATGAACACTGAACAGTTGCATCAACCGGGACCCGTTCCCGGTAGTGTTCATGCAACGCAACCTCTGAAACCCCGGATTCTGAACCACGGATGGTTAGTCGCCGCATCGCCTACTCAGATAGACGAGCCATGACGATCGTTGTCGCTATATTCCAGCCGACTAATAACCTCTCCCGAAGCCCCCGACATGGTTGCAGTGTTCCACATATGAGAATAAGCTTTCTGGGGTCATGTCTCGGTGTCTGATAGGGCTCGTCGACCCAGATGTTGCCCGTGGGTCACGCACGATGCTACGATGTTCCCTGTGGAGTGGGATGAGTGGGTGTTGCTTCTGATGATCTTCGCAGGGACCGGTAATTGAAAATCATCCCTCCAATTACAGTACCTGTCACCATTCCTTCTCTCTTCATACGGCAGGTCCATCTGTGAAGTGTTCCTCCATCCAAGTATCGCCGGTCTGGGTGCGGGGGGCATGGCAGATAGATTAAATACCACTAGCCGTGTAGCAAACGAACCATGTCAAACATATTTCATCCCATTGCATTCACCTCTCATCTTGTGGTTCTGTCGGTGATTTACTCTTTACCATCCTCTCTCAAGACCGTTATCCACTCCGGCCGTCAACAGCGAGCGTCTCTTATGAGAAGCTCTACGCCCATTCACGCGACGGGACCGGGCGTAAATCTACATGCAAGGTAATACTTATACGACTCCATCACCCACTGCGGCTTTTCTACCCAGTCGTTGCTCAGCCAGAGCGCCATTACTTCCGCAAGCGACCCCGGACGACCTCACTTTCTCAGGTCGCAGAGATCTCGCCTGGACGATAAAAACACCACGGCGAACTCGATACTTCCTCTATCTCGTCATGGGTCTTTCGCTACTTTCTTTCGTGGCCCTGGCCGGCTACACTGTGGCTCTTCCCGGACATATCAATGATCGACTGGCAGAAGCAGAGGTATGGAATTCGAACCTCTACAGCTGACGATATACGACTCGGTTATTGACTCGTCCACAGGTCATCACTTCAACCATCACCAACTACGCTCATCCCCTGAGCCTGTCCGCCTTGGAGACGCTTGATGCAACAGCGACGCCCCTCAGTTATGCCTCATCTCCGACACCCATATCGGTTCCCACGGCCGGCGCAACGGCGGCCGAGTTCGTTGCGCCAGCCGAGTTCATGGTGGAGGAAGCTAGCTGCACTTCTTCAACCGGCACCGAAGCTGCCCCTAAGTCTACATCTACTTCTGCCTCTGTCTCGGTCTGCATCTCGATCGGAGGCGACTACCCGACCACGACAGTGCCGGCCTACTGCAACCCCTCGCACTTCAGCAACGCGCCGGCGCTCATGACGCCCACCGGCACCGACGACGCCAGCATCCCCACGGCCACGGCAAACCTCACCATCAGCAACGTCCACGACAAGATGGAGTGCTGCGCGCAGTGCACGCGCATCTTCAACTGCTTCGCGTGGCACTTCGTCCCCGTGTACACGCAGGCGTCGACCGACAAGCTGCCCGGCGGCTTCGACCCCTGGGGCTACGGCAACTGCGAGCTGAAGTACCACACGGGAGGCGTCGACGACGCCAGCGGGAAGGTGTGCACGGACGGCGCCGCGTCGTACTGCCCGAATGGACGGCTGGAGGGCATGCTGAACGGGACCAGCAACGTGGCGGGTCCGGACGGCGAGACGGAGCGCTGGAGTAATCTGTACTACAACGGCTGGAACGACGGCGCGTGCAGTGCGGCGAAGGATATATTTGTGGACGCCACGGATCCGGGAATCGGAGATGAGGATAGCCTCTGTGATGGGACGTCATGAACAAGTCTCTTCGGTATCGGCCCTTCGAGGTTACGAGAGCACGTTCGATGCGCTAGCTACCTACCTACCGGCTCCTCGGTCCATACAGCCTCGGGACGAGGAGGAGTCAAGGAGGAGCATAGCCTGATTTGATTGCAAAAAAATACCCCCTTGTTATACCAACCTACCATGGTGTTTCGTGATGGCTTCTCGTGCCATTGATCAGGATCTGGCGACATTCTGAAGATTTGCGCAGGAAAGTTCGTCCAATGGAAAGTGGTCGCTTAGTTTCACACCCGAATCATGAATCAAGGCATCATTCGAAGCGAAGCCAACCCCTGGCGAGGCCTCGGCGCCTGAGACCAGCACCCTTGGAATGGTCCGAGGTCTTGGTTCGCCCCCCTGAATTGCTAGCTCGAATGGAGTATAGCGTCCATGCTTAAAACAAGCGGCAGCGGCCTAGACGCAAATCCTTCGGCGGCTTTCACGCTTTACCTGCCATTTCGAGCAGTCGGTATTCTACCATTCCAATCTCGGACGATCCGGCCTGTGCCGTAGCGCCTGGGGTGACCGGGTGACCAGGGGCTAGCAATTAGAACTTTCTTTCGAGCTGAAATCCGACTTCATATGTGCTTGGCTGGAATGCCATTGTGAGGAGTTGAGTTTTCTCCCCTTCTCTGCACCGTGCTCTTTTCATCTCACAGCAGACTCTTGCTCTTACGTTCATTACGATACCTTTCAGTATCCGCAACTCGTTCTCACTAATTATTTAATTAATATATCAATTAATTACTTAATACACATTCGTTTCCAACCACCAACAAACAAACCAGCAAGATGTCCAAGTCCCTTCTCCTCTCCGCCCTCGTCGGCAGCACCATGGCCCAGACCACGGTCATGGACCTATTCCTGCCCGGCTTCGACAACCAGGCACTCGTGGGCTCGGTCATGACCGCCAACCCCACCATGGCGCAGTACTTCGTCGCGTGCCCAGGGGGCGAAGACGCCAGCGACTGCGGCGCCGGCCCGGGCGTCACCGTCACCATGCGGCCCGGCAACTACGGGCTCGACATAGACGGTGGTGATGCGGTGTAAGTCTTGCTCACCCCTTCCTTCCATCCATATCCTCTCTCATTCCGCCTACTCCACGAGACCACGCCACTCATCACAACAAACAGTACCATGACCGAGCAATGCCAGATAGACCAGGGCACCGCCATCTGCACGGCCAGCATCGGCGGCACCGACGCCAACGACCCGGGCGTGCAGACCGTCACGTCCACCGACATCGACAGCTCGGACTTCTTCCTTGCCGTCACCATCACCGCCGGTCTTGAGAAGCTCGCCGCCGCCACCGCCACAGGCTCCACCACTGCTTCCTCGGGCGCTTCCTCGACGGCCGCCGCTGCCAAGTCCGGCGTCAGCAGCACCGCCGCGGCGCAGACGAGCAGCGGAACCGGGACCAGTGGTGCGAAGGCAACTAGTGTCAGCACGGGGGGTGCCCCGATCGCCACGCAGCATGTGGTCTTGGCCGGTGTGGCCGCGCTCGTGGGTGGTGTGCTGGCCATGTAGGTTCGCGTCTATTCGTCATATAGGTTTTGGATATATCATATCGCTTGGGCAGGGGGCTCTTGATCCTGCTCTTGTACTGTGCATCGACTCATGTTAGACCTACCTATTTACACTGAACCTCCAGGAGTCTCCGTTCACCCCTCGTTCACCAAGCGAAATGTGTAGTTGTTATCACTGGAATAAGCGGTCCGGAATAAGCATCACTTATAGCTGATTTGATTAAACCTGCTTATATCGGGGTGCTTATCCCATTAATGCAAATGGAACTTGAAAGGGGTCAATGTCGATGTAGAACTAGTAACCATAACGCGCATACGATCACGATTCAGCCTTCCAAGTTTGGTGAAGCTCTTGCATGTTCATCTAGCTAGTCTGTCAGCCTTTGTCGTGCCCTTCGCTCTGTGGCACCGTCTTGCGCGTTGCTCGGTTCGTAAGTACTTCAGGTCCCTGGAATTGCCAGATGTCAGGATCAATACTCAAGCAGGAAAGGATCATACTTAGAGTGGCTTGTTCGGTTGAAACGAGCTTATCTTGAGCACCTTGTTGCTTGCAAGTTGCTGGTGCTAAGCTGGGAGTTGCGTATAACCTCCCGTTGTCTCAGCTCCTCGTCCCCTGAACCTCCCATTGCCTCAGGGTCTCATTGCCTCAGGTTCTCATGGCCTCAGATTCCTCTTGTCTCTGCTTCTTCCTCGGCCGAGGCTGTGATGCCAAGAAGTCCGCAATACGGGTGTCATGTGGGTACATCCTCATGGCACAAAACGCAGGCGTCCGCCCACTGTTGTCCTGTGCCCATGGATTGGCACCATGCCGCACCAGAAGATCCACGGCCGCAGTTTTAGTATGGTCAAAGTGCCCCCGAGGCACAGATTATGCAGCGGCGTACGTCCTAGGCTATTCTTCGCGTTCAGATCGGCCTTGTGCTTGATCAGGTGCTTGATGCCCTGGATTATGTGCTCCGGGTATCTGCAGCAAATGTGCAAAGGTGTCGTGCCGGTCGAGATGCAGATGTTGGGACGAGCTCCGTGCTGAAGAAGCAAGAGAACAGCGCTGTCCGCGGCCTTGCCATTGATTCTGCTCAACAAAAGAAGGGCGCTGTTGTGCTCAGGGTCGTCCTCCTTGCACCATAAGTCTGGATGAGCTCCGGCCTGGAGAAGCATTCTGATCATCTCGGGTCCGTAGAGGGCAATGTCCTCGGCGTCAACAGTTGACGACTTCATTCGCTTTGCGATACGTTGGATGAGACTGCGGCCCTCCAAATCAAGATTATTCGCGTTGTATCCTGCATCAAGGACCACCTCCAACAACAGCTTGCCTTCAAGGTCAAGAGCAGTACAAGGATCGAGCCACTCGGTATCGAAATGGCTGGATGCTGGATCGGGCGGGCAATGCTTCAGCATGATTCGGAGCTTTTCCGCTTTTGCCTCGATTCCCGAAGTGCCGTAGTTGCCGTCACTGAGTTCGGAGACAAGGACCTGGACCATTGCTCGCTTGTGCCGAAAAATGCCGTGGGTGTCTTCCGACAACAAGCGAAAAGCCTCAGCCGGCACTGGATAATCTATTGCCAAAGTCAAAGCGGTTTCTTCACACCGCTCCTCCGACTTCATCAGCTGTGCTTGGTCTGCATCGGCGCCTAAAGTGAGTAGTCTCTTTAAGATATTGATCAGGTCTCGCTGCGCATCGGGTTTCGGCCCGTAAGCCATCGCCTCCAAGACCTTATGTAGTGGAAAGTGCGCCAGGCAATAGACGCGTTGCTCAGGTTGGTTGACGTCTGCTCCCTTGTCCAGCAGGAAATGCATGATCTCGAGCTCGCAGTTATCAATAGCGGTAAGTAAGGGTGTCGTGTAACCCGTTCGCAGCGGATCTTCGATGTACTGGTTGACTGACGCGCCCACTGCAATCGCCTGTTTCAAGGTCGGGAGACAGCCTGTCGCGCAGGCCCAGTAGACCGATCGGTAACGCCCAGAGTCGATATCGTCGCGATAGAGATGATCGATCACCACCGGGAAGTACTCTCGACAGGTTGATGCAAGGTTCTTGACATCGACGGGAGGGAGGAACTTGGCAATGGCGACAAGTAACTCCTTGGGGACCTTCTCAGTGAGGATGCAATCAACGGTGATGGTATCTTCAGCTGATAGCCAAGATCCGTGGGGAGGCGCCGCGCGTGTCGAGGCTGCACCAGGGCCAAATGCATGTCGTTTCTGCGCCATCGCGTGCGAGGATGAGGGTGATGACTGTGAAGAAATGCAGGATAGCTGTCAGCCTCGAGAATCAGGTGGAGTGAATGGATGTTTGGGTTGAAGCTGGCAGGTGTGAAGGTGCAAGGTGACGAGGTTGTGCAGGAGAGGGTTCGGGGATGGTGCACCGCGCACAAATGCTGTACCTCAGGCAAGGCGGTTGGGAAAATGACTTACAGTCTAGCCAGAGGTCTGCATCAATGCAAAGTACCAGATTCATCTGTCTACTAACCACGTCCTATCGTTTCTCGGCGGCTAGGTACACTGAACCCTCGTAAGTCTCCGCACACTACCAGTCCAGCAAACAACGATAAGTCTATCGTAGTTGGTACAAGTCTACTGGCATAAGTATTGAAAGTTTCTTCCAACATCAGATATGCTTATTCCAGGATTTCAATTCTCTACGGGTGATGTAAAATCTTATCAACATCAAGGCGCGTACGGAGACTTATGAGGGTGTCACAGTACGACTGCCGGTGACTCTATGACTTTGTTGATGTACGTGAAGAAGGAAAGAAACTATGAAGCTAGCTAGGTGACAGGATCTGGTATATATAGGGGTTAGCCCCTGGGGTTGTGGGGCTGTCATCTAGTGCCGTGACAGAGGGCTGAGTGTAGAGAGGGCTTACCACCCGGTCTGATAGAGAACGAGCCACATGTAAGCCAATGCTCAAGAAATGGCTTTATATAAATTGCAGCATCATGAGCTTACCTGCTCTCAATCGAGTCGTTAAACTCATATATGGATCGTCTGATTGTTGTGCTCCTGGAAGCACCTGTGGATAATGGTGGAATATCACCATGACCTCGTTGTGTGTCCTATGGGCCAGAGCATATATGTGCAGTAAGAATAAACGTCAATGTTCTCTAACAACCACTTTGATTACTATCCAGAAGTTTCCCTTACCAAACACCCATCCCTCAGAGGCGGTGCTTGCGATTGTTCAGCAAGCCTAGTTGGTCTGGTTTAGAAGGCCAAGCTTCCAGAGCAGCAGGTCGTAGTTCCGGTAGCAGTGAAGCCGATGCCTTGGTATAGATACTCCAAGTTGCAAGAGCTGACGGTCAACGTCTGGTTGGCTTGGTCACAAGATATAGTCCCTTCCCGGAGGCTAGATCATCATCCCTACCGTACAGCAGAGTTTTAACCAAGACAATAACATCACGAGTACGAACAGAGGCATCTTTTTTCGCTTGTGACTGACAGTGAATAATGAAGCGCCCAACCCTGCGAGGACAAACGAGTCTGGTCCACTCTGGTCGTGCCATGAACCTCTAAAGGCCGACCCATACCCCTTGAAAGGGCACAAACCTCTACAACCCTCATTCAGCAAACGAGAGGTATATTCTTTGTGACACAAAAGATCAAGCACCAAGTATGACTCATTGGGTCAAAGCCTCTTGTCCCATGATGCTTACACTGTTTCTATGGATAATTGCCGGCACATGCCAAATGGAGATGTATAGGGGGTAACGGTACCTCGAGCGCTGTTCGCCTCGCTAACTGGGAACCGTGAAGCATTAATAACTGCGCCATGATCAGGGCACGATATAAAATGGGCTTCAGTCTCGCTAATCTGAGCATATCGTGCTGAGCACGTGCAACCCTACCCTGGGAACTCACTGGCTGATGCAAGTATATGAGAAATGGGGGGAAAATGAACCTAACGTGAATGCCTGAGGCGGAAATCATGTCGCCTTCCTTGGGCATCTGCCGCCCGCACCTCTATTTTCGCCTTTTGATCTGACGCCGCGGAATCGATACCAACACGCCGCGCCCAACCTCGAGCAACAACCACTCTAGCGGTCACCATCGCTGTCGCCGTCGCCATCGCCAATCTCGACAGCGTCAATCACGGCATTGCCTTTTGCATTCAGTGTCATGGCAGGCGCTACTCCTCCTCAGTGCCGCTGGTTCGTCCGTCGCTACCCAGCTCGCGGTCGTTCCATACTCCAGGCAAGGCCCCAACAGCCTGACGGCAGCAACGAAGCCAGCAAATCCAGCAACGCCAACGAGACCTTGGGCTATCTTGCATACCCGATCGAGATCCAACGCATGATAGCTGGCCACAATGTCTTAAGCGCTCGCGATCGCAAGAACCTGGTCAGGACCTGCCGAACCGCCTACGACAACTTGTTGCACGTCATTTACGAGAAGGACCGCGACGAAGGCGGTTTCAAAGCTCTTGAGCACGGGGTCAAGACTGCGGTGAGATAATGCCCTACTTCTACGTTTCCCAGCGTTAAATCGAAGGATGATGTACTGATAAGTCTCGAAACTACAGGACGTGGCTCTTCTAGAGCGCACAGTAGAGTTCCAGGGAAGAGACATCCTCGCCCACGAGTTCGATTGTGAATACTGGCCAGATGGACATGGTTATGCCCGGCCAACAGCCTTGGCCCTAGCCGTCCGTTCCCTAAGAGTCGACGTCGTCCGATTCTTGCTCTCCAAAGGGGCAGATGCCAATCACTCATTTGACATCTACTTGGTACCTTCATATAGCCGCCTTAATCAGGTTTGGCCAACTGGCATCTCGATATCCCAGAGCGAAGCGGCATCATGCTTTCCCATCCATCTGGCTTTGAGCGCTCAAACCAACCGACCGGCCTCAGCGCGTCTCGAAGTCGTCAAGTCCTTGCTCGAGCACGGTGCAGAACCCAATCGGAAGTCCACCCTACTGTCTTCTGGGTGCATCCACGAAGGGGTCACGCCGCTATCTCTCTCGCTAGAAACGGGTATCTCAGCAGAGGTCCTCCGATTGTTGTTGGACCGCGGCGCGAATCAGACCGAGGTTGATCTGCCGCTTACCTATTTCAAGCAACTTGTCGGCGAAGCCAGCCCGTTCTGTTTCCCCAAACCAGTCTACTTATGCAGCCCGAGTCCATCGCTAATGCATACCTACGGGCTTCGGGCCTCAGATATGGATGCCGAACCCCGAGACCCCTTACGGAACCGTACTGAACCTCGCGAGAAGAAGCTGGCTAAACTCGGAGTCCTCTTACAGAACCATCCTGACGCGGGTGGCCTGACAGTGCAGATGTACGTCACCATACTGGAAGAAGCCATCAAGCCGAATACCCGTGACCTGTGCAAGGTCCTTTCTGAACTCGGACAGAAACCCGACTTCGCACTAGTGGAAATTCAGGTGGGCTGCGCCGGCAACATCCTCAACAGGATCTTTCGGAGCCTGATGCTGGAACTTCCTTGGGCTCGAAAAAATGGGAACTTCGACAACTGTCAAGCGCGAGCAGACGTGCTCATCATGCTTGTGGAAGCCGGTAGGAACCCAAGAGTCAAAGGCCCTACAGGAGAGATGTCCTTCGACTGGGTCCTGCGCCATCGCAAGAAGTGCCACAATCTGACTCTGAAGACGATCCTCGGCGAGCTGGTTCGCCAGCTGCATAAACATGGAGCTGCTGAACCTGGAGCTGCTGAACATGGACCTACTAAGCATGGAGCTGATGAGCTGATGAACGTCGACGAGCGCCTCTGCAGGTACCGAGAGAGGCAAAGAACAAGCCTTAAACCAAGCAGAATGCTTGACGATGCCCTCCTCACGGCGATGGTATGAACACACTGCACCCCTTATAGCATGAGTCACCTCCGCTAACCTTGACGTAGATGGATACGGATCCGACTTCCTCGATCAACGCCGGCTGGATGACTTGAAACATCAGACGCGAAGTGGATAGGACTACGCGAAGGGGCACGATTTCACAAGGTACGGGGCTAATGGGCCTGTCTGGTTGGCAAATTGGCAGTCTGGTCGGGCGACGGAGAAGTACTATCGTGGAAATTTGGTAGACCCAGTTCAGGTAGTCAGTCGATTTCCAATAGAGACAGTAAAAATAAACACACTTTTCCTCGTGAATTCGAATCGTGAATCAATACAATCACCCTCTATAAGTCGCCTTCAGGCACGTCTCTATCCATTTCTGGATATCAATCCTATATTCATTTTGATGGGATAAGCACTGTTGAATAAGCAGCTTCGACTTTGAAAGCCATCATGGATGCTTATTTTAGAGTATTGATTCCATTTATAACGAATGCACTTCTTTTTTGCTGGACGAAGGGTGTACGGAAACTTTTGGAGGCTCAGTGTAGCGACTCTCGGGTAATTATTGAGTGGGTATGATACGTAGGTAGTTGTTAGGTAAGTTGCGGAACGGAGTGTCAGCAGGGCAAGTCACTCAAAGTCCGACAGCACATATCAACAAGAACGGGAAGACAGCTTCATCATAGGAAAAGAGACTCAAATTATCAGGAAACTACTGCTACCGCTGGGTGTATCTGTGATCCATGGCATCAACGCCGAACTGAAGCCAGTGCCACGAGGTTGTCTCTGATCATTCTGTGGCGCTCGTCAAGGGTGCATGCGAGATGCAGCGGTGTTCTCCCCTTCAAGTCTGTCTTGTTGAGGTCGGCACCGTAATAAACCAGGGCGTCGATGAAACACCAGACCTTCTGAGTCAACATGGCATACTGATGCTCTTCCTCGTGTCTAAACACCGCCGCTCGCGGGAAAGGAAACCTTGCTTTCCACGCATGGAGCTGACTGATGATGTAAGTCAACGGGGTATGGTTGTAAGCGTTTCGAGAGTTCGGGTCCGCACCACGGGCGAGGAGCATACGCAGTGCTGCCAGGGCGTAGTCGAGACGTTTGCCGAAGTCTTGATCGACGTATTTGGCGGATACTTTTTTGCCTTCGGCGCGTATGAGGTTGTCTGTAGCGATGTACCATTCGCCCAAGCGTAGCAGATCGAAGACTGGCGCGACCTCATCCTGTGCTATCGTGATGTGTGCCGAAAGCTGGGGAACAGGAGCAATAGCTTCTTCTTCGGGAGCAGCGTCTTCTTGTTCGGGAGCAGTAGCTTCTTCTTTGGGTTTACACCACGCGGTAGGCCGCACGTCCATATCCGCACCGTGCTGACTCAGAGCATGGATGATTCTGCTGGCTTTTCCTTGCATATTATTCGTTATAACCCAGTTGATAGGGTACCAGCAAAGAGAATGGCCAGCTACCGGATACTTGTCTGGCTTTATCGCGCTTGCTCCGTTGTCGAGGAGCAGGTTGACTGCGCGCGCGTTCTGTACCCGGCATGCTAGCAGAAGAGCGGTCTGGTTACGGCCGAATCTGGGTCCTGCATTGGCGATGCGGTGGCCTTTCTCGAAGTAAACGTGAACGGCAGCAGGGTCGCGTCGGAGAATTGTCTCGAGGGCGCCTTTGCGGCCCTTGACGACCGCCCACCAGAGCGCGTAGCGATCACCGATCTTTGCATCGTCACAGTACATCTCAGTAATGATGAGCTGTGATAACTTCTTCGACGCTTGAGCGAGGCGGAATCGCACGCGCTGAGTTAGGTACTGGCAGATATCGAGTACCAACTCGGTCGGGATCGTAGTTAAGAGATCAGTCGCATCCTCATGAGTGGCGCCGTCCGTGTTGTCGCTGGCGTTGGTAGAGTGCATGATGAAGACGACGCTTGGGACAGTGCCCTCGCACGATGGAGGAGAAGAAGCAGGTGCTTGACGGTACCCAAGTAGGTAGACGCCTTCGCGAAAGATGAAGCACTCCAGGAAGGTGGGTGCAGGTGGTATGAGATCGAATTCGCCTCCGCACAGGAAATGGAGGTGTTGTGGGATGGAAGGGTGAGGGTGGAAGTGTGAGTGCAAGGCGTGCAGGCCAATGAATAGATATTCACACACAGCAAGCCGCGTCTGTGGGTCACGCGTCTGTGACACGCGGTTAAGATAGGTACCTAAGGTACCACTATCGATACATCTCATTGCGAAGCGGGACAACTAGGTATTTACCTAACCAGGTAACTTAAGGTACCTACCTCACGGGTGTAGGCTACAGCGCTCTCTACAGTGTTTGCCATTAGGTACTGCTGATAAGGGGCAAGGCTTCAGGTTGCCTTTGGGACGACCGCGCGGGGCTTAAGGGGGGCTTCCATTGCTGCACCTCCAGATTTGTCACTTCAAGAAGGTGCGTTTATCATAAATGGAATAAGCATAGAAGATAACTTTACAGCTATGAGCTACTTATTCCTGTCTGCCCATTCCTGTATTTCTAAAATTTCACTTGTAATCTATAAAACTTCTAGCATAGCGCTTACGGAGACTTATACGGGCTGAGTGTATATCCCCAGGACCTCTGGGATTGATCAACTGTCTCTTGCCTTTGCGATACGGAAGCCAAACCGTCCCCCTCACCACCACCTCTGCCTCATCGACCAAAATGGGTACCATCTCGTCGCCTCGCCCTTCTCTGGTCCCCTCATGGCTTGATATTCGATAACGGCGGGGGCATGAAGTTGGGACAGCCCCCAAGTTGGGACAGCTTCCACACCAAAAGGCCACACTTGCACCCACCCACATCACTATCAAGAATGAAGCTGTAAATACTATAAATAATGCATTCGAATCTTCTTTTTTTGGTGTTTCTTCCAGTGCAGAATTCATTAGGTACGCTGCAGCGGGATGGGCCGTGGTGGGGGTCGGAAGTTAGCACTCCCAGGCCTAGAACTGAGGGGTCCCGGCTCCCGTGCCCCTATCCCCTCCAATCCAGCAGAAGTTTTGTATTTTTTTCTGTTTTTTTCCCTGTAAATATTATAGGCTTTAATACGTTGAAATGCCTCTTTCATACACTCCCGAAGACCTCACCAAGGCAATTGCCGCTGTGAACGATGACGAACTGTTTCTTCGCAAGGCCTCCCAACGCTATGGAGTGCCAAAATCAACCCTCTCTCGCAAGGTCGAAGGCACCACGATGACCCAAACGCAGTCATATCGTAAGGGCGCTCACATTAAGCAGAAATTGAGCCCTAAAAAAGAAATAAAGGTGGTTTTATGGATCCTTTATCAAGCGAAGGCAGGCCATGTGCCAACTCATGGCAATATGAAGTACATTATTAAGAGGATCCTAAAATCCCAGGGAAAATTGGATCACTTAGGGGGTTATTGCATGCGAAACTTCATCCGGAGGCACCCAGAGATCAAGACCAAGATGGGAAGAAAACTTGACTACAAACGTATCAATGCTACCACTCCCAACAACATCAATGGTTTCTATGACCATTATGAGGATTTTGCCTTCATCAAATCTGGAAACTGGGTAAATGTCAGTAAGTATGGTATTATGCAGGGTCGGCAGTACGTGAATTGCCCAATCCAAGTGGTTTTCGGACTGCTGACCGGGAGATTATAGGTCTGATGGCCTTGTAATAGGTAGTTCTGGCTCAAAAGGGGCCAACGTTAAGTCCAACGACGACCGCACGTGGACTACAGTGGTGCTGCTCAGATGAATTCATGTATATGTGCTATATAAACAACGTTTATCTGAGCTTTTTTCCTGCCCATACGGTAGGTTACATGCTAATTAATAGTTATTTCGCTGACAGAGGTAGTCTCATATCTTCCAGCCCCTGGATTTGATTGTGTTCTTTGTGGTGAAAGCCGCCTACTGCCGCCTCATTAACCAGCTCGGTCAGTTAAACGATTCCGCTCCTAATTGCAAAATACGGTTCCTTAGTTGATTGGCTAAGGCCCGCGAAGAAGCCACGGAGGCTATCGTGCGTTCGGGATGGCATACTGCCGGTCTTTGGCCTATAAACCGACAAAAGACCCTCACGAACGAGCATATGGTGAAGGCAGCAGAGATCCAAGCAGCAGCAGCTGCTATAACGAACCCCTGGACCACCCCTAAGGCACTAGAAACCCCTAAATCAGGGCAGGATATTGCCCTGATGCTATCAGCAGTTGCTGAGACCCATGAGCAGCGAACAGGAGTCCGCTCGGTTTCAAGAGCGTACAATGAGATGGTGATTGAGCTAGCACTTGCAAAGGAGCTGCTGGAGGCAAAAAATGCCAAAATTAAGCACCTATAACCAAAAAAAGCACCATAAGGCCCCTCAAGAAGAGCCATACAAATGGTTATAAAAGATTAGAGACGTTGCTACTGAGCAAATTGAGCATACGGAGGCCGCACGAGCTGCTATAAAGCAGCGGGAAGAGAAACAACGAATTTTGAGTAAATCATAGAACTTGTATACTGATAAATCAGAGAGACCTCTCTCTAAGGACTCTGAGGAGTCAGATTCAGAATATTTAAAGGAATTAGAGCCCCCTGAGGATAAAGGGGTTGCTGTTGACAAAGAGGGTGATGGCACGGATGAGGAGTCCGACGAGCCTATTTTGGTGCGATCTTCACGCCGCGCGATCCGCCAGCCAGCGCGCTACCGCGTGAACAACTAATATTACTGAGAACACGAAGAAAAGGCGGTTCTAACTCATTTATTATATAATTTATAGCTTCAATACAGATGGACTTATCTGGGGGTGCAACTGTGGCTTTTTGGTGAGGAAACTGTCCCAACTTGGGGGCTGTCTCAACTTCATGCCCCCGCCGTTATCTTCCCTTACTACCTACCCTGGCCAGCTTCATCTCGGAAACACCCTCTGTGGTCTTAGTGGGGTGGTCCTTGAAGGACTGTGCCGTGATGACGCCCGAAGACTCTGCGAATGACTGCTGCTCGCAAGTACCCTAAGCCATAAGAACCTTCCGAAGCTGATGATTGACACAGTGGCTCCTATCAGCAGACTCTTTCCTCGTTCCTGGCGCTCAAACGGGCACCGGCCTCATCAACAGCGCTCTAAATGATTGCCGATTTCTACCATGTCGAACTCGACCGCTCCTTACTATCCGCTGGCTCTGGTTACCCACCAAATCGAAGAATCTGAGCCTCTGCGGTGGTTAGCTCTTATAACCCAAGACGCTGTCTGGACCCCTCGATCGATCCACTGGTCCGTAGATATAATTCCTCAAGACCCGTCCACGCCGAGGACCAGCACTGATGACATCGTGACCCTGTTCAGCATACTGGTCTGTGTGCCGGAGATGAAATTTCCAAGCTCGAAGTTCCCGAAGAGCGGCGACTGGCAGCCTCTTGGGAGTGGAATTGATGGAGCTTGCGGCCGTAGCCCACTACTCAGGGGTAAGTACCAGTCACATGCTGTTGTCACGGGGCCCATTAACTCATCATTGACTTATAGGCATCGAATAAAGTCAATTCATTTTGAAATGAGCACGTCAAGCCTTCCCACACCACCTCTATCTGGAACTGAGCTCCAGTGGCTCGTTTCTTATGCCGACGACGGCAACCCGAGCACATTTACCCCTATCACCAACCTTTGCGTCGAGCTACACTCACGGTTGTGCTCATCGCCCTTACTCTTGTTGCGCCTCAGAGACACGCGCGCAGGTTCTGCCCATGACGCACGCATTCTATTGGCAAAGGAGTTTCGTCAACTGGAGTCACTGCGAGGGCACCCCGTTGCCATCGGGGACGGCCTTCAAGCACATTGCGAAGGTGCTTCTCAGAGCCGGCGCAAGTCTCGATGGGGTTCATTCTCAGACGATCATAGCACTGGATCGCACTATGCCGTGTGATAGCACATCTCTTCCAATAAACTTTGTCTGCTACGCTGGTCGCTCGATACCCAGTTTGGTCGGGATGGTCGAGTTGCTGCCCACGCATGGAGCCGCATATTATCAGACGGCAATATCGAGGCCGTCACCTATGGCATGGTGTCTTCCTTCCTCGCTTCACGGATGTTGAAGGCGCGACGTCCTCGTCTACCGCCATCTCAGCATTCCACATACTCGTGGGAGAAGCGTGGGTAATCTCCTTGCACGTCTTAGAGATGAGTATATAGCCAAAGAACGATTGGCGTTGAACGAGACTGACTCTTTTGTCGTATAGGTTTGGATTTGTCGTATTGGAGCCCCTCTGATGTAACGCATCGCGGTCCCTGTTCATCCCCCCATCACCAAAAGACCATGTCCAGGCTAAACACATCATGAGGCGCGAAGCTGGACGAGATCAGAACTCTTTCTTTGAGAGTCTGGGCCTAGGAAAGTAGGGATGGGCAGTAATCATGCGCGGTTCCAGCCGCCCGACGAAGCCTGTCTCATAGCATGGATATGCCTACTGATCAGCAGAATCGTATTCTTGAACATCTACAATTGTGTTTAGAGCTGAACTGACAGGCCGGATGTTCGCTGTCTGTTACACGATGACTTGTGGCCAAACCATAAGCCGCATATGGGCTACTCTTGCACTCCGATACCAAGCTTGCGAGAATCCGCAGGAGAGATTGAAACCCTAGAAAGCGTAGAACTATACGGGTTACATCACTCAACTAACGTCGCCATACGCAGAAGCCGACCAAGGCAGTCTCTGCCTGAGTTAAGGTCAGCGAACTTCCACAGGCCGCCAAGGGCCAGTTGTCTCGCTGTAGCCTTAGGGTCACAGCGGACTGTTCCATCAGTGTTGCGCTCTTCCAATGCGACTCGGCTACAATCGAGTGTCATTATGCAGGTAGAATTCGATGCAATGTGACCAGCAGACATAGACAAGTGGCCTAGAGGCTGGGGTTTGGCGATATTGGGATGTCCAATTGTCGCAAGCACGACTTCGACTAAAGTGCAATTGGCAGGCGTTGAATATGACCAAGTGTGACAATCAGGCCTGCAGCTACGCTGGCCAGGGCTGATGGGATGAAATATCTAGATTCAACGATATCTAAGGAAGAAGAGGCAATGTCGGAAGAGAAAGGGGAAGCTAGGGATATATATGTACATAAATATGTGGAGGTATTATGTAATACCGTAACACCAAGTCTGGCAGGTCTTATCCATGGAGTTTCGCAGAGGCTTTGAGTTACTGTTCACTTGCCGAGTCTAGCAGGATATGTGGCCATGTGGCCCTCTGATGGAACATTCGAGAAGTTCTATGTGGTATATTCCGAGTCTCACTTCAATGGATTGGGTATGTGACCCATCACAAGCATTCGCGGGTGCATCCCCAGACCCCTCAACTGCGTTGCCAACATTCGAGCCGTCCGATATGCTAGATTATGACATACACGCTTCTGGTCAAATGGGTTGATCACGACATGCGGCAGGCACAGCTGGACGGTGGAAGACTTTTCGGCTTGTAAGCGGTATTTCAGGTGAGGATGAAAGCAGGTCTATGTTTACCTCGGCAACCTAAGAAACACCCCGGCACAAATTTTTAAGGTTTCCTAGTAAAGCGATGTCTAATATGCTAAGAGAGGGGACGGGGGATACAGGTGGATTTCCGCATTCAAAACTAAAAACGTAAGCTGGGAAGGGAAGAAAAAAAAAGTTGCGCAAAGGTCTTTCCAAGAGAAGGGGCTGCAGCCCAATGCCCCCAACAACCTGAGCCATCCGGCCGGACTGGTCAGGTTGTTGGATAATCATTTGGAGTTCATGTTTGGGTCCTTTTATTTACATACATAATACATGTCTACCCTTCCATGTGTAATTGTCACCTGAGCTATGCTCATCCGTTCCATCAAACTCGCACCGTACTCATATTGTCATTGTTGGTGCATCCTATTGCGCCCACCGCCCTGCGACAGGGAGTTGTTACTCCGGAAACAACCTTCCATCATTTTTCGCGACGAATTCATTCTCAGCTTTTCCATCTACTGCGCCACTCATGCTCTGAAATGCTGAAGAATTTTGTCGGACCAGCTTCTTCGCTCTTCATGCTTATGACGGGGCGCTTATGCCACGATGAAGAAAACCCCTATTCAGGATATTGTTTAGGTATGGGGTGTATGGAGACTTGTGCTGCTTCGTTGTAACACTTGCATCCAATGCAATATCTTGCAGATGCACTCTATACCGAAGCTTCGCCTGGTTTGAAGGCAGCCTCATTAATTCCACAGGGCCCTGCTGTCTTTTACTAAAACCTTCCCAGGCAACTGAATAGGAGAGTCAATAATCCTTTGCCAACGTCGATGAGGGTTTCCACTGCCATATTTTACCAATATGTACGTGTCCACACCTGCACGCCATGATCAGGCGTGTGGTATTAAGGCCTCGCGTAGCGAAATGGTAGCAGCGAGTAGCACCCTTACTCCCCCAAAGAATACCACGGCCAACCGCGGCGTCTTTGGTGGTCCTATATAAGGATGATGGAGCTTTGGCAAGTGAATCTGCATGACTGTATCAACCAACATGTTCCTGGGTAAACATGCCCTGCCAATATGCACCAACATGAATCTTATGCTGGTCCTCACATAGCAGCCATACGAACACACATTTGTGACCAGGGGTTTTGGTGGTATTTCCGGGAGAAGGTGAGGCTCCTTGTATTTACGCCGAAGCGCCACGGGGACAAGAGCTGCAGACTATTCGGCACCACGAACTTGGAAGTCGTGAGGCTCTGCGGGTCCTGGCAGGTTGTGTTGAATGGCGCGCAAGCCACCGTGGCGTTCAGGGAGGTGGCAGTGCACCAACAAGGCCAATAGGGCATTTTTAGGCCACTTAGCCCACAGCAGGATTTTCACACAGACACAGCAACAAGGCTGATTACACCAGAATATATGTTTTCACCCATCTAAAAGCCCGCATGCTCTGTTTGATAGGTTGCGATACATCATGCAGCATACATCGTCCATGCTTGGCACATAAACACCCGGTCCTCTCCGCACTATCGGCAGGAATGCAGTTGGAGACAACGCAGTCACGTGATATATGGCCAGGGCCTATAAAACATCGTGCTTAGCAGCAACGAAGTCTTGGGGTAGTCGAACCCAGTCGACTGAGTCGCGTCCAGTCGACTGAGTCGCGTCCGGAAAACACCGGCTCCTGTGCCCCCGTGCCCCCTTGGCGCCCATTCATACACCAACGAATGGGATCTTGCCAGCGAAAATCCAGATCAGGAAGATCCCGTTCCTGACTGAGAAAGTATGTCGCTGTCTACCAACCTGCCGGCATGCAACCCTCCGACCCTCCGAAGGTCTCTCCGTTCCTCCGAACGACTCACGATCGGGATGCGAGTGACGGGAACTCCCGTGCAGGTGGTCGAAATAGTAAGTTGGCATAAGCAGCTGGGCTGACCGAATATTCCGGGCATAATTCAATACCACTGCTTATCATGTGTTCAGCCGTTAGTATCATGACATCAAACGAGTTCCTTTGAAGCTGTACGTGTACCGAAGGCTTTGGGTATTGGGGTTTATTGGCATTGGCAGAACTATTTTCCTTGAGATCTCTATTCATATGTTGGTTTCCCCGGATTGATCATCGGCGAATCAATCCGGGGAAACCAATTAGATCACCAGAGCTGCCTGTAAAGTGGTTCTGCCAATAGACCGCAATACCCAAAGCCTTTGGTATACAAATTACAACAAGGACACTTTTGGCGAATTCCAAATAACACCCGACTCTGGACTTATCGGGATTAGCATCTTGTTCCCATCGCAAATTACGGCCTGCTGTCAGACGTGCCAGCGTGCGTGAAGTCAGCCCCGGGTGCCTGGCGAGCAGGGGTGAAGGCCCCCTGCCCCTGGGCACCCTCGGGAAAGAGGATGGTCGTCTGTCTCGGATGCAAATTCGCCGAGAGAATGTATAAGGGGTGCACAAAGAGGCATGGAATGTGACTTATGCAGCTCTCATCACCAACACCTGCATCGCCGCAGCGAATTCCGCTCCCACTGAGCAAATTGTCGCAATCGTAAGCACTGAAGATCACAGCTGGGAGCCGAACTCGCGCGCTTACCTTCCCCTCGGCTTTGGCGTCAGCCCTTGCCAATACTACCTACCCAAGTAGAAGTTGAGTAGAGTTGTGCGCAGTGGTGCGCCGGAAACGGGATGTTCGGTTCTGACATGGGTGTTGGTTGACTAATTTCTTCCCGCTCGTTTGATAAAGAGCTTCGATGCCTTTTGGTAGCTTGTCGCGTGTCCAGACAGCTTTCGCGTCTACCTCCCATCTTAGCGACTAGCATTTGCTGTACCCTAGTCTAGATCCTGAGTCCCAGTTGAGTAGAGACCACTCGAACCGAGAGCGCGCCCTCCAGAAGGCCAAGCACAGGTTAGTAGGTGTGTCTTTTCCGCACCTGAGAGCTTCAACTGCAGCTTCAAACACCTGCCGACTCTGAGCTATAGCTAAACGGATACCAGGACATAGCTACCGCCGCAGATGGCGTCGAGTACAGCCTCCTCGACAATGGCTGAGACACGCAACGATAGCGCGCGAGAGGCAGACGCGGGGTTGGAACTGCGGCGGAAGACGAGCCAAGCCGTAGACGAAGGCCACGATGCGGACATCCCCTCAAGCCAGGGCTACGTATTGAACGAGGCAGGCGAACTGAAGAGGCTCCAATCCATAGCGGATCTGAGGAAGAAGACCAGTGCGACAAAGGACAGCAGCCCAGATCGAGACGTGGAGAAGGGCGACGTGCCCCAAGAGGGCGTTGACGGGAACGCCGAACACACGGACGACGAGACGGACCCCAATGTTGTCTGGTGGGACGGGCCCGACGACCCGGAGAATCCATACAACTGGCCTTTGTGGCGGAAGCTGGTCAACTGCGGACTCATCAGCACCATGACTTTCATCTCGCCACTTGCTTCATGTGCGTATAGCGGATCCTTGGCCCACGAACAGCCGGCAGTGTACTGACCCTCTCGTAGCTATATTTGCGCCTGGCGTTCCCCAAGTGGTCATGGAGTTCCACTCCACATCCCTAGAGATCGCCACCTTCGTCGTCTCGGTCTACCTCCTGGGCTTTGCGGCAGGCCCCATACTCATAGCGCCCCTTTCCGAGATCTACGGCCGGGTCATCGTCTACCACGTCTGCAATGTCGGGTTCGTGGCATTTGCCGTCGGTTGCGCACTTGCTCCAAGTCTAAACTCGCTCATCGCGTTTCGATTCCTCTTCGGCATCTTCGGATCCGCCCCTCTCACGAACGGCGGTGGGACTATCGCCGACATGATCGCACAGGAGAAACGAGGCGCCGCGCTGGCAGCATACAGTATCGGCCCACTTCTTGGACCTGTGATCGGACCCGTGGCAGGGGGGTTCCTGTCTGATGCTGAAGGTTGGAGATGGACGTTCTGGCTACTCGCCATCGCAGGGGGGCTCGTCTCGATCGTCGAGCTCTTCGCACTCAAGGAAAGCTATGCGCCGGTCATCATACAGAGAAAGGTGGCGCGACTACGCAAGGAGACTGGGAACGATTTGCTGCGCTCGAAACTCGACATCGGCTTGTCGCCAGGGGACTACTTCAAGCGTGCAGTCATCCGACCCATCAAGATGATCTTCAAATCTCCAATCGTTGCGATCATGTCTCTGTACACTGCAGTCACGTATGGCTACCTGTATGTCATGTTCACGACCATGACCGAGGTATTCGAAGAGACATACGGCTTTAACACCAGTACCGTCGGACTATCCTTTCTCGGTTTGGGAGTCGGGAGTTTGATTGGCATTGGCCTCTACAGTTCAACCTCGGACAAGTACATCAGGAGAAAGGCTGCCGAGGCCGACAGGGCAGCTGAAGCAAGTGGCAGTGCCAAGACGGGTATGAAGCCAGAATACCGGCTGCCAATGCTACCGCTCGGGGCAGCGTTGATCCCAGCGGGACTCTTCATCTACGGCTGGACGGCGGATTACAAGGTCCACTGGATCGCGCCTATCATCGGGACAGGTGTGGTCGGTGCTGGCAATCTGATTGTTTTCCTGTCAATCCAGACATATCTCGTCGACGCCTTCACGATCTATGCCGCTTCCGCTCTCGCCACCAACACTATCGTGCGGTCCGTCGCAGGCGCTGTGCTGCCTCTCGCCGGACTGAAGCTGTACGCAAAGCTCGGGTTGGGGTGGGGGAACAGCCTACTGGCTTTCATTGCCATAGCCCTGTTGCCTGTCTCCTTTGGACTGTTGAAGTATGGGGAGCTCTTGAGGAACAACTTTCCGATCAAGAATTTGTAGGCATGTCTTATCGAATTTATAGAGCAAACGTATAGGCTTCTCCAGGACCGGACAATATAGGGTAGACAAAAGCGACTGGCTATCATAGACCTTTTGTTTCTCGCCCCACCGGGTCATACCATCCCCATAGAAGTCGGACATCCCCACTAGTCGGACAGCCAAATAGTGGGGTCACCACCAAAACACCCCCTTATTCACCCACCCGCGAATGAAGCTATTCAGATCGGAGAATTATGGCAATATTATCATTAGAAAGCGGAGAAGCTTTTTACTCGTACAATGGTGCGGGAGCCCGAATGGCTCGCCCCGAACGGGTGTGCCTAGGCTCCTGTACAGCCTCCAAAATCTCTTCAGCCGAGTCTTTGTCTTTGTCTTCTTTATTCTCTGAGTCAATAACCACAATTTCTGCTTCACCCGCAAGGGTACCAGGGGTGATGGTACCACCCGTACTTAGTATCTCCGTGACTTTTCTGAATTTCCTGTTGGGATTTGGGATCTTCTTTTGCTTCTTTGGCCGTAGCCGCCCCAGTTCAGCCTCCAGGGCCTTAATCTTCCGGTCTTTGAAAACCACCTCGGTCTCCTTGGCCTTGAACGTATTCGTTATCTTCCTATTCTTCAGCCTGGTGCCTAGAGATCTTTTTTTGCTGAAATACATGATCTGGCGGCTCGTAATATGCGTCCACTCATCCTCTGGTTCAGAGCTTTCAGGGATATCAGGCTTAGAAATCTTTCTCTTGTCTTCTTATATCTCTAGGTGCAGTAAGCACTTCCTGCGGCTGATAGAATAATATCCAGTGACTTTGAAGCCCGAGAGGATGTTTTGCTTCATAAAAGCAGCAGTTCTGGCCCTGCTATAGTATCGGATGAAGTTGATCTTGTCAACAGGCGAGGCATCTGTCAGGGAATTCAACTCAGAGAGGAACTTCTGGTAGTAGGCTTTCAGGGCGTTATAAGGCCCGTTATCCAGGGGTTGCATGTCGTGACTAGTATGTGAAGGAAAAAAACAGAGCAATATATTGTTGAGAAAACATATAGTCATGGATTCGTCCTATTACACGCGTTAGACCATATTAAATCAGGAAAAATCAAAGAAAGTCCATTTAAAATAAGGAAAAATCGTATACGTACGGAGGTGTGGCTCTTGTGGCCATCCAGCACCAAAAAGATAGCCTCAGACTGGTCTCCTCCTCGTTTTTTGTCTGCCTATGGGAGAAAAATATCCTTCAGCCACTGGCAGGCTATAGCATTCGAAGTCCAGCCGTTCTCTGAGCATATATAGTGCCAATTTACGGTCTTTTAGAACTCCTCGATGAACCACTGCATTTGGAGTTCTTCCCCTTGAAGATAATACCTGGTTTGAGGATTTTTCCAGTGGCTGAGATAGTCTCGATGAAGGAGGTCCAGCTACGGCCCTGAGGGCTCTTCAGGAAGGCTTTCTTAGTAACAGAACTACTTAGAACTAGGGAATCGATGCCTGTGAATCTAATTAGGTTTTTTTTGGAATTAAAAGGGGTATATATAGCTACCAAAACCCGCCATGATGCCGCCCTTATCGACATTATAGGTGTTCTTTGGCTTCACCCAGCCGTAATCTTCAAGAATTTCGAAGAACCAGTTAACTGACTTGGGCGTGAACCCCTTAAAGCGTGCTATTTCTATCCTTTTGCCGACTTTCGTCTTGATCTCGGGGTTGCGGCGCTTAAAGGCTACCATGAAAGTGTCTCCTAGGGGGCCCTCATCTCCCTTCTTCTTCAATAGCTTCTTGACAATCTCACGAACCAGGGAGTGCAAAAGGGCTAGACCGAGCTTTTCCCGGAGTAAATTCACTTGACTATAGTCTTCTCTTGGGCAGGGGAGAGTCTCTGTTGTTGTATGTGGGCTTCGGCTCTGGTAGGCTTCTCGTTGAGTCGATCAGACAGTGTTTGGGGCGGAATACCGTGTTTTTGAGCGCTTTTTTGCAAAGATAGTCCCTTATCTGTGATATCTAAGATGACATTCGCCATCTGATCCTCCGTATACGAATAGGGATGCATTTTGGGCGACTATACGGTGCTGCATTGCACACAGAACAAGACTTCAAGAGAGCCTCGTGTTGAATGGCGCGCAAGCCACCGTGGCGTTAAGAGAGGTGGCAGTGCACCAACAAGGCCAATAGGGCATTTTTAGGCCACTTAGCCCACAGCAGGATTTTCACACAGACACAGCAACAAGGCCGATTACACCAGAATATATGTTTTCACCCATCTAAAAGCCCGCATGCTCTGTTTGACACCTCGCGGGGCCGAAAATCTCTATTCGGGGTAGCAAAGGCGGGGTAATAGCTCCCCAATCACGTAGGCCAGGAGGGGTAAATTCAGCATTGGAGAAAACCTTAAGATCAGGGCTATCTAGAGCACTAAATGCATTATGAATAGCTTCAGTATCGGGCTGGATCCGTATAAGTGAACATATGGGAGTTTTGGTGGTGATGATGGGGTTTGGCTGTCCGACTAGTGGGGGTGTCCGACTTCTATGGGGGGGATGGTACAGATGCAGAGCTGTCATGACGGCCATTGTAGCCCATCGCTCTCCTAGCGCACCAGTCGCTCCACTGCCCAGGAAACGAAAACCCAGGGGCTGTGTCCTATTCGGGTGCGCCCACACGGCAACGACCTCATACCCGTCGCCTGTGATCACTGGGCCGCCGATATAGTGCTGCTTATCGCGCTTGGAATTCCCTGCCCGAAGCATTGAAGATAGCCGCACCAGCTTCCACCCACCGCGATAGCGGCCCATTGTCGCCCTGATCGTCCTGTGGCTGCGTCGCCACTCGAAGCCCTCGCGTGATTCAGTACCGCGGATCGGTGCCCACTTCGATGCTGAAGCCGTATGCAGGATAGGACCAGGTCGATGGTGCGCGGAGTACCTCTTGCGTCGAGTCAGTCGCAGACCCGGGCAACGGCGGGAGCACGATGACGCAGTGACGGCGACTTCCTCAGGTCCCCACGCGCGGGGCGGCGGCGAGTGGAGGTGAGGTGTCGCTCGGTCCGCTGTGCAGGATCATGTCGCCGTGGTGTCTCCAGGTGAAGTGTATGGAGACGGCGTACAGGGGCTCGTTTGGAAAAGTGCAGAGCATGAAGACGACAGGGCTCGTGTGGAGCAATTTTTTTAATGTCTACTAATGATTTAGTAGATTCCAATGTGGAAGCGTCTTGGCTGTCCGTACAGGCTCCATGATGCGGGAAATCTTCGCGGTATAGCCGATGAAGATGGAGGCATCACGGCTCCGGTTTGCGGGCGCGGGCGCGGGTCGAAGGCATGGTGAGGCTGTTGAACCGGGACATCTGGGTCTTGTATGTAAGGGGGTGGAGCATCTTGGCTTTTCCCCGATGCCGGTGATGGCCAATGCAGTTTCATTAGGAGTTAGAAACGATATGACCAGAAGAGGATTGATATATATAGTAGGTATAGGAGAGGTTGCTGGTTTCATGGAGGTCCAAACCGGCAGGGTGTCCAGCATGCACCCCAAATGAATGAAATGGAAGGGAGTAGCGACTGCCTCGAGGGAGGTTGCACATTATCGACACGGTAAGACACAGATGCAAGAGCGCCCTACGAAACCAAGATGTCGTCAGTGCCATACAATGTCAATTGCCGTAGGCTGTCGCTGACTATCGCATCATCCGTTCCCCGTTTCGTCGTGCCAATACTCTACTACATACAAAATGTCCACCCTCTGGACTCCATAGACTGTTCGCGACCAACTCCTTCTAAGCACCATCAGCACTGAGCGAGTAAAGCCTGGAGCCTAACATTCGCTGGTTGATCCTCATCATCAATTCCAGCGCCAAACTCCTGGGACTCGTAGTCGCCCTTATACTTCTTGCTCCAGCAGATCCTGCACTCAGTGTACAGGTCGGCACAGTGATAAGGATCCTTCACCAGGTCGGGATCAAACGTCTGTTTGCGCTGGAGGCGCTCGAACTTGGTGTGGCCTCGAATTTTGTTCGCTTGGGCTTTCTTACGAATGGCGACGAGATCCTTTGTGAATATATAGCGAGGCGGCTCGGGAAACGTATTGCCCTCCTTACGTAGTTCGTCGCACTCATGGCATCGCAGCGCGGGTCTCGTTGGCTTCCGGGTATCGTCGTTGTGGATGAGCTCCACGTCCCATGGACATGCGTTGACATGGTTCGGGTCCATGACTGTTTTGTAGCCACATCGTGGGCAATGCTTTGCGCACTTCCCCTTTGCCCTACAGCCGGGCAAAGGACAGCGCGCTAAGTAACAGTCATCTGGAATGTGTGACTGTTGCTTAATGCCAGTGGAGTTCTTGCAGTGCACGCACTTCCTTTCTGGAGCTCGAGCTCTACCGGCGCTGTCCGCTTCCATGCGTGTATCATCCTGTTCAGGAGCGGTGTCTCCTTGTCCAGTCTTCAAAGAGACATCGGGGAACATTGCAGGATTTTTGGTCGGTTCCAGGCCAGGATTGGCATGATTGGCATGATTCGTCGTTGGAAGCCTCTCCATTCCAGCTGCTGGCGCTACGAGCTGGAAATTCTCATACGGGAAGAGCTTGACCTCTGCAGGTATCTCCTTCCCCATACTCTCCTGGATGTCGTCGAGAAAGCTTTGCGAAGATGCGCGCGAGATTGGCCAACCGGATAAGACTGGCTTCGTCGGCAGTCTATCCCAGAGTTCTTTGAGGTTAGTGTGTGATGTGATAGCCGGGAGGCCTTGCCGATGGACGATGAGATATTCAGTCAGGATCTTGTCGTGGATGTCTTTTCTGTAGTCCCGACGCCGCTTTCTGTGGCGCCGAGCCCATCTGAGTAGCTCGCAAGCGTCTATGATATGGGAGGCGCCATTGCAGTAGGGGCATGCGTGCGTCGTTCCATCCGGGCCGACTTTCACGCACTCCAGGACGCCGTGGCCGTGGACTTTGCACAGTCCGCAGGTGACATTGGGTCCTGCGACTCCTCTAATGTTCGGGTGACGTAGCAGCTCCTCCACGTAGGCGATGAGCTCGGCTTCCGACATACTCTTCTGTTTCTTGTTATTGTTCGTATTCGAAGATCCCGGTTGGGCTGTTTCTCTGCCAGCGTCGTGCTGGACGTGACTCTTTCTCTTCTTGTGTTGGGGCTCGCGGAAATGCGACGATCTGCCGTTCTGGGAATTGGGTCGTGCGGTACTGGCCACAGGCTTGGAGAAGGACCGATTGTGGTCTTTGCCGCGCTGTGTATGAAAGGTGCCGGACTGGGAGCGGATTGTTCTGGGTTGCGGATCATACTTGTTGAGCTGCCCGTGGCGGGTCTCGTGGCGAGTGTTCGTCTCCGGATGCGTACGATAGTCACCATCGTACGAAGAGCCGTATTCGACAGCGCTACTTCCGTGAGGGGACCTTTTACCCCATCCTTCAGCAGTCTGTGATCCGTATCCGGGCTGACTTCCGGTACTTGGAGTCACAAGCCCGGATGGCAACGGCGTTGGTCCTCTTGGCCCTTGAGGCCGAACCTCGAATCGAAACTCGGAGACCTGTATCTCTGCTCCAGGTTGACTTACGCCAAAAGAGTTTGGAACTCGGCCCGAGTTAGGTCGTTCACACGGGTTGTTTATGTTTTGCGTCTGTATACTCGAGATGAGATAGTTGCCCGAATGTGAGATGGGGGTGGAAAAGGGGGCGCGGCTGAGGGGAGGGCAAGATCTGGGACGTAGGAGAGGCCTAGGAGTGTTCCACACTGTGGTGGTAAGTATGCGCTTCGCTGCAGCATTGGCTTTGGTTCGGATACGGTTGCGATGGGAGCAGATGGCTGTGAAGCCGAGCGCACCTGGCGGAGTGACCTCAGGTACCTAAGTGACTTGCCTCAGTAGGGGGCACCCGCTTACTGGAGCATTTGTGAACCTTTGAGTACTCTTACCAACTCAATTGTTGCCTGGCAGTGTCCTGACAGTGCCAGCACAATTGGAAGCCTGACTCTGGTGCTCGTGCTCAAGCACTCAATTCATTTCTCCCAACATAAAATGGTTTCCCACCCACACAATCATTTTCTTTCCTCCAACTCCTTAACACTTTCATCATCCTTTTCGCATCATAGAAACCACCACCACCAGCGGCATCATGTCTCAACCCCTTGAGACCAAGCTCGCGAAACAGTAGCGTTGGCTGCACGGCACATGGAATGCACTCCCTCCCGGACACCTAGGGAACCGCCTCGGCATTGAACGAGTGCTGCCCAAGTATCTGGCCCAACACACCCAAGTGTTGTATCACCATGAATAATGCTTAGAGCATTTCGCCTCCTCGGTCATGATGGAGATGTTGGATGATAGGTAAGTCGCGCCCCGTGTAAGTATTCCTGATTACCTAGCAAATTAATCTCGGTCTTTTAGAGATGCGCCACCCGGAGCTGTGCAAAGAGATGATGGTCGACATGACGTCCACGCATTGCGGCATGGTCACCGCGGCGGACATCAACCGCATTCTAGAGGATGCGACCAAGTATGGATTCACAGCGAATGAGGTTATGTCTCTTATCATCACGAACCACAAGCGCCGTGATTTGTTCAATGACCCCTCCCCACCTGCCACTACGGCTTCTGGGACCTCTGAAACTGCCATGACGGCAGTTCGAGGTCCAGGAAGTGCCGCAACAAGACCCATCCGGCAGATGACTGCAGGAACTCGAAACCAACGTAACCCGGCACCAAGAGGTGTCGCTGCTGGAAACAATGCAGGCTCGAACCCTGCGGACCGCTCTAATATAGGCGGCACGCCCCAACAACCCAAGCCCAGCAAGCCAGCCTTCGTCGCTACTGGTATCCCGCAGCGTCCCAAAGAAAACGATACCGAGCAGCGCAAGCCGACTACAGACGACAGGAACCCGGGTATCGCTTCAGAGCCCGCGAACAAGAGGAAGAGGGTCTCAAGCTCCGCAGAGAATCGACAGAGAGATCCGCCTGACGCAGCAAACGAGCAGCGGTCACAAAGAGAGACCGGGAATCCCAAAGACTGGGAAACACTCGATGCGGCGAACTTGGTGTGGAACCACATCAAGTCCAGCCTCGAGGCTCGTGACGCGTCGCCTGATACACGTTTGCTCCGGACTAGACTGTTCGGCATGCTTGTCTCCCACACGAAAGGGGCACGGTATCTTTGGGAGTTCCTCCACCACCACGACTAGCCGATCCACAACAACTGGCCGGTCCACAACAACTGGCCGGCTCAAAGTTCGTGGTTATGTGTAGACTACATATGCGCTTCGCGGGCCCAGCTAACGATACCTGCAACTGGCGAGCCTTGCCCGAAGTGCTCCGCCGAGAAGAAGGACAACTGCCTCCAGATAAAGAAGCGGAGTGCGACAGATTTCGAGTTCCGACTTGCGCCGGCAGCTCAGCGCTGAGCTTCAAGGACGGTGGAATATAGGGGCTTTGCAACACCGTGAGGTAGTTGTGAATCAAGGGAGTGGCTGATTGGCTGCAGAATTGAAGTCTCTGGCACGTGAGACGGGAGATCTCATACGAAGTGTAGAATATCAATGGAAAACAATATTCACACAAACCCATATTCATTGAGTCCAGTAACGAGTTTCTCGTCCAGCGTATCGTGTCCTATTTGTGCGTTTGTCATGAGTATCGATACAGTTGGCTATCCACCTCTTCCATTTCATCTGATCACTTCCTCTATCCAGACTACCATGCTCTAAATTCTTTCATTCTCCGCGCTTTTCGTGCTTCGTAAACTGGGCGAGGGAGCTTGCCTTTCATCAACACCCCATCCCATTTCCCAATCATGCTCGAAGCCCGTATGCTATTTCTTGATATTGCTACGTGGTAAGTTATAGACAATGAACTACATATAGCGAATAGCCAACCGGCGAGTGGTCTATCTGCGAACTCCTCAAAATATGTCCGACATCCTCCTCGATCACACGTGTACCTACACTGTCAGCTCATGGGTGACCACTAGTCAACAGAGCAGTATGGCCTCACAGCCGATGAGCTGTTCATGTCGCTTGACATCACGATGTACTAGAAATGGGATCGATTCACTGCTCCATCGCCAGACCAAGCGGCTACGGCACGCGCCCATCGCATCTAGGTGGCGCTACTGCGAACGATGCAGGCCCCGAACGGGACAGCGGCTCCGGGGCGGGCTAAACAGCGGCGAATCCTAGATGAAGGACTTTGGGAATTCGGACTTTCGTCCTTGAGCCTGGTATGACAAGGACTTTGCGACAATGACTCGGGTGTCTTCGTACCTGTGGCTCGGTTGCGCTAATCAGGGGTGGAACTACCCTTGACAAAGACGACGCCAACAGAAACACACAATTGATTGATTGATTTCATTTATCGTGGGTGCAGTCCCTCAATAGGGCAAACCACGCCTCCCAGAGCCATTGCATCGCAAGGTTGTAGAGGTGTCAGTCTAGATACATTCAGATCCGCGCACGAGCCCATCCTCGCTGTAGCGGTACCAACCTGGAGTGTCCAGATGGTTTTTAGTCAACACCCAAGCACGATTCTGTCAGAAAAACCTCCTGTCCAGTGACAAAGCGACCCAGTGGACCTCAGTCCTCTGGTGTACACATCGTTCCAGTAGCCGTTCGATATATGTCGCATTGGTGGATAAAACAGGTATTTGTTATCTGCTGGCGAGGGAAACCACAAGGGGAAAAACCTCGCAGGAGTGGGTATTGTGGAGACAAGCTGCTTGGCTATCGGGCTCTGCGATAGTAGGGCCTCTCCACTGTCGTGTGCTGGTTATCGACTCGCACAAGCTGTCACGTAGCAAAATGTATGGTCGATTCTCCCGTGTATTCGTGCTGCTCGGAGGATTCCCCGGTACATGATTCTCCTCCTGGATATCCCTGTGTTGTGGGTCACTCCTTATCCTGTTATCACACGTGATACCCCTTAGCACCTACTGCCGTTCAACACAAGCCGGGTCAGAAGGGGGCCGTAGCAGGATTCGAACCCACTTGTTCTCGTCGTCCACCGCACAAACGAGAACACAACCAAGCGCATTTGACCATTGCGCCATACGGCCAACAGAAACACACAAGATAGGTCATAATAGGTACGAGAAGTAAGGGAAATAAATGAATGATGATGGCGTACGGAAAAAGTACTGCCTTAGAGTGAATGAATGTAGTGAAACCCACTCCGAAAACTCAACGAAACCCGATCCGAAAACGCAATGAAACCCAGTCCAAAAACTTCCATGTCCATCGAAAACCAGATGAAAAACAGGAGAACCATCAAAACGAATGGCGCGAAGAATAGATGGCGCCGCCGTCAACACCCCTAGACGAAGAGCCCCCCAATCCTACCAAACCCACTCCATCCCAAAATACCCATCTTTCTCAACAGGCCCCGGTTGACTGTGTCTTGGTCGAAATGTAGTCGACCTCCTCCACTATTTCATCCACTCTGTACCTCTTCTCCTGCCGATGGCTCTGCCTGCTCTGCCCTTTATGAGGACATATCTTTGCGTCGCGTTCCCCTTAGTCTTGGACAACATTCGCCAGCCGAGTTCCTGTTATATTTCCTGAGGCACTTTTTGCAAATCCTGGATTCAACGATTGCCAAGAACGTTTCCCAGGTGCCTGGTATAAGGACGGTATGGTTCGACTCTTCCCACGGTTGGGTGTTTTCCGTTGATTTGCAGCCACAATCGCACTGGCATTCAGTTGCATGAATACCTGAGTCTGACATAGTGTGCGATGGAGATCTCGTTCCTGGATAAAGCCTGGACAGAGTTTGTTTGTTTGTTTTGTATTTAACGTGGGGGGTAGCTCCTCAGTAGTGCAAACCACGCCTCCCAGAGCCATTGCATCGCAAGGTTGTAGAGGTGTCAAATTAGATACATTCAGATCCGCGCACGAGCCTATCCTCGCTGTAGCGGTACCAATCTGTAGTGTTCAGATGGTTTTAGTCAATACCCAAACACGATTCCGTCAGAAAAACCTCCTATCTAGTGACAAAGCGACCCAGTGAACCTCAGTTCTCTGGTGTACATATCGTTCCAGTAGCCGTTCGATATATGTCGCATTGGTGAGTGGAGTAGGTGTTTGTTATCTGCTGGCGAGGGAAACCACAAGGGGGAAAACCTCGCAGGAGTGGGTATTGTGGAGACAAGCTGCTTGGCTATCGGGCTCTGCGATAAATGGGGCCTCTCCACTGTCGTGTGCTGGTTATCGACTCGCACAAGCCGGGTCAGAAAGGGGGCCATAGCAGGATTCGAACCCACTTGTTCTCGTCGCCCACCGCACAAACGAGAACACAACCAGGCGCATTTGACCATTGCGCCATACGGCCGCCTGGACAGAGAACGAGGTGGTAGAAGTGGTGTTTGAAGTTTTGAAAAATAGAAGTGGTGTTTGGAGATTTGAAGGATAGAAGCAGTGAATCCCATGAGGTCGATGAACATACTCTCTATATAGATTCCTGGGTCTCGGCAAGACAAAGAGATGAAAAAGTAGTTGGCTCTGGGCTGTGATACTGCTCTTTGATGACGGGACTCACTGGAGTAGCTTGCGTGTAGCACGTTGCGACGACCCAACGCCGCTTGAGCTTGGTGTTGATTGCGAACGTAGGCCCAGTCGGGCTGCAACCGGACATGAGAAACATGCTGCCATGAGATGGGAACCAACTGGATACAAAGGAATGATCTTGTGCCGGTGGCCAACGTCCAGTTGGCCGAGAAGGATGTCTAGTTCCAGCCGCAAACGCAACCGGATGGTAACCTGACGCAGCAACCAACTCGGCAGTTGAAATGCCTGTACGCACTCCGTAACACCAACATAGAGAGACCCATGGATGTCTGTCAGACCCAATCATGTGATCTTGGATTCTGAAGCCAACTCAAGGTTGTTCTGCATTCCAGATCGACGGGGCGAAGAGATGAAGATGCAAACGTGCTGGACGGCAGGAGATACGACGTTGGTGACACCCTGTTGGTTGAGCCGCAAGACAATATATACCTGGCATGGTGTCGCAAAGAATCTGGTGTGTTCTAGGCTCCGGACTTGTTGCACAAGAGGTCGGCGAATGGATTGTGCTACCTGTGCACGTGGAGGCTACAGTACACAGGTATTCTTGTCAGTACCTTCAAGGCATGTGCTCCAGACTTTTCGGCCATGCTGACAAGGCAAATTCCTTACAGAACTCTTACCGACCCCCTTCACATGTCCAGTCATTTCTCTTCCAACACGCAGTGTACAAGTACTGGCCCTGTGTGATGGTACGGTTGGTTATTCGTCTCTTGCGTTTCATCTGACCACTCCTTCTTTCTGGACTACGCCGTCCTATCCCCTTGTTCTCGTCACCTGCCCATTTGCCAAAGCGCCTTCTCTCCAGTGAATTGGAATTTGGGCCAAACTTGCTCCCGTCAGTCCCGCGTAAGTATTGAGCCGTGATGTACATAGAACTTCTCTTCTGGAATATATTAGTCTTCACCAACATACCTCGTCGCCGGGGATATTCATAAAGTGTCAGGAATATTGGTGCCTGTCAGGTGTGTCTACCGGTGGCTGCAGCCGAAAGGGACCAGATGTGGTCAAAGGGGTGAAACGCGTCCATTTGTGGTGACAACATTCCGGTGTTGCCTGGCATCCAAGGGCTCCCACAGCTGTACTTAGGTGGGAATCTCCCGCACCGAACCATAAGCGAGACAGTTAGCCAATCATCATCCCACTCCTGAGCCATCACATGTCTTGACCCCTAGATTGTCACCATAAATGTACTTGTAAGACAGGTTCCGGTTGTATCTTCCCGTATAAAGAACGCAGAAAACATACGTTGGTCTAGGTGATATACATGGCTTGAGGCTGCAAACGGCTAAGTTAGCGAGGTTGGCAGCGCTGGAGTGGAAAGAAGGCAGTTTGACGTTGGGCAGGTGACGAGGTGAAGGGGGGTGCCCGTTACATGCCAAGCTCTCTTGCGCTTCCCCGGACTAAGCGAGGCAGCTTGTGTCACCACAGAATGCCAATATGATGACACATGGATCAGGTGTCTTCATGGTACTTCATGAAACGGTGAAGCAACTTGTATGCATGCAGCAAACGGCTTTTCATATATCAATAAACCCGCTAATTCCCACATTATGCCCGATATCCAACCTCAATCCCATATATCCTGGCTCAGATGGGCCATGTTTCGGCTAGTTCCCCTTTCATCTGGCTTATGGGTGACCACTCGTCAAGTCCGGCGCGTCGTGGGTGGATGGAGGAAGTCCATTGATGTCCGTAGTCGTGGGCGCACCACCAGCGTGCGGCTCAGCCAAGTCAGGCGCCGCATGTGTGGACGGGGGAAGCCCATTGATGTCCGTAACCGTGGGCGCGCCACCAGTATGCGGTTCAACCAAGTCAGGCGCCGCATGGGTGGCCGAAGGTGCGAAATTCAGGTCTGTTGGGCCGTGGACACCGGGAGGATCTAGAGTACCATATTAGACTTGTCTTCTCGACTTGAAAGTTCGTTCTCAAGAGGGATGCGGGTTGACTGACGTGGGCCGCTGTGGTGCTTGTCCGATCCAGCCTTGGTATGTGTTCCTTCCGCAGTCTTTGAGGAGTGATCACTGTGAAGGTGGCCCGTGACAGCATCCTTCACCTTGTGAACGATGCCAGACATGATGCGTGTTGGCGAGGTGGGCGTGTTTGGTTGGTTTGGTTCGATTCGATCGTTCGATTGGAGTGGCTGAATGTTGACGCTGGTAAGGGTATGAAGTTATTCGCAGATGAGTTGGGTTTGATTTGAGGATTTCAGCATCTATGAACAGGTGCGAGGCGGTGCTTAATATAGTAACGGCGGAGGATCAGCTGTGTCAAATGCGCTCCTGTTCTCGGGCCGGGTCCAATGTCATCATCGTACATCGATCTCGACCAGTCGATCGGTTGCGCTGACGTTTTGCGACTACGACGCACAGCCAAGCGCCTTACCCAGCTTCCAAGAAACACGTCAAGCGGTTCGCTGAAAAACACATGGTGCTATGTCGCACGCGAGTGGAAGGGTTCTTACTCCATCGCTCGTCATTGCCGCCGTGATTTGTCAACCCTCCCCTGTGAGATTGCCTGATTGGGTACTCAGGGGCCAGCTTTGGTGGCGCACAGTCAGCACACCAATGCTCCTCTCCCTTTGCGGCATCTTGGAGAACATATATTTGTATTACGTCTGACGTCACAGTTCGCGGTGTCTGGGCTTGCGGAAGCACCACTGAGCCAGCTGCATTCTGCACGAAGCATCGCACAGGCACGCGACCATAATAGCTTCCTTGGACTTTGAGAGGTCAAATCGACAGCTTCCAGTCGCACTGGATGATGATGGGGCACCAAGCGATCTTAGGTTCGTTGGCTGCGAGGAATCCATCAGGGCAGACGTGCTTTCGTTGGCTGAATACCATTTGGTTCGCGTCCATGGACACAGCCAGCGCCATATGTTCTTTGCCGGACTGGAATGCAGAAGGACAACGACCCAAGCTGTACACCTCGGGATCCGCATGGCATTGGGGCTCAACATGCGGCTTGGATCAAAGGATATGCGCTCGTTTCTTTAACATGAGTCCATGAGACAGCTTGTCATGTCCCTGGACAAGACACCGCATGCTCGCTCTGGTACAGTCAACCCGTCACGAGTCTCTATCCGCGCACTCAAGAGATCTTTAGTGGTAGGATACAGACAGAGAATAAGCGCCCTGGAATACGCAGTTATTTTCCCATGAGCTATGCTCAATGCTTATTCCAGAGTGGCTATTCTACAGATAAATATTTTTCCTGAGAATCCAAGACCTTGGTAACGGGGTGTACGGAAACTCCTGGGGTCGAGTGTACCCTTTATGGGGACTGTGACCAGGTAAGGCGTAAACACTGGCAACAAATACTGGCAGGCTTCATCCTCCGCGAATGCTTGACTGCGCGGTCTAGAAGCTTCGACTTGAGCTGGGAAGATTTCGTGCAGCCGGCGGCACCTAGGCCACTCGTAATCTCTTCGCGAAGAGCTTGCAGGACGGACGGATTGTCCGCAGGATCAAGCATAATCTGTTCCACTGTGTCGGTGCTTGCGTGGACAATCACAATAAATACGATGCAGTGACGAAGAGATTCTCTATTACGGTTGGAAGATCGGGCAAGCCGTTGGAGGTATGCTTGCAAGCCTGCAGTACATGTATAGACGTCAGCTGCAAAGTATATTATTTCGAAAGGATGTGAGGCAAGGGAAGAAAGGCCATGCATTTTTTGTGGCAATCCCACCGACAAGGGAAACCAGACTGAAATAATACCTGAGAGTTAAATGATTCAATAAGAATGCGGAGACAATTGGTGGCTCGCTATCTTCGTTGCATGAAATTCTTCCGAAGTAAATGGGGCGGAATTTCTTGCAGCCTGAATTCAGCGCTTGAGCAGCTATTGTCAGGCCCTCTTTCGGGCTAGATTTTTTTGAGATGTCCATCTGCAACACCGTCATTCTTCAGCTGTCGGGCGACCCTCGCACCATCCAACCTCCTCGCGTCCTAGCATCACGAAAGGTACGTCCATCCAAGCTCGCGGCGCTCGGCTCGTCAAGCAACAAGGGCAGAATTAACTGAACTGCGCATCTAGCCCTCATTGCTTGCCCCCAATGGCTTCGGCGCTCGAACAGCGGAGCAACTTCCGCTGCAGAACGTGCAACAGGCCATATCCGATTCGCCTCCGAGGTCCCTTTCCCGCCAACGCCCCGATTCACGACATCTGCCGCTTCTGCGCGTGGAGCGAAGCATCCGAAGCATCACTCTGGTGCGAAGCAGGGAACCACGAGGTTGCCCCGGGTTCCATCCGGCCTGAGGATGGGCTATCCTACTGCGATCGACACAGCCCCTTCCTGTGCGAAGAGTGCCATCTGCCTCGCCCCTGGAACCCCGAAAGCAACGGCTGGAAGTGTGTTTACTGCGTAGGTACTAACCATCACGCCGCACGCCTCGCTTGGTGTTCCAGACATGGAGGACCGATATCCGAACGAGAGCTAGTCAGACACGAAGCTGTCGTTAGCGACCAGGTCTTTCTTGGAGACCAGTCCTTTTACGAGAGCTGTAACCGTGTAGGCAACATGGCCGCCTGAAGCAACAAGACATGAAACGCGTCAAGAGAAGGCTTGCAACGAGATGGAGGAGAGAGAAAGGGATCTAAGGGACTCCAGTCACTTACTCACACGCAACTCAGGTTATCAATGCCTGCGCCTGTGGGATGAAGCTATAAGAGACCGTATGCCTTTGCAAGAAGGTCCTGGAGGCTATCAAGGAGGGTCATCTAGAGGACACTATCAAGCAGAATTGTATCTGCTAGGCAAAGTCCATCCGACACTGTTACGAACCCCTCCACATCAATGCCCCCGACCACTTGGCTGCCGTGTGTGAAAAGCAGGAAAAGCTTGACCAGGCCTCAATCCATGGGAAGATGTAGCCAACGAGTCTGGAAGACAGGTATCTGTTCAAGCCTAAGCTCGCAATATACACCCTCTTCAGCCATCTTTGATGAATGTCCACTGTCGCGCATGTCGGAGAGTCGTTGGAGCTCTCTACACTTAGTAGTGCGACTACTGTGCCCCCTCGTGACGGCGGTTCGATATCGAAGCTATGGCGCCCGCGATGATGCATCATATATTGCACTGATCAATCCTCGGCGTTGCTGATATCGTTGAGGAGAATATGAACTCCCCACCAAGTGGTTTCGTATCTCGCTGCTGGCTGCATCAGTCCAGCACACGGTGCTGAGACGCCTGCTATATCCAGAGGAGATTGTCGTCACTTGGTTGGCCAGCCACATCCCGTCGTTGTAGACCCATTGCGCGCTGTACTTACCTGAGCTTCTGCACACCAGCAACCACCGATTTCTGTAGCAAGCCTGACCAACAACACGCGACGTATTGAAACGGCTGTCTGCATATCGGCACGTTCACCAAACCCTACTCGAGACTAGACACGACATCGAAATATCGGGCGAGAAGAGCAACTGTGAGTGTCGGAGACTCAAAACTGTAGCTATCATGCGAACCTCGGTGGGCTGTACGAAGGCGCTGACCGCATCATGACATCTAGCCGACCGACTCCCCGCTGGCATATGCAGTAAGACTTCGCTCGCAGCCATGCCAGCTCGCTGCAAACTCGGGAAGAGAGATTTCCTAGGTAGGGTGGACATCGAAGCTTCTTGACTCGTTCAGCCAGTTCAATGCTCGAATTGGCCTGCGGACGTATACTGATGTGCTGCGCTAAACAGAGGATCTCGAGTATCTCGAGGAACTCGCCGTTGCGGCTGGAGGAACTGCCAAATTACGATCCAAGCGATCTCGAAAGGACCGAGGCCGCCGCAACCAAGCTGCCGACGCCGTTACCGAAACTGGTGTTGCCGAGACCAAGGTGGCTTCTGGCGCCGAAGAAGGTCCTGCCACCATCTCCAAGGGTCCATACCAAGCTCTGGACGAACACCATGTAGTTGGCAAGCTCAGTGAGTCTTCTCGTTGTCATCCCTGGGGCTTGTGCTACTGATAGTAGCCATCAGCGGACACCACCACTGCCTCTTCCTCGAAGACTGCCACGGCTGGTGCCAGCGGCTCCATGAAGATGCTCGATGACGCCATGTATCAGTGGGAGCTCGTGACTACCACTGAGGCAAGCCTAGGCGACAACTCTGCCGACAAGGAGTACGAGGATGGGTTCGGTAAACACCCCATCCTGGATGCTTCGAATAGTTCAAACGGCTGACCATTTGCTGTGCAATAGTGCTAGTTTCTTCGGATCTCGAGTGATCTGGACTCTTTTCTGGAAACCTTCCTTCGCCTGCCAGGGAGCTGTTGTTTGAGTTCTGGCTGCAGAATGGGGACAATGGTCGTGAAAGAATTGGGAAGTGCGTTTGAGGAAGCACCGGGTATGGAAGCATGAGGGCCCGTGCGCTCGTGTCATTAGCCAATCAGCGTTTGCCAGAGTTTAGTCGAATGCAGTACCGATGTCACCCACCCCCTCACGTGACTTTTCACTGTCGTTGGTGCTCGAGCCTGGTTAGATGGGAGACTATGTGTGTTTGATTCCAGTCGTGTTCTCCTTGAGCTGGAAAGGGGCTCTATTAGGTGATGTATCTAGTGAAAACGATGAGGGAAGGGGCCAGAGGCGCTGAACACTGGTAAATCATATGGCTTGTCGTTACATTCAGGCAAGTATCAACATGTGTGTATTCGATGCGAAATGATGCTACCTGACTATGGAGAGCATAGCTTCTCTACCCGATGTGCTAGAGCCACAGACCTCTTGTCAACTGTCTTCGCCATGTATTTCGAAGCGACCGCTAGAAAGCTCCCTATGACCAGAGTAGCGACCGTCCAGGCGAAGAAGACGACATGGCCAGCATTGTTCTCCTCCTTCTCAGCAGCCCAGTACCCCTGTCCCAGGAAGACCCATGACACCCAATCCAGGATCCTGTTCAGCGCTATGCGATATATCGTCTGATGCAAAAGATACAGTGAGAAGGAGATCTCCCCTAGGAACTGCGCGAAACGAGTCTCGAATGGTCTCTTGAGTATAGGTGTCTTTCGGGCAGTCCCAATGAAGAGCACTGCACCGATGGTCTGCCATGAGCGCATGCGAGTCTCCCACTCGGTCCAGAAGGGCGGGTTGATGTACGTCTGGAAGAACCAATCCGCTGGGAAGGGTTCTTGGACAGGCAGACACAGGAAGTAGACGCCCATGGCAAACAAAGCCCATTTGGCTGGATTTCGGAACCTTTGAAGCTTGGCCGTCGTCTGCGCCATCGCTTTCTCCATTGTCACCAGGTGTGGCAACGTCAACGACTCCGTAGTGCCGTCTAGTTCGGCTAACGTGAGACCGGCGAAGAAGGCGGCAAATTCGGGCGAGCCTGTCCACAAGAATCGGAGCCCCAGAAACCCCGTCAGGAACGGTCGTAGATTCGCCCTGACCGACGCGAAGGCTACGATGGCCAGGTAGACGAACATGGATCCGCGCATCTCAACCGGGATCGTCCAAAGGTGGTCGTTCAACGTCCTGTTCTGGTTGCTTTGAAGATTCACGATGTTGAACATGGCCCTAAGGAGCCATTTGACGTGTGGCCAGGGGTTCGAGTAGGGCACGCACCCGGGGAAGCCATTCTCGGCCGTGAACAGCCAGGCGTAGAAGCCGAGATAGTACAGCGTATGAGAGATGATGCTGATGATCAGGACCGGGAAGAAGAGTCGGAATAGTCGCCGAAAGACGGCAGACGTCAGTTTCCGGTAGAAGTCGGCAGTCGATCCCCTATTCCGAAGCCTGATGAGGCCGACCGACACGGAGTATCCCGAGACGACGAAGAAGATGTCGACCATGGCTTGGCCGGCAAAGATGATGCGGAAAGGCGCGAGCTGAATCAGATGTCGGTTCTGTTCGGCAGGCTCGTCCCAGAAGGACCTGTAGGGCATCTTGAGGCCGAAGTTGGTGAAGTGGAACCATGCGACGATGGCGGCAGCAAATCCTCGAAGGCCGTCCAGCCAGATTTCCCTCCCCGGCGAGGGGCCGTTCTGTATTGGAAGCAAAGATGCCATGGCTCAAGGCGTGGTCCCTGATGACTATGCCGGCGTTCGCGATGAAGAAGCGAAGATGTCAATCCAGCTCGCAGGAACCTCAAGTCAAGTGCAGCCAGTTGACATGGTGTCTCGTGAGTGACACAAGGGGATGTCAAGATATCACGGGATTCGGCTCACGGTAACACGGTCGAACGCATACCGACCACTTCCCCTTTGTGAGTCAGAGTCAAGCAGAAGCTGCATGTGCAATTAAAGAAGATGGGGCTGACTGATGAGGTTTATTCAAGCATTGGCGTCGGCGACAGAGGCTTGGATCCACCAACCGCTCAGTCCGGCCCCATGTCCCAAGGGACCGGATCTGGGCCTAGTCTGGGCCTAGTCTGGGCCTAGCTTGAATGTCGCATCAGCTCACCTCATTTCCACTCGGCGAGTTTTCAGCCTCTGCAGCTGGCTTATCAAGCTAGCCCCTGTTTCGGCAGGGATCTCCCCAATAGATCAGAATAGTGACCCAGAAGTTGGAACTTGGAAGACGACCGGCTTCGTGGACATTGGTAGAATCTGCATGTCCTCCTTTGCTTGAACCATTTCATACAGGAAGACCGGAGAGGAAATCCTGCGATTAGGTATGTTTAGTCCTTCCAAGCTTCGCCGGGACAGCCAGTGACTTGGGTAAGGTAAGAGTAGGCCAGGGGATTGAGGGCTGACTGCGCAGTCGTGTCTCAGCTGCATAGGCGCATGAAGAGTTTTACGTCCGAGACGCGGGACGACTGTTGACCGCTATGAAGCTATGCCCAGTCTGGCAGGTGTTAAAATAGGTATCCGGAAATATAGCTCTGCTGATGTACGCAAGAATAGTCGCCCGTCTCAATTCTCAAGCCCTACCGCAGTACGGCTGGCCTTTATCCCCGGGTCTTGGCCCTATGTAGTAGGTCGGCTAGATTTGACGGCACAGAACCTAATCTCGACGGCATGGAGTTCTACAATTACATACATACTAATTGAATGATGAGGAGTGGTGCGAGGGACCAAAAGAATAGCTCTTGTCCATAGATATTGGATACTCCATACTCGGACTCGGGTTCCGACCGAAGTCTAGCGAGACGGACCCTGTCGTGCACCACCCTGTGTAGCACCACATGCATGCTTACTCAACCTATCAGGTCGTGTCACCGGGCCACGACCGACCTGGGACCGACCGACCCTGGCCCCGACCGATACCGAGATCGTATTCCACCTCGCTCAATATTGTACCCCTTAACTTCAAGTTGGCTAGTGCGGAACTTTATTAGTAAACGGGGTCGAGACCCATGCTAGACAAATTTCCTTCCTCCAGCCTTTGAAGTCCGAGGCATCAAGCGACTGGCATACCCAAAGAGGCGAAGCAGCCGCAAGCTATGCGCCGTTTAATGAGTCACGACTCACCCGGGACGGTAAGCGGCTAGACCAAGCAGCCCGTCAGCCCTTCAGGCCGTCGACCGATGCACATGGGTGGCGTGTTATAGTCTAGCTCCTTGTGCGATGCTGCCGGAAGCAAGTCCTACTACCAAGCACATGGCTCATAAGCCAGGCCTTCGCCCAGCCGCCGTGAGCTCGGGTGGTGCCTTCCACTGCCGCTATCACCGTCAACATCGTGACGTCCATTCGTTCATGATCCCACCGTCACCTTCGTGACGTCCCCTCGTTCCCCTGTCATCGCCTTGACGTCCATTCGTTCTGCCCATCATGGTTTACATCCCCCGCCCCAAGCCGGTCGAGGACCGCAGAGACGCCAACGTGGAAGTGTTCATCTCTTGGGGTCAGAAATGCTTCAACTTCCTTGGCTGTATCGCTGCATGCGCTCTTTACTTCTACCTCCTGCTCTACTCTAAACACTTATGGACCATCGATACCGCCATGTCCATCTCCCTGGCCGAGTACTGCGGATGGTCCAACGCGAGGAATCGCAAGAGAGCGGAGCTGCGGAACGAGAACAACCCTCTTGCGCTTTCAGAGAAAGGAACCTACGACAGTGAGCGAAGCTATGCGTCCGATCGTAGCTTGGATTGTCTGGCTGCCGTGGTGGGCTTCCGCGAGGATCCCGCCATCTTCACGAGAGCCCTCGAAAGCTACCTCAAAGCCGACAACTGCCGCTTCGTTCTGGCTTGTGTCGATGGCGACGCACAAGAAGACCAAGAGATGATCAACGTCTTCAAGAAGGTAACATCCGACTGTCGTTGTTGAGCCTGAGTAGTTTCTTACATAAGTCCTAGGTCTATAGCAACGATTCAGCCCTAGTCCATCTTGATGTGCCTTTGGTCGAGATTGCCCTGCAAATGGACCGCGTGAAGCCCAAGTGGCAGTCCGATGACGAGATTCTCAACAAATGCTGCATGATCGTCAAACTACTACTGGAGGCGAAGAACATACGCCTGACTGGAGAGGGCGCAATCACGAAACTCTGCATCAGCCAGCCGCACATGCACAAGAAGGGAGTCATGTTCACATCCTTCATTTTCTCCAAGGTCATCTCAGACGCCCTGAATCTAGAGTTCCTGTGGACTTCAGACTCGGACTCCATCGTGCTCCCAAACACCATCTCACGCACGACAGCCACCATCGCTGGAGACCCAATGGTAGCTGGAGCCAGCACGGCCCTCTCAATCCACAACAAGGACGACACCACCATCACCAAAGTTGGCAACTCGGTCTTCCTCAACGAACTGCATCTGTCCCGATGCTTCGCGAGTGCCTTTGGCGCAAATGACTGCCAGAGTGGGCCATGCGCCGTCTTCCGCACCTCCGTCATCATCCCAGAATTACTCCAGTGGTACAAGCAAAGCGTACTCGGCCACTGGATGATCGTCAACGAGGATCGCCACCTGACCACGAGATTACTCTTGAGAGGCTGGAAGATCCTGTTCATCCCAGACGCCTTCACAGCCACCGAATCTCCCATCAACCTGCGCAGATGGCTCTTGCAGCAGGTCCGCTGGGCTCGTTCAGTCCACATCGAGAGCTACTGCCGGCCCGAAGTCTACGTCCAACAGCCCCCAATCTTCTTCTTCGCGGCTTTGAGACGCCAGCTCACCGGTCTCTCTGTGCTCGTCATTGCCCTCATCTACCTCTTCACCGGCGTCGTAACGCTGCGCTTCTCCCTTCGAGACTACCTGCTCCGGATGGCTTTCCAACTCTTCTACCTCGCCGTCCGCAATCCCCTCCGCCCTTCGTTACAGGAGTGGCTCTGGAGTATCCCAGCCAACCTCTTCTACAACGTCCCTCTCCCGGCCGTGCAGGCCTTCAGTCTCTTCACTCTATTCAACGACTCCTGGGGCACTACCATGCGATCCAGCAAGGAGCTATCACGACATTCAAAGCTGAAAACCAAGATGTGGGAAGTTGGCTTCTTCGTTGTCTGGATAGGGCTCGTTGGAGGAATCATCGGACGATACATTGCCACGAGTTTACTTCTTGGCAACGCGTACATCACGGGGTACATGTTTATAGGCACTACCCTGCTGTGGACCATCTCTGGATACTGGATGGTGGTCTGCGATTAATATAGCATTACAAATAGAAGCAAAAGTAAAAATAGAAATACGCACGGGCTGGCACGCAGTGCGAGACCCGAATAATGAACAGCTCAATGGACGTCCACCTAAGCTTTGTGGCCACCGCATCTCCTATGACGTATAGGAGCGTTGATGGCGGCATCATCACTAGTGAGTGGCATCCGTTGATGGTCCCGACGAAAACGATGAAGTCTTCATCCTAGCTATCATTGACGCGACTAATGCTTAATTCGCTGGCAGAGGCGAGAGATCGAGCAACAGCCGTTTTATCAGAGATGGAGGTACTGGATCTGCCCTGCTGGGCGTCGAGAATCCTGTAACCGGTGGCCAGTCGTTGCTCTGCTTCCATTATCATCATGTACCCAAGGCGCTCTTCAAAATCCTCTGGCTCGGGCACCTCGAATCTTCGCCAGACTTGTCGCGTATGAGCTCTAGTGTTCCGTACTAGGAGGGTAGCTTGTCATCAACCACACCGTGTTCTCTTCCTGTTTCAGCAGTCTCTTGATCTCGGTATCGTCCTGGGCCTCTGATCTTACGGAGCATCGCTGCTCAGACATCATGACTGGACGTTGAACCGTGAATCGTGTTGGTTAAAGGTGATCAAATCTCAACTCTGGCAGCTGAACACGGAGATGCTGTGGTATTGACTGCTGGGTTATTCATTGGCTACCTCGAATCCCTTTGATACCGGCAAACCGCGACGTTTATGCTTGATAAAAGTGTGACTGGTCACAAGTACGAGTATGGGTTATACCGAATAGGGCATGATTCAGGGAACATAGACACAAGGACACACTCATTGTACCGATTCCTGATTACACTCAGCCCTCATAAGTCTCCTGGAATAAGCATACAGGAATAATCAGCTCTAGGTTGATACGCTTTTTTTCATGATTATTCCAGTGTGATTATTCCAATTGGAAAAATATTCTGTGGTCTGCTAGAGGGGTGATGTACGGATACTTATGAGGGGTCAGTATACCTTAGATATGTTGTTCGGACACTAGACTTAAAGGGGGTGTGACATCTTTTTGCTTATCTGCAGGGTGCTTGTCCTTGGCGGCGTGGCCTGCATGATCCGTAGATAAGAGCACCGCATACCAATACTTATCTGTTCGCAGCTCCTCAGGTGCTGCTCGCCTTCGAGACCACTTGGACGTCAAAGACCTCCTTCAGCAAGCAGACATAAGAGTTCCAAGACCAAGCGCATTCGTACTTCCCTGCACTCTTAAGAAGCCGACAGGATGGCATCGGGGGTCTTGAAGACATGGGAGGACTGTGACAAGATTGACACATTGTTTGTCCTGGTCTGCACCGTCTTTTGCTGGACGATCGTGCCTACCGTAGGTATCGAATGCTCCGAATACTCGTTCAAGCTGAACCAAATCCCAGGTCGGCATTGCATATGGAGGGTACTCGTGGAGGCGCAATGGTCTCGCCGCGGCGATGCCCGCTGTCCTCACGATTGCCACATGTTCAATCCAGTGGTTCATAATAGGATACACGCTGGCCTACGGAGAGGGCGGACGGATATTTGGAGACTTTACATATGTGTTTTCATATCGGCGTGCTCTCGGAGCCCGTGGGCACCATACCTGCAATCCTGTTCAGCGAGTTCCAGCTCGTGTTCGAGGCAACGGTCTGCGCAATTGCGGTCGGTGGCTTCTGCGAGAGAGGAAGACTGTTTGTTTGTTTGTTTTGTATTTAACGTGGGGGGTAGCTCCTCAGTAGTGCAAACCACGCCTCCCAGAGCCTCTGCATCGCAGGGTTGTGGAGGTCTCAAGATAATAAGTACAGTCAGTCCCGCTCACGGGCCCATCCCCGTTGTTGCGGCGGTATGACCTTGGGGTCATCCATCTGGTCCTTCAAGAAAAGCTATCTATCGGGGACAGATTGTTGAAAAGAACTTGCTCTTCTCCACGAATTTTGCCCATTCTGTGCTCCTCTCCTCTAAGTATTGTAAACAAGCTGTCCTAGGCGAGTACCTAGGCAGTAGCCGATTTTTCCCCAGCCTCTTACAAAAGAAAATATGTTGTGGTGTTTTCTTCTCAGCACAACTGCAATGGTCATTCGAGTCTATATGCCCAAAGCGTTCATGGTATCTGGCAAAGTCGCCATGTCCAGATCTGGCCGCTAGAAGTCTGTGTAAAGTACTTCTCTTAAAAGATATCAGGTCTCTTTTAGTTACTGTGTGTGAGTATACTTCTTGATACCTAGACTTTGATTGGTCTTTCTACCATTAATTGAACTCCTTTCTGCCCTTTGTTTTGAGATCTCTTTTGACCCAAGAGATTGTAGGAAGGCTTGTTGTGTCTGTTTCCAGCATGGCACCCTCTTTTGTTAATGTGTTGACAGCTTCATTGCTATCAATATCTCTGTGTCCAGGAATCCACTTGACGGTCACTCCAGGAGTGTGTGCTGTGGCAAGTTCTTGAAATCGTAGAAAAATATTCTGTGATGTCTCGGGTGGAGTCCCATTGAGCCCATCTACCACTGACGTGTTGTCCAGGCAGACATATAGCTGTTTTCTGTGTCCAATTGCCCTGGCTGTTGCAAGACCTTGGAGAACACCATAGACTTTAGCATCTATTATTTCTGTTTATAGAAGTCTACCCTTTCCCCGGTATATTTCTTGAGTAGTGTTGCCTTTCCTGATGGTATAACCCCATCCAGTGCGGGTTGTACCTTGGTCAACCAATTGTGATCCATCTGAGTAGATGACAAGGTCAGTATTCACATTTCTCTCCTGTAGCCATTGCTTGAAGAGCTCTGTTTCTTTGTCTTTGTCTTTGCGGACTGGGGGCTTCTTCCATGATGGCCTGGTAAGTATTGGTCTCTGGAAGTCAGGGACTACTAACTGGAAGCTCCTTTGTAGCCTTGTTGGATCCTTGCGGGCTTGTATTTGAAGCCTGCCAACAAGAGGGTGTCTCTGGTCTATTCGTCCTAGTCAGAGGCCGTGACGTCGTCGTATTGACTCTGCAAGAACTCCAGCTGGGGGAATCTGCGATTCAAAATGTAGGGTATGCCCAGGGTGTGTTTTCCAGACTGGCAAGATAGCCCTGATCGCCGTTCGTAGTACAGCATCTATTGTCCCAAGAAGCCCCTTAATGCGACATGCTGATGTCTCACCTGAGCTCCTGATTTTTTCGATTCCTGGGTACCAGGTCTCCAGGCCGTGTGTAAGAATAGGAATAACACAAGCTTTCACAGCCCTCCTGGTTGATTTTACTGGGAGTCCCTTGACTGTGTTGCATAGTCCTCGAAGGTGATTTACTACCTTACTAGCTTTCTTGGCCCAGTGAGAAACATGAATTTTAAAGTTTAGTTTTCTATCCAGAAGGACACCTAGCCATCGCATAGAATGCTTAATTATTTTGTTCATTGTCCTGTGGCGGACTGGAGGGTTGTCTGAGTTCTTTTTCCGCGAGAAGTGCATGATCTCGGTTTTGTCAGGGTCAAACTCAATAGTATTATTGTGTCCTCATTGATTGAGCAAATGAAGGTTTCTAGAAGCCTTTGTAGTTATTTCCTTAAGGTTCCTTCCAATATAGAGAGTTGCTAGATCGTCTGCATATCCAAAGCGTCTTCTTTTCATGCCAAGTTGGGCACAGATTGGCTCGGTATACAGCATGTAAAGGATTGGAGAGGCTGGTGAACCTTGTGGTAGCCCACAAGTGAGAGCTTTTATATCGGTCATAATACCTTCAAACCGAACTCTTGCGGACCGCTCGGACATGAATGACTGGACCCATCTTATAAGAAAGCCTGGCCAGCCCTGTTCTCTCATGCGAACCACCAGCCGTCCCTTTAGGGCAGCATCAAAGGCCCCTTTCACATCTGACGTGACTACTGTTGCAACGAGGCCTTGGTCAAGGGCCTGCTCAATATCATGTATGAGTGCAGCTACCAGGTCAGTGGCAGAGCGAGAGGAAGACTGTTACCGGTTATCCCGTTCATCTTTGTATGTTTGACTTCGGCGTTTATTGACTGCCAAGGCCTGACAAGTCATAGTTGTGGTCTACATTCATCTACTGCCCCCTCGCGCACATGGTCTGGGGAGGCGGCTTCTTGGGTGAAGAACTTGGGGTCTTAGACTTCGCAGGAGGTATGAAAAGGGACCCTGGACCTTCCGCTGGAGCTAATCCTGCCTTCTAGTAGGAACGCCTGTCCACGTTTGCTCAGGTGCAACAGCCGCGGCCGTGAGCCTCTACCTCTCCTATCCCATCTTCCGCTCCCGAAGATCCGAGAAAAGAATGCCAACTCACATTCGACTACATCGTCCGGGAAATTCATTCTTCCAGTTAATCGCAATGATCACCATTTGGGGCTCGTGGCTCGCATTCGATGCTGGTGCCACTCTGGCCCTGAACTTCCAGTCGGCCATGGCTCTCTGCGTCACGAACCTGTGTGCCTCGTCCGGAGCGTTGACTTGGGCATGCCTTACTTACTTCCAGACCCGGAAGTGGTCACTGGACTCAACGTTCATGGGTGCAATCTCGGGGCTGGTTATGATCACGCCAGCCGCCGGCTTCATTGACCTGCCCACGGCTTTTTGCTTCGGGATCTTCGGTGCTCTAATATGTCGCCAGGCGCTGAGGATCAAGTTCACCGACTTCGCTCGTCGCTGGCGGTGGGTAGATAATGGCGATACCTGCGCTACACATTGTGTAGGAGGGATCGCGGCCACGATCTGCACCGGCCTGTTTGCCCAGAAAGAAGTGGCAGCCTATGGCGGAGTCGAGGTCGCGGGTGGTGTGTTATTCGATGGCAACGTCCGACAGCTCTGGGCCCAGATTGTCGAGGTACTAGTCGGGTTCATGTGGTCTTTCATCGGATCGTTCATGATCATTGCGGTCGTCGATTGCGTTCCTGGGTTCGAGGTGCTGGCAGTGGACGAGTAAGTCTCTGGACAGCCAACTAAGACATTACTTGAGAGCTTACATGGTAAACAGTGAAATCAACTCTGGATTGGACATGACGCAGACGGAAGAGACTTTATGCGAGGGGCCGCACCCTGACGAGGAAGATTATTTTCCCACGTCAAAGGGTATAATTGAACTTTGAAGGGCAATACTTTCTAACCCCTACAGGGAGACTAGGTGTGTTATTGAGCCTTCGTATCGCGGTTGGTTTCGCTTCCTCGTGACAACCACGCTGGCTGAGCAGGTCAGGTCAGGTCGGGTCGAGTTCCCCTGCAACCATCCCCCCAGCCCCATATGTACCGTAAAATCAGCTCGATCTTTCACCGACGCCCTGTACCAACGTCAACCCTTAAGGTCTCTTGGTATAGTGGTATGAGACAAAATCCTCGCTACGGGTGTTTCGTAGATCTCCGGTTCGATTCCGGGACGTGCTAGCGTGCAAGTGGATAGGGCTTCGCTCAGGTCAAGGCACGTTACCAAGGCACGTTACCGTCCGATAGGGTCGGATTGGAGATTGAGCTTTTTGTAGTAATTTATGATACTTTTTTGATCTGGTCCTGTGCGTACTTGACATGGCCGAGAATTCAATATACCGTCAAGTTCCAGAGCATGAAGAGAGGCCCTCCATGTGCTCATTATCTTAGGGGCCACTCAAATCTAGAAACTGCCGTGGCATGCCTTAGACAACTAGCTTTACGTATAGAAACACTTTGGCATAGTATGACTCTCTACAGGGGTCGTTACTTTCCAGCGTTGCTTAGTGGCCCAAGAATGCCTCAGGCATACATCTTCAAAACACCCTTATGTATACGAGCTTCTCGAAAACGAAAACTTTCATTGACTTCGTGCAGCCCCTCACTCCATTCTCTCTTTCGCCCTATTTCCACCCTATCTTTCATCCAATCTCGCTAAACCTTCCACCACCATCCATTCCGCCCCGTAAGTTCTCGATCCTGAAACTGCACAGCCCTTGTGACTAAGCCCGTCGTTTTATCTTAGATCATACTTGCATGCCATCTTGATGCAAGATATCCGACTTGGATGAAGATGGGCCTCGGCCCTCCGGCCGACCCCGAGTCCACCCCGCCGAGAAAGTCGAAAACGACCGACACCTTCGAGCTCTCAGAGAGCAGCGCAGACCTCGAGACGCCGACTTGGCCGCCGGCACTCTGCCGCGAAAACGGGGCCGACCGTTTGCACACAGCCGCGAGGCAGTGGATCAAGCGAAAGAAGAGAAACGGGCAAGGATTGCGGCCCGCGCCGAAGCTCAAGCACATCCAGAGACTGGAATAGCCGAAGAGCAAGTAGAAGAGACGCCTCGCAGGAAGCCAGGCAGGCCCGCAGGACCGCTCATGATGCTTCAAATTGGTCCCGCGGAACCCGGTCTAGGCTCTCTTCAAGACGGCGGTACCCGCAGGAGCAACAGGCTCCAAGATCACCCACCCGCCACCATCCCAGAATTTACTGACGAAATTCTAGACGGCGATCATATACACCAGCAGGTTCCTCCACGAGGAGTGAAACGGGGACGAGGTCGTTCACGCAAGGACCCCGTTCCAAATGCGAACCTGTCTCGCATCTACGTCGGGCCGAGAGGAAGAAAGAGAAGCGATGTCCAAGTTGTCGACGGTGAAGACGACGTAAACTACAACGACGCCAGCTTTGACGACGGAGAGGAGTTGCTCGACATAGATCTCAGCGCCGACAACGAACTCGCATACGAGGATGACGAATTCGGCCACATGAGTGGCCTTGAAGAGCTCAACGAAGAAGAGGCTGTGAGAGATGAAGACGCGGTCAATGACGGCGAGAAGCTGCTCAACCATAACAAGGAGGATAACGCCAATCAAGCCTCTACCACTCCGAATCGAAACCCGGTTGAGACACCCAGTCTGTCGGATAACAGCGCAATGGAAAAGTACTTTCCACCATCCGAATTCTTGGATGAGTGGAACGCGACACACGAAGGAGAACTTCGATCGTGGCGGACTCGAGCAATCGAGGTGAGGCGGGTCAACATAGGCAACCAGCTCAGAAAGCTTTTCCTGCGGAAAACGATGATCCATCTGTTTGATGCAACACCAGACGATCTCTTCACCTGGGGGTACCGCCAACCCAGTGCAAACAGTGTAAGCTATGCGTTGGCCACCGCCCAGTTCATAATCATGCTATCAGAGATTGTGCCTCATCCTATTTGGGACCACAATATCAATCATCTTCGGTACATTCTACAATGCGCAGCGGCTTCCCGTGTCGATGGCCGCGTCGACCCGATCGCACCTCCGGACGAGGCAGTGGTTCGGGAAATGGAGCAGTTACGGACCGAGCTAGTAGCGGGAGGCATCGCCGTTCCTCAAGCTCGAGAGATTACAAGAGCGACAGCGTGGAATCTTTACCTGATGACTGATAAGCGAAAGCCTGTGGTCATCGCCCGACTCGCCGAAATTCCGAGACAACGAATCGACAACAAACCCCTCGGAGATGACGGCAGACGGTCCTACTTCTATGTTCACGAAGACCTTATCGACATCAAGACCTGCCTCGACGGCATGGTCATGAAGGAGCCCGGCAACATCGAGGCGCTGCTGGACAGGTCAAACTTTGGGTACTTCCCCCACACAACCGCGGAGTACGAGGCCATATACCGACAAGAAACCAACCAGCCCAACATGACTCACAGCGAATTGACCTCGCTATGGATAAGAACAATGACTCGCAGCGAATTAGACGCGCTGTACAAGTTCGAGAAGCTGGCAAGGGAGAGGAAGGAAAAGCGAAGGATTATGCGGAGGCCCGACGTCCCCTATTCTGATCTGCTGCGATACCAAGGCTTTCAGCACTGGGAAGATGCAATCTTGTCGAAGGACGCCGTCAAGATCTTGTGGCCTGCCGGGCAACCCCGAACGTAGGGTGGCTTGTCCATGCAAAGATGAACTTTGCAGCTACCGCAGGCACTTTGGCTATTTCGCGCAGAGAGGAGTTCTGCATCTGCCACCTGGGCCTTGGCCATTTCATGCAAAGGAGAACTTTGCATATGCCGCACAATGCGGTCTATACAGATGAAGGTGTACCAACAGTACTAGACTAGCCTCAAAGTAATTGGAACGTCGTCTTCATAATCTACAGGTGTGCTAACTTACGTCCTCTGCTAAGCTAGGCCTAACCCCTCTACTGGACGTCCTTGTCTTCCTTGTCGTCCTTATCGTCTTTGTCATTGGATTCCTCACGTCGAAGCACCAATTCCGCCCAGTCCTTGTTCTTAAACCAAGCCTGAAGGTATGGCGCAGGGTTGGGGGCTACAGTATCAGTAGGGGAGCCGTCAGCGTTCCGCTAGAACGCGTATCGAAGTATGGCTCCGAGCTTTCCTGCTGTCTCGGCCAAATGCTTGATCTTAGACCGTTTTCCTCCATCCATGACCGAAGCAGCCTGCCAGAACTCAGTCCAGAAGGCCGCATCGAGACGGGCCCGGCATTCGTAGTCGTACCATCCTTGGAGGTCCATAGTACCAGTAGTCAGGCGCAGTGTATCGAGTTCCAATCCAAAAGGTAACACATATGCCAGCGACCAATCCAGTATCCCTGTGATAGACAGGTTCTCCTCACTGAGCAGAATGTTCGTAAGGGACAAGTCGCCATGCGTAAGGACTTGGGGGTAGTCCTGATCGAATAGGGTATGGAGGCTGCTATCAATTTCATCAAGGGCATCTGCCAGGTAAGCATGGGTCGAGATGGACTCCTTCAAGTTTTCCAGCTTGTGCCGAATATTCTGTTCAAGAAACTTCAGGGTGGCGACGTCGACGGGCTGTGGGTTCAAATAGCATCTCGCAAAGTACCTAGGGTATTCAGAACCATAGCACGAATTGTGGGAACACCGAAATTACTGGGCAAGGTGCTTAACATATCGGGTGTGTTTCGCTTCCTCATCCTCGTCCATCACGGGACTGAAAGCCAGTGCATTAAGGGCTGAGGTTCCGGGAAGGAATGGCATCGAGTAGACAGAAAGGACACCGTCAGTCGCATTGGCATCTCCGATGGTGCCATGATACGTACCACCCGGGGTCAGGTCACCGTGAATCTCCTTAAGAGCTTGACCATTCCCGCGTCAAGTTTGGAGCCCTTCCGGCGGAACGAAATGATAATAGACGTGGTGGCTATGACTGTGTAGCTGAGCGATCCCTGGTCGTCGACGGGATGCACATCTTTGGCGCCTCCGTTGAGGATAGACAAAGCACGCTCATCGCAACTGTCGCGGGTTGGTGTCCCATCTTTCTCGAAGAACTTGTCCATTAGCTGTTTAGCCCACTCGTCCATGGTGGCGAATATGTCAAACTGTTCTGGTGGGGTTATTCTTGGGTAGTCAAATCTTAGGCTTCAGAGATGCTGGTATACTGGAGGGGGTTCTTGTGTGGTCTATAAATGACCCTCTCGTCCTTTAGACCTTTGACTTGGACCTCGTAAGGGGACAAAGACGGCATCAATGACCTACCCACATTCTTGCGGAGCACCAAACCGGCCAATGCTCGAGTCTAAGGACGTTCTCACTGACATCCCTTTCCGAATCACAAGCTGGACACTCAAAGTCTCGGATGAAGGAATCATCTCTTGCGCTGGCGGAGCCCGGCATGCTGCCAAAAAGAAGGGCACGCACCAAGTATTCGTCGACACCAAGGCACTGCCAACGGTCGGCGTTGTCATGGAAATTTTCCGCGAGGAGAACATTACCTTAAACATTATCGACTGAAAATGACACTCTTTTTTACGCGGTGTACATCAAAATCATTAGGTGCTGTACGGCAGATACCGCTCGGATTGAGGGAATATTTACTCACGGGATTCTTGTTGTGAAGTAACAAAGAAGAAGAAACTCAAAAAGGGGTGGGCTTGGCGATAAGGGTGGAATCGGATAGGTGTGTTTTGGTCATTCCATAGTACACTTCAGTTAGCCCGTCAATCGACACAATCCCAATAACCTGGTATCAACTTGATCATCGAACAAGCCCGAAGCTAGATATTGCCATTTTGAACAAAGGAGAGGGCGAATACTTGTAACAGCCTGTCGGGCCTCATTTTTGCCGTACCTTTGGCATTGGGGGTATTCTTGCGACCATGACACTTGTGGCGCACCGCGTCATCGCTTTCAAGCCTCGGCAACGCCACACCCACGCGACAAGCTCAACAACAATCTTGGCAAGCCGCCCTCTAGCGCCAGCAATCTCGATTTCCTCATTTAGGAAGTTGAGCGACCGTGACACCGTCAAGCACTTCTGGCCCTCCCTCTGCAGTCGCATCGTGAAGCCAAGCTCAATCTACGGTCCCGCACCCACAGAGCCAAGGCCGCGCGCGTGAGCTCAGAGTGCAACCTCACCCCGTGTCAGACTTGGCGGAAACGGTCAGACGAGCGGTCAAAGACAACATCACCGCACCATCACCACGACACACAACACCTTGTGCATCTTGGGAGCCACCGGCGTCTGTCGACGATGATTGGCACGTCCTTCCCAGAGTATTTCTTCATCCGGACATGCATCTTCCTGCTGCAGTACACGACTCCGCTGTGCCTCCTAGCTCTCGCCATCGTGGTCGCGGTTGGAGGCGGCCCAGCAGCGCTGTCGCTGCCCATCAGCATAGTCCTGATTGCCTACTGTGCCATCGACCTGCTGTATGCGCTGTTCGTCTACTTCCCGTACAACAGGCGGCTCAAGGAGGAAGCGAGGCACCCGCCCCCGTTGCCCCCCGCTGAGCGACGGGCGCTGTTTCTTCGCGTCCTGGACAATGTCCCCGACGTCCGGCAGTACCTGCGGGTGTGGTTCCTCGGGGCAGACGACTCCGAGACTAGGAGGGAGAACGTGCGAGACTTCATCCTCTGGGCCTTCTTCGACAGCTGGCCTGGGCAGGAGTCCGCTGAGGATGATGCCGACCTGGACGACTACATAGCCGAGATCGAGCAGCGCACGGGTCACAGACTGGAACCAGGCAGGGGGGAAGCGAAGAGCCTTCGACTGACATTAGACGAAGTGGAAACCCGATATAGAAGTGTTGTGTGGTATTTTATTGTTGGCCTGGTCGACCTTGTCACACACTGCCTGCTGGTGTGGTACGGGTTCGAGCACCACGCCCAGCCGCGGTCCAAGTTCTTCTCTGTCATACCTCTTCGTCTGCAGGACCTCTTGGCCGGGCGCAAGCGATCAGTTGCTCCACAGCTAAACTACTGGCACCGGCCGCACACCGCAACTGACAAGCTTCCGGTCGTCTTTCTACACGGGATCGGCATCGGACTTTCCACATATGTACCGTACCTTTCGAGCCTCAACCCAAGTTCAGACGAGGGCGACCAGATTGGTATCATTGCCCTCGAGATCCTCCCAATTTCGTTTCGCCTCACACACTCGCCGTTAAGTCAGCCGGAGTTCCTTAGTCAAATCACGGCCATCGTGGATTCGCATGGATGGACCGAGTTCGTTTTGGTATCCCATTCGTACGGAAGCGTCTTGGCAACACATATGTTGCAGTCGGCAATCCTCAGCCCACGAATAGAGTCAATAGTGCTGATAGACCCTGTGTCGATTTTGCTGCATCTCCCAGGAGTCGCATACAACTTTACGAGACGCAAGCCGAGGAGAGCCAATGAGTGGCAGCTGTGGTACTTCGCCAGCATGGACCCTGGGGTAGCCCATTGTCTAGGCCGGCATTTCCACTGGAAAGAAAACATCGCCTGGAAGGAGGACCTGCTGCAGGTGGTGGGGAAGCCAGCTGCAGAGGATGGTGTGGATGGCAGTATTGGGTCCGCGAGGGGGGAACGGACACGCAAGGTGGCCGTCTCCCTCTCAGAACGAGACCTGATCGTCGATACGCCGACCGTAGCCCAGTACCTGGCTGGGGACGACGAGTGGATGCTCTCCAATGATACGCGCTGGCAGGGCGGTGCCCATCATGTAGCAGGGCATGATGGCGAATCAGGCAGGGGTCATTTGACGCGTGATGGTATCGAGATGTTCTGGTTCCCAGGCTTGGACCATGCACAGGTCTTTGATGTCAAGGAGAGTCGAAACTTGCTTAGCAGTGTCACGCGTCGCTACTGCGAGGCATAGGGGGCTGCTAGCGGTGAAGCAGTGACCTCCTTGTGCCGACACTGGCTGCTGATCGGCGCAAGCCAACCGCTGGCTTCTGTGACGACGTGCACAAAGCAGCCTGCCCCCAGCATGCTACGTCCCCTAATGGTGCTGGGCGCTTTAATCAGCCTGCGCTTCGTCCCCTCCCCAGCCAGTCAGGTAGACGACCACTGGCTCAGGACCGCTGCGAATGAGAATCCAGACGAGGGTCTCGTCGGTTTCGTTTATTTCCTGGTGTTCTGTCCATGGAGGGATGAAGGCAAAGTCACCAGGTGACAGCTCATGTCGCTTCAGGTCCTCCTCGTTACCAGGGCTGGTAACCAAGATACCCTTGCCCGAGGCAGCATAGATGATAGTTTCTTGAGTAGAATATTAGATCCCTGGTTTCCCAATAGGCGCCCCAAGAGTGACTTACCTTGCTCGCCGTGATGATGCACGGCGGATGAACAGTTAGGCTTGGCTGTCAAGACTGTACAACCCGTTACTCGATGTTCAAGTCACATCATGCAGGAGACGTCGGTAGGCATCGACGAAGGTCCTTGATCCTTCGTAGCCCTGGCCACCGTGTATGGCTGGGCTCATAGATATGCACTGTAAAACAGGGAGGGCAACTTACCAGAGGCACACATCTTGTCACTCTTGCCGATCACGGCGCCCTGACGAATCATCACATCGTCATTCGCCCTCCTGGTGGCTTCGAGATCGGATGCCTTGGTGACATGGACTTCCGACGGCATGATCATCGGCAGCAAGTCAGGGATGAGAGAGAAGAACGAAGACATGTCTGATGATAATCTGTTCAGGGGTAATACGGTGTGGGTCTGATCGAAAAGTCTGCTTTCTGGTCGACCGTCGGTGGCCTTGTGGCTTTGTGGTAGGACAACCGCGGCGCGGCGGTCTATGACGGACTAGGAAGGCGGGGGTAGAGAGACGTGCGAGATGCGGACTGCAAGCTGAGATTTCTGGTGCTATTTGAGCCGCAAGACGACCTGACTGGGTGTATCAAGGTTCAGGAGATGGATGACTATAAAACATGAACGTTGAGCAATGGTTGTCTCTTCGATCTTGTGATGGTGTGTGGCTGATTCTCTCGTTACCCAGGGCAGCTTCAACAAGCGAGTGAAGTTGGATTTGGTGAGCCACGATTTGGAGCATCTGCCTGGTCTGTGCGCCGGTCCTAAATATGCACGTAAGTTTTAAGGTTAGCGGGCTTTTTATGCATGCTGAAACATGTTCATCCAATCTTCTATCTTCACCTTGAAACAATTTCATATCAGAGCTGCCTTACTTATCGGATTCGTACAGTAGTGTTGTAGCCGTGAGTCCAATGTTATGGTGGTTACTGCTGGGTCTTATCGGAACGCTTCGTGCTTTAGGGGGTTGGAAAGAGGTAGTATAGTTGACCTGCTGCTCGTTGTAAAGCCCTTTCGAACGACCCTTACTGGGCATCTCAACCTGGGTAGTCATCTCGAAACGTACAAAATCGTTACCACTACAGGATTTCTTGCATGGCCCTGTCGCGCCCTCCGCGCGAACCGTCGTCAAGCACTACAAATAGAGCAGGCGTCGCAAGGATAGTGATACACTGATAGTCTCCCAAACCAGAATACTAAGGCATACATGAGAGGTAGGTACAGCCGGCTGCTAGTCGGAACATATGATGACACCAGCCGCGCACAGTTGACTGACCGTGTGTATGGGGATGCGGTTGGGCCTGAATGCCTGAATTGCAGGCAAGGTTCGTCGACGAGTCCTCCCCAAGAAAGCGATGGACCAATGTCCCACCATATGACAGATAGTAGGTAGCGCAATACCACGCGATGGCTATTCGCGATTGAGACCGCGAGCCCGGCGTACTGTCAGCTGTAATGTCCAGGGATTCCTCATGCGACACGAAACAGACCAGCAGCGTGCAGCGTCGGATTTGGTACGCGGTGATCGTAGGTTGCAACTCGCAGAAAGCCAAGTAACCGGTTCATGCTAGATCCTTGTGATATATGCACGGTCTGTGACCTAAGGAGCTGCGCTGTCACTAGCGACGGGCTGGGACACGCATTCATTGCAACATGGGTGGTGTGCTTGGCATGGGTCAGGGAATAACTCCCCGAGCAGTGGACAGCGGACGGCGGAACCCCCTCGGCATTCCTAATCCGTACCACCCAGGACCTACCCCAGCTTTGGACGCTCATAGTAGTAATCAGGAACAACCTAGAAGAGGAAGCTGGATAGGAAGTTGCCAACGAGATATCATGAACAAGTAGCAGCCTTCGGCTACCAGGGGTCTTGACGCACCAACGATGATATCGCCATGGAATTGGTTTGATTGCTCATGGCATCTCGGGACCGGATTGCCGTTTGCGCTGCTGATAACGTGCCGAGTAACATTCATCAAGCCTGTTCGGAGGCACGAACAGGTAACGTGAACAGGAGATTCTGTGCACGGAGTTGCGCAGATAACCAGGAGCCATGATGCATTCAAACTGCAGTATGCGGACCAGGGTAGCCCATGGTTTGTATGGACCCCTACGTACCTTGAGTACTCCGTCCAAGTGTCGGGGCGTGATATCCCACGACCTCTACATATCCATAGCCAGCTGCAGTTAGTGGGCCAAAATAATAATACTCGGCATCCGGGGCTCGTCGCCGCGACAGAAGATAATGCAGGCGGGGCAAGTGGTTCGGCGTAGTATCTGACACAATCAGCGAAGAGCTTATGCGTTGTGATATCGAAGCTGGAACGCCAGTCTGTAGAAGGGTGGCTATGAATAGCCCAAGTCTCAGAGAACTGGAAGTTCTAGACCTGCATGGTAACCTGGTTGTATCGACATGCGGATATTTAGTCGGGTAAAAAGGTCTTTGCGTGGGCCTCGATCGTCGAAGGCCGCCAACTCGAGTTGGAGACCCTTTACTGTGAGTATGGGCCTATAGAACTCCTCGACATGTGCTGGTGTCGCCCGTGGACAGGAATAGATGGATCCACGCGCCGGAGCTGGGGCCGGAACTGTAACGAGATGACAATGAAGTACCGCTCTCCGGTTTCACAAGGGAGGGAGTCGGCATTCGTTGCTTGACTTCCGGTGTATTTATTACCTCTGCGGCCGTATGCCATGACCGACTTCCAATGAACCGATTCTTTGAGGCACACAACTATGCGGTCATCGAGTGGTACGCCACTTCGGAATCAATCATGGTTGCCAAGCCACGCCGGAAGGACACAGGCCCCTGTACGGCGGGCTCGACGGCAATACCAATCTGGATCTGTGATCCGAGACGGCAGGACGGCAGGCCTCGCAGACCCTGACCTGGCTGTCTGGCTGCATGGGAGGGAATGGATGGATTACCGTTCCATCGGGACCGAATGGGTGTGGCAGCGGGGAAGAGACTGGATGGGGATTGGTGATGGTGAGGGCATTCGCTCGGATTCTGCACGTCTCGTTACCGATCCCGATGGTTGGGCAGGCTAGGTGCATTTGGAGTTGCAGCCGCGAGAGCGAGCTGTGTTGCAGTCAGGTTGCGGTGTGATAGATCATAGGACCTGAGTGTTGGTGCCCAGTATGCAGTCGGCGGCTGTCGCTGTCGGTGCGTGCCCCGGTGATGCTAAGGGTATGCAATGTAGTGGGTTACAGCCAGCGGAGGTTGCATTGAAGCCATAAGACACGATGATGAAATGTTGGTGATGGCAGTGGAAGTTTTGAAGGCAGTTGGTCTCATGGATGGCCGGGGAGTTGACGGCGGAAGAATGGAAAACCCAGGTCCAGCAAGGCGTACAGGCGCTAGGACAACCTTGAGGGCACTGAGAGCCCCTGTAAGCGTCACCGCCTAGCCTAAAGTGGAGCTGAAGTTCTCCCCTTATTACCTCATACCGACTAATTTGCCAGTGACTGTTCTGTCGATATTTCCAACCTCACCATCGTCAATGACTGTTGTTTCGCCTATGCATCTGCCATCTGCACCAAAGCTCCTTGCATGAGTCTATGGCACCTCAATCGCGTCGTACTTATTAATTGTACGTCAGACTGGGGCAGAATGCTGCATGAGAACTCTCGCATTGAATGACTGGAATCATACCACCGACGGCACCCTTCAATGCTCTTATTTGATGCCGGCACGGCACGCCTTATCCATCTGGATATCTATCCGCTGGTCTATCGATAATCTATTCATAGACCCGGCAGCTGCCCGGCTGGCTCTTGGCTCTTGTTATACCTACATCATCATTGATCGTCCCTCTAACCGCGGGCTTCATGAGACCCTTACCCTCTCTTTCTACACCTACGGACCTCCGTTTCCCAGATGCCTCCCGCGCTTCTTTGATGAGAGCAAAACCTCAAGATATTTAGACATCCTTGAGCTTGTTACATAAGCACACCTTTCTGTCTTTTTCCGATAGTGATCCAGTGGTCACCCATCATCGCTGTCGCTGTCGTCATCGACAGTCATCGTTCATCACCGGCTTCGTTCATACAAATCGCGACGGGAATTTCGAGAAGCTTATGTTGATGACAGCCGAGTCTTGCTTCCCTTGGCACTTTCGGCTTCCTCCCTCACGCTCATCAGGCTCGCCAGACCTTTTCTCGACACTCCGTATACCCTGTCCAGGCCAGGCCTGTCGATTTCGAATCTGGTCTTTTCTCCGACACCACGTGGGTGGGCACCCTTGTCGCGCTGATCCTTGGCATCCTCTCCCGAGACCCTTCCAACCACTCGGGTCACACGTCGCGGTTTCCATCGTCGATATGACGGGACAGGCGATAGATTGGCGTCGTCTATGGCGCACCCAAAGTACGAGTCCAGCGATGGCGGACGAGGAGTCGGGTGCTGAGGCGGCTGCACAAGGTGACGAGCCTCCAGAGCCAAGTTCCAGTGGTCCGAAGTCGTCGATTACTCTAAATGTGCCCAATCCCGCGGTCAGCTATGGGCGACTCAACCCCGAAATCGAAGAGAATGTCGCCCTCGTTGGCGACCTCTCAGGTGACGGGTTGCGGACCGACGCTACAGATCGTCGCAACATGCTCGGCTCCAACTTGGCAACCCGCTTACCTTCGAGTCAGGACGATCAGGGTAGCACCAGCAGAGGTACGTTACTTTGCTCTGCTTTTCCCCAGCTCCATCCGCTGCCTGCTACCTTCCTATCTGCGCCTACATCCTCTGGCTTGCCGATCCCACCGAGGCAGCCATACTCTGAAAATACATGACTAATAGCAGATCATCATGATCTTCAGGCACAACCTCCAGCGATCCCTCTACCCCGTCGGCGAACCAACGCGATGCTAGCCACCTCCTCGGTCTCCCCTCTGAACTCATTGATGCCGTATTTTCATTTCTGTCGCCCATCGAACTCGCCACCGCTTCTCTCGTCTGCCATGCCCTCCGCCAGCATGCCATCGCCGACATACAATGGCAACGCCATGTCCTTTCGAACCTCCCGGGGAACAAGATCGCTTCGCCGTACCCTTGCCAGACATGGTACGAGCTTTACACCGCACACGACCCATACTGGTTCCTTACGAAACACAAGCTCTGGTTCTGCGACAGGGAGCTGGCCGGGCAGATGGTGATTGTGCGCTACGACGAGCGCCGAGGCTGCATCGAGGGATATCAGCTAGTTGCGGCACGGAACAGAAACGGCAGTGAGCCCTGGCTTGCCGATTCGAGCGTGCATATCCACTACTTCGAGCCAAGGGTCAATCTGCATCTTGACAAGCCCGTTCTGCAGTTCGATGCCAACAGTCTGGAAAATCTACTTCGCAACTCCTCCTCGCCGGGGAAGCCCTCGAAACGGTTTCGTCAGTTCTTCGCAGAGCAACCAATGCGCTACGACCACGGCACCGATCCGCGGTTCAGCAACTTCCTCCTTGCGAGACCTCTCAGTGAGTCTGCTGTGGTTGATCGGATGGATAAGCAATTTCCTTACGGGCATGTCTGGCCTCCTCCAGCGATACCGGCGCGGCATCGTGTTCTCGGGCACCCTAGTGGCATCATCCGTCCATCGCGTGACCATGTCGCCAACCTATCATCAAGCATCTTCAAGCCATCCACTCGCGCAGAAGCTTCCGATCAGACTTTCCGGATCCGGCAATGGATGGACCTAGCCACCCTTGGCGTCCACCTAGGCGAGGAGGTTGTAACCTACTCGACCCTTGACTCCTCCTTGTATACCCCGACGCCAGAAAAGCCCTGGAGAGGAATCTGGGTTGGTGACTACAGCGGCCATGGCTGCGAGTTTCTGTTACTGAACCAGCCCGATGACGACGTCGAGGGCGAGGAGGGGCCGCTGGTGAGGAGCGAAAACGAGACGGAGGAAGACTTCCAGGAGCGCTTCCTACGTGAGCGAGTGTATCGGGGCCGACTAGAGGCCATCAAGCTTACGGGTGATCCAAACGTACCCCGGGGCGAATACACGTTCGTCGCGACGGACCTCGGCGACGATGGATTTGTGGGTGTGGCCCAAGAGCCACCTTTCCAGGGAGCCAGGGTCGTGAAGAGCAAGGGCCATGTTGCCGCCATGGGCTTCCACCAAGGTGAGATGATCCCAACTGCAGGAGGACTATGGGGAGATGATGTACTAACGCGAAGATTAGACAAGTACATCGAGTCGCAGCTGATCTTGATCTCGCATAATCGGCTGGCAACATATTGGGTGGAATTCGGCCACATCAGCTTCTTCGAGAGGGTCGACATTGATCAGTTCCTCGTGCCTGGTTGATACAGACAATTTCCGGCTGCGTATAGCTGCTTCTACGGGGATAACTCTGGGCTACCTTGATACCTGTGGCCGGCCACAGGTTGCAGTTTGTATATGTAATGGTAGGCAGCTTACTTCAAGTCGTGATAATGATCATGCGTTGCTTCTGGTCATGGCATGCGTCTCGTGTCGTCTTTAAACCCGTAACCTGAAAGTGTAGGATCTAAACCTTCCCAGCCTCCTTTCCTGATCTGCCCTATCAGGCTATCACATGCTTAAGATATGAGGAGTGGGCCTACATTATAGTGTTCCTTTCATGCCCTGGTCAGGGTCTGGTTCAGAGATAGTATCGGTACGATACTAAAGTCGTACGACACTAACGGTTATATCGCACTAAGTAAATATAGTCTTAAAGATGGAGACTTCGGTTAGTTTTACATTGCATTTAACCGCCTCCGATCCGACAATGTCTGCGACGTGGACAGGTTGCAGACCAATCTCGTTTCTGACCTTGGGCTCTGCGTTCCTGTTGAGCAATAGCTGCGCACCCTGATACCAGTCTCGCTTCGCGGCGAGGTGCAAAGGTGTGTTGCCTTTGTAGGTCCTGGCGTTGATCGAAAGCCCCTTTTGGATGAGCCACGTGGTGTGCAGCAAGCGTTCCTCTGCGACGGCCATGTGGAGCGCCGTCCAGCCTCTGTTATAAATTATCCGTCGTATCCATGGCAGCACCTTGGTTCGTCAAGATTGCCAACAAGCCAATCTGGCCTGTGCGAACAGCTACGTGAAATGCCGTCTCTCCAGTATTGTCCTCCTGGTTGAGGAAAGCGGCTAGAGCTTTCGTGCTGCCGTGCTTGGGAAATATACTCGTCGAGGTGATATATTTCACGACATCTGTGGTGTTCGGGAAGATGTGTTAGTCTAACGCGTTATGTGCGGAGGATGGGCGAATTGTAGTAGTGTGGACCTACTCGTGACAGCGCCCTGTGAGGCGAGATGCAGAATGGTACGTCGATTCTTATCGAGCAAGGAGGTCGTAACTAGTGAGACATTGTCCATCTTGTTCTGGCTGTCAAGCTTTTCGATCTCGATCTCCAGAGCGACAAGATTGTCGTCTCGGGCGAGCTGGAGGATGCGGGCGATGAGGTGCTCATCGAGCTGGAGAACACCGGAGGTGGTGTGTTCATCAGCCATTTCAACTGGTCTGAAGGGTCAGCACCTAGTTCAGTCGAGCCGCCGGGGTTCAATACATACCTAGCGAGTTGAAAAGCAGAGCTGTCGAAAGTATCTAGTATATTGGTGTTTGTCGAGCAGTTTTTAGCGATGATGGTGGTGGGATCGAAAAGAAGATTGAAATGAGTTCGAGAAATCTGCCAGGACTTTATAATAAATTTCCTGTCTCCAGGATCAGCCTTGGGAATGGACAATAGCGCCTCTTCGCTGTCGAAGACAATGAGAAACATCGTGAGCTCGTGTGAAAAATGACCCTTTCCACTGTTGGAGACGATGGGAAACGTCGTAAGCTTGAGTGAAAATAGCCCCTCTGCACTGTCAAAGACAATGAGAAAGATCGTGAGCTTAAATATATGATCTATATCACACGCTGAATGAGGTTCATGTAAGTCAACTACATGGTTCTGCTTGCTATTCTCGGCATGGCTTGCAGGCCGCCTGGTAGCATCATACCCTGAACATCTTGTAGTAATCAAGTTCAGCATTGGCAGCCTTTGCACTGCTGGAGTAGATTTCGACATGTCTTATGGAAGCGTAGCCCACCAAAGTCTAGGTATTGCGAGGTCGGGTGCGTATATAGGAAAACAACTAGTAGGCAAACAATGCCTTCGCAGTATATACGGTAGTACTATAGGTTAGTATCGTGCTGGGCAAATACGATACTAGCTGACCTGACTTGGCTGATCGAATCAAGCAGTGGTCTGTGCGCCGCCCCCCAGGTTCTCGGGTTGATCCGACCAACCTCTTCGGGCTGTTACAAGGTCGTCTACACCAGCCCAGACTGTCATCGCGGGCTGCTTCCAGTTCAAAGACTTCTTCTTTGTTCTCCCTCCTCCCCTCTCGCCTTTACCATCAGCGACTTATAGACCTGATTTCCACTGGATTTCCAACGTCTTGTACCTTCAGCTCGCGTCTTTGTTTGAGCAAACCTTCCCCGCTATACTGCCGCCAAATTTTGTTGGGCACGCATTACCAGTCGCGCGTCACCCACCTACGGCAAAGAGGTCATCTAGAACAGGCGCAATCGGCTGAGTCTGCACCGTCTGCCGCTGGGCAATCAATCTCTACCTGGAGATATCTCTCAGTGGAACAATCAGCTTCTTCTGCCGTTCCATCTTCTGGTCCTCCTCCACACAGTAGGTCCCAGACAGATATGGCCGACAAATACGTCATTCGAGTGACGGCTGGCTCCGACTACGACATCGACCACCATGTCGTTGTTCCAGTCAACTCTCATGAGACCGTCAAGATCAGCAATGATCTGATCGATGCCGACCTCAACGTTCGCGTGCAGAACTACCATGGCCTGCCCAGAAATTCCCCCACTACGTCTCCGTATTTCTCACTCGAACCCCATGCTTCTAGCAAGGATCAATACAGCTTGGCTATGCGCCTCACTTTCAAGAAGCCCGCCCCCGGACGCCGCTCCAAGACCGCTACTGGCTCCGGATCTAGATCGTCCTCGAAGAGCAGTCGGTCTTCCAAGGCATCACTTGGCGAGAAGACGTCGGGCAGCAAGAGTAAGGACTCGGGAGTATCGCAGTCGGATGCGCCCTCGCCAGCTGAAGAAGGCAGTGGCATCTCAGGCCACGACCTTCAATTTGGTAACGACTTCGACCACGCCATTCGTGACCGTCTCCCACCAGGTTTCAGCTACGCCATGAACATCGTCAAATGGTGGATCGACCCCGGTCTCGATGGTGATGCATATGCCGACCAGCCATACCTTTATGGACCGGCTCTATCGTCTTTCAACGCAGTTCACGTCGGTTCTGGAGAGGTTAGCGCAGAGAAAGGAGGTCTCTTCTTTGGCGAAGGCGGCGACGAGGAAGGCTTGAAGCAGCGACGAGCCATCGGCGCCCCCGACAACGCAAAGGGCCGGAAGAAGTGGGCGCTGAACAACGCCAGCAAGGACAAGTGGGTGTACGAGTACGACCAGACTTATTGTCTCGACTTCTTCAACCCGTACCTAGACTTCAGCGACTTCGCGCTACGCCTACCCGGGTTCACTATGCCGATCATGAAGTACTGGGACGGCCAGGGCCTCAGGTAAGAACCCGAACCCTCTCGTACTCTCTATCTCTATATTCCTCCTTTCTCTTCTTCCTTGGACTCTGAGTTTCTCATTTTGTCGTGCGCCTCCATCTAGGGCCCGGCCGAAGCGCTCACACACCCTTAGATACGTGCTTCGCAACCGCTCGACCAACGAGACGTACCTTGTCATCCTGTTCACCCTGTACCTCAAGGAGGACGTCAACGAGGACGGCTCGCTCAAGCCGGCCGCTCTCGAGGCTACCCGCGAAGACAGGCAGATGACCAAGGATTCCGGCAAGTTGGTTGAGAGCGAGGACAAGGGTGAGAGCGGGAGCAAACATGATCAAGACTACGAGGAGGCGAGGAAGCATTTCGAGGAGATGGAGATCAGTAACAAAGGAAAGGGAGGTTCCAAGCAGCAGGAGACGAACGATGATGATGTGGACTGAATTGGTGGCTTTTAGATCCGGAGTTGGGGATGTTGCTTGGACTTTCTACTCTTGGAATGGCAGGACACGGCGCAAATCACCCGAGGCTATAGCGCCGTAACAGCAGTTGGTCAGGCAGTCCGGTCTCCAGTGCCGATAATTGAGTGAGATCTGACAACCGAGATAATGATTACTATGGTTTCGTCTAGCTACTTCTTTCTTCTCGGACTTTTGTCGGATAATCCCAATGACACCAAAGCTATCCCACTTCTCCACCCCCCCATCCAAGCTGGCAGCTTCTCACATTGGCATCCCGTTGACGTGCGACAGGCCCACCCGGGACACGACCCATTCGGTTGTATCGGTCAGACGAGTCCAATGCAGCACCATCCACTTCCGCAAGGCTGAATCGCAACAGCTTCAACGTCAGGGGAATGTCCAAGAACCCCCGGTTCTAGTGACACCATCGAAGTTGGGTTGCCCTGGTGGGCTTTGTGGTAGGGGGACTTGGGCAGTCGCGCCAGAGCTTCTTGCAACACTTCGGTGCCTGCTGTCCACGGCAGCTTGTCTAAGGAATCATTCGCCTCTTTCGAAACAGAGAGCTGGTCGGCTCGTCTCGCAATCGCGTATACGAAATCGTGGTCCGGAATGCGAGGACGATAGACGCACGCTGGGCCGTAAGCCCGAGGGATTTGACCGCAGCGGTCCCATGCGCTGTGGAAGAAGTAGAACTCGCCAATCCCATCGTCCAGAGGCACCAGTGCCTTGAGGACACCTTCGCTGTCGGAGTACATGCAGGCCGGTCCGGTGGCTCCCTTGGTGATCCTGTCTGCGAGTTCCCATCTGCGCGGCTCGTTGGCTCTATCACTCTCATGTACGGGACACCGATAGTGCAGGACGTCACCATTCGTTCTAAGGATTGCAGTCTCCAATGTCGACGCGGCAGACTGACTGCCAGGCGGCCGCCTGCTTTGGACCAGCGGCGCCGCATCACAAGCGACGACGCCTCCGTAGTGCTTATCTGGGTGGTCGTTCACGACCGCCGCAAGCTTCCAGGCGTACTTCCCACTACCGATCGGGATCGTGTTGTCCTTGGTGTAATGCTTGATCAAGCCACCATCCTCGAGAGCAAGCACTTCGTAGTCGCCGTGGTCTTGATACAAAAATCTTTTGATGAAGTCCTGGACCATGGAACCACCGGAATGGACAGAGCTTCGAGATGATGTCGCAGAAACCCCATTTTCCAGTCGGGCGGTCGCACCAGAAGTGGAGCAGCTGGCGCTCGGGCTTCTTTTTCCAGCCGGTGATGCTGAGGACAACCTCTAGACTGCCGTAGGAGCTGTGGCAGAGGCGATTCATGATGTGCTGGTGTGCTGGGAGAGAAAGGGTGGGGCTTGTATCGAAGACGGGCGCCTGAAAGGTCAGATCCTGTGTTGAGAGGAGCGCTGGGGTTGAAGCTGACGACCAGAAAAGGCCGTTATGGGGATGTGCAAGGTCCAGAACTTACTTGAGGAGTCTCAGAACGAAGAACGAAGGGCCGGAGAGGGCTGCCTATATGAGGATCCACGGACTTCCTCCTTGTCGGAGCCCGTTTGCTGCCCTGAAACTGTTCAATGCAGATTCCCGAAGCTCCTGCCCAGGCTTCATGGGTGGCGGATCTGAGGAAATGCAAACGCCCAGAACCAACGGATAACGCCTGGATCTCTGGTATTGCAAACGCATCGAGTTCCTCATCTGGATTCTTGTCACCCCACCCTTCTGTTGCCACTGGCCACTCCTGCGGGCGCTGCGCTTGCCAGGAGTGTCTTGGTTCTGCGCAGCTGGCATCAGACAACACGAGTCCTGTTGACCGGGATATCCGGCGGACTATTTGCTGCTTCTACTACCTGCCAGGGACGACTGTAGCAGGCTGATGATGATATTTTCTCGACTGCCTATCGCGTCTTGCTAGTCGCAGCGTCAACAGCCTAAAGGTAGCGATGGCCCTCGTCCAGAGTGTGTAGCCAAGGCATCTAGATATGTGCGATATCGGCTCGAAAGCCAGTCCGGAGAAGGGGTTGCCGAAGACTTTCTTCCTCCTTGGAGTTACCTACTTGTCAGCTCTGAGCAAGGCCTCAGGCTGCCTGATTTCCTCGCCCAAAGTTAATTGTGAAGCTGCTTCATGAGAACCAACCCTTTGGTAGCTGATGGGCAGAAAAGTCAAGGGATTTCTATTCCTACGCGGTTTGCCACCGCGATGCACACCAAGAGTCATCCAACCCTCTTCTGCCGCCACAGTCGGCACGCACCAGGGCGCCACAGCACCCGCTCAAGTGAAGTTTCTTCGTCTCTGCACCCCAGTGCCTGGTCAAATGATGTATGAGCTCAGTGGAGCTGGTTGCTGACTTCGGCAGGGAGACTGCCTTCCACTTCGGCAATGCTTAGTCGCGATTATTTCACTGTGATTTGCCTCCACGTCTAGAGGTGTGGTTGCTTACCTACTAGGAAGCACTTTTGTCATATCTCTCTGCTCCTTGGCCATGGTCTTACGCAGCGTTTACATGTGGTTGTTATCTTGCTGTTGTCGTATTGAGTGGTTGCATATATTGGTTGCTACATACTGGCTGTTCTTAGTCTGCTGCTGTTTCCTCATTACTTTCTCGTCCTGTCGTACAGCCTTCGTCTCATATTTAGACCATACTGTCTTAATAACATGCTCTCGTCATGTCGTTGCTATTACGTCTTGTAGATATGCTCTCGTTTTGTTATCACCCTCTTTATTCTAAGCTATATTGCTTAAAGTAACTTGATTGTCTTGCTTTGACTATCTAAATCTACTAAGATTATTTTTCTGACTCTGCCGTTATCCCGGGTCATCCCGCCCATGTTCATTTCCTCACGTTGTCTTTCCATTGTATTGTTACTAGTTAGCTGGTCATCCTCTGTGTGCAATTATTCTCATCTTGATTGCTTCCTAAAAACTCTCACGTCCAACCTTCTCAGCTCGGTGTATTGATGCCGTCCCTTACTGTCTTGTTCTCCAGCCCAGTCCTCGGCGTCTAAGTCACGGCGTCCCATTCTCGGTCCAGGCATTATGATCGTAGTCTTGACAAGACGTTCCCGGTATCACGGGTATCAGTGTCACGTCTCCATTGTCACGTTCTCTCTATCAAATTCCAATCGTCACTTTGTTATCGTCATTTTTGTTGTCGTCGTCACGTTCTCATTGCCGTCTCCATGTTCCTATCGTTATGTCCCGCACAACTAAGTTCTGATTATCTGGTTGGTCTCCTCTGGTTCTTCTTGCTCCGTCCTATATCGACTCCTAGTTGCGATGGACGATCCTGACCTACTCGGGGTACTGGCTAGGCTTGAGGTGCTGAGTATGTTACGTCGTCTATGTTCACGTCGCCCGTGTCCACGTCGTCCGTGTTCAATGTCGCCGCCCCAATGCTCGGCATCGCCGCTCCGTGTTCACCATCGCCGCCCCTGCGTCCGACATTGCCGGCCTCCGTGTCCGGACTCTTCCATGCCCGGCCCCTCCGAAATCTCCCTCTGCGGCTCCCGTTCTGGCCCCCCCTCTGGCTCCAATGCCCCGGAGCCCTTCCCTTCCTCGACCCCTCCGATCTTGAACACTCTGATTCTGACCCCTCCGTGTCCAGCCCCTCCGAATTTGACCTTTCCAATTTCAACTTCTCCGGGACCCACGCCTTAGGGTTTTGTTTGCCCTTCTCTAATCTTGATCTCTCGGAGGTCACCCACACCCATTTTTGCTCTGGAAAATTTTCTTGACTGTTCTTCCACATTTTCCTTCCACTTTCGCTTTGCAGCTGCTCTTTTGCCGGACCGCAAGCATGATGCCCCACGGCAGCAGGAAGAACAGGTCGATTGCCAACCGACGACGACAAGATGCTTGGCGGGCTGAGCATGTGTACAACATCCTGGGTGGTGGCGCTGGTCCCCATGCTGGCCCAGCTACGAATTCAGGAAATCCACCTCCTCCTCAAATACTTCCGCAATATCCGCAACAATTCCGGTCCGTACCGCATGATCCGCAACAATCCAGTCAACCTCGTGGCGCTGGTCAGAGCCATCCAGCTCAACATCTCCAACGTGGTCCCAGAGAGGGTCCCACATTCCCCTTGGTGGCTACAACAGGAGGTAAGCCAACTCCAGAACGTCCCTCATCTCAGCAGAGAGCGCAGCTAACGTTTGACATGCAAGATCCTGGTATCGATTACGCACCATACTTTACCGCCACCGCCGACGCTTTCTGGGATTGTGAGTCCGAAACATGGATCTTTCCACAGACCCAAATCGACGGTGCTGAGGAAGCCTTTCGCGGTGCTGGTCATCGTCCCGGTGCTGGTCCTGGGCTCGGTTCTGGCCAGAGCCAGCCAGCCCAAGGTTTCCAGAGTGTTTTCCAAGGTGTTCCCAGAGACCATGGTCGTTTCGAACCCCAGGGGGTTATAACAGGAAGTAAGCCAACTGCAGAGTGTTCCTTAGCTCAGCAGAGAGCGCAGCTGACGATTTACGTGTAAGACGCTTCCATTGTCGCCGCAGACTATGAACAGGAGTCCGGTGTATTGACCCTGGGACCCGTTCAGGGAGCTTTTCCGGGTACTCAGGCAGCTCAGTGGCCTGCAATGACAAGGCCCCACGTGCAGCAGCAGCAATTCGTGCAGCAAAATTCTCAACAGTCTTCGACACAGCTGCAGCCCCGTCACCCGCACAACCGAGGAGTTTTTCATTTGACCACACCTGAATCCCTCGCCTGGAACAACGATCAGCAGCTTCAGACTGAGAATCAGCTCCAGTCCGAGAACCAGCTCCAGTCCGAGGATCAGCTCCAGTCCGAGAATCAGCTCCAGAACGAGAAAAAACGGCTTCTCAATCAGTATAAGGACAAAAAGATCACGCTTGGTGAACTCCGAAAGCTTTCCTGGCAGCTGTCTTCCCACCATTCCGTTCAGAACAATCAACGCCCCGCTCCCAACGAAAGCTACGAGAATAGAGCAGCCGATCACGACACCGCCCCTGACGCACCAGTCAATCACGATACCGCCCAAGACGAAGCAGTCGACGTAGACCAGATACTCCAAGAACTCAGAGCAGAAGGCTTGGACGACGCCATTATGGAGAACGCAGGCAACGACAACGTCCACATCAAAACCGAGTACGACGAGGACGTTGACATGGAGGCCGGTGGCAACGCAATGGGACCTGCGCCCCTACAAGACATCCGTGACGTCCCTGTCTACGATAACGCCAACCAACTTCGTGTCGAGAACTACGTGAACGACATGCCCAACAATCCGACCAATTTGCTGGCCGCTGAGCAGCATTACCTTCAGCTTATCGTCGCGCAAGAGCTTGCGAACCGAGGTGTTACGGACTTTTTTCTCATCCGCAACACATTCGTCATGCAGATCCTACCCGTCCCTAACCCCGGCTCCGGTGCCGAGCCTGTCCCGCAGCCCGCCAACCAGAGACTGTTGGTAACCTTGCAGCAACGCCCGGGTGGTTCTGTGTGGGTTCGCCGAGACGGCGAGACAAGAACCAGAATGGGATGGACGGTGGTCAACATGGCCAACTACATCGACCGGCACCACGACGACGAGCACCGCCAGCGGGCCGACTGGATCGAGATGGTCAACAGCTGGCCTCCCTTCCCTGAGGGCACCATCGACCCCCATGCTCCCGACTGCCGCATGACGATCTAGCTGCGTTTGCTTGCATGGACATACTCGCTGGTCCTCTAACCCAGACGAGTCATGAAATGAGGAGAGGAGAGTCTTCCCTCTCCTCATCCCCCATGCAAGAAACTCGTGGGTGCTGCAAATAGTCATATCCCTGTCCGCGGAAAGAAACATACGAAGTTGTTTGGTGCCGATGAAAGAAGATCGGAGCCACGCCAGCAACCACAATTTGTCGGTTGGGCTGGGAGTACTAGGCGGTGCTTGCGTGGACGAACTCGTGGGTGCTTGATGGCTGGACAGAGGATGGTACTAGAGGATATTCTGGTAGGTAGCAGAGAAAAATGCTATCTTCACGGACATGACCGAGACATTGAACCGCTGTGACACTGACATGCACGTCTCCAACCCTGACCCGGCCACGTAAAGCCATTTGACAGCCAATGATGACATTGGCCAAGCTACCAGTGGCTGACTGGTCATCTTTTTCTATCAAATCAAATGCATATGTGGTAATATTCATCAAGGGCTGGTTCCTCGCTCATTCTTCATGGAGGCACGATATACAGTCACAACGGAAGACGCACTGTGCATACGCACTGTATGAGGCCAGCCAAACGCCCCCAGTTCAAACCAGCCCCCTGAATATTGAATACGACCTTGACACCGCCCGCCCGCAACCCCCGGTCTCAACAATTGAGACATCCTACAGACATCATAAAGGCCGCTGACATCTACTATAACAGTCACTTCGTTGTAGCGATAGTCCAGCTTGAAAACTACCCGCTCGACTGCACGCACAGCATCTGGTGCCACGTTTCCGCGGCCCTCCAGACTCGGTCGGTCGCATTCGCCATGGTGTTGAGAGCCACGCTCGTGAGTACCTAACTGTGTACCGCTATGTGTTTTTGTGTTTTTTTCCTGCTGGCCTCTTATATTCACAGTGTATCCGCGATCAACACCGTACCCATCGATTCCGCATCCGGTACCATGGGCTGCCTACTGACAAAGTCAATTGGACCAGACCCTGTTGGCAGTGGCCCTCCTTGCGCCGGTGCTCTACGAGCGGGCGCAGATCCTGTACCTCTTTTGGCGCAATGCGCCCGTGAGATTCACCCGCATAGACAATCTCGGGTCGCACGATATCAAGTTCGCCGATCGTATCCGCAGCTGTGAGGATGCGCTGCTAGTCGAGTCGCAGGGCCTCGCGATTCTCGGTTGCGACCCGGGCCGCGAAAGATGGAATACCGTCATGGTGAGCATTCGGGCACGCGCCCTTGCGATTCTGCGACACTGCGTTCCTCGAGTCTACGTCGAAGTCGGCTCTTGCCAGCCTTGATTGAGTTGTTTCCCATATACAGTCAGACACGTGTGCCAGCATGCATTAACCCTCAAGCAGGGCGTCTTTCTCCCGGGACCCGTACCCAGCGCTGAGCTGTACGCATATGACTACAAGAAAACGAATGCGCCCGAGTCTGAGTCCCTGCGACGTCTGGAGTTTGTGGATTTTGAGTATGAGGCCGATTTTCACACCCTGGGCATGGCATACGACGAAGCATCGTCCACCCTCTTCGCCACGAGCCATCGCCAGGATAAGCCCACCATTGAGATGTTCAAGTTGGACTTGACTGCGTACACAGCAACCCACCTCCGCTCCATCCAGCATGACCTCCTCCACGGCCCGAATGCTATTGCCGTGATCAACAGCCATGAGTTCTACGTCACGAACAACAACCACTTCCTCGTCAAGAACCACCCGACTCTCAACCATCTGGAGACATATCTCGGTGTGCCCGGCGGAACCGTAGTCCACATTGACGTCTCGCCCGCCCTCAAAAGCCCAGCCGGCCCGGTGCAAGCCAACGTGGTGGCACGCGTGCCCTTTGCGAATGGCATCGACATTCTCAACGAGACCACCGTCGTCGTCGCCTCGTCCAGCCGGGCAGCGGTATATTTCTTCTCCATTGGCCCCAAATCCGACTCTTTGTCATCCACACCCACGCCGGTCCTCACCTATAGCTCGCAGCTGCGCGTGCCCTTCCTGGCCGACAACCTCTCGGTCACGAAGGACGGTACCCTGATGATCGCAGGCCACCCCCACATGCCGACGCTAGGCAAGTTCGCGCAGACGCGTAATGTGTGTAATGGCCCCGAGGACGAGCTGACGCGCGCGGCTCCCGAGATGCGCGAATACTGCGCCAAGTCCTCGGCGCCGTCCTGGGTATCTGAGTGGACCGAGGCGGGAGGCCTGAAGCACCTTTACGCCGACGTGCGCTACCCGTCCAGCTGCACGGCGGTGCGGGATTCCGAGAGGAATGTCGGCATCATCACCGGGCTGTATGCCAAGGGGATCCTCGTGTACTGACGGGTGGAGTCTGAGTGACAAAGCCGTGCCGCAATGGGGAGACGGAGAGATAAGGCGAGTGGGCAAAACGATCCGGGCTTTGTCCTACCACACGCCATGTTGGCAAGTCCGCTGATATTTTCTGCCCAGGTTTTTGGGGAAGCGTCTTGGGTGGCAGAGGTTGAGTCGATTTTCTGGAGACTGCTATAAAGGAATTCAAGTTGGATATCATAGGTCAAGCATACCTGCATCATTGGTGGGTGGGTGGTCGCTGTCTTGGTTTAGCGAATAGGCATATCATATCTACGATTAACGACGACGGTCTAGACCGCAATATACTCCCTTCTCTTTATCAAACCAGTGCGGTCTGTCATCCAGCGAAGGGGGTCTAGCTCATCTCCGGCCAGCTGCATGTACTCGAGTGCGTCAATTTCAAGACACGACCCAGACGAAGCCTTGCAGTGTCTGGCTTCGGGCCGCCTGTCTCGAGAGGGGTTTTGGTCTCGGTGGAGCACGTGGTTTGAGGAAGTTGGGCCATAAGACTTGAACGCCTGCGCTCAGTGTACAGGCACGCCGGGGCTCGTGCTGTTCGAACGAGTCGGCTACTGAACCGGTCTGGAGTAGGGTAGGGTGGTAGAGAATATGTACGTTTGACTAGCTTGACTTCCTTGACAACGTATCCGCTCGACTTCAGACTGAACTCGGAGTTTCTATCCTTGTGTTATGGTGGGCATGGCACCTCGACTAAACCCTCAAGTCGTCACTTAGTGACCTTCGTTTTCGCAGACGAACGCCCTGCGGCGTTTGCATGCCGACGGACAAAGCGTTCTTAGAGTCTTCAAACGTACCTAGGAGTCGATAACCCCGCTGTAGATGTGTCGTTTGAGGAAATTTTCAAAGACCTGTCCTTTGGTCTCTATTAGTGGCATGCCCATTTCGCATCTCCCTCGACCCGATATCAATGAAATTTCAGAATGAAAGAAAAGGTTTGCATTGTCTCCTCACATACCTAGATCTCCTCTTGTATCTTTCTTAGGTAGCCCCTTTGACCTTTTCCTAAAGGGGTAAAGTCGGCATGTATAATTGGACATTGAGGTCCTTACTCCTTCATGGCCCTTGTTTGTCCAGGTCTTCAATGGTTCTTGTTTGACTTGAAAGACTTAAAAACAAGGACACTGATAACCATTGAGCACCCATAATCGATTCTGTGCAAATACTGTGACATCAACTCTGCATAAATATGCTCTCCCTTGCCCCCGTATCCTGACCTTTCTTTCCTCATCTCATCATCACCATTCAACAGCATCGCTCTAGAGCACCACTCCAGAGCAACACTCAAGAACACCACTCAAAAAACCACCGATCGAACACGCAACTCAACAGGATAATCGACGAGGACATCAACAATGGTGTCGAACACTCTGGTTACTGCATTTGCAGTAGTCGGTGGTCTACTTTACGCTGGTAGTAAAGTGTCGTCAGCTCTCCGGGTCCACATGTTTCTATTCAGTCTCATGCTCTCGCTTGTCTACCGCACTTACATGATGCCTTTCCGCGTTTACTTGTCCCTGAGACGCTACTTCGGTAGGATGAGTGTTCTCCTTCTCCTCACGGTCTTCCTCTCTCTTGTCTCTTTCTCGACCTCCTTGCTCGCTCACGCCTGCCGCAACTGGTTTCCTTCCCACTCCTTTCTCTACTTGTGGCTCATCGGTCATGAACCCACCAGTTTCTCAACTTGGGAGATCCTCCTCTTTGGTGATGTATCGCAAGCCTCTATTCCGTCGGCCTCCCAGGTTTTGAAGCGGGTTTGGTTTGAAGGTCCCAATGTTCAACCTCTAGGTCCTGTTCTCTACAGCTCTGTCTTTGAGATGTTCTTCACGTCCTGGTTTTTCACACACGTTCTCGTTCGTTTCTACTTCGTTCTTTGTGTCGTCGACTTGCTCCGATACATCTACACTGATTACGAAATCACCTTCAAGGATCTAGGTAGAGGTGGTTCGCCTCCGACTTTCGCGGGATGGTACACGGCTCGCCTGCGCGCCATTTTCGCCAACATCGACGTCATGGAGCCTCCCCGAGTGTCCCCTCTCGCTGACCCCTACCGTGGCCGCCTCAACAAACTCCCCAAGCGAGACGGCAAACGACCCACGATTCTTGGTGTCACTCCCCAGCGCCAGACCACCGACGAATCAGCTCCCAACGCTCTGCAGCAAGTCGAGGCCATCATGGCCGAGTTTGAGCAGACCCAAGGTGACGACCAGATCGAAGTCTGTCCATCATTTCTCGAGGGCGGCCTGATGGCCCTTCGTCGTCGGCTCATCGTCCCTGTCGTCGCTAATGGTGGTCCCGCCGATATTCGCGCCTCTTTCAACGGCCCCAATGAGTTCGGAGGAGAGATCTTCCACGGCCACCGAGACGGAGCAAGTCACATCGTCCTGCACCTGTCCGACGTCAGAGTCGTCCTCGAGTCTGGCTGGGGCGAGCGCCACCCCTTCGCTACGGAGAAGTGGTACTGGAAGCTGTACTGGCACACCTACCTCGGCATCCGTCGCCCCGTCCCCATCGGTCTTGTTAACCTGTACGCTCCCCGCGACAAGGGCGAGATGGACATCGTTAGACAGCTCATTCAGGCAGCTATCTATAACGAGACCTATGGGCATATGTACCCCCTTGATGCTAACACTTACCCTCTGCCTCCGGCTCCTGCGGCTGCTGCTTAGGTGAGTATTGGTTCGGTTCTCCCTACTAACTACTAACTGCATCACCTGTGTTCTCTTGGTTATCATAGCGTTGTTTATTGTTTCAAAAATTGTTTACAAAAGTTATATATTAGGAGGAGGAGTTGAATAGAGATCGTTCGTAAAGTTCATAAAGATGCCAAAATCGCGCGTACTACTTTTTCCTGTCAGTGACATCTGTTTCCCTAGAAGAGCTCTACCAAGCTTGTTGAATGCTTGAACCCCAACACAAGGAGCTGCAAAGCAGACTTTTGGGATGTCTACCTCATCATTGATCAATGCCACCAGGCGAATGCCGACATGCCGCACCATCACCTCGTTTAAAAGGCGGTTTTAATATCCCGCCCATTCGCGTCTCAGCAAAGCCAAGAATCCCCTCACACTCTCCTCGCTGACGACCGCAACATTGCCCTCGAACAAAACCTCCAATGTCCCATCTTCCATAGGCGTAGCATACACCTCCGGGCGCGACCGAGGCGGCATGGGCCTCTGGTAGTACGCAACAGCACTCGGCTCCCCCAGGAACTCAAACCCTCCATCCTCCTGCTGTTGGAACGCCGTGCGCCAGCCGAAATCCCTAGTCTTGTCCGGCCACGTCGTGCTGTGCCTAATGATCTGCTCCATGCCCGCGGTCTCGTGGGCGGCGTCGTCGATGAACTGGCTCTGCAGAAGTCGTGCAAGCTCGGCCAACGTGGTGTGGTCGTCGACCGTGGCGCGGATCGGTATCTCGGTCATTGTAGGCCCGACGATATTTTGGAGGTTGCCTGGGAGCATGGACCGGCCGACTACTAGTCGGCCTACGATGACTTCTTTTTGGTTGAGTTGGCGGGATAGTGCCAGGCATACGGCAGCATGGAAGACTGTCGCGATGGGAACCCCCTCGCGGAGCGACATGTCCAGCTTTGGGAGGTATTCTTTGATCTCGAGCCTGTCGGCCGGGCTATAGACACGAGTAGTTGAGTCTCCGACGCTCCACCATGGGTATGATGATCCCTTAAGTCTCGCGGCCCAGTACAAGAGGATCTGATCCTTGACTGAATTTTGGAACGCTATGTAATGGGAGAAGCTAGGTGTCATGTCCAGAGTGTTTCCCATGTAGAAGGAAGATATGGTATCGAGAACAGAACCCCAGCTGAAGCCATCAAAGTGGGCATGCGAGATCCGGATGACGAGCTTGTGCTGCCCAGAGTTGTGCCTGACGGCCACAAAGCGGATGAATGAGTGGCCCAGCTTTCGGGGTCTTCTGATGTCTTCCTCACAGATAGCGTCTGTGAATGCAGCCAGATCCTCATCTGCGGCATCGAGGTAGTCGTACGCCAGCTTGTGATCGGAAAGAAGTACTTGCCAGAATCGGCCTTCTGCTTGGACAAAGACGGTCTTGAATACGTCGTAGTAATCCGCCATTTTCCTACATGCCACATCCAGTCTCGGAAAGTCGACATGTGCCGGCAGATCGTAAATCATGCATGGCCATCTGTCAGGTGGATCTTGCAGCGCCTGTTGGATACATATATCTTGAAAGTCCGTTGTTGGGATCACGTCCCGGACTGTGCCGACATGAGGGTCTAGAACGGGCAAGACGAAATTGTTGAGGAAGTCTTGAGGGCTGCCTTTGTTAAGCAAAGAGAAAGGCGTTAGTGATTTCAGGTCCTCTTTGCCAACCATCTCCCTTGCCACGAGCGCCAGGTCAGAAAGGCGCTGCGTTTTGAAGATATTGGCGACCGTGAGAGCGATCCCCTGCTCGCGCGCCGCGACCACCAGTCGCATAGCGGCGATGGACTCGCCACCGATTCGGAGGAAGCTACTGTCGGCACCGATACTCGCCGCGTTGATCTCTAGAACGGAAGACCACAGAGCTTGCAGCCGTTTCTCCATCTGGGTTGACGGGGGTTGCCGCTCTTTGCCTTGCGGCTGTATTTCTGCGAGCTGCTCCAACGTCATGGAGTTGCCGAGCTCCCGCAGCTTTCGTCGGTCCGTTTTGTTGGTGGTGGTCGTCGGAATCTCGCTCACTTGGATGTACGCCCCTGGTACCATGTACTGGGGCACACGATCCCATAGTTTCTCTTCCATGCCTGCCAGAGCAAGATTGAGCCTGAGCCGAGTCTCTTCCGGTGTGAGTCTCATCCCTTTCTCTGTACTCAGGCCCAAGAAGACTGCAAGGAGAGGACTGCGGCCGTTCTTCGGTGTGATGATCTCCGCGACAAGACCGGCGCAGAGATTGGTGTCGTTGAGACAAGCATGGACGTGATGCTCAACTTCCGTCAGCTCGATACGCTGGCCTCGAAGCTTGATCATTCCGTCCTTGCGACCAACAAAGTCCAAAGATCCGTCTGAGTTGTAACGACATAGATCACCAGTCATGTGAAGCGTGCCACGCCGTCCGGGATGCCCGATTGTTCCCTTGGAAAGCCACTTCGGACTGTGGATGTAGGATGCCAAGGTCCTCTCCGCGAGTTGTTCCCCGAAATAGCCGTTGCTGACAGTCGGGCCCTCGATCATCAACTCTCCAACAGTTCCAATGGCTGCGAGGTGCCCAGGACGTCCGGGCTGGACCAGCCATGTATTGGCGCCGTAAGAGTGTCCAATATGCCCATTTGGAGTCTTCGCGCTGAGGAGAGCAAAGGACAGAGCTTGGGCGCACTCTGCTGGTCCGTAGATGCCGATGATAGTCTCTACTTGCGTCCACCGCACAACCTCCTTGCTGGATATCGCCTCGCCTCCCATGGCCAGGATCTTGAGTCCCGTCATCGTGGATGGATCGAGCGATTTCGCCACCGACGGTGTGAAGTACGTATAGTCGCATTGCATGCGATTGAGGGCACCGGCGATGTCATTTTTGCGCTGTGTCTCGGAGGGAATGCAGAGGCAGCCTCCGCAAATGAGTGTTTGTAGGTGATTCGACCACGAGACGTCAAAGTTGTATGAGACGAAGTCGAAAACACGGGTCCCGGGGCGGATGCGAAGAATATCGCGCTGGTGGGTCGCGGCAGAGGCGAAGCTCTCGTGGGTTGTCACTATGCCCTTGGGCACACCTGTGGATCCACTGGTAAAGACGACTATATTTGCATCATTGTCAATACGGTCCCAGGATGTGGACTAGGGCAATAGGGGTAATAAGGACTTCTGGGCAACTGGATTCAACTTTTCAAGTGGATAAAGGGGGTGGCTGGGTGGCTGGAATAGCGGGAAAGGCGGTGAGGCACGCACCATACAACGTGTCGGATGAAGACACCTCGGACGAAACCTCTTGGCCAGCAACAGCTCCTTCATAATGCTCCATATGACTCCGGTCAACCACAACCACCTCAGCATCAGCAAGCCGGCTTGCCAACGCCTCGTTGCTCGCAGACGCAAGTATGAACTTCGGATTGATCTGCTGCACGATAGACCTTAGACGCTCCTCGGGCTGCGTCGAATCCATAGCCACACAAGCCGCGCCGGCTCTCATCGCTCCTAGTGCTGCGACCGGATACCACATGGACTTCTCGAAGCACAGTGGGATGATACTTCCAGGACCAGCACTACGAGCAGCTAGATGTGAAGCCAGCTGACCGGAAAGCCGACCAAGATCAGCGTAGGACAGGTCACCGTCCCACGCGCAGATGGCTGGTTCCCGGGGCTGTTGCTGTATTGTTCTGCCGATGAGATCGTGTATGCATTTTTTGACGGCTTCAGGAACGGTGTTGTTCCACTCCCACAACTTCCTGATAGCCTGCTCGCTGATAGTGTCCACATCCTCAACGGCGGTCTCTACAGACACTACACTGAGCTGGCGCAGGATGTGTTCGAATTGCCCTGCCATCCGCTCCATTTGCACCTGATCGACGACGGTGGAGTCAAAGCTGATCTCGAAGTGCAGACCGCTCGTGTCGGTCGGCTGTAGCATAATCATAACCGCATTGGGATTGAAGTCGTCTAGTCCATCACTGCTGGACAGGTGGACCGGCTGGCCCTGGAACGGACTGCCCTCCTTGTCGGCATATTCGACTTTGCCCACTGGCTGCACCACAAGGAGGGTGTTGAAACGGCTCCCTCGCTCGGCCTCGACACTGATGCGCCGGATGTCGAGGAGCTCTGTTTGCTCATACGCCATCATATCCACAGCTTGCTGCTGAATGTCGCGAAGCAGTCCAGCAACGCTCTGCTTCGGGTCGAACTTAACGCGTACTGGCACTGCACTGATCAGGGGTGCGATCATGCGGTCGATACCAACGATTGGGACCTGTCGCCCAGTGACCATGGCGCCGAAGACAACGTCTTTGTTATCGGTGTAGCAGGCGGTGAGGATCGACCATGCTGCTCTGATGACAGTTGACGCGGTGTAGTCGCCCTTGGGGAACTTGAAATTGGCGACGTCGCGTTCAAGCGTGCTGTTTGCTTTGGGTCTGTAGTCGTCGTGGGGCAAGGTGGGAAACGGGACGGCCTCCGACTCTGCGAACTGCTGCCGCCAGAAGTCTGTTGCTTCTTCATGGCTGGTATCCATCATATCCTTGATGAAGGCTTGGAATGGTGCGATGGCGAATTTGTTGACAAGCCCGGAATAGGCATTGAAAACCTCGGCGAGCAGCATGTCCACGGAGTAGCCGTCGTATATCGCATGATGTTGCGTCACGGAGCAGGATACCGTCCCCTTGCTGGCATCTCCGATCAGTCCAAGCCGAGTCAGCCGCGTGCCCAAGCCCATGGGCCTCCCCCGGTCGATGTTCAGGTACGTGTCGACATCGCTATACGTGTCCCACTCTAATTTCTCGTTGACTTGCACTTGAACGAGTCCCTCTGCTGGAAGGTCGACTATTCTGTATCGCAGAATGGGCGCAATGTCTCTGCCTACGTACTCCCACGCGTTCTTGAGCCGGTCCAGGTCGATGTCGGCCCGAAGTGGTATCGAAAATCTGGCGACATAGGAGTTCTGGCTGTCAGATCTTGCTGTCATGGATAGCAACGACTTCTGCACGCTGGTGCATGGAAACGCATCCTCAATCTGCGATACCTCAACGCCGCAATGTTTGGCGATGTAGCTAAGAGTCACGTCCTTGCTTGCGGCCGCAGTATGTTTCAGCAACGAGAATGGCGTGTTTGCCCCAGCACTGGCAGACTCTTTGCTCGATGGGTCTATCTTGATCATGGCCTCCGCCATGTCTCTCAGCCGAGGTGTCTGGAGAATGCTCTGGACCGTGAGAGAGATGCCACGACTACGTGCTAACGCAGCCAACCGCATTGCCGAGATGGAGTCACCTCCCAGGAGTAGGAGGTTACTGTCGCATTGGATCTGGTCCGATGACACGCCCAGGATTGCTACCCAAAGCTCCCGAAGCTGTAGTTCGCGGTCGGTGAGAGGCGGCTGGTTGTCCGTATCCGCACGACCTTGGCTATCGGCCAGTTGTTTCAACGTCAATTCTGCCCCTAACTCGCGCAGGGCCTTGCGGCCTGTCTTCCCATTTGCAGTCACATGGATTTCCTGCATAGGAACATATGCGCCCGGAATCATGTAGGCGGGTAAGTGCTCTCTTACGTGGCTCTCGAGGCCGTCCACGACATCATCAAGGTTTAATTCGAGTTTTTCACCTGATGAGTCCCAGGAAAGTTGTATGAAGACGGCGATGGTCTCTCGGCCAGTCACACGGGGCGTCACCACCTCTGCTACCACGACAATATCTCCAGGACGCTTGACTCGATTGCTCGCGACTGCGAGGAAGCAATCCCTAACCTGACGCTCAACCTCGGCGAGATCAAATTTCTGCCCCTTGATCATCGCCTGTCTAGCTTTCTTCCCAAGATGGATTATAGTACCGTTACCGTTGGCAGGGTTGTACCTGACAAGATTCCCCGTCTTGTACAAGCGAGCGCTTCGCCCGGGCACACTACCATCAGGACTTCCCTGTAGTAGCCACTCGGGGTCCTGAAGGAAGCACTTGGCTGCCAACTCAGGGTCTCTCATACATCCTTGGCCCACGAGGGGACCCTCCAAGCACAATTCTCCGATTGCACCGATAGGGGCGAGGCGTTCGCTGTTCTCCGGCTCCACGATCCAGGTTGCAGCACACCTGTCGACGGTACCGAAATCTTGAGAGTTCCATTTCCAGATCTGGTTCAGGTCCTCGTCCGTCGTGAGACTGATTTCCCCGAGAATAGCCTCGTCCAGGTCAGGTGAGCACAACTTCTTGAACACCTGCTCAAAGTCCTGCGCCATCCTCTGGACCGTCTCACTCTTGATCACGGATGAGTCGAACAAGAAGCGTAGGCCGAGCTGATGGTCGCCTGGTGTGCAAATCACAGATAGCGCATAGGATTGGAAGCCGTGGTATCGTGCATCATCCCCATCCTCGGTCGCTTGGTGACTTGCTTCAGAGACGAAGAGCCCGCCTTCGGTCAGTTGCACGTTTTCCTCGGCGGACTGGACAACCAACTGTGTCTGGAACTGGCAAGCATGGGCTGCTTCGTCGCTAATTTGGCGGATCGCTGACAGACCGGTCTGTTCGTATTGGATCAGCTCCACTGCCTGCCGCTGCAGTTCTGGGAGAAGCTTCCCGGCTGTTGCATTCTTCTCCAGTTTGATTCTCACGGGTACGGTAGCTATCGTCGGGCCAGCAAGCCTTTCGATGCCATCTATGGGAATCTTGCGACCGGCCGAAACCTCTCCCAGTATGACGTCGGGTGACTGTGAGTAATGGGAGATGATGATAGCCAACGTGGCGCGTATCAGCGTGGATGGTGTGATGTCATCCGTTCGCCAAGCAACATCTTCGATTCGATGCATCAGCGTTGAGTCTGTCTGAGGGAGCTTTGTCGAGGACGGCAGGGTGGGGAATTGTGCCGCCTTGAGATCGGTAAACCAGGTCTTCCAGAACTTGACTACGTTCTCCTTGTCTTGGCTGCGGATGTACTTGACGAAAGGTTGGAGATTGTAATGGCGCTGAGATGCGGTGCCGTTGTAGAAATCATGCAGGGTCTCGAGTATCAAGGGAGTGGTCAGACCGTCGTAGATGGAATGATGCAGTGTCAGTGCGAAGTACCACGCAGCTTCAGGGGCGTGGCCGTTGGGAACTGCAGATCCATATGTGGAACCATTTGAAAGCAAGGCAACTTTGGAGTCAGTGAAGAGGGCGCATCTCATCAGTGGTGATCCCAGACCTGTAAGAGAGTTGCTATCCATGGTAACATATTCATCTACGCCGCTCGCTTCTGTCCAGGGGCATTCGGGTGTCTTGATGTGTGCTTGCACTAAACCTTGACCAGGGAGGTCAACGATGCGCGTTCGGAGGATCGGAATCGCTTCGACAGTCTGGAGCCAGGCTTTCTTGAAACGGTCAAGGTCGACGTATGGGTCAAGCTCTAGTATGTTGCGACCAATGTAGTCCCCTTGGCGCTTCACGCTCAGAGCAAGAAGACCTTCCTGTAACGGCGTACAAGGGAAAAGGTCTTCGATGTCTTCCTTGCTAACACCACACAGTGACGCAGAGACTCCACGCGCAGTGTCGACGTCTTGATCCGGATTCAGAAGTGAGAAGGGGGCTATGGTGTCTTTCTCGCCACTGCCTTTCGCATTCTTTAGCACTTTGGCCATCTCCTCCAGTGTTGGGTGTTGAAAGACCTGGGCCACTGAAAGCAACAGTCCTTCCTGCCGCGCGATACCGACCAGACGCATAGCTTGGATGGAGTCGCCCACCCGCAAGAAGCTATCGCTGGCTGTGATCGAGTCGACGTCGATGCCTAGAGCACGAGACCATAACTGCGCAAGCCTCTTCTCCGCCTGCGTAGTGGGACCTCGCTTCTTGACACTTGATGCCTGACGGGACGGGTCAAAGGATGTGCCCATCTCGCGGAGACGATTGCGGTCTAGTTTGCGGTTTGCGTTCAGGGGGAACTCTGGGACTGGTATGTAGTATACCGGGATGGCATATACAGGCAGCACCCTCTTCAGCCATTCGTTGAGACCAGTCGTCGCTGTCTGGACTTCTTCCTCGCTCGCTAGACCCAAGAAAGCCACCAGGTGCAGGGTGTCGTTGTACTGGGACTTTATGGCGTCTACCACCACTCGGATATCTTCAGAGCCATTAGGGAGCGCAAGCGACTTCCGCACGTACTCTTGGACGTGGCGCTGTACCTCTTCAGGGGCCACAAGCTGGCCGCGGATCTTGAGCTGGGCGTCTTTCCTGCCCATGTACACCAGGTTGCCGAGGTTATCGTACCGTCCCAGATCTCCGGAGCAGCATATGGTATTGCGCCTTCCGGTCGTGGAGCCGTGGCCAGACGTGAGGAATATTGGGTTATTGCGGAACTTCTGTACCGTCAGGGTCTCGTTGCCAACGTAACCGACAGCACTCAGTGGCCCCTCGTGGGCGATCTCACCGACGGCACCAAACGGCACTAGCCTGTCGTGGTTTCTCGGGTCGATGAGCCAACACAGGACTGGTTGCTTGAGCGAGATCCGGGCGACGACTCCTGTGTACCAGTCGTCACCACCGGCATCGCAAATCGTCCCAGTGTTCTCAACCGAGCCATACCAGTTGAGCACTTGGCACTTGTGGGTTTTCCATCTGTCGACGGCATCTTTGGTGACATTCTCCCCAGACAGAACGAGGATGGAAACGTCGGGCACGTCTTCTGGGCGGATTGCCTTGGCCGTCGACGGCGTGATGTTCATGAAGTGAACAGCGAAGCGGTTGATGACATCTGTCGTTGCGTTCAGCCTCTCCTCCTCTGAAGGGACGCACACGCAGCCCAGATGCACGAAAGTAGAGAAGGACTCTATCGTGCTGATATCAAAGTCGTACGAGGCGAACTGCAAGAGTCTCGTACCGGGGTTGACCCCGAGATAGTCGCCGTGCGCTTCGGCGTTGGCTGCCAGGGATCGGTGGCTCCAGAGGACCTGCTTGGGCTGGCCTGTGCTGCCTGACGATACAAGAATCACGGCCGGGTCCTCCATGCTCTGGGTCGGCAGACTGACAGGATCTCCTCCGTGGGAAGCAGCATCTGAGATATTCAACAATTCCTGCACGGTATAGCAGGGTGCGTAAGCCGAGACTATTGCACGGCGTGTTTCCGAGACGACTGCGAGGACCACTCCGATATTCTCGAAGACGGTTTTGATGCGAAGGTCTGGTACAGCAAGAGACTGCACTGTTTCGACCGCCCCAGCTTTCAGGACAGCGAGTTGGATTAGATGCACCCACTTCGATTTCTCAAAATTCAGCGCAACGACAGACCGTGGCTTCACCCCCAGACTGATCAAGCCTCGCGCAAGCAAGGTCGAGAGATCGTCAAACTCCCTGTAAGTGAACTGCCCATCCCAACCATCGATGGCAACGGCATCTGGTTCTTTCCTCGCGTTCTCGGCAATCAGCTCAGGCACTGTCAGCTCCGGTTCCGGAGGCAGTTCCGCGTTCTGGGCCCAGAAGAGATCGAGGTCGTCGCTGCTGGCTGTCTGAATGGAATCAAGCGTCGCGTTCCCGGTCTGTTCCGCACATAGCTGTCTGAGAACTGCTTCAAATTGCTTTGTCATGCAGCCGACCTGCTCCCTGTCCATGATCTTGCCATCGAAGCTCATTCGGACGCGCAATTCCGATGGTGCAAGCTCGCATATCACGCTTAATGCGTAGTTGTTGAAGGGGTCGGTGCCCAGCGTATCGAGGTTGGAGGAGAAGCTGCGGGCCTTGAAAAGCATGCTGTCCTCGTCGAGGCTTTTCCCGCTAGCCACCGGCTGCACCACAAGGAGGGTTTGGAGAAGACGGGCATCGTGGTCCAGGTCTCCGCGGAGTCGCTGGATGTTCTGCAGGCCGTACTGTTCGTAGGGAGTTATCTCGGTCATATGCCGTTGCATCCGACTGAGAAACCCCTGGAGCGTCTCGTCCCAATCGACAGTAATCGCTATGGGCACTGCTGATATGGTAGGGCCGGCGCAGTTTTCTAACCCTCTCATGTCCGCTTGTCGCCCATTGACAGTGAGCCCGAAAAACACGTCGCTAGAAGACGTGTATTGGGTAGCAAGAAGGGCCCAGGCGGAACGAATGATGGTGGCCGCCGTTACCCCTGTCTTTGGCCATTCGATTTCTATGTTGTGCAACAAGTACTCATCTGCCTGCGGCTCGTACGTTGCGGAAGGAAGAACAGGGAACTGTTTCGGCTCTGCATTGGAGAGCTGCCCTCTCCAGAAGTTAGCTGCTTCCTCTGGGTTGATGTTGCTGAGATGGTGTATGAAGTTCTTGAAAGGTGTGACGGTCATCCCTGCTTCTCCGAGATATTGCGCCTGGAACTCTTCAAGAATCATCTTGAGTACATTTCCGTCATATACGCAGTGATGAATCGTGAGTACAAACACGCGTCCAATCAAGGCGGCCCTACATAGGTCTGTACCTGGCGCCATGGCTTCTCGCTCGTCGTCGTGTACGTACGCATTGACATCGTTGGTGGAGCGTAGGGGGTTGTTGTCGAGCACAGCCTGTACGAATACGCGTCCTGGAAGGTCGAAGATGCGTGTTCGCAGGAGAGGCAATTTCTCGACAGTGGCCAGCCACGCCGTCCGCAATTTGTCCGCATCAATATCTGGCTGCAGTTCAAGTATGCTACGAGAAACATATCGACCCAGCCTCCGGGTGCCCAGCGCCAGCAGTCCTTGCTGGAGAGCTGTACACGGGAACACGTCTACCACCCGGGACTCTGGTATGGAACATAGCCGGGAAGCATGCGATCGAGCTTCGCTTTCGCTGATGTCAGGACCAAGTAGGGAAAAGGGACGTATCTCCTGTCCAGGAGAACTCGCATCGTACTTCATCCTGTTCGCCATCTTCTCAAGCTGCGGCGCCTCGAATACGTCGGCAACGGTCAGTGCAAGGCCTTGGTTACGGGCTGACGCTACGAGCCGCATAGCAGTGATAGAATCGCCTCCGAGGCGAAGAAAGTTGTCATTGGCACTGATTGCGTCTGTTCTGATACCGATAGTGTCCGCCCAGAGCTTCTGCAGGCGCTTTTCCATGCTTGTGGAGGGTTGTCTGGTTTCGCGACGAGAAGGTTGCATTTCGGCCAACTCTTCGTAGGTGAGTGAACTCCCTATCTGACGCAGACGTCGCCTGTCTGTCTTGGCTGAGTTATTCATGGGCATCTCGGGGATGGGGACGTAGACCTTCGGAATCATGTATGTAGGGAGGTATCTCAAGAGGTCTTCCTCTAGCTCATCCACGGGAAGCAACTGTTTGACGCGCGTGACGATGTCTTGGGTGAGATTCTCACCTGTTGCTGTAATTATGTCCGCGATTTTCCCCGGGCTGATGAACAGGGCCAGGATCTCAACATCACTCAGGGCTGGGGCGAATATCTCTGCCACTACCCTGACATCCAGCTTTCCTGACAAAAAGGATTGCGCGCGAACCTCGATGTCACCCAGCTCGACCCGCTGTCCTCGTAGCTTTTTCTGGGAGTCATGTTTCCGGCCCAGAAAGATGATCGCCCCATCGCTATCGTATCGAACCAGGTCACCTGTGCGATATACATGGGCATGCCGACCAGGCACATCCCCGTAGCCGTCCAAAAGCCACCGTGGCGAGAACAACGTCGCCTCGTTCAGATCCGGACCGCTAACACCGGTATAGCTTGCCACGATCGGCCCCTCCATACACAGCTCAGTGACCGCCCCTACCGGAGCCAGCTTGTGCGAATCCTTGGGATCAACAAGCCAGGTCAGCCCAGCCGTACTTCGGCCGCTTATGCCAGGTTTCCAGTGCGCTTTCTGATAACGGTACGTCGCTGCAACGGAGGCTTCAGCAGGTCCAAACCAGTTGTACACGTTATCCACACTCTCAACCCACTTCGAGACGAGCCTCTCGGACACTTTCTCGCCTCCTGTCGCGATCGTTTGTACTGTTGGTATCTTCTCGGGGGCCAGGTTCTCCAAAATGGAGGGCGTTAAGAACAGCCAGTTCGCGTTGACTTCATTAATAGCCGCGGCAAGTCGGTTGGTGCGATCTGACTCGGACGGAATGCATAGGCAGCCACCGTGGGCCAAGGTTGAGAGTGCTTCAACTGTGCTCACATCGAAGTCGTACCCGGCGAACTGGAATACCCTGCTGGTGCTATTGACTCCGAACGAGGCGGCGTGGGCTCGGACGTTGCTGGATAAGACAGCGTGACTCCAGAGAATCGCTTTTGGGGTACCCGTCGATCCGGAAGTGAAGAGTATCAAAGCAGGGTCAGTCGTCCCTGGTGTCCTTTGATGTAGGTCGAAGCCATTCGTTTGCGGTTGTTGACTGGGTTGTAAGAGGTCGGATATAGTAAGGGTCGGGATCAAGACATCAAATGGTGATTGTTGAGTCGACGTGATTACGAACTGCGGCTTGATAGACTCGAAAACCTCACGAGAACGTTGCGCTGAAGTAGGAGAAGAGAGCGGGAGTGCGATCGCGCCTATCCTGAGTGCAGCAAGCATGCACACTACTAGCCACGACGATTTCTCGAAGCTCAACACCACGATTGACCCGAAACCGACACCTCGTTCCCGCAAACGATCCACGAGGCTAATTATGAGACCTTGAAGCTGGACGTAATCTAATGTCTGGTCCCAAGACGAGATAGCAGTGGAATTCGGGGCATCCGCGGCCCAGCTATCCACCATGGCAGTCACGGGCTCGCTCACTGCTTCGGGTAGTGATCTGTTCCACATCCAGATATGGTCGGCGTCATCCTTGGTGAGAGCATCGATGGTTGAGAGCTTATTAGCTGCAAGCCCAGTATCGCAAAGTTGTCGGAGCAAGTGTTCCAGCTGCATGAGCATGCGTTGGACGGCCTTTGGCTCGATCGCCCCAGTGTCGTAGTTGGCCTTTAGGGTGATGCCAGTGTCCTCTAACTGGGCTATGATCATCATGTCGTAGGAGTTGTAGGCACCCATGCTGTCGACGTGCCCGTCTTTCGTCACGAGCTTCAAAGTCGATGGCGCTTCGTCTTTCGCCGGATCATAGGTATCGTCTGTACCGTTCTCTCTGGTAATGTCGGTAGCCGTAACGACAGTCTTCGCCTGAGAGAACAAGCCTCCTGGCTTTTGGCTACTCCCTCGCTGTGCTGGCTGCACTACGAGCAAGAGCTGGAACTGACTGGCCTCTTTGATGTCCTCAATGCTCTGAATGCGCTGAAGGCCGAGCTGCTCATATTGGGTCGCGGCAACCGCCTGTCTCTGAATCTGATGTTGTAGGCTTTCCACCGTCTGATCCCAATCGAACTTCACTCGGACTGGGACTGTGGCTATGGTAGGAGCAGCGATTCGATCTACACCCGGGACCGCAGCGCTTCTGCCGCTAACAGTGGCTCCGTACTTGACATCGTCGGAGTTGGTGTAAGCAGCTAACAGGAGTGACAGTGCTGAACGAACGACTGACGACCGGGTGATTCCACTCTGTGGCCACTGTAAGCCAGACACATGGTGATCCGTGTCCAGCTTCTGCTTCGGGTGAGAACTGGGAGGGGGGTAGACTGTGGCCTCGGAGTTGATGAGCTGATCTCGCCAGAACGCGGTCGCTTCGTCGCTCGTGGTGGAAGACAAATATTTAATGAATGACTGAAAGGGCGAGAAGGGTTGTAATTGAGTGTGGCCTTGACGGTAAGCCATCTCAACCGCGTCCAGGATGAGTGCATTCGACCATCCATCGAAGACAGCATGATGCATCTCTAGAACGAAACTGAGCGTGGTATTGGTCGCCACCACTCCGGCTCTACACAACGGGGTGCCCAGACCCATTAACTCCGAAACAGCGAAGAAGTCCTCGAGGTTCGACGTTCTATGCCATGGTATTGGTCCCTTCACGACGACCTGCACGAGGCCTTCCTTTGGGATGTCCACGATGCGTGTGCGAGTGATGGCGGCATCCTGGACAGTCTTTTCCCAGGCACTCTGAAGCTTACCCACGTCCGTGTGTTCTGGTAGCTCAAAAGCAGTCCTCGATACGTATGTGGTCTTGGAGTCTTTCCTTGCCGTCATAGATAGCATTCCCTCCTGAAGTGGTGTGCACGGGTACACATCCTCGATGTCGGGTGGCTCGACATCGCATAGTTTCCCAGCTTCTTCACAGAGACTGGTATGATTCCTCGCGCCAGAGAGCAGGGAGAATGGTGGAATGGTTTCTTGGTCTTGCGAATGATCCCGACTTCTGGTGACCTCGGCCAGATCGTGAAGGACTGGGGCTGTGAACAGGTCTGCGACGCTCAGCACAAGGTCTTTCTCTCGACTGGCAGCAACCACCCGTATGGCTGCTATGGAGTCACCTCCCAGCCGAAGGAAGCTATCGGTCCGGCTGACATGGTTGCCATCCAATCCTAGAACCGTTGCCCAGATATCGGCGAGTTGTCGTTCAATCCCGTCATGAGGTTGGTGGTACTGGTTGTCGGACATGATTGTTGACTGCAACGCCAAGAGTTCGCCCCAGGTCCTTGAGCTTCCCATCTCCCTGAGACGGCGTCGATCTACTTTGCCAGTCGAAGCAACCGGCATTTTGTCAATCGGCAGGTAGATACTAGGTATCATGAAGGCTGGCAACACCTCTCGCATTTTGTCCGCAAGGCCGTCGATCGAGCGCTTCACCTCGTTCTTGTCCTGGCCTTTGACTTCGACAAACAAGGCCAGAGATTTGCTGTCGCCGCCCTGAGGGACTATAACCTCTACGACTGCTGGGACAGTGTTGCCCAAGCACGCCTGCACGTGGTGCTCAACATCCCCAATCTCGACCCTTTGGCCCCTGACCTTCTGCTGGGAAGTGTCCTGGCGACCGATGAAGGACAATCTGCCATCAGTCGTATACCTCACCAAATCTCCTGTCTTGTAAAGTCGTCCCGGTCTGCCATTGAAGTCATTGCTTCCAGCAAGCAGCCACTTGGGATCACTGATAAAAGCTGAAGCCGTCTTCTGAGGATCGCCCAGGTAACCTTGGCCAACAAGAGGGCCCTCGAGCCATAGCTCTCCCACTGAGCCGATGGGCACCAATCCATCACCTCCGAGTGGGTCGACAAGCCAAGTAGAGAAGCCCATTCCTTTTCCGATGTCTGGACGATCCTCCTGGGAAGGGTCAATGACAGAGAAGGCACACTTGAAAGTGCACTCGGTTGGCCCGTAAGTGTTCAAGAGCTTCACGCGTCCTGCCCATTGAGTCACGTTTTCGCGATAGGGCATTTCGCCACTCAGGAGGACTGTCTGTAGCGTCGACGGGATGGGATTGAGAGTCCGCAGTACCGTTGGAGTAATGTTGATGAGTGTTGCTTTGAAAGAGGTGATACTCGCGGACAAGTTTCTCAGCATGTCATCATCCCGCGCGATACAGAGGCAGCCACCCGCACAAATAGTATGAAGGAAGTTGCTCCATGCTACATCGAAAGAATATGGAGCGAAGTCGAAGGTGCGGCATCCTCGGTGAAAGCCCAGTTTTGCACCCTGATGGAAGACAGCGCTCCTCACGTTGGCGTGGCTGATACAGGCGCCTTTAGGCTGTCCAGTCGTGCCGCTGATAGAACAGTTAGTAGATATTCTTTTACTTGGTCTTAACGTGAAGTGGCGGCTATTTCAGCCTGTGAGGTGTGTGTGAATTGGCGATTTCGCTTCCTCTGGGTGATTGGGAAACTTCCATTGATGCAACGCAATGCACTTAAACTCGAAAACCACACTGTTGCATCCAGAATCTAGAGTTTGCGGGTTGAATCGATGGAAATTGTGGTTAAAAAAGGCACTTAAAATGAGAGCTACGTACGAGGTAAAGGAGATATAGACTATGTCCGATGGCGAAACGTCTGGCAGATGAGTTGAATGCTCGGACGGGTGAGCTGCCGCGCCCGAAAGCTCATCGTCAATCTGGAACACGGGCATATCTGCCAGTGAACGAGCTCTCCCACAAAGTGCGGAGGACGAAACAATGATCTTTGGCCCCGTCTGCTCGACAATGGATCTTAGTCTTGCATCAGGCTGTGTTGTGTCAAGAGCAATGGCCGCATATCCTGCCTTAATGATCCCTAGCATAGCAATTGGGGTCCATTTTGACTTGGTCAACAGGATGGGTATGAACGATCCAGGAGGAATCGTGAGACAAGCGATGCCACGGGCCATCTCATTCGCCAGAGCATCGAGCTGAATGTAACTGAAGTCGCCGTCCCAGGCAGAAACTGCCAATGCATCTGGCTGGCTCTCGGCTATCTCTGTAATCAAGTCGTGAACGCAGCCCTGGACCACTTCCGGCACTGTAGCGTTCCATTCCCATATCTGCTCGAGTTCTTGTTGCGATGGAGCCGGAGATGGCGATTGCGCCGGGCTCAAATCGGAAGATATGTGTGTATGTGTGAAGCCGTTCGTGGGATGATCTGCCGTTTTAGCAGAGGAACCCTCCAATTTGTTCATGCTAATGGGCATCGTCGTATAACTCATCGTTGCATGCTGGTTGCTGTCGATCTGGCAACGCAACCACGATCGATTCAGGTAGTTGCATAAACTTTCTTACAACACTAGACGTCTACTAAATCGTGGTTCGAATCTAGTATCGATTGATGACAAAACCTTGGCTGTCCGTCCTCGAGGTGATCACATGACCCATCGCACGGTTCCTACCTCTATCCATGAAAGCTGTACGACTAGACCTTGTCTTAGGCGACATGCTCACCGCAAGATCACATGCATTGTAAGACGACCTTCCTGTTCCGTCCGGTGTGCACCCATACCCTGCGAAGGATCATCAGGGATGAAAAGAAAGGAGGGGCAAGAAGGTTCAATCTTTTCACACGTCTCCTGCCTCTCCACTCAACTGCGGTCAGCATATAGTTGAGTATTGATGCATACAAATCCCTAGGGCTTTCTAGACTTGGTAATCCGACCGGGCTTTGCTCTGGTCTTCCACAGCTTGGCTATACCCCTGCTATAGATTGACGAACGTCGAAATGTCAGCTGACGTGATAATGCTACTGCGTCACATATCGGTGTTTATACTCTGACACCTCGCAGGTTTAGTTCGACACCTCCGAGCTACATCATGCCCGGCGGTGCCATTTTGGTATAGCCGGTGATCTCCGGAGTCGAGCCTCCTATCCGCGCTGTGAGCCATGCTCCTCGCGGGCAAAGGGATGCATAAACCTTTGCTGAATTGCCCGCGGCACTCGGTACCTGTTGTCTCTGGAAGAAAGACAGTAAAACCTGAGCTATGTTTCACCGTTTCGACTTCTCTACTTTCCGCAGCGCCGATCAGGCCGAGCGTGAGGAGTTTTGCCGCCAATTCGTAGCCAGTTTGCAGCAGCATGGCTTCTGCAAAATAGTCAACCATTATGTACCGCCGGCGGACATCGACCAGGCATTTGAGATCGTACAAGACACCTCCACGTGGTTAGCAATGCGTACTGACAAGTCCTCCAGAGCCGGGCGTTCTTCGAGCTGCCTCTTAATGAGAAGCTTAAGTCTCCTCATCCCGCAGCAGACAACCCACACCGAGGCTACAGCGCCTTTGGCGTCGAGAAGGTCTCAACGCACTCGAATTATGACGCTGCGAACCCGATGCCACTGCTTAAGGATATGAAGGTAGGCACTCCATCGCCCGTCTCTGCTGGCAGGCAGGCGTCTCATACCACATATCTCAGGAATCCTACGACATCGGCTCTGAGAGTGACCCTCTGTGGGATAACATCTGGCCTCCATCCGGCGTACTTGATACCTTTCGGCCCACCTTCACCTCCTTCTATTCAGCCTGCTACCACGCCGAGCTCGCCATTCTTGAGGCCCTTTCGCTAGGGCTGGGACTCCCCGCGGAAACGCTAGCCAACCTCCACAAGGACGAGATCAATGAGTTGCGTCTGACGCGCTATCCTGAAGTGTCGCGCAGCGACTTTGCGCACTCCACGCGGATAGCGGCTCATACTGACTTTGGTACCATTACGTTGCTTTTTCAGGATGACGTGGGCGGACTGCGTAGGTCTACACCCACTGGACTTCCTGCAATAAGTTGCTAACATGTCTGTAGAGGTAGAGGCACCATATGGGAGTGGAAAGTTCATAGACATTGACAGCGGAGGCCGCTATGAATGCATCCTCAACGTGGGAGACTGCCTACGCAAATGGACAGGACTCTGCAGTGCGAGGCATCGTGTGCACTTGTCCGAGGCGGTCCAAACCAACGGGTCTGAAATGGGCCTGACAAATGATGTAGTCCCAGAGCGCTATTCCATTGCGTACTTCGCAAAACCGGATCGGACGGCAAGTTTGCGGCCGCTCTTGGGCTCTGAGGCTGACAAGTCAAATGATGGGACTGTGTGTATGACTGCTGGAGAGTTTCAGAACATGAGGATTCAAGGAACCTATTAGATATGGAGTAATAACGACTGAATAAACAGCGTTGTTTATTAATTAGTAGACACCGTGCCTTGAGGCTGCGAGAAGGAATTTTCTGTGTGCGATCTACGAGACAGCTGTTCCTTCATTGAACGTTAGTACAATGCTTTTCCGCGGTAAATCATTGTCTCATAGCGCAAGGGCCATGTCTCGGCAGACCTCGGGGTGAGTAATGCCCGGGCTGGGTGACAAGGGTGTGTCTGGACGCGAAAAGGGGGGCCTGCTCATGTCAGACTAAAATGCCAAGTCTGACATGCTTTTCAATGTGACATCGCGTACTAAGTTCCGACGGTACGCTCCCGAGGACCCATGACAAGGGGTCGATGCTCTCGTGTACATACGAGAGCGAAAGGTGGTTCAGTTGGCGTCATCATCCAAGTAAATGTCTGACAAGCTTGATTCGGTTACAGCGGTTGAAGCTCCGATGTACCAGGCATGGATGCGTGTGCCGGACGGTGGTACTCACTGCGTCCCCGTATGACTCTGCCTGGAGGTTGAGACCGGCTTGCGGTGCTATCACCTTCTCAGTCACACAACATATACGCAGATACACATATACCTGTGGTACTGCATGTCAGCGCCTCGCGTATCGGTACCAGGAGGCACACCAAGTTAGCTCGCACGACCCAACACCATGGAGTCCCCCTCGTCGGTACCAGCTCGCCTCACGTTCATTGGAGGCGGCCGCCTCGCCCAGGCCATCATCGACGGAATCTACGCCTCCGATGTCGCCTGGAGCGCCGAATGCCCAATCTCGATCACCGGACGCAGGCCAGAGCACGTCGAAGTGCTGAAGAAGAAGTATCCCAAAAACCTGGTTACGAACAACAACACAGACCCGGCGATATGGGAGCAGGACACCATTACCAACCCCTCGGGAGGACATGTGCTCTTCATCTGCACCCTTCCCATTGATGTTCCGCATATCTGCCGAGAGCTGACACCTGTGCTCGAAAAGCTCGACGAAAATGCACTGCCAACCGTCGTCACTCTCTGTCCCGGCATTTTCGTATCTCAACTCCAAGGGTGGCTTCCGAAAGGAACGCCGATCGTTAGGTCGATGCCTAACCTGCCAGTGACATGCCGCGAGGGTGCCACTGGGTTATATGCCAGCAGCGATGGGGCATCGCGGGTTGATCTTGTGGTCAAAGTTTTCCGCCAGGTCTCCCCGGCATCTTGCGTCCTTCCCAAGGAAGAGCTACTTGACGTTGTCGCAGCCATCGCAGGGTAAGCATGAGTTCCATGAGACTTGAACGCCGTTGACTCTTTACAGATCCGCTCCGGCGCACTTCTACTACATGTTAGAGTCCATGATATCCGCCGCGGAGTCTTTTGGCTTGCCGTCGGACACGGCCCGGACCCTAGTCGTCCAGTCTTGTCTTGGTTCAGGCATGCAGGCTCGTGGAATTGACAAATCCATCGCAGCGCTGCGAGAAGAAGTCTGCGTGCCGGGGGGAAGTACAGCCAAGGCAATTGCTCATCTGGCAAGCAAAGAGGTCCCTTCAATTGTGCGGGAAGCTATTGGCAAGAGTCTGCAGGCGAACAAGGAGATGAGCAACGTAGATATGAACTGAATTTAATCGCTGTTAACTGAATTTTGAGCGGTGACCTCGTGCTAGAATTTTCTATTGCGAAGAGTCAGGGGCAAAGTCGCTCATCCATCATCTCCACACTGGTCAAATGCACATAAGCGACGCGACGTCAGACCGGCGCATTCAGCAACTCGCTATCAATTTCAAACGATTAGAGTCCACTTTCTATGACCAGAATATCAACTTGGGTTTCCCTCCCGTGACCTCCGACGGTAGCAGCCCGATGAAGCTTGCCAGTGTTATCCGCTGCACCTTGTAGTCCTCAGCCAGCGCGGCAACCTGATGCATATTCCTCGCATTGAACATATACAGACCGCCCACCCGTGGCTGGAAAGGGGCCTTCTTCCTGCCCTTTACTAGCGCCTCGTGATAGCCGTAATGCGCTGGGTCACGGTAGTTCAAGGCATCCTCGGACCACTGGACGTCGAAGACGGTCGTCCCGCCGCCCTTGAAGGGCGATAGATACAGGTTGACGGCCGCTTGGTGCGTGATCTTGTTGAGCACCCAGTCTTCCGTGGCCGCGTCGTACGGCGCCCAGTCGCAGTGGATTGGCGTCCCCTTGTTCAGCTTCCGAAAAATGCCAGAGAAGTACTCGTTGCCGGGGCCCTCGCTGGCTTCACCGACGTCCCACTCTGGCACGAGCTCTGCTATGGTAGCGATCACTTTTGCCCACGCATTCTCGCCGACGACTTTGCTGACGTCCGGGTGAAGGGACTTGGTCCGTCGGACTTCATCAAAGTATCGTTGTTTTTCTAGCGTGTGCTGGTCAGTTGCCAAAGTAAAAATGCAACGGCTGGGTTCAAGAGGAACCTTACCATCTCCTTTCCGGTTCTTGAAGTCTTCTTCGGACTGCGCCTGGAACTCAAATTGCGCGATACCAACTTTCTCGCTAATGCATGACGTTAGATCAGCAAACGTAGGCTACATCTCTGAGAATCCATTCGGATCCGGCCTCGTTGTCTGCAATAAGTACTCACTGCGTAACGTCAGTCTAGGCATCCATGAAGTGCTGATGAGATGAGAGAGTCCATGAGCTCGGAGCATTAATGCAAGGAAGTTCTATACACACCACTGGCGGCCCTGTCACATGCAGGTACGGATCGAATTTCGGGGTGAGGTGTTCCAGCAGCCGCTTGCTGGTCTCATCAGAGATGAAATGTGGCGAGCAAACGAGAGGTGTGCGCCCGTAAAGCAGGTCCAGGAATGACTCCCTCGTCAGCGGCACAGACTCGGTCGTTTTCCATTCGGATTTTTGAGTTCCTGCGCTGATACTTGTACCGTTTCGACCTTCATGGCCGTTGACTCCTACTACTCCCACGCGAGGCTCTGCTGGTGGCGCAACTTCAGTCATCGTTCTGGATCTCGTTGGCGCGAGTGAAGCTATTCCCGTGGCGTGTTTGATCTGTGCTTCTCCTCTCCCCGTACTGGATCAGTCACACATTCCACAAGGGAGTGGCGTCATTAAGGTTACCATCGGTATTAGACGCCCATTCCCCTTTTACGGTACAGTCAGTGGATACGGCGAGTGAGATTCCCTCATAGCACATTAGCCCAAGGATTACGTGCATGGGCCTCTGTCAGACCAGGGGTGCTTCATATCAGAGCAGGGGTCGGTTAAAGTGCATCCTCGAGCTAGACAGGCGCTGAAAGAGAAAAACGAATCTGGCCCCACAGACTTCCCAGCTTCAACTCCTAACGTCAGAAGGCGTTCGGGGCCGAGATGCGACTTCTATGTTTATAAGGCGTGGTTTCATCTTTTCAACTTTTGGCTCCTTTTCCTGTCAGAGCGCCCTTGGTTCCGGACTCAAAGACCCCGCCGCGCCCGCAACGTGTAGTCGATCACAAGTCAGTACTATAGCCCATAAAGGCAGGAGCCAAGTGGTAGGATTGCGGGACTCATCCGGGACGACGGTTAATACTGAGATAGGCGATGTCCGGCCCGGGTTCCTATAGACGAACTTTGCATCTGGCGTCCTATGCAGGCAGGCAGGGCGGTGAACGCTTACGCCATGCCGAGCTCTGGATGAGTAATGTCTATCAATTGCGTCAATATCCTGCATGGAGGCAGCCGTGGTCCGACAGTGACGATCGAATTACGGAAAAGCGTTAAGAGGTGTGAGATAAGAAAAAGAATGGACACACCCTCGGCACCCAAGCTGGGAGACTGACGGACTGCGAGATCCGGAGAAAGACCCTATGAAGAGATTGTCTTTCAGCGAAATAGTGCTGACCACCATTCCGTCATGCCACCGCCCAGGACGCATCAGCGTAGAGTATCCCCGTTGACTGCATGAGTCTCGATGTTTTTCAGTGTCACGATAGCAAATGTCATCTGAGCTGACTCGAAGTCTGAAGCTGGTGTGATGAATTGTCCGCAAGATGAATCTCGGCCGTCTCCCGGATCTCGGGCATCGTCAGAGGAGGCCGGAGCGGGTGTTGCGACAAGCGTGAGCTCCAATGCCGCGGCCATGAGGTCGCATCCTGTCCCCGATACCCCGTCAGCATCTCGTGCCGAATCGGAAATACGGCCCCTCCCCCTACAACACGACTCGATCGGACCTGCTGAGATTGTAGCAGGCCCAGATTCGCTAGGCAAAACAGCTCCGTTGAATGCCACCAACGAGAAGGTCGTGATCGCTGACCTGCCAGCCGAGGGCGAGGAAGCCTTCGCCCACCTGCCGCCGGAGGAGAGAGGGATCCTTCGGACCCAGCTGGACCAGCCCTCCGTGAAGGTGTCTTTCTTCTCCCTATATCGATATGCAGACTTCTGGGACCTTCTCATCACGGCCACGAGCGCTCTGTGTGCCATTGCTGCAGGCGCTGCTTTGCCCTTGCTCAGTGTACGTGCCCCTTTTCTCGCAAGCCTTAACACCAGACCCTAACCACCACACCCAGATCCTCTTCGGCCAATTGGCTACATCGTTCTCACGCGTCGCCGCTGAACAAATTACGTACTCGGAGTTTGAGAAGCTGCTCGTCCAGAATGTTTTGTACTACGTCTACGTCGGCATCGCCGAGTTCTTCACGATTTACATTGCCACCGTGGGCTTTATCTACGCAGGCGCGCGCATCACCCTGAAGATCCGCGAGCAGTATCTCCGCGCCATCCTGCGCCAGAACATGGCTTACTTCGATAACCTCGGCGCGGGCGAGATCACCACGCGGATTACTGCAGACACGAACCTAATCCAGGACGGCATCTCACAGAAGGTCGGCCTCACCCTGACAGCGGTGGCAACCTTCGTCAGCGCCGTCATCATCGCTTATACCAAGTTCTGGAAGCTGGCACTAATCTGCACCCCGACGATACTTGGGTTGGTTGGTGCTATGGTGATAGGCTACAGGTTTATTGTGAAATACACGGGCAAATCGCTGGGTAGCGTCGCTGTTGGCGGTAGTGTCGCCGGTGAGGTGCTCGGCTCCATCCGGACTGCCACGGCGTTCGGCTCGCACAACCGGTTAGCGAAGCAGTACGAGGTTCACTTGAAGGAGGCTAAGGGCTACGCTGGCCGTATGCAGATAGTACAGGCTCTCATGGTTGCCTCCCTTGGCGCCATCAGTACGTATTTTTGGTATTATCACAACTGTGCATGCCGGTATACGCTACAGGCTGTACCGTACAGCGTATGTGCTGACCTTTAATTGTGCATAGTGTTCATGACATACGGTCTCGCTTTCTGGCGAGGCTCACGGTTTCTAGTCGCTGGCGAGGTTGCCGTCGGCCAGGTCCTGACGATTCTCATGGCCGTCATCACAGGCTCGTACAACCTGGGCAGCGTAGCGCCTCATGGGCAAGCCTTTACCAGTGCTTTAGCTGCTGCCGCCAAGATATACAGCACTATTGACCGCCAGTCTCCCCTCGATCCGACCAGCATCGACAAGAGCGGGAGGACACTTGAGGACGTCAAAGGTGCACTGGAGCTGCGAAACATCAAGCACGTCTATCCCTCTCGCCCTGAGGTCACCGTTTTAGACAACTTGAGCCTCCACATCCCAGCTGGGCGCACTACTGCGTTCGTAGGCCCATCAGGCTCGGGCAAGAGCACAGTGATAAGCCTCGTGGAGCGGTTCTACATCCCTGTACGCGGTGACATCTTTCTCGACGGCCACAGCATTGCGTCCCTGAACCTGCGCTGGCTCCGGCAGCAGATCTCTCTCGTGAGCCAAGAGCCGGTGCTCTTCTCGACCACCATCTACGAAAACATCAGATTTGGCCTTATTGGTTCACCCTTCGAGCATGAGCCACCCGAGAAGATACGTCACCGGATTGAAGAGGCTGCCACTATGGCAAACGCGCACAAGTTCGTCACTGGTCTGCCAGATGGATACCAGACTCGTGTAGGAGAACAGGGTTTCCTGCTGTCCGGCGGTCAGAAACAGCGCATTGCTATCGCGCGAGCAGTAGTGAGCGATCCCAAGATTCTTCTGCTGGATGAGGCAACTTCCGCGCTGGACACCAAGTCTGAAGGTATCGTTCAGGCTGCGCTGGACAAGGCGGCAGAAGGCAGAACGACCATAGTCATTGCGCACAGGCTGTCCACGATCAAATCAGCTCACAATATCGTCGTATTGGTTGACGGCAGAGTCGTCCAACAGGGAACTCACGAAGAGTTACTGAGTTCTACTGGGGAGTACTTTGATCTCGTAGAAGCACAGCGCCTACATCAAGACAGAGAACCGTACCACACTGAGGTGGGGGAGAGCGAGTACGAACACGACGCCGTGGAAGACGCTCTACACTCAAAAGAGATGAATTCCTCGACACCACCAGAGAAGAGTGCCCAAATCGATGGGGCGGAGAGCGGAGGGCTGCCAGCGGAGGTCAATGAGCAGCAAGCGAAGAAGGCATCGCTATTCACCCTCATAAAGTTCATCGGCTCATTCAACCGCCCCGAACTCAAGATCATGATGGTTGGAGCTTTTGCAGTCATCATCTCCGGCGGCGGGCAGCCCACCCAAGCCATATTCTACTCAAAAGCAATCACCACTTTCTCTCGCCCACCAGAGCTGTACAAGACCGTCGTGAAAGAAGCCGACTTCTGGTCCGCCATGCTCCTCATGCTCGGCATCATCCACGGGATCAGCCTCTCTGTACACGGCATAATCTTCGGCCTCGGCGCCGAGAAGCTCATATACCGCGCGCGCAGCCAGGCCTTCCGGACCTTCCTCCGTCAAGACATCGCCTTCTTCGACCGCGACGAGAACACGGCCGGGGCGCTACTTTCGTTTCTGTCCACCGAGACTAAGCACCTGGCCGGCATCAGCGGCTTGACGCTGGGCACGATCCTGATGATCCTGACGTCGCTAACGGCGGCCTTCGTCATCGCCCTGGTTGTCGGCTGGAAGATGGCGCTCGTGTGTATTTCCATCGTGCCCATCGTTCTCTTTTGCGGCTTCATGCGTGTCGCAATGATCGCGCAATTCCAAATCTACTCGCGGAAGGCGTACGAGGGGTCGGCCAGTTACGCCTGCGAGGCGACCATGGCCATCCGCACCGTGGCTTCGTTGTGTAGGGAGGACGACGTGCTAGCGACATATCGCGACCAGCTTGACAGGCAGGCCAAGGCGGGCATCGTGCCCTCGCTGAAATCAAGCCTGTTCTATGCGCTCAGCCAGGGCATATACTGCTTATGTACCGCATTAGGGTTCTGGTACGGCGGGACGTTACTCGGGAAGCATGAGTACACAGTATTTCAGTTTTTCGTGTGCTTTACCGAGGTTATATACGGCGCGAACGCTGCGGGGAGTATATTTTCCAATGCGCCCGACATGGCGAAGGCCAAGATCGCGGCGGCCGACTTCAAGCAGCTGTTTGACCGGCGGCCGCAGATCGACCCGTGGTCTGAGGAGGGCGAGATGGTCGGCAACGATGTCAAAGGTTCCATCGAGTTCCGTGACGTTCATTTCAGGTATCCCACACGGCCTGCTCAGGCTGTACTTCAGGGCCTTAGTCTTTCGGTCAAGCCGGGCCAGTACGTGGCGCTTGTCGGGGCCAGTGGGTGTGGGAAAAGCACGACTATCGCCCTGATAGAGCGGTTCTACGACGTGTCATCAGGAGGGGTGTATCTTGATGGGAAGGATGTCTCAAAGCTAAACGTGAACTCGTATCGGAGCCACCTTGCCCTTGTCAGCCAGGAACCGGTGTTATATCAGGGCACGATTCGTGAGAACATCTGCCTAGGAAGTAAGGATCCGGACGTGCCTGATGAGAGCATTGTCGAGGCATGCAGGCAGGCCAACATTTGGGACACTATCGTGTCCCTTCCGTAAGTCCTGCCGCTACCCTTCCTCAAGCCCATCCCCTTTTGCTTTACTCTGTTCTACGTACTAGTGACTAATATGACCTGCACAGTGATGGTCTCAAAACCATGGTGGGCAGCAAAGGCAGCCTGTTATCAGGCGGCCAAAAGCAACGCATCGCCATTGCCCGTGCTCTGCTTAGAGACCCCCGTATACTGCTTCTCGACGAGGCCACGTCGGCCTTGGACTCGGAGTCGGAAAAGGTGGTGCAGGCGGCCTTGGATGCCGCGGCTCGAGGCCGGACCACGGTCGCCGTGGCTCACCGTCTCAGCACAATACAGAAAGCTGATGTCATATACGTGCTTGACCAGGGCCATGTCGCAGAAAGTGGGACACATCAGGAGCTGATCCGGAACAGAAGAACGTATTATGAAATGGTGAACTTGCAGTCTATGGGGAATAGGGGCTCGTGCCCTCATAGGGAGAGGTTGTAAAACAGCCAGGGACCTGTTATATTTCCCAACTAACACCCGTAAATAGTTATATTCATATATATATAACAGTGCTTCGAAGTTTTAATTATTTCGAAGTTTTGATTATTTCGAAGTTTTAATTATTTTAAAGGTTAAGTTTTATTAAACGCTTACGTTTAAAAGATTTCATTACGCTATATAAATATTTTAATAAATATTTTCGCGTTTAAGTCGTCGATATAAAGCGTCTTTATACCCGCTTAAACTAATAAGGTAATTCACATTCGATTAGCCTAAGTTTTTAACTTACGTAATTAGTAATAAACTGTTACGAACCAACAAATACCACGGCCTGTTGGAGGGCCAAAGGGGAGTACACCAAGAACCAATGGAATCAGAAGCCAAGAACGGAACAATGGGTATTACGGATTACATAGCAAACGGTCACGTGACGGATCACTGGATCACGGAGTGAGCCAACCCTAAGGTGGGAGAAATCTCCTGACGACTCGACTATACAGTGATCCCCTGGATCAGACCAAGCCCCAGCATCTGAGTGTCTTCTAGTTGACAGAAGCCTCTATCGTCTTTAGTGTTGACTTACCTCAGAACATTAACCCTGTAGAACCCTATAGCCTTATAGGTTAGACGGCTCGTTATATAAACTAAGGAAAATTTAATACCTTTAAATGACGGTACTTTTTTAAAAAAAATTGAATTTTATTATTGATTTAGATTAATTTCAATATATATCAATAACATTTATATAACTAGATATCGCATATTCCTAAATTGTTATTATATATCAAATAATAACGTGTTTGAACTAAGGCAGTTATAAATATTATTAATTGTTATTATATTACATTTAATTAGAAACAAATAGTTATAATGTATTAAAAAAGTTATTATTATGATTTTAATAACCTTATTTATTATTTTAGCTTTGGAAATATACTTTGAATTTAATTATAACTTTTTAACTTCAATATATGTATATATATATATATATATTTAAAAAGTTTATTAATAACTTCATAAGTTAAAAACCTATGCTTACATTTTGAATGTAATAATTCCTAAAATAGAAATACATTATAAATATTAAATTCATAAAGTTAAAGTTGAGTAGATATTAAGTTACGATTTGAATAAAAAAGTCTTTTTTTGCATGAACATTTTAGTATTTGTTTTTAAGGGATATATATGTAAGTGTATAAAAAAAGTATTACGTAAATAAATAATTTAATTATATTGTTTACTAAATATAAATATTCGAGATTTAAGATTATTATAACTTTATATCTTTTAATCAATGAACTAAATCTAAGTATATTATAACTCATTATTAGTTTATATAAGTTTATTTCTTAACCGATTAAAGTAATTCATTTAGTAATATATTTACGTAATTAATATCTAGTTAAGTTATCTTAAGTTAGAGCTATAAATAAACGTGGTTTATTAATTTGTTTAAAAAAACAGAAAAATTGTTTTATTGTTTTATATTTATAATCCTTACTCTCTTCATTACATTAAGATACTTCTATATTTATAAAATATAAACTAATAGGAGTGTTTTATATAATTAATAATATTTAATAATTATAAAGTTCTTGATTTAAAAATATGTAGATATAAAAACGTTTAAACATCTAACTTAATATAAATGTCGTTATAAATGCTTGAATATTTCATAAGCTACTTAAGTTATTGAGCAGCTGTATAAGGTAAATTTAGATTAAAACCTGATAAATTGTATCAAAGAATTTTTAGTTTTTAAAAGAATTGGAGATTATTTTATTTAATAAAACGATATAATTTAATAGAATAAAACATTTAATGATATAAATTATATAGTTATTTATAACATTAGTTAGTATTAATAATGACAATAATTAAACACTTTCTAAGGTTTTATATTTTTAATATGTTTTATAGTAAAATCTTAATCGTAATAATATAAATTAATTATCGAAATCCAATTTTAGAAAATTTAAATATTTATCGTTATCGATATATATTAGAATTAGAGAAATATTTAAAAAGTTATAAATTATATGTCTGATTCTTAAAATGAAAAATACATCGATAAAAAAAAGTCTTCATGGCTTTTTAAAACAAAATATTATTATTTAATAAACTAGTTTTGACTAAATTATAGTTATTTATTAATTTATGTATATTCGTCTTTTTAATTAATTCAAAGAATTGATTAAATAAGTTGTTTATATAATTAATATATAATTATATTATATTAATTTATATTTTATACAAGTATAATTCAGAATCAGTTTAAACCATTTAAAATCAAAAGGTTAAAAATAGAAATAAAGATTATATATATATATATAATATAATTTATCAATATTAATATTAAAAATTTTAAAAATATTAAAATAAATTATTAATTTAACTTAATAAATATCCAATTATAATAAAATAATTATAATAAATTCATTGTCAATATTTAATTTAAATACCATTAACTTAACGTAGGCCACAAGCGAGCAAGACACACAAGCGAGCGGGACACTTTTACTAACCTCCCAACTGCCATGTCAAATAACTTAATCACAACGTATTCAATTCAATTCAATCAATCGGATTCCTCTTTTTCAGAGGTTTCTATCTCTATTGTACAAGTTCGTGCATTATAACCAGTGTTAGTGCAAACGTCACACCGTTGCTCACGCGCTGCCGCCCTCTTTGGACGACGACTACCTTCACCTATTTCCTGTCTTGTTAGTTCATTACTATCCTTTGAAGTCTGAAGACCTACTGTATCTTCAATAAATAAAAATCCTCTTTTTATCAGATATTTGTTTTTTATTTTTTGGCATTTATTTAATAAATGATTGGCCTCCTCTAGCTCATAGACCCGGGAATCAACCAAAGCGATCTTGTGTATAAGATCATATGTAGTGTGATGGTCTGACCTCCCATCAGGTCTGACATCCCATCTGCAGTGGTCAGTGCATTGCATCAGGTGACCTGGCGCAATGGACGTGTGGCTCCGACTGCGACTGGATTGGGTAATTGTGGGTCGGACTGAAAGATCTTCTAGCCCACCAGAATTGGCTGGTGGACCAGATCTTTCTTTCTTTCTTCACCGAGAGATTATTACACGTACATAGTAAAAGCAGGACTTTTACGCCCACTTCACATCTGCGCTTTGTGACATGTAGCCTTTAAAAACTAGCTTAACGCATCAATTATTGATATAGGTGAGCTTCTCTGGTGCTTTCTGACTTGATTTCAGATATAAACCGACTGGTTTACCGCTTTGTTAATAGTGGTGGGCGTCTTAGAAGTCCAAGTAGTAGGTAGCAGATTGGGGTCTGGCGACAGTGTTTGTACGATAGCAACAGTATCCAGCTTTGAAATGACACTTTCTGGGTCAAAGAAACAAGCCCAGTAGCACTGAAACCTGCTTGAATGTTTCCTGGTGCCATAATAGCGTTATGTACTTTATAAAATGCTCTAAGGAAGTCCTTTTTTAAAATATGGGTTATATGACGCCAGATAAGATCCTTAATCATGCGACTATAAGCTCGTTTGAGCGGGTTAAAACAGCTGACATCCAAAGGCTGGAACCTGTGTGACGAGTGGGCAGGTATACAAATGGTAATGATGCCATTATTCTGACAATAATTCTTAAAGACCTAAAAATGATGGCTTTTATGGCCATCTAGGATGAGGAGGCGTTTACCGGCGGTCATACGCGGTCTGGTATACTTGTTGAAATGCTGAATCCATTTCAAACCAAGCTCATTTGTAGTTGTTGGATTAAAGGTACACCTAGAAGGCACCTTGACAGGTAGACAACGGAACCTAGTTGTTCCGTCCCAATCCAGCCCCCTCTGGCACAAAACTGCCACGGTCGCACAAGGACAGTCTAGACAGACGGAAAACACACACACTTCACTTTGACAATTGGCTCAAATCTGACAGTAGTCCACCCGTTGTCAGACACGGCCACCTTCCAATCGGGTGGTAATGTCGTGTCGCGATACCATGACGCAAGGTGTTTTGCCTTGTAAAATAATGAATGACAGGACCACACAACTATCAGTATTGATAACAGAGATTGTTGGAGACCATTTAAAAAACCTTAAAAACCTTAAGCACTACTGCTATAAATTACATTACTTAATAATCCGACCTTTACTCGTATTCACCGGCTATATTTAAATAATAAAACTCGTAATTTTATTTATTTAAGTTAAAGTTAAATATTCCTTGTTGCCTTGCTGAGCTTGTCTAGGCCTGTCACGTCTTTAGGTACTTATAATGGCTATCCCAGACCCAATAATGCCCATCATAAACCCAGTCTCGTCGTAGTTATAAATATCCGTGTCTTGGATACTATGTTTCGCAATTTCCGCCACAACTTGGCAAAATCACGCGCGATACACGTCTGGATCTTCGTTCAAGATTCTTTTGTAGTCCATCCTCTGATAAAAACGCGTCTGGAGGCCTGGTGTGTGGTTAATGAAGTTCCGCGTCCAGTTCTTTCCAACGCATCCAGCCCCACATGCTGCTAAAAATTGATTCGCTATATCTTCAACATAACTGTGCTGGGGTGGAAATGCTCGCGTATCCAGGTCGAGAATAAGGAAAGAATGGCATTCTCTTCAGAAACCGTAAGTTTCAAAGTATTGGGCATGCTATCACGTCGTGATGGTCGGCCGGCCATTCTAGCCTTTGAGGTATTATATGAGACGTAGAAAGTCTTAGAAAGCTTGCCAATAGTAATATAAGAGCCGCGTCATTTAGCTTGGACAACAAGCTGTAAGTCTGATTTGCTATAATGCAATGCCATTATTGTTGGTTGATCAATTAGGAGCCTTGATGACAAGGTCAGGTGGCTGGTGAAAAGTTGCCGTCTGCTTGTAATTGCCGCTCGCTTGTCATCTACGTTAATCATTTTTTTATCATTGAACAACTTTAAATATATTTAAAGTATAAAACAAACGTTTAAAATTTGAATATCAAACTAATTTATTTAATTAGTTCGTTTTAATTATATCAGTATATTTATATTAAAAAAGATTATGATTACGCTGGCGTTTTAAAGTATGCAAGCTCCCAGTGACCAAAAAAAGACTATCCTAAGGGTGATGGACGGAGGAATCGTAGACGAAGAGCTTTAAAATCTGCTTACAGCTTCAGGGTTTACAGCTTCAGAGAAGTAGACGGGATTACATGCTTGCATTACACTCATCGAGAACGGAGCAGTTATCAAATGAATCTCTATAACAGGAATACAACATATGTACAGGACCCAACACGTATGTACCAACGACCCAAATATATACAAGAAAGAGCATAGCCCCGTCATCATCAGCGTTTACAGCGAGCCCAGCCCCACGGAGTCAAAGAGCCCGAGGACCAGCCGGTCATTCACTCACTCACTCGCCGGTCATTTACTGGCACGATGACCACCACACGCTTCCCATGACGCACGTGTACGGCGCCTGACAAACCGTCGAGCCCGTATATCCAGTGCCTCCACACCTAGTCACACAGTCAGCAAAACATACAACCACAAACAAAAAGCCAAGAGAAAAACACTTACTGCCCCCACTGCGCAACCCCAGTCGTCCCCGGCGCCGCCGTCGTCGTCTTTGTCGAAGTGGTAAGAGTCGTTCCCGGTGCAGTCGTGGTCGTACCCGGGGCGGTAGTCGTAGTTCCGCCGCCACCACTTCCACCCGTAATCAGCGCCGCGTAGACGCCGTCGAGGAAGCCGGGGTTCTCGTAAAGCTGCGACATGTCCCACATCATGACGCCGCCAAAGCTGGAGAACTGCTTGCAGTACTGGATGACGGGCGTCAGGGTGCTGATCGGCTCGTAGCCGGTGCCGGCCGCGCCCGTGTTGGCCGGCACGCCCAGGAGCACCTTGACTGCGGTATTCTTGCTTGTTTGTTTGGCCCAGGTGTCCCACTGCGATACAGTCTTGGATTAGCATTTATTCTCGCTTCCTCCAGGTCATGGGCGGGGAGTCAGGCATAATCGAGAGCATCAAGCCTTGAAACAGGCGAAGAGTGCGCGCCTTGGGACAAGGGCCCCAGACGCTGGCTTGGGGAAGAAAAGGGGTCGACTATTGTATAGGCGCCACTCACCGTCGCAAAGTTAAAGTTGTTCTGTGTAGCGGAGCCCGCCGTGTAAGACTGTATACCGCAGTAGTTGTTGTAGAACTGGACCATGATAAAGTCAAACGCAACGGCCCCATTCAGCATGTCGTTGTCCGCAGCATCGGGGTACGGGCACTGCGGCGCCGCGGACAGGAAGTACTGCTTGCTGGTATCGGCGTCCATCAGCGAGCGCAGTTCTGTCGCAAACGGCACCATGTTCGATGTCGTCGACTCGAAGTCGAAGTCGAAGCCGTCGATCACGGCACTGCCGAACGGCCGGTTCGCGTAGGCCGTGTTGGGCCCGAAGAGCCCCCATATGTTGTCCGCTGCCGCCGACGCCGATGTCGAGTCCGAGAAGCCGCCCTCAGTGTAGGTGGCTCCGCCGACTGAGAGCATGATCGTCTTTCCCTGCGACTGGCATGTTTTGATGTCCTCCCTGGTCTTGCGTCAGTCATGGGCGGTCTGTCATTGTCGTGCATCCTCTTCTTTGGGGGTCATACTCTATTTGGGGGCAGTCTAAAAGTTGCGTCCCAGCGTAGAGCGTGCAGTTGTCTCCAGCATTGGCAAAGTTGGTTATCGGTGTCTTGATTCCATTCAAGAAAGCCAACGGGATGATCTGACAGACATGACCAAAGCATTAGCAGACCGAAAGACTCATACGTTGCTTTCCAGGGGTAGTCTCACGTTGAGCTCGCTATCTATCAATATGCCGTTAGCTAGCATGTCATACAAGCACATCGGGCATTCTTACTTGAACAGTAGGTACTCAACCGGGTCTGAGACGAAGCTTGGCCGTACGAGTTTTGCCCTGGTCAACCGTATCAGCATGCGCCGGGATCGAGGGTCGTCCGGGGTATCTCACCCCAGTATACAGCGACGTTGCTCGACGAACTAGCACTGAAGCCAGCGAGGGCGGTTGGAGCAAGGGCAAGAACGCCGGCAAACGATGCCAAGGTCAGGCTGGAGGAAATCATTCTCGAGCAAGTAATACTGGAGGTCCTTGTGTAGGATATGGCTGTACTTTGCAACACATATTGATAGGCAGAGGTTCTGCACTTCCTTTATACAGGATTTGCTTCTCCTTTCGCAAGATCGCGATGTCTCGGATCAACGTTACCCAGGTGGTCGTTGACATGCCATGACCTGGCACGCGGAATGCGTGCGACCAGCGGTAGTGGCGCACCAGCGTTTTACCTGAAGGTCATGTCTTGACCACCCGACGAAGCGCAGACCAGCTCTAGGCCGGTCTACCTATCCCTTGAATTCAAGATGGTGGTGTAGCCACAGGTCACTTTTTGCTAGAATCCTGGAAGACCCCATCACATAACGGCAGGCACATTGATAAGGAACCTGATAGCGACAGGTGGTCAGGGTCCAGATGACCTGGGCTGAATTGAAGTTGGAATAAGCATGTGCAATAGGCGCGGGAAGCAGGCATGCTGGTAGGATCGACAGGCACCAGATGCGTACCTATCTCCGAGCCAGGGAGTCTGACTAGGAGAGCGGTGCGAGGGAGGTCAGGGGGAGCTCTGGTCACCTACTTGATGGCGCCGTTTCGGCCAGCTACTAAAGGATTCCGGAGTTATTCCAAATCGATGAGAGATAGGGAGTGTGGTAAGACCAATCTCGAGCTGTGGAATCTACGGCCGCATCACTCATTGCCCTGTAGGACATGATGAGGCTCCCACGGCTCCTGTTTAAGATGTGCACCCGCACAAAGTGCAACGACGTCGGACTGAACCCCACGTTGTTACATCACGTCGACAATATTGGAGCCCTGGTCGATTGTCACGCTGGAGACACACGCGGAGCATGGGCCAGCCGTTGCGACTGCGATAACCCCTTGCATTGCCAGCTTCCTCTTCGAGATAGGAGCGTCACAAACCAACGAATAAAAGCCCCGGGCCGCACAACCTCATATGCAGGCACTTAGAGCGTTGGACAGGGTTATGTGCGAGATTGTGACCCTGACGCGTCTTTCTAATGTTCTGGTGATAGCTTGATAGCTACCTCGGTAATCACAGGACTAAGTTAATCCATGCGCGACGCGACTTCGGACGCTGCAGGAACACAACTGGATGCGCAAGCAGTGTGATTTGGGGTCGCATGTTACCACCCCTCTGGGAAATTACATCAAAAGTCATTGTCACGGGCGTGGACCGGTGCTGCTGGGTGTTATTCGGCCGCACGGAACCCCGAGGGCAACCACCACGTTGAGTACTTTACTCAAGACCTCGAAGGAAAGCAGCACTCGGGACTGCAACGTTACCGCAACCATGCTTGACGATACCTTCGAAACATCAAACGGATCCCGGGGCTTTGGCCAATAGATCGGCTTCCGCGCAACGATTGACTTGTTAAGGCGGGACGGGAGGGAAGGGCTGACCACGCCGCTGTTTGATCAGATGAGATCTCCTCGACCAGATATGCTTTGTTTCTTGCCGAAAATGAGTGGTTTTAAGATTTACTCATCAGTGGAGGGCGTTTCCATGCGCAAGTGGCAAGCATGAGTCCGCAGTTCCCATGTTTTGTCTCAACCAGGCATTCCGCGTGAGGAACATGCCTGCAGCGGCCATAGACCAACTACACTGACTAAGTCAGCTGATGCCAATCCCAACCTGGTTCACCTGGCGTAACTATTCAGAAGATACTGACTTGTGAGATCAAGCCATTCTAGCGAGATTGGCACAGTCTGTCGTGTCCTCTGTGCACCCCTGTTGACCTCCCAATCTTCGAACGACCATTCACGGTGTGCTTTGACCATTTCGTCCGCCATCCATTCACCGGCTCGAACATGGGGCGAAAACCAGCGACCTTGTCACCTTGCTGTAGACGGCTGTATTAGAACATGCGCGCAAGACGTCGGTTTCCTTGTTATAGTACGTCATCATCTTCAGCTCGTGCTCGTATGAAAGGTTTAGTAGAAGATGAAAGTGAGCAAACTGGACACGTGGCTCGTCTGTGCTCATGGAATGGTACGTGATGGTATTGAATCTGAGTGCAAGACCCTGCATTTCCTCGGCGACCTGCTGAAAGTCAGTGTCAAAGCCAAGTCAAGGGTCTCAATCGAGCCAAGCAGCTTCTCCTGAGTGGACGTTGTAGATGTAGCAATCGTCGACGGTAACGTAGAGCTTGTAGATGGCTTCTCGTAGCTCGTGGGGAAGCCGATGAAGTTGAGGTGATGTTGGCGAGCCATGATGTTCAAAGGAATATGCGAAAGAAACAAGCTGGCGATTACTCCGCCTGTCTTCGTAAGTGTAAGAAGAGAGGATGGAAGCACTGTCAAATATTTGCACTTGCCTATCTCCTGTGAGTGAGACCAAACTGTGTCTGCCCTCTGTGAGCCTGTCCGGGTGCCGGCCGACAACACATCAAACTCACGCGCAGTTCGGTCATGAAGATTTGGTTTCTGGATGATTCCCATTGTAGGTGGTACTTTCATACACTGAAACTCCAAAAGTCTCCGTACACCCCTCGGTCAACAGCCAAGAAATATGCATGTTAAAAATGCAATAATCACTCTAGAATAAGCAGCAAAGATGACTTCGTAGATTCACGATGCTTATTCCGGGATGTTTATTCCAATAATATGAATATAGCATCGGTACTAACAGCTTGACAGAGGAATGCCGAACGGAGACTTATGGGGGATGACTGTGACAACAGTCTTCGGAGACCCCAAGTTACCGGATTGATAGATGACATTACGGTGTTTATCAGATTGACTTCTGGTACAACCTAAACTGCCCCAAACATATCTCCCTTCCTACACTCGGCCCTTATAAGTCTCCGTACGCGCCATATTAATAAGACTCCAGATCACTGGTGAGGATATCGAAGAACTGGAATAAGCATGCAGGGATAAGCAGCTCTCGTTTGATACGCTACTCCTAATGCTCATTCCATGGTGCTTATTCCGATTTAATAATTTACCTTTGTTTAATGAACGGGTGGTGTACGGAGACTTATGAGGGCTCAGTGTAGCATGCTGGTAGAGACTGCCTCTGGGATATCTACGAAGCAGACCACAGTGCCTATGATCATTGCGCTGCAAGTGACTAGTGATATGGCCTCCTACTACCCTTAGCCTTCATAAGTCTCCGTACGCACCAGGCTGGAAGTTTTCCACATTACTCATAGAGATTTGGATATAACGGCATAATCAGACAGGAATAAGCAGCTCTGGTTTGATATGCCTCCGCCAATGCTCATTCCGGTGTGCTTATTCCGGATTTCCATTTTCATGAGTATACCGTTGTTTGCTGGAAGGGTCGTCTGGGAGTGCCTGAGCATTAGTTAGACAATACAACTGCCTATCTACGTAAACCACATCAAGAAGGCTTTGAAGTAATTATCTGCAATTCATCACAACATAGCTAATAAAGTAGACACTACCACCCCTATAAAGACCCATCGCGCAGCGCGCGCCATTATCACCAGTATTTCACCTCGATGTAAGTGTGTATGGTCCAAAAACGGGAGAATTCCAGGGGGCAGCCATCTCTCCACAGTCTGATAAGTAAAGCAAGTCCCAAAACGTCACATAGTAAGCTTACAGCGACGAATCCCCGGTCGAGGTGATGAGGGTGGTGTATAAGAGATGATCCTTAACCACATTTTTTCATATACAGCCCAATTTCAGCGCCGCCAACAGGGCCCTGCTGGCATCCAAAGCATGTATCAGCCATCGGTGCCTCCGACATGGCAATGCTGGTGTCGGCTGTAGAGCCAGGGCACTCGAACCTGCCAAACGTTTGATAAACTCCCGAGCGGAGGGACACATCGGCGAGGGGCCACAGATCGTGGGGCTGGTTGTTGTAGGTCGTGTCGGCATTGGCCCAGCCGTCGAGTGCATCGAAGCTGACCATACTTGTGCCCGTCAGGTAGTACTTAGTTCCCGGCGTGATTGTGAAGAACATCTCGCATGTCTTGCCTAGATCAGAGTCTTCGAAGCGGAAGTTGAAGATCGTCGAGGCGTTGGGTGAAATTTGGATATACCTTGCACTGTTGGTACCGTACGACGTGTCCTTGTTTCCTTTGTCAGTAAGGTAGATCGCGTCAGGCCCGATTACCTCGCAGGAAGCGCTGGGCGTCGACTGCGAAGAGCTAGGCGTTGACTGGGACGAAGTGGGCGTGGGCTGTGAAGAGCCGGGTGCGGATTGTGAGGGGCCGGAGCCGGAGCCGGGTGCAGACTGTGAAGGGCCAGAACCAGAGCCGGGTGCTGACTGAGAAGGTCCAGAGCCAGCGCCACCTGCAGGTGTAGACTGTGAAGGGCCAGCGCCAGAGCCAGGTGCGGACGGAGAGGGTCCAGAGCCGGGTGCTGACTGCGAAGGGCCAGAGCCAGAGCCAGAGCCACCCGCCGGTGCTGACGGAGAGGGTCCAGAGCCGGGTGCTGACTGTGAAGGGCCAGCGCCAGAGCCAGGTGCGGACGGAGAGGGTCCAGAGCCGGGTGCAGACTGTGAAGGTCCAAAGCCAGCGCCACTTGCAGGTGTAGACTGTGAAGGGCCAGCGCCAGAGCCAGGTGCGGACGGAGAGGGTCCAGAGCCGGGTGCAGACTGTGAAGGGCCAGAACCAGAGCCGGGTGCTGACTGAGAAGGTCCAAAGCCAGCGCCACCTGCAGGTGTAGACTGCGAAGGGCCAGAGCCAGAGCCAGAGCCACCCGCCGGTGCTGACGGAGAGGGTCCAGAGCCGGGTGCTGACTGAGATGGCCCAGAACCACCTGCGGGTGCAGACTGTGAAGGGCCGGAGCCAGAGCCACCTGCGGGTGCTGTCTGTGAAGGGCCGGAGCCAGAGCCACCTGCTGGTGCAGACTGAGATGGTCCAGAGCCGGGTGCGGACTGTGAAGGGCCAGAGCCTGCTGCGGACTGGGAGGGGCCGGGTGTAGATGTCTGTCCAAGCGTAGTGAAAGGGGAAGGTGTTGGTGGTCCCTGAGATGTACCCTGTGATGGAGATGCACCCTGTGAGGGTCCCTGGGATGCACCCTGAGATGGAGACGCACCCTGAGATGCACCCTGAGATGGGGCCGCCTGAGATGCTCCCTGGGATGCAGGACTTGACGATGGATTCGAACCTGCCGGCAAAGTTCCCGTTCCCGATCCACCTGCAGGGCAAGGCGGTCGACAGCTATCAGCTGATATCGTGATCTGCGAGCAATTGGATCCGCTGGGTTGGAGGTAGATGTTAACCTGATCGCCGTCGCCCGTAGCACACTCGTAGAAGGTTGTCTGGCCATTGTACGACAATTCGCCGTTGCAGCCGATCTGGAACCCGTGATCTGGCTCTTGATTCAGATCGCACTGGAGGAGATACGCGGGGGCTGTGTCCAGTTGTCAGTCCGGAGGGCTCGCAATCGCGCAGGGGAGCGTGGGAGCAACATACGAGTCCACCAGCATCCGCGGCTCTGTTGATCCACAAAGGCGTCTCCAAACCAGGTCATCAGAGACGGGATCATGGAGCTTCCCTCTCGTGCCTGTCCGTTGTTCAGCTGGCCAATAGGGCCAGTGACGGCTCCGCCAGTCGAGAGATGAAAACCGCAGCCGACATTCTGACGGGCAGTGACGGCTCCGGCCGCCGTATGAGTCGAGACCAGCCAGGTCAGCGTCAAGAATGGGAGCATCATGACGAGGATGACGCTACAGAGTCACCGATGGAGGACTGAAGCTCGGGGTAATGACAAAAGAATGATGTTGTGACAAGTCTTCCAAGACGACTAAAAATCGTTTCGAGGGATATGCTGTAGGAACCAAGACAACAACCTGTTGGCCAAAAGAAGGTGGTTGGGATGAAGATCCAGAAGACAGTTGTCGGCCGAATGAAAGGTTTTCTTGGCCTTCGCCCTCGCACGTTCGCGCCTGGCGAGTGAACTCTGTACTTTCCTGGTCATGTCGCAGGAAGTCGCCACGTAATGCTTCAGCAGCAGCAGCAGCAGCCGCCCACCACCACCATCAGTGAGATATCTAGCAGTCGATTGGGAAGCGACTGCCCAAGGCACATAGGTGACGACCTCCAGTTATCCGACACCGTCAGGAAGGAAGGTCTCGGCAGGTAACGTGACTTGGGCCGGCGTTTAGCTCAGGGCAGTACCAGGTGTGCAACTGCAGGTGGTCATTGTGAGATGGTACACTCAACCCTCATAAGTCTCCGTACACGACCCTTCCCGCAAACAACGCTATATTCATCAAATCGGAATAAGCATACCGGAATAAGCAGTTGGATCTTTATTGACCATGCTTGACACTTATTTCAGGGTTGTTATTCCGCGGATAACAAATACCCCTGAATGTTCAAGATCCTGAGAACGGCCCGGGGGGTGTACGGAGACTTGTGAGGGTTCAGTGTAAAGCACTCGCTAAGACCGCTTTCTGGCGGGAAGAACTCGTCAGTTTGCCCAAGGCTGCGGCAGAGCCTGGACTGATTCCAAGATTGATAACATCTCTCAATCTGCTGGGTTGGGAACACGAAGTCTGGTGGGAAGCCTAATGCCTTCAGCTGTCAGACCCTTCAACGATGGTGTCATGTTGCCTGTAGATAGTCTGCAGCGAAGAATGAGATGAACAGTAAAGAAAGCGAGCAACACACTGGCTCCATGGCTTGAAACACGGAGAGGACAGACAATCTTGTGCCAGCACATCATTGAATAGCAAAACGAAGCAATGTGGGTTGGATTGGAGGCGTGGGATTACAGTCAATTCGTTGGCTATATCCCGTCTTCTCCATCGGAAAGGGCCTTCACCCGTTTTCCTCCTCATCGCCTTCGCTCGAATCGGAATCCTCCACATCGCTCAGCTCTTCCAGGGGTATCATGTCATCACTGTCGTCGCCTTCTTCCTCATCGTTGGCTGCATCTTCATTCTGAGATGCGGACTCGTCATCCTCGCTGCCGAAGCCTTCGAATTCCTCCTCGTCTTGACTCGGACTTTCCGTCTGGTTCGACTGTTTCGGAACCTGGGTCGCAGCCGCGACGGCAGCTTCGCCTTCGTCTCTCTTGCGCTTTTTCCCCATTTCGCCAAGTCTGCCCTCGCGGCCTTCGACACCTTTGCCTTCATCTCCTTCAACCGTAGGCGCCGGGGTGAACCAGGGAATCTTGCCTCTCATGAAATCGGTAAGCACGCTCTTGGCTGTTCCGTCAAGATCGGGTTCGCCGCCACGTAATAATCTGCCACCTTTGCGTGAAAGCAATTCCAGGAAATGAAAGTGATCAGTCCATCCTTGCAACTCGTATGTTCTCTCGAGATGATGTTTCTTGACTTTTTCCATTAACCGTGGGATATATTGTTCGGGATTGTCGACCTTCTCGATTCTGACGACTCCACGTAGGAGTATGTCTTCCGGCTTGTCGTTCGGATTGGGCGGTACAACACCAGGACAATCGATCAAGTATATGCGTTTCATTAACGTGACATACTGCCATATCTTTGTCTCGCCTGGGATGGGGGCGACAGTGGCCACCTTCTTTTTGCGTAGAGTGTTTATGATCGATGACTTCCCAACATTGGGATATCCGATTAAACCAACGCTGATTTGTTTTCTATCCTTATGAAGTATAGAAAATTGGCGGAGGAGTGTTATCAACGAGCCGCGACCGAATGCATTCGTCAGACTCGAGTGGAAGGCGAGAGTCGGGACCTCTTTGGACAGATGCCGGACCCAGGCAGCCTTGGCAATTGTCAGTCGCACATCCAGGGCGAAAGAAAAGGAAATGAGATGTATGGATCAAAACTAAGAAGTCTACCACATGCCACCCTAAAAGGGCAGAGATAGACTTCAACTCTGTTGAATCACGGCCGAAACTAATGACAAAGCCCCAAGACGGGACCCAGTCAGCTCCCAGTCCGAAGACGTGGAAACTCAAGCTCGTAGTTTGATCTCCCAATGCTGTAACAGACAATCTTCCAAGGATGAAAAATAGAAAGCGTCCTGACTAAAGCATTGGGGTTGGGGATGGAATGAATGAATGCAATGACTTACAGCAACTGAGGTTGGTACCAAATCGGTTTTATTAAGGACGAAAACTACAGTCGCAGGTGTCAGTATTGGCCACGTCAGACACAACGCCTCGAGACCGTCTGAAAGGCGGTAGTCCCAGGTCTGAGTTCAAAAACAGCAAGCAAGGGAAATAGCAGGTATGCATACCAAGATGTTTGTGGGGGGCTTCCTTGCGGAGGTATTGTTCAACACTTCGACACCTTGTTCCCTCTGGGTCCCGAGCATCTAACACGCTGTATGCGCCAATAAAGTCAGTTGTCATCTTTCCAACACAAGAAAGGGCCGGGAAGAACAGTCCCATGTTCGAGGGGCAACTCTAGGGGTGGGACTCACTGTAGGACGACATCAGAAGAGTCCAGCACCTTGTAAAGCTCGTTGTAGATCCGCTTGCTCGTGCCCTTGGAGAAGACAGGCTCAACAGCCGTGCTGAGGACACCGTCAGGCGTAGCTGTGTGATCACCTTCCCCATGGACATCGTCGCCAGAGGTGCCACTCAGCAGCTTGGCCTGTTCCTGCCGATCTCTATAGGTATCCATACTCGTCTCGGTGCTGTTCGCCAAGTCCTCGATGCTGCTGACCCCGAGCTTGACTCTCTTCCTCTGCGACTTTTGACCGAAGACCTCGGAGTAAGGGGTGCTCTCTATTGTCATTTTCGCCTTGTGGTGTATAACGCCATTGGTCTTGGGACTGTCTTCGAGCAGGGACATCGGTAGCTTGTTGGATTTCAGGAGGACTTGGTAGGGGTCGGTTGCCTTTTCAGCCATCGCATCACGGAAGGCAGTCAAGCTGTCTTGCGAGATGACTCGTGTCTGGAAGCATGGTCAGCTTGGGCGGCTTTGGCAGCACTGACGGAGCCAGTACTCGCCACGGCCGGCAGAACCTACGTTGGTGAACCATCTAACGCACACATTAGTAACGGGGCCAGGTGATAGTCGTGATGGAAAGTCCTTACCGTCTGTTCGGTTCTATCCGCGCGACTGGGGCCTCTCTGCTCTGATATGCTGCGGCCTGTACGACCTTTCCCTCTGCATTTCGGGTCGCCTTGCCACCCTTTCGGATGTTCAAACTCTTGACGCGCTTGGCCGACCGATAAAAATTCTCGCCTTTGACCTTGGGATCGCCAGTGCCTGTCTTGCCTTGCCGGTCAAGACGGGACTTCTCCTTTTTGCCTGTACCCATTGTGTGTGCGCGAGGTGGGTGTTGCAGGTAGGTGAAGAGAGTCTGCGACCTGGAGTAGGAGGTAGATAGCTGATGGCTGGGCTGGTGGGGTGCCAGACTTGAAGGGACTTTTTTCTCTGCACTCGAATAATTGAGGCGGTCAACGCGGGCAGTTGAACTAGCGGACCTTTGACTCCACCAAGACTCGGCTAGACGCATTGAACTGGATGATCCCGCTCAAGTGCATATCATGATTGAAACTCGGGCCTTTCGATATTTCGATTTCAGAAAAGTCAGACAGCAAGCAGCTCCAGCTTGCTCGTCAAGACCGAAATCAACCCCTTGTCGACACCAAGCACCAATTCCATTGACGGACACGAGAGCGAGCTCCCTCTCTGCCGCATGACGAGCATCCATTGAAAACACACCTCCAACCGGCTGTCCAAGATGCCCCCCTTACTCCCCCGACCATCGCTCATCCCGCGAGGATGCAGCACGACCCCCTCGACCGCAACAGCCGCACTCTCCCGCCTGTTCACAACAACCGCCCTCCACGCCCAGCAAACCCAGCAAAAGATCCCGCCCGAGTCTCCCCTCTTCATCAACGTGCCGAACCCGCCGCAAGACCAGTCCGTCGAGGCGAAGCGCGAGCTCAAGCCCATAAAGGGGTTCATCCCAGTCCCGCGACGTATCTTCGCCCACCGCGACAGCCACCAGAAGCCCACACCCCAATGGCTGGCGCAGGCCGCGCCGGAGCCGACGTCTCCGAAATCGCAGGAGGAGCCGCGGTCCGAGATCCAGGCGTGGAAGCGGCGGATGGCGGCGGGTCGGCGCAGCAACATGCGGTCGGGAGTCAAGGACCTGTGGGCGCGCAAGCAGCGTTCGGACGCGCAGCTGCTGCAGAAGCAGAGCGCGCGACTGGCGGCGAACCGGGCCGCGGCGACGGCGCTCGAGCGCGAGGACGAGCGCCTGACGCGTGCGACCGTGACGGCCGCCACGCTGCGCACAGCCGTGCTGCCGGACCCGCTGCGCTTCGAGCACGCGTTGGAGTCGCGGGCACGCACCACGGCGCTGCACGAGCAGCGCAGCGAGGCGCGCCGCGACGCCGTGCAAGAGCTGTACATGAACGCGCGGCAATTCATCGTGACCGAGGCCGAGCTCGAGGCCCGCGTCGAGAGGCTGTTCGCGCCCGACTACTGGAAGTCCCACGGCCTGACCGGGACCGGCCACGCCATCGAGAACATCTGGGACCTCGAGGGCAAGCCCATGACCGTCGGTGACATGGTCAACGACGTCACGCGCTCGACAAACTCCGTCATGAAGAGCTACGAGTCCGAGAGCACCCGCACCTTGAAGAGGCAGAAGCAAGTCGCCGAGGAGCTGACGGGTGGCAAGATGGAATAGGTGCAGCTAGCTATCCTACTCTGTTACGAGAGCAACTTGTACACTATCTGGCAAACCGCGGGAAGCAGTTCTTGTCACATACGGGTCTCTGGTACGACCTGAATTTTCTGGCCGTGGCTCTACGCACTTCTGCGGTTCATATAGCCGTGCATCACAAATGTACTATATGTATATAACAACCATCTGTCACATTCCAGTTGTATCTGATAAAAATTAAACTTATAGATAATTTGACACTGAACGCCTATGACCTGTATGCTTGAGAACGTTCCAGCTCGAAATCCAAGCGAGCTATGCAGAGTAGACATAGGAAATATGCTATTGAAACGTTATACATCAAGCACTGAAATGGCGAGCACTTGTCTAGGTGACCTTTCTTCATCTAGTCTTAACCAGACAAGCATTGCGTCCACGTTCTACCGCCTCTCGACGAGCAAGAAATGCATCGCCCCGTATGCCAACACTACAAACACTGCAGCGAATATGCCCAGATTGACCACGTCCATCCACTTCGCCGAGTTGTCAAACCCGAAAGAGCTCAGAATCGCCGCTCCAGGGACCGTAATGTCCAGCCCATATTTCTTGTCGACGAGAGTCAGTTTGATGACCTCGTTGACGATCAGAGCCTCGAAGCCGTAGTGGAAGATGGATAGTGACTGCAACCACATGGCGGCATCGGGTATCTTGTCGTGGTTGAGCAGCAGACCAGCAAACAGCAGAGAGAAAAGCATGACCAAGCTCCCAATCAGGTTAGCAACACTGCCATCCTTGCAGACTATGCCGATGAAAAGACAAATGGCCGCTGCCGCAAGGTTGAAGAGAACGAGGATCAGCATAAAGGTAAAGAAGTGTGGCGCATCTGGTATGAGACCCGTCATGGGGTATATGATAGCTCCCATTAGGATCGGCGGGATGATCCTGAGAGGGATGATGTCGAAGAGAACCTTGGCGACAAAGTACGTAATGGGCGAATAGTACCCATTGGCTCTCTCGCGAACGAATAGAAGCCGTTCGGAAGCAAACACGTTCAAGCTTGTCAGTGTGCTGAAGCCAAACAGGGCGAGCAGGAAGAAGAATAGACCGAGTCGGTTCTGGAAGCCCGGAATGTCGTCCGTCAGACCATAGAAGAGATAGCCCGAGAGGACGGCTAGTAGGATTGCAATGGCATAATGGGTCAGCATCAGGAGCGGGTTGCGGTAGAGGTTCTTCCACGTTCGTTCTGACAGGATGACGAACTGTCGCAAATAACCGATTCTCGCATAGCCACGACCAATCGCGCTAATGTTGCCGTTCGCGCCACCCGCAGCGTGGCCATTCTGACCATTTGCTTCTCGGGCACCACCAACAGCTTGCTGGATCTCGTTGCGAATATTGTCTGCAATGTCAGAGTCCACGTATGATTGGACGAGGCCATCCAGATTCGTCCCAGCATCCGGAGGGAGATCATGGACATCCTCGATGATCGGCTTGGGCGGCACAGCTCCAGCCGGTTGCTTGTGCAGTTTGTAACCTCCAACATCTTCTTCGGCGTCAGACGAAGCAGCCGTGTCCGTTCTCCGCCTGGTGAAGAGCTCTCGTTCCTGTCGTGCCCGGATGGAATCCTTGCGCTTGTGTCTCGGGCGGCTTGTCGATGGCTCGGCAGTGCTGTCTTCTGCTGTGCTGTTGCCTGATATACTTGCTACCGATTTAACGCCTCTGGTACTACTTGGACCAAGACTGGCAACATCGCGCACAATGCTACCATCGTCGAAAGTACCGGCGTTTCCAGCATGCATGGTGAGATCGACCAGGTAATCAGCAATATTGAATCCTGGCGGGCAGGAATATCCGACCTGGTCGAAATACTCCTGACATTGGGAAAAAGGTCCGGAATACACCGTCTTCCCCTGAGCCAGAAGAATTAGTCGGTCAAATAGGGCAACGATGTTCGATCTTGGTTGGTGGATGGTGAAGATGACAGTTCGCTTGTACGTCTTTGCAAGTGTGACGAGGCACTCGATGACGTTGAAGGCGTTGTAGGCATCAAGACCGCTGGTCGGCTCATCAAGGAACAGGATAGAGGGGCTGGTGACGAGTTCGCAGGCAATGCCCACACGTCGCTTCTCTCCACCGGATATGCCTCTGCCTTTGCCCTCCTCAGATCCAATCAACGAATCCCGGATATGGTAAATACCAAGCTGCTTCTCGACTTCAAATGCCCGTTGTTCCTTCACAACGCGGCCCATACCACGAGGCAGCCGAAGAAGAGCGCTGGTAAGTATGGTCTCATGTACCGTAAGTGTAGGGAGCATAGTATCTTCCTGATCAACAAACCCGACTACGCTCTTGAATTCGGTATCGGTGACCTTTTCACCGTTTACGTAGAATTCGCCCGCTGTCTGGCCTCGCTTGTTCTTGCGGGCAAGTATATCCAAGAAGCTCGTTTTTCCTGCACCGGACGCACCCATGATGGCCGTTATTTCTCCAGGATGCGCAATTCCCTGGATATTGTTGAGAATCGGCTTTCCGTTGAGTCCATAGGAGACATTCTCAAAGTAGAGCGTGGCCGGTCTGTGGTCCGTCATGAGCTTTGTGGCCTCATCATCGGAATCGTCCAAGTGGATGGGCCCGTGTCTGTATTGCCGTCGTGAGAGGTACCAGGTCAGCAGGATAACTGCAACGACGAACAAAGAGCAGCCAGCAATGACGCCTGCAATCAAGGGTGTGTTGATCTTCTTGATCGGTCGCTGATATCCGGGCACCTCGGTATGGTAGAGACATTCGCCAGCGCGACACTCCAGCTTGATGCTCTCGTCTCCAAAAATACTCTGCGTCATCCAGTCCAGGGCCGGCTCCTTGAACTTGCAAGCATTGATCCCCCCATTTTCTTGCATGCAGTCGAAAGTGGCTGGACCTCCAATCTCCTCCTTGAGGAAGTCGGTCAAGTCGATAGATCCGTCGGCACCGCAGAGGAAGCGGTCCGCGATACAGCTACACTCGACATCTGGACATTTGTAGGAGGTGCTGTTCTGGTCTGACGTGAAATCGGCGCTCGATTCGCAGTTCTGGAGGTGGCAATAGAAGGACTCAGACCGGTCAATCCAGACTGCAGGGTCGATTATGTTAGTCACTTGTGCCAGTCTTGTAGGCCTGAAAGGTGTAAGGAAGGATCACGAACACTGGAAATCACAGACGCCGGTCTCCTTATGGCAGGTGAAGCTCGCCTGTGGCACCTTGCCGTCAAGCATGGAGAGGATCTTCTCATTGGTGACACTGCACATCTGGTAGTTGTTCTGTACAACTTCGCCATTCTGATAGCAAACACCGCCCTCTTTAGTTTCCATCAGGGCGTCGCAAGCAGCGTTCTCTGTGCAGACATTGCAGTTGATGCCAGTCCATCCTTCGTCGCAATCGCAAGTATCGCCGCTTCGTATCGGTCTATCTTTGCCTCGCGAGAGCGATCCGCAAGCTATACTATGGTCAGTCGTTTCGGTGGATAGGCCAAGTGTCACGGGGTCGTACTTGGTTCTAGACAGTCGTCTCCGCCGAAACCCGCTGGGCAGTCGCATTTCCCGTTATATGTATTGCAGTCGGCGAACTGGCCGCACTCGTAGGCGGGCAGAAGACAGTTGAAGCTACGAGATGTGGATGGTCGGTCAGCTTGTAATGCGCGTATGACGATGGTGATGGGCTGCATCAGCAACGGAAGCGTACCATGGAGGACAGTCACCCGGTCTGTCGCCTAACAGGGCGAGCTGTGCGCGCAGCATGTCCACCTGGGTGTAGTTCTTCTGGGCGGCGGCGAGACATGATGCTGAGAGGAAGCCCAGCCCCAATGCCAGGCGTCGCAAGCTGGACGACAGCATGGTGAATATGGAAGGAGGATTCAGACTTCCGAATATATCGTAGAAGGTTATCGGACGTGTGTAGTCAAGTCGCGCAGTTCGAGGCGCTACCACAGCATTGACCCCACGAAGCTCCAAGGCAGCAGCGCAGCTCGCGGCCGTTTGGTCAAGTACTGCGCCACCTTGCACAGGCAACAGCTCTTGAAAGCGTGCAAGTGGCTTTCGCTCGTGGCCTCGTTGATAGCTGTCGTCGAATGTTCAGGCCTAATATCAAATGGAATATGCCTCGACGATCGACGGACGCGCAGAGAGGATAGTGGAAATGACTCGCTGGAGGACGACACGAAACGACACGACACGAAACGAACAGGCAGGCCGACGGGAGACAGATGCCAGGAGGAAGGTGGTGGTGGCACTGGTTTGCGTGTATGTAGGACTATGACAGTTTCGATAAGTGGCTGGCTTGGCCGTGACGGTGAAACTCGAGCGCTCACTCGGTTCAATGTTCAATGTTCAGACCATGGCAGCTGGAGGCGAGGCAGGCAACATCAGGGAGGTGACGAAGCTCAAGGTCGAGGCCCACTGATAGCACAGCCCCGGTCCATCTGGCGTCAAGGACTCAAGGTTGGTCCCGAGGTCCACCCAGGACTATAGGTACATATAGCCCGATAAGATCATATGACGCCTTCACCTCGTGGCGGTTTATGCTACTACAGGGGCTCACCATGTTACGAGGTTGTGCCTTGTGGTAGCGGTATCCAGAATAAGGACCAGGGTCACGAATGGTGGCTATTGGTCTGTATTCCCCCATCCCAGAAGTAGCTATCATCCCAGGTGGGTACAAATCAGGTACAAACGGGTACCTGTTGGGCTCCAAGGTACCTTGTACCCTGGTCCGTGACCCATCCGTCATTGTGGCTGGAAAATGGGTTGAGGAGCCACAAGGTGGACTTCAAAGGTCGACCCCCAAATTGGCAACAACAACCAGAAGCAGCATAACAAACCACATCTACCATTCCCAAGTGTGATTTATATGCCTTTGGTCTCGTATGCTGGTCTCTTATATACACAAAGCTCATCAGTTTGATCGGGTGTAAGCCGATAGGTAGTGGACTTTGTCACTACTAATAAACCACACCACGTGGTATAAGGTACGGTAGTCAGTCCTCTCCGACCTCTGGTCACATAAGTCTGGTAAGCATACATGAGATATTTTGTTCCATTTCTTTCCAGACACTGTTCAGTATGTGTTCGCTTGTTCGAACGGAATGCGTTGCGATATTCTAATGTGTGTCGGCTCGCTAGAGTTACCTGGCTGACTACTACGCCCTATTCGCCCCAAGGGCGCGCCCTCTCGTTGTGAAATGCGCAAGTCAACACAGAGTCTCGTCTACTCTGGGCTGACTCATGAATATGCATATAAAGCCCTGGGCCTGCTGTCGTTTGTACATTGATACACCGCCCGCCAAAGCAACAGCATTCGACGTCAAGACGCGACACTCAGACCAGCATCACATAAGAACGGTTGGACAGCATGGTGAAGATACCAGCATTCGAGGTGGAGCAATGGATGGACAAGTACGAAAACACGCCCGGCGTGCTCAACATCGCCGAGACATGTGCCTCGTCCATCTCCGTCAGACAGCTCATCCAGTTGAACGACCAGGCAGGTGCACCGCCACCACTCGGTTTCTCGACGAGGATGACGTACGGCGCCATCCGTGGATCGGAGCAGCTGCGCCGGAACATCGCAGACACGTATGCGGACGATGGAACGTCGAGTGCCGTTTCGCCGGACGACATCATCGTGACACAGGGCGCCATCTCGGCAAATCACCTGGTGTTCTACAGTCTTGTCGGACCGGGGGATCACGTTGTCTGCGTGTTCCCGACATACCAACAGCTCTACTCCGTGCCCGAGAGTCTCGGCGCCGAAGTGTCGCTGTGGGAGCTGAAGGCAAAGAACGGCTTTATTCCAGACGTCGCTGAGCTTGAGATGCTGGTCAAGGTCAACACGAAGGTATGCTTAGACTACACCAATCGTTGCCTGAATGGGCTTAAACTGAAGTGTTGCGGCTAGATGATTGTCATCAACAATCCGAACAACCCAACTGGGGCGATAATTCCGAAGGCCGTCCTAACCCAGATCATAGAGGTGGCACGCAAGCACGATATCATTGTGTTCTCAGACGAAGTCTACAGGCCCCTATTCCACGGCCTCGAAGCAGAAGACGTCCCGCCATCCGCTCTCTCACTGGGCAATTCCAAAGTCGTGGTCACGAGTTCCACGTCCAAGGCCTGGGCGCTGGCCGGCATTCGCGTCGGCTGGGTCGCCTCTCGTGACCCCACGATCATCGAGCAGGTTGCCGTGGCCCGCGACTACACGACCATCAGCGTGTCACAGCTCGACGACCAAGTAGCACGGTACGCGCTTGGCGCCAGTGTGAGGCCACATCTCTTAAAGCGGAATATGGAACTGGCGAGGACCAACCTCGGGCTCCTGGAGCGGTTCGTCAAGGATCATCCTTCGCATTGCTTCTGGATCAAGCCCACAGCAGGAACAACTGCCTTCGTACAGTTCCTGAACGGGTCTGAGCCAGTTGATGATGACGCTTTTTGTCGAGATGTCCTGGAGAAGACGAAGGTGATGTTCGTCCCGGGCGCGCGGTGCTTCGGTCCTAGGGGCGAGTTCAAGGGGTTCGTACGGATAGGCTACGTAAGCGAGACTGAGGTTCTTCAGCAGGCCTTGGAGAGGCTGGGCTCTTATATCAAGGAGCATATGACATAACAGGGACTCATACAGCTGGTGCGAGGAGAGCAGTCTGTAGGGCAAAGATGGTATGGGAGCAGATGTAAACCGGTGCGCGCCCCGGCGTTGATAGAGTCGGGGAGGCGGCGGCTCGCAGGCCCAAGTGTAGTATTGAGAGATGCCCATGATAGGTGCGACGACGGACGCGAAGTGGAGATCGATGGGTTGAGATAGGTAGCCTGAGACTGAGAGTCGGTGTGGTGCATTTCAACACTGGATAAAGGGGTAGGATGCTCACTTAGAAGACCCCCCGCCAGGCTATATCCCGTTGAGCATGAAGTATACACGACGCCGGCACGTAACGAGTTAGAGTATGCAGACCCAAGAGAACTTATGTCGACGTGGATGCGTATTATTCCAGAAACCAAAGTCAGCTAACATCGTATTCTGGAGAAAACTTCTTTGGGCTTCGAGCCACGGCGACCACATCGTATGATAGATAGTCTTAGCTCCTGGGACGGTTAGGCATTCTTCGGTCAAAAGCATACGAACAGTGGTCAAGCATGGCATATCAGACTAAGCAAGGTAGCGCATATTATTTCTTTATTGACTTAGAGTCATGGGCTTATAGGCATTCTATGAAACCGTGCACTTCGTAGGTAACCCACAGGGTCCCTCGCCGTCCCCGCGTTTCTTCTCCTTCGGCGCGCCAGCAGCCTCCGACCCACCAGCGCCCGCGGACGCCCCATTCGCAGCCGTCGCGCCCGACGGAGCCGCCGCCTCCTCCTTCTTCACAGGTCCTGCACCCGCAGTACCACCATGCAGTCAGCCGGTGTACTTGGCGACGGTCTCGTAGAAACTCGCGCCCTGGGCGTTGGCGATCTCCAGCTCCTTAGCGGAGGGCTGGCGCGAGCCGTCGCCGCTGGTGAAGGTGCCCGCGCCCCAGGGGCTGCCGCCGTGGACCTCGGCCAGGTCGCTCATCTGCTCCGAGGCCTTGGCGAAGCCCAGCGGCACGTAGATGATGCCGTGGTGGGTGAGGGTGGACATAGCGGCGATGGCAGTGGACTCCTGGCCGCCGCCGAGCGAGGCGGTCGAGATGAAGAAACCGGCCATCTTGCCGTAGTAGCTGCCCTTCATCCACTGGCCGCCGGTCTTGTCCCAGAAGGTCTTCCACTGGGCGGGGAAGTTGCCGTACCGCGTGGGGATGCCAAGAAGGAAGGCGTCGTACTGCTCCAGCGTGGCCGGGTCCTCGAGCAGGGGGATGTCGCCCGGCTGGCCCGGGGCGTACATCTTTGCGAGCACCTCCTTGGGCAGGGTCTCGGGGATCTGGAACATGTCGCAAGTGCCGCCGGCCTTTTCGATACCGGCCTTCTCGGCCTCGGCGAGCTTGCGGATGTGCCCGTACATCGAGTACTGTTAGGGGTCCAAGTCAGTCATGATACAGCAAGGTGTTTGATTCAAGAAAGGCGGGTGTAAAGTTCAAGGACTGGTTTAGACCAATCGGAATGGCCGTCGGGCATAAAAGAGTCAGGCTGTGACACGAGCTGAGAGCGAGGCGACGCGGACGACAGCTTGTCGCAATCATCGCGAGAATGTCACCGCGGGGTCGTTCTTGGCACCCAGTGTCCAGGGGTAGTCGGAGCTTAGGATGCTTCGAAGAGGGGGGGAAGAAACTTGTAATGACTTACAAAGACGATAGCGATCTTGGGAGCCATCTTTTCGGTTTATTGGGTATAAGACAAGCTGTTATGGTTGGTACTGGGCTTTGTAGGTTGAGGGTAATGATAGAGATAGTTGCACAAGAATGGACCCCTCCACAGCAATGTGGGAATGGCCACGTTTATATACTCGGGACTAGACAGGTATTAGGTGCAAGGCTAGAATGATATCAAAGAGAAAGAGGGGTGACCCATCCAAGGATGTGTCGCCAGAGACGATCACATCCGATGGTGGATCGCATAGAATGATTCGTGACTCTCGTGGGGTGTCAAGGGTGTTCTCTCAGCAACGGCAGCAACGTTCCTGAGCTAGTCTACCTGGCCGAGGACGACCCGGTAACAACGCCTCATCCCAAACATATCCTGCCACACCTCTTACAGGGGATGGATATTTACCTGTAATCAGGCTCTGATAAGCAGACTGTGTCCATTACTACTCACTTACACCACCACCGGTGTTGCGGTCGAGATCGTTACCACCCCACCTGATCTGGATGCTTCTCAATACTACCGGTACATTTGTGTTACTAGAATCCTGGATTTGAATATGACTATTTAACCGCCATGCTAATAATGCATAATTACCTCCTAACGAGAACGTTCCTACATGTGAGAAAGTTCCCGTCGCCTAAAGTTCTACCTGTTACTATTGCAGATACATGTGGAACCGCTAACCATTACCATCCTGGCAGCCCTGGACACCTGTACAGTCTGGTAAAATGACAGGCATGTGAATAGTCGTGGTCTGTTTCCCCGTCACAGTCTCCACATGACAGAACCCAAGCAAGGGGTCTCAGCCATGTGCTGAATAACGGCTTACATTGCGCTAGTGCAGGCTGGATTTGGCAGCATTATCAAGCGTCTGGACCCTGCAGAACCAGATGTGTCAGGGCAGGCATTGGCGAGTCTGACAGGAGAATTTGACAAGTTCCTTTGGGCGGTGGTTGGGTAGGCTTGGTCAGCGCCATTGTGAATCTGTGGATTCTATGCTGTGAATTGTAATGCTCAGATAATCACTCCACAGTGGAGCAGGTCAGCGAATAGTGGCCGATAGACCTGCCTCCAGACTCGCCTGGTCTCCAGATGGCTGTTTTGACATGAATCTTCTCGAACGGTTGTCGTGTACGAACGGACGAACCACGCTCTTCCGTCTCGCCCTTGTCGTCGTGGTGAGTCCGGATTCTCCTTTTCTCTCCGGCCACCCAGCCACCACACCTTCGCGTGGCAGGTGGACTGTCTCGTATCACCCACCGATGTCAAGTATCGTAGTGTTGCCGATGAGGATTGTCGATTTCCCAATGGTCGTTACATACGCACAGCCCGATGATCAGGCGATGCATATGCTCACGGTGACTGCGGCATATTTATTGCCTGCCGAGCGGCATGTCCATGACTAAGGTCACGAGATAACGGCCCGAAGTCTGACAACGAGATCATCCTTTACCCGTCAACAAGGCGACTGTTGCGACTTTGCAGATCGTGGTCAGGGTGGCAACGAAGCCTCAATATCTCACCCTTATTCCACCCGGTTGCGCGCACCCGGTCTCAGCTTGTGTCCCACTCGGGGCCGGCCGACTGTCGGCACGGGAACGGGACCGGTATAAGCTCCGTAACCCATCTCCCCATCGATCGCGCTGCCTACCCCCTTTACTGGAAAAGAGGTTCTACGACAGCCATCAACGCATACCAATGCGGGCGATGGATGTAGGACGTCTATCATATATGCATTAATATGATTGTTGCTATCAATCGAAACCCACCGAAGTTTTCAGACGTGTGGAGTTGACTGACCTCACAACATATGAGCGTTGCACACGAGGCACGCCGGCTAATAACTGCCTTGTTCAGGATGCGTGCCCGAGTGGACAATAATACTGTCCATGAAGACAATTATCGTGTTCCTGCTGGCGACAGGAACCATCGTCTATGACGCTATCATTTGTCCTACCCTACCTACTCTGCAGTACCGTTGCAGCAATGCAACTCATCTAGGCCCCTGCCTCGTTTCTCCATTCGCTGAAGCTATCACCTCACCAGATATACTATCAGGCCTCTCGATCCCGAGAGCATGCGAGCTGCATCATGTTGGATCGGTCACATCTACTGCGGGGAAGCCGTTCGATCATAAAGCTGCTACACCATGGCCAGCACGAGCTGCACCGTAGGAGTTGGTTGAGTTTCCGGAGACGACCATATCCAGTGAAAACACTGACCCACAATGGCCTCACTCTGGCGCCTGTCGACGCAATGGCTCTACCTGCTAGCCCTGCTCCCTCCAGCAGCCCAGCCACAAGAACTCGCCCTCCAAGCCTCGCGCCCAACCTTCGACGGCCCATTGCCGTTCATAGACCCCAATAGCGGGCAAGATCGCGCTCGAAGAGCACGTCTCGACACCGCTCTTCTCGGCGTCCTTCACGACGCCCTTTGAGAACCACACCAACGAGGCCTCGTACGGCCAGCCGGCCTACTCGGCCGACGTCGGCGCGAGGCTCAGCGAGACCGACATCGCCGAGCGCGTGTGCGACATGGACGCGGCCAACATCAGCACCAGCGTCGTCTCGCTAACCGCCGTCCCAATCTAGGGCGTCTTCAACACGACGCTCGCGGTCGAGCTGGCCGCGGCCGTCAACGACCAGATGCACCACGACTACAAGCAGGGCAACTACTCGCACCGCTTCGAGTTTTTCTGCAACGTCGCGCTCCAGGACCCCGACGCCGCCGCGGCTGAACTAACGCGGTGTGTGACGGAGCTCGGCGGCAAGGGCGTCATGGTCAATGGCTACACGAACAATGGGTCCGTGAACAATGTCGTGTACCTCGACCACCCCACGAACGCGCCGTTCTGGCGCGCGCTTGCGGCCCTCGGCGTGCCGCTGTACCTGCACCCGTGCATGCCGCCGCCGGACCAGCAGCGCATCTACGCGGGCTACGACTTCCTCGCCGGGTCGCCGTACGGGTTCTCCGTGGAGGCCGGGATGTCCGCGCTGCGCCTGATGCTGTCGGGCCTGTTCGACGAGCACCCATCACTACGAATCATCCTGGGCCGCTGCGGCGAGGCGCTGCCGTTCCTGCTGAGGAGGACCGACGAGCGCATGCGGCACTTCGAGCCGAGTCTGTGGCAGGCGAAGGAGAACTTACGGTACTACTGGCAGCGCAACTTCTACATCACCGCGGCCGGCATACTGGATGAAGGCGCGCTCTGGACACGATTCGGATGACTGGTGAGGACAGGGTCATGTTCAGTGTTGATTACCCCTATCAGGATGATGTGGAGTCTTCGAGTTGGTTTGACGGCGTGCAGATGAGCAACAGTACGAAGACAGCTATCGCGTATGGGAATGCTAGGAGAATTCTGAAGCTTGGTTAGTGACAAGATCGGAAGATGCAAGCTTCAGGTATAAGAGCCATGGATCGATAGTCCCGATCAGCATACATCTTCGTGCCTAGTCCGTTCATAGCAGACAGCAAACCGTGATAGCTCGTGACCCTAGGTATACAGCCACCCGCATTAGGTCTCCTTCCGGCATGCCTTATCAAATTCTTGGGTATGAAAGACATACCTAGGGAGCAAGCACTCTGAAACAAGCAGGTTTGATCCAATAAATCATCCCTGATGCTTATTCCAGAGTGTTTGATCCGTCATAAAATTCAAAATTCAGTCAGCACAAGCCCCTTTTCCTCTACGTCTCAAGAAACGCCAGCCCTCCGCGCTCTCTTCAAATGCAAAAACTGGGCGAGCGAGAACAACACACCACCCACACAAAGCGTCGAAGCCGAAAACGCGATCAAGCCCCTCCACGCCCCATCATCGCTTGGATCCCTCAATATCGCGCCCGCAACCGGCGTCCCAAACAGCACCGCAAATCCAAATACCATAAACACCATGCCCATTCGCGTGCCAAGGAGGCCCATATCGGGCGTGAGCGTCACAATAGCGCTGGGCGGCAGGCTAGTAACGCCGCCATTACAAAACCCGTACAGCAGCGCGAACACGACCACGCCGGCCAGGCTGTCGACGCCGAGCCAGCCGAAGGCGAGGATGGAGGCGCTGAAGGTCGTGGCGATCAGCATGTTCATGGCGCCCAGGCGCGCGGCGAGGAAGCTCGGCAGCAGGCGGCCGAAGACGCTGCCGGCGTTGAGGAGCGTCACTAGGTAGGCTGAGAAGTCGGCGCTGGTGATGTTGTACCGGATGGCGTTAAGCTGGACGTAGAAGAAGGGCACTGCGACGTCTTGGGTTAGCATTCCTTTCATGCTACGTTGGCTAATATTCAGGAGTTCCAAGTGGTGTCTCGGGAGTATGCCCCTATACTTGACAAAAGGGCCCAGAAAATGTTCGAGACGTTCGTTACTCACCATACAATCCCAAGAACGCAAAGAAGCCAGCCGCGCCCCAAACAAGATACGGCACATCCCCAAAAGCCGAGACATCCAAAAATGCCTGCCTCTTCTTCGCGGGCGGCACGCGTGTCCTTAGAAACAGCAGCGGCACCGGCGCCATGCCCAGCAAAATAAACGCAATAATCCGCGTAACCCAAGCAAAGCCCACGACCGGCTGCAGCCGACTAAAGATGATCGGGAACACGATCCCGGCCAGCGGCGAGCCCACACTTTGAACCCCAATAGCCACAGCGCGGTGGCGATCGAAATACTGGCTCAGGATAGCAGTCGAGGGCAAAAACAACAAACCACAACCTACGCCGACACAAATACCCTGCGCGAGCACGACCTGCCAGTAGCTAGCACACAGCGACGTCATGAACATGCCAAAGACAACGAGGAAGAGTCCAGCGGCGACGAGCTGCCGGACGTAGCCCCTGTCGTACAAGGGCCCGGACACGACGCCCATGACCATCAGGAAGGCGGCCTGCAGCGAGCCGATCCAGCTGATGGCCGAGGATGAGTGGTCGTGCAGCAGGTCGGTCTCGTAGTAGGTCTGGTAGACGCCGAAGGTGTTGACGAGGCCCCAGGTGGCGATCATGACGACGAAGGACCCGAGAAGCACGAGCCAGGCGGCTGAGCCTCCGTCCGGGACCGCGTCCGGGAGGAGGGCTTGACTGCCCGGGGTTGGCGATGCCGGGCTTGCTCCGGCTGCTGGGGCATTGTCTCGCGGCGTCTGGCTGGCGTCAACGTTGACCATTCCCATGGTGTCGGTTGGGCTGCGGACATCGCCCTTTTCTGCTTTATCCTCCATGACCATTGTCTGCTTGTTGCTACCCACTCGATGATTCGTTTCGGATTCCAGGTTCTCAGCTTGGTTGTATGGTCGCGTTGTCAGATCTTCTTGAGATAATGTTCTTGGGGCTTTAGTCAAAGAGCATCCGGAGTTTCTGCCGAGCCTGGTCCCGGAATTAAGTATCATGAAGTTTCGTCGTGTCCTATTGTCGTCCCCGGTTACGTTGCAGTCACAGCAACAATATCATGCACCGCGAGACTCAAGTTCAGTCACAAAGAACCGCAGCAACGAAGCTTGAAGAAGTAACACTCCTAACGAGCAACATCAACCGACGAACAAGACACAAGCTGACCGAGCTGACCTGCAAGTAGTTGCAGATCTGACATATATTCGGGGGTGCTGACAAATAACCCGGACGAATACCCCGGACGGCAGTCAGACAGTAGTAGACAGACTCCGAACATCGAACTGCCCTCGCGCCCTTTTGTCGTGCCCTTTTGCCGGGACTTCGACTGGGACCGGGGCTATCTTCCTACACGCGACCCAATCTGAGACAGGCCGCGGTCCGATCCGCAGGAGGATCATCATCCCCAGGAAATGGTGCAGTTATCGCCGGGGCATCACGACATCGCGTATATGTACAATCCCGCTGTCTGCTTTGCCCGGTTGCTGTTGTGTAAGCGACGCTTGTATGCCCCGATACCAGTATGCCACGGCTCTGACGTATATATGAAGGTATTATCCAACATCGTTACCATGTCCATGTCCATGTCGCAGAGCCAGCGAACTTGACCGGGAGCGGTAAGCCGGCCAGCATGACCTAGCTAGGTAGGTATAGTAGCTTAAATCCTACCGTTTGAAGGATCCATATCCCATTCCATACCTTAAGCTCTAATAGGCACGTGTATGTAGCAGTCCCTGAAGATCGCTTATCAAGGGAGCCTCATCCCACTACAGAACTCTAGGAATGTCCAATAAGACACCACAAGCCAAAAGAACACCGCGAATAAAGAGTGCGCATATTTCGCCATGGTATGCTAATGTGATACGGTATATATACCCCGTCCACCTCCTAGGCGACCTTCGAACCATCTGGTTCCATCCCTTCCATACAATAAATCCACTTCCACCCCTCCGCCTAGATCCGCCAGCCCAGGTGCGCGGAAGCTCACTCGTTCGGTCATAGGAAATAGTAATATGTTTGCTTTTCCGAAGCATATATCGGAACCATAATGGCTGCCCACCGCCTGGGACAAAAAGATAAGCCGGAACGCCTTGCACTTCGAAGAATTATATACAACCCAGTATTCCCCTGGTCCAGTCGTCCGAGAAACCACTAGATGGCGTTTCATCTCATTTCGTCTCGTCAAGTTCGTCTCGTGTCGCCTCGAGGGACCAATATGCTGGGACCAGATACTGTAAGGCATGAAGAAGACCAAGTAGACATTAGTTTGCCGTGGTATATCGTATACGACACCATGACTTCAATGGTTCGACTGCCAGAACCGGTCCTGGCCATCCAACGGCCAAACGGATCCCAACACCATAATATGGTCCTTGAGGCTCATATTCAGCAGCTGCGGTCCCGGTGACTCGGATGCGCAGACATAGGCTCAATCACAATCTGCGGCAGGCCCCCGAATCTCAAGCTGGGCAGCTGCGGCACGCCCCCTACACCCCTGGAGGACCGGTTCGAAGACCTTTTCGACCGTCCACCAGGTGTAGTCTCGTCCGGACTCGACAGGTCGCCGCCCTCGCCTATATGGCCGGCCATGTCCGCCACGTGGGCGCTGAGCCGTCTATCGCGCTCTCCGGTCGGACCGACGTAGTCGGGCGGCGGCTCGTGGAACATGGGCGTGGTGGCCCGTGACCGCACGTCATCAAAGCTAACGTCCTCGTAGTCGGGCGGCGGCATCTCCGCATCGGCCAGGTCCTCCTCGCCGATGATCTCGGGGCTCGACCCGGCGCGGGTGTGATGGCTGCCGCGCCGCGGCGTCGTGGCGTCGAACCGCAGGCCCGGCGAGGGCAGGTTCCCGTCGTCGTCCAGACTCAGCACCGAGCTGCTGCCCCTGCGCTCGCGCTCGTGGTATTGCGACTGCGCCGACGGCGGCCGTATGGAGAGCGACAGGCTGGCCGCCTCGGACACTCGACGATTCGATTGCGCCGATGGTGAGCGTTGGGATGCGGCTATACTAGCAGCGTCCGACAGCAACCCAACTCTCTCGCTCTCGGTACTATTAGCGCGTAGTCTGGTGCCGTCGTGTCGAGCAACCCCAAGATCAGCGTAGCTGACACTGGAAACAGCGCGCTGCCGCCGCTCCTTGACCTGCTCATGCGTCTCACGCAGCTCGCTCACGGTGGGGTCGTTGGTCTCGGCACGTCTTCGAGCCCTCAGTTCCTCCAGTGCTCGCGCGTCGCCACGTTCTCTCGCCTCTTGCTGCAGACGCCGACGCTCTTCACGCTCGGCGTTCTGTTGTCTCCTAGCCAAGCGAATCTGGTACATGGTCTCCATCTCCTCGTCGCGCATGGCCTCTTCGTCTTCGGCGGTAGGAAACTCAACCACGACATCGACACCATCGCGCTCTCCTTCCCGGCCCAGAACTTGTTCGTTGTCGTTTGCCTTGTTTCGATACGCTGGTAACGTCATAATTGATCGGATCGAAGTGTTTCGGTCGACTTGCGACGCCGCACTATCCCGGTTGGTACCGCGATTGGTTTCGGTAACAGCGTTCGTGGCCAGCCGCCTGCCATTTCGAGCTGATCTGTCTTGGAGGGCTTCCGAATCTGCAGCCTTTCGGTATTTCCCTTTATTTGGGCGAAATCGTCGTATGTAGCAAAACAGTATCGTGGCGACGAGGATTATACCGCCGATGACTCCAACAACCTGCAGTGGAAGAGCGCGTATGTTAGTGTTTCATCTTTGTAGAAGCTATACAACAGTAAAATAGGTCACATACAATCCCTATTGTCTTGGCTGGTGTCCCACTTGCAGGCGGTGGTTGTTGCTCCTGGTCACGCCTGTACATTATGTTCCGAATGTCAAGACCAACGTCACCGCTAGGCCGTGGTGGCACGGGGATGCGGAGCGGGAGGAGCATTATGGGCTATTGTGAACGAGCGACTGGATATATGATTCCTCTTTTTAAGTGCTGGCTTAGCCAGTGAATGCGGAGCGCCAGCCGACGAACCCGAGGTTTGAAAATTCAGGACGGGCGCCTTTCGCACAAAGACTCGCACAGGTGACAATCCTGCGATGTCCGGCGTTCGAAACGCAATCTCATGCAGCGGGTTCAAGCCCAGTAACGTGCGGGAGATGACGAGATAGCCAGAGGATGAGGCTCAAGTCGTCGAAAGCGAAGGTGAGGATAAATGATGTAGTGGTAAATACACTAGCAACGTCAAGGTCGTGAACGTCGCAAGCCGTCGGTCGCCCTTCAGATCGGGGAGCACGGCATTTGCTGAGCTCGGTGAAGGATGGAAGGATTGCAAGCGTGTGGATACGAGACGAAAGGGACCTCTGCCGGACGCCGGCAGTTTTAATGAGGTGATACAGGTGCAATGTCAAGCGCGCAGTCCGATGCGATATTGGGCCGAACAAGTTGAAGATGTCGTAACCCAACTGTCACCGCGGGGAAAACACCGTCGGATATTGAATGATAGGAGATGAGAATTGACAGGCAAAAGGCGGAGTGGGAAAAGAAAACAAGGCAGAGTCGTAATGGGGTTAATGCAGGCAAGGCAGCCTTGGAGGTGGTGCATGTCAGATTTTGGCTTCAACAACACGACAACCCGGCTCTCTCGTCCCCTCCCGGGTCACTGACTCGGGTACATCGCCTCCGACTTGCCCTGCAGCTGCAGCGAATGGGGCTGGCTGCCGTATCAAGGTAAAGATATGCAGGTATCCCTACGCTGTGCTTTCTCTCCCAGTAATAACCGGCGGGAAGATAGTCGACGAGGTGTATGTATGAGATCTTTCAACTCGCAAAAGTCCATTTCGTTCCATTTGCAAGAGGAAGAAATGTTTGCTCAGCGTCATTGCGGAACCGGGCACGGGATTGTCCCCCACGTTCAGGCTAGGCAGAGGACAAGGACGGGGCGGATTTCCAAGTTTGATCTCGTCATCCCGGCACTGGTCGATAGTCGATCACAGCGTTTCGGCATCGGCACGCAACTCATCAAGAACGATTTGGATCCATTTTGCAAGGTTTCTCGGTTGGGCTTGGTCGATGGATATGATATCCGTGAGTTCTGCAGCTCCGAGTAGAGCAAATACGCCCAAGAGCGCCTCATAGCAGACTCCTGCTATTGGGCAGACAGAGTTGTCGGTTGGTCCAGTTGGTCGCTGTCGGTCTCGGCTTCCCGTTTCACGTCCGAGAAACTCCAGCCACTGCAAACCCAATGCATCTTCGTCCTGTCACCAACGTAACTATTGCAAGTCTGCCCAACGAAACATGATCACAACACACCGGTTATCAACCGTGTTAGAAGATCAGACGCAAAGACGACAGAATCGAGGTCGAGTAAGGACGATGGCTTGGACTTCCAGTCTGGGAGCTGCTGGTGAGTTCGAACCTTCACTTCGATGGGCTATGTCTGCACTCTGCATCTATCCATCGCCGGGGGGGCCAGCCTCCAGGCGCCCCCCGGTCAGTATGCCAGCTTGCTGGGATGGCCGCAGTGTTCTGCAGCCAGAGTATCGCCCGGCGCTTATGGAATCCTCCCCCGCTGCAGCCAAAGACTGAAGGTAGCACTTCGGGGTGGCGGTAATAATGATTGGCGATCAGGTGGTGGATTGGTTGAATGGGATTCATTCGCTCGCCGCCGTTGAAGAGATGAGGGGAAAGCGTCAACTGGTGTGGCAGTGACAGTGGCTGGCTGGTGGCTCAAGAACCCAGCCACCGCCAGAACTGGGCCGCCAGATTGACTGGGCTGCCTCCCTCCTTCCATCCTGAACATCTACAATGGAACCGCCATGACCTCCATCACAATGATATGATGCCTTCTCGCACAAGAAAACCACACGACGCAAATACGAAGTATATACCCCAACGAATGTCTTACTCCGCTTGCGAGATCTCGTACCTTACATCGGATGGGGGCCATCGTCGTTCACGAGCGAGTCGACCGGCTGGGTTTCAAACGAGATGTCTCACTTTGACCCTCAAGACTCTTGGTGTTGAATACACGGATGTTGATGGATTCTATTGATTGTGTTCTTGTTCTGCGTACAGAGATTGATCATCTGTCTTCTTGGTGGGTCAGATGCCCCGTGCGTCTCTGCCCCACTGGAGATCTTCCGGTGTCTATTTCCGGCTCCCATTCAACACTTGGGTCTAGACTCTGGAGCTCTCGTGGTGGTGGTGGTTGGTGAACGAGCTGAGGTCTCGGCGTCGTCTCACTGGCTGCAGCTAGTGCTGACCATATCTCTCGCGTGTGTTTGTGAATGTAACCTCACTTTTGTTGTTCTCTTCTTCCGAGTCGCTTGACCGAATGATGTGAATAGGTCTCAAAACGTCCTGTGGGATTACTAAGTACGGTTGTGAGTTGGGTGGACCCTCAATTGATCTATCCCGATGTGGCCTCTTTCACGAAGTGCTCGGCCACCAGATAGATCACCTGCAGGTCGTATATCTTCCGCAACGACTACACGACAGGAAGCCACGGTTGCACAAATTGGGTCCAGCTTTTAACAAGACGCATGTGATTCTGTTATTCTTTTCCATGGGTGGAGGGGAGGAGCCTGGTGTTCTGATGATGTGCGTATGTCGAGTGTCCCTTCGGTGTATGAAGTAACAACTAATGGAAGACGTTCAAAAACCTCACTTGATATCTGCGGAATTCAGCGTATCATGATGTTCGTACATCTTCCCCCATCTTCCCAACTCTTTCCTATGGTATTCACAGTTTTGAAGGTCCCCAACAATACGTTTAACAGCTGGTATACGCAATCATCATCTCCAATCTCACCATTCATATTACAGCAACCACTAGTCTCAACCAAATTTCTTCTCAAACTTCTTCAGCATGCCCGTCACCCCCTTCTCCAACCGTTCCGCATTCTGGCCCAGCTTGCTCTCCTTCTCCTGCTTCGGTTTGTATCCGCCATACTTGGCGGCGTGCTCATGCTCGGTCGGCCGGTATTGCTGCTGATGGATACCATAGTCCACGCTCATGGGCCCCTGCTGCGCATTATTATAATTGAACTGCGAGTAACCGCCCGGCGGCCCAGGAGGCAGGCCGGGACTCTGGAGGGGAGGCGGGGTCGGGTGGTGGGCAGTCGGCTGCATAGGTTGATGCTGGTGTGGAGGAGCGAAGCCTGGTGACCCGGGGAAGTTGGAACCGTACGGGCTGGCGAAGCCCGGCGATGCCATCCCGGAGATGGGCATTGTAGACGAGCGCTGGAGGTGCGCATACTGTGAAGGTGGGAAGCCTGGGCTCGCTATGCCGGGACTCGCGAAACCTGGGCTCACAAGGCCCGGGCTTGCCAGTCCTGGGTGCGGAGGGCCAGGAAGACCCGGCCCGCCTGGGGGAGCAGAGAAGGTTGTTGCCCCATACCCAGGCGTGTATGGCGGGGCGTGATCTCGGGATAAAGCTGCAGCAAGAGGGTCGTGGCCATCATCCTCAGGTGGTGGTGTCTTTTCTCGATGTCTGATCTGTTCAGGAGCCGCCGGTGCAGCAGGGTTGTATGCCATGGGCGCAAATCTTTGGGGCGAATCGGCATCGTTGCCTGATCTACCTGATCCTGAGGTCGGCGGTGGTGCAAAGGTAGACACGCCATGTTGCTGAGGCTGCCTTGAATCTGAAATTGCAGCCTTTTCTAGTTTCTGGACCAGAGGGTTCAGATCGTGTGAATGGCCATATGAATGTGCTGAGGGAGGAACCGGTTCGTCAGCGACCTCTACTTGAGATGTAGGCAGAACCCGGCGAACACCGTTCACGAACTGCAGGGCGTCCTTCTGAGTCCAGAAGTATATATCCAGGGAGTGGAGCTTGTAGTGGTACTTGTTCTCATTCCGCGGATCGTAGGTCGGGAGATACCACTGGCTTGGGTCTGACGGCGGACCTGGCACTCCATCGACTGTGATGCTTACAAGGCATTGTTGACTGTATGAGTATCGGACCCGGGTTCTGTCTAAGACTGTTGGACGAGGCCAGGTTAGAACAGAGCTCCCTTTCAGACCCATATCCTATTTCCGGATCCTCAGTACGGCTTACATCCGTCAAAGGCATCTTGGTCGTCAGAGCCCGGCTGGTTTGCGACTTCAATGCGCGCCCTTCTGTCATTCGCATTCTCGAACAAATACACATAGGAGCCCTTATCGAAGCGATGATGCGGCGGCTTCTCGGTGGGCGGCCCGTAGAAATAGTGCACATCCCCGAAGCTATGGGGCAACAAGAAGATGTGAGACGAGTCGCGATGTTGCTTTCTTCAGCTCTTGGGCACTCACAGGGTAGCAACGTTCTCCTCGCCCGGGCGGACCGCCATCTTTGGTCGGAACTCAGGCGTAAGCTCGGCAGTAGAAGCAACGAGACAGCGCAACGAACAGGAAGGAAATCAGACTGCGAGATATGTAGCTTTACACAAGTTGGCCTTCAGATGTAACACCGTACGTAGCAGAGAACCAGCTCACGACGAACGAAGCAAAGAAAAGGACAAGATAAGTTGGAGAAGGAGAAAAATGTACCTGACCAGCTGCGAACTTGCAGAAAGAAGCCGGCCACCACTCGGTGACGTTCATCCCGGCTCCTCTCCCTTCACCACAAGCCAATCCAATGGCCTCTCCCGTATGCATATTGGGAAACGGATGGGCAGAGCTGTCGGCGCTTAACCGTCCAATATCCCACGTTGAAGGGCTGCGATGGTGGGGCAGTTGGGGTCGGGTGGTTCTCCAAGACTCCAAAGCTGCAGCGGACTTAGACCCCTGTAACCCGACCCCTAGCTTCCACGGGCGCGGCATTCTTCCATTCCGTCCAATTTTCAATCCCAGTACCCGGGCGAGAACTTGAAGCTCATGATAGCTTCACATCAACCGAGCAACTACCTACGCAAGACCAAAACCCTGCCGCCTCACGAAGTGATCCGGAATCAGGCCTCCAGCACTCCGCCACTCACCCCCCGAATTCAGCTTCCCAACCGCCTAGACAAACCAACGGAGCCGCACCACCTTCCATCGACGTCCCCTTTCGACAACCCGAGAACGAACACAAACCCACATCCGCCCAGCAGGGGCACTGCTCTCGCCCCGACGAGCCAACGAAGCAACGAGCCAACGAGCCAACAACTACGTGGACCTACACAAAATACCTTACGCACAAAACCCCCAACCCCAACCGCCAAAATGCCCATAGCAAACGTAGTAAACATGTGCTCGCACCTCCAAAACGCCTCCCGCGCCCGGCTCGGCCTAACCTCCGTCCAACACTCAAAGTACAACCTGCACGTGCTCCTAGCCCTGCACCGCGCCGGCTTCCTCAGTTTCGTAACCCGGGGCGGCCCATTTCCACCGGACCCAGCCACCCTATCAACCTTCGAGCCCGAGCCCCTGACGACCGCCAACGTCGCATCCCAACGGCTCTGGGTCGGGCTAAAGTACAGCGACAATCAACCCGTGATGCGGCACGTGGCGAGCATCACGACGCCCAAGCGGCCGATCACGGCGAATCTGAGCGCACTGGAGCGGCTTTGTCGCGGGTTCGATGCGAGTCGGCAGCGCGGGCTTAATCTGGGCGAGGCGATGGTTGTGGGAACCGACCTGGGCACGTTGGAGATCAGGGAGGCTGTGGAGCGGAAGGTGGGCGGGCTGCTGCTGTGTCGGGTCGGGCCGTGATCTTTCATACATATCATTGATGGGTGGCTCTCCTCGCACATCTCGAGAGGAGGCAGCAGGATGTGGTTGGTCGGTCGTATGACGGATTGTGTTCATATCCGGGGCTACCGACGCGGGACTTCCCAGGTTACATCGAGATCGATTCCAGATAGAGGAAGGAACCGAGTTGAGGCGAAGACAGGAGACACGGAGACATCGCTGGTATTGCCGTCTCGTTCTACTACCCGCAGAGCAGAGAGAGCATGCCTTGTACGATTTGGACATGGGGCGGAGATCACAAAAAGCATCGTCTTGACGCGGCAAATTCACCACTGTACATTTTCTTGAGGGTTTGACCTGTCGCCCCTGTATCATACATACAATCACGATTTGTGGAACACCTACAACTGCACGCATCGCAATGTTCAGAATGCACTGAGCCTCCAGAAGTCCCGTACACCCCTTGTCCACCAAGCGAATGGTGAATTCATTATAACTGGGATAACCAGTCTGTAATAAGTATTGAATATGGCTATTTGTATCAGACCTGGTTATTCCAGGGTGCTTATTTCATTAATACGAATCTAGCATGAATATTTCAGAGTCGACAGGACTGAGGAGCATGACAGATGAACACTTATGAGGGGTTAGTGTACCAAAGTCATCAAGAGCACTTAAGAAAAGATGTATCCATTCTTGTTAAGTGTGTCGTACTCTGCTTTGCTGACATGCCTCGTCACGCAATGCCTCGGACCAAGAGGTATGCTTCAGTCGGCAAACAATGCTTTCCTTCTTGCCACCCATCCACCATGATGGGAAAGAATGATACTACTACTACTACTACAAACCCCCCTGATCTCACAAAACTCCCCGTCCCTGTCTCTGTGCAGCCATGATACAAGAACCAGTTCCCCCTCCGATGCTCCGGTTGGGAAAAAGACAAGAATAAAGGTATCATATGCGCCTTGGCCTTCCCCCTCATTGGCCAGCATAGTTGATCCTGGATCTCCGCATGACTTTCAGTCTGCGTTTGATCGACAACTTGCGCCTGATTACCTATACAGACTCAATGGTGGCCGCGGGCTTGGTCTCTTCTGCCATAGTCACTCGGTCGGCAGAGTCGGCAGCTCCATCGACACCGAGGGATTCACGACGAGATGACTGTTCGACCTTGATTGCCGCGGTTGTCGGTTCATCTGTGGTCTCTTCCTCGAACTGCTCTTCCGCGGTCTTGAACTCTCCAGCCGGCTGGTCCTCGACCTGAGGCTCCTCGACAGCGGTGCTGGTTTCGCTTCCAACAGGAGCAACCTCATCTTTCGTAGCAACAACAGGCTCACTGACCTCTAGTGCTTGCTCAGGCTCCTCGACAGTAGGCTCAGCGGCTTGCGAGTGAACCAGGTCTTCGATATCCTCGACCTTGTGTGGGTCTTTGCTGACAACAGGGACCGAAGCCGCCTGCTCGGCTGACGCCTCATTAGTTCCAGCCTTGCTCTCCTCGGCCACAGCTGACTGGAAAATGACCTCAGATTCAGTCTTCTCAGCAGTGGGAGCGGCCGCAGTGCCATTGGAGGCCTTGGCCGTCTCGATATCTTCAGCTGTAGCCTCTTGTGCTACCACGGGGGCGATCTCCTTTGCACTCGGAGCAGCCTCAGTTGTCTTCTCGACAAGCGGCGTAGCAGCAGTTTCAGTCGAAGCCTTAGCCGTCTCAATAGCATCCTCGGCAGTCTCTGCCTGGCCGACGGCGGGGCCAACTTCCTTTGCCATGGGTTCTTCCGCTGCGTTCGGCTTCACGACTTCTTTAGCCTCCTTCGCCTTGTCTGTCGACGTGTGAATCTTTGATGCGGCCTTTTTTGCACTGCTTTCAATATCTTTTGATACGACCTTCTTGGGGATGTTCGTTGGTGCACTCTGCTTTCGTGGCGGCGTGATGGGTCCCTTGTCCGAGGTCTTGCTAGAGCTGGCCTGCGTGGGACGCATCATGCGGGCGAGGAAGCTGTCGTCAACATGGGCCTCCTTCTTGGCCACGGGGTGCTCCTTGGCCGTTGGCTTGGGTGGGGGGCCAATACTGGGACGTGACGATCTGCCAATGGTGGAACTCTGACGCTTCAGGCTCTTCGTGCTTGATGCAGCGCCTGAAGTTGAGACGCTGTTTCGACTGGGTGATCGGTGGGTCGTTGGGTTCACGCCAAGGTGCTGTGCGTTGCCAGAGGCTCGTGAAAGGGATGTTCTCGCCGCAGTAGGAGCAGCACTACCGCTACCAAGCTTTGAAGCGGACGCAGCGGTGTGCGTCGTGAGTGAGGAAGGCAGCTTGACAGGTCGAGTAGGTGACTTGACTTTTGGCTTGACGAACCCAGCCCCTTTAGGAGGGATCTCCACCGATGCTGGCTTCTTGCCAGCAGACGCCGCAGTTCTTGTGGTGGTTGGCTTCTTCGCTGCTGTGCTGTCTTTAGACGAGTTTGCACCAGGGGCCTTGTTCACTGGGGCCGAAGTCAAAGCTTTGGTCGGTGCTTTGGTCGGTGTTGGGCTCTTGGGTGCTCTGGCAGCCATTGGTGACTTTGGAGCTTTGGAAGCGGTCTTTGCAGCTGTCGAGATGGGAGCTACTATCTTGGGAGCAGGTTTTGTGGCACTGGTAGACTTCGCCTTGGCGGTGGCAGCAGACTTGCCATTCACGCCATTGCTCGTGCCCGATTTGGGAAGCGAATTGCCCACCTTAATGGCTGACGCTTCAGTAGGGTTGCCAGGCAGCATCTTGACGTCGAGCTCTTCCTCGTCTGTGAACTTGTCTGGGTTTGCATTGGGGGCGAGTTCAGGGGTGTTCCCGTTCTTTCTGGGAGACAACTTGGGAGGCGAAGCTTGTCGTGGTGACTCGGGTATGGGCTCCTGCGACAGATTTGTCTTGAAGGCAGCGGAGTTTTGGGCCATGTTGGCGGCAAAGACGTCGGTCTTTTCGGATGCGGGATGTGGTGTGGTGGCTTCGGTGTCGTTGCTCAACCTCCGACTTGATACTGAGAGCGAGTCTCCACTGTGTTCTCTCTTCAGGCCTATCCGACCGTCTTTTTCGACTGCAACGAAGGATGTTCGAACTTTGGACAACGGGCGAGGCGAATCAGATGGGGAGGGGGAAGCTGATGGTTCGAAGTTTGGAGTTAGTTGCAATGCTGGCCCCAAAAAAGATAGCTCAAGTTCGGTGCCTGGGATTGACCGCGCACTGACGTATTCAATGCTGCAGCGGCCGATCGGTACCTAATAAGACCCAGCGGTCGGACAGTTGGATTGGGAATTGTGGAGTGTGGGACTTGGGGAGTTGAAAGAAAACGGTTGGGCGGTCAGAACATGATGCTTTGTAGGAGAGGTGACTGGAGGTTTGGGTTTGTTTATGTATAGGAGTTGAGTCGTGACAAGACGAGTGACTGGACTGTCAGGAAGGAGGTGCCTCACCGATTGAACGACCTGGGCCGGGAGACCTCCCTCGATCATCAGGGGGAGCGTTCTCGCCTTGTCTCTGCTCGAACATGGCGCGAAGGTTCCTGACTCCAGACATGTTTCCAGGTTGCGACTGGTTGCGACAGGTTGCGACAGGTTCTGACAACTTCGACGTCGGTGTCGGTGTAGATAGGGTAGGCACTTGCTGGTAGTAGAAGCAGTAGAAGCCACCGGGTGACGATGGATGCTACCGATCAGCAATCAGAAAGCGTCACCGCAGATAAATGCAGGTGCTGCTGCTTGTTGACACCGAGCACATGCCCTCTTCTCTTCGTTTGTGTGTTCCGTTTGGCCGTTCAGTCGAGCGAATGCAAGCAAGCAAGAGCAAGCAAGCAAGCAGATACAGTAGGGACTCGGAAACGGGACGAAAGGACTCGATCGAAGCTTGGAAGTCGGTACGGCAGTTAAGGCAGACCAGGGGCAAGGAGGTCGACGATGCAAAGCGGGCAGCTATCCGAGACAAGACAAACAGACAGATGGATAGGTAGAGCAAAAGCAAAGAGCAGGAGGAGGGTTGTGAACTATGACGGCGTCGGCGCAGGACAGAGTCGGCAGGTCGGGCAGGTCGGGCAGGGCAGCTGAATGAAGAAGGAACAGATGGCCAGATTCATGCGATATCGTCGGTCTCTCGGGAGTTTGCCAGACTGACTGCCATCTGATGATCTGGGAAGCTTCGCAGCAGTTGGTGGGATGTGGTCTGTGGCCCGTTGAGGGTCCCTTAAATTAGGGAGATAATTTCAAGGGTGTGTTGACTGTTGATGGCGGCCGGCGGGTGGCCAGCGGGTGGGTTCAGGGGCTTGCAGGAGGCTGTCGTGGCTGTTCCGGCCGCGAACACCACTGACACTACATTTTACTTGTTAACGTGTGGTGTGAGACGAACACCATCCCGAATCATCAATGCCCAGTCCCTTCAATGCCCCTTTTCTCTCGAGACTGACTCTCATTGAAATTCTACCTCCATAGACCTATTCAATTGCAGTCGAACTCCCCATGTAAACAATTGTCAACAACGGAAAGACATGCAACCGTTGACTTGTGCTGACTTATCTGGGTAGACGATCCCGAATTAGGAGCGAACCAATGCAGCTAAAGATTCATGTCGAGATCGAAAGTAGAGACGTTATATCACCAGAGCAACTGGCTAGCGGGATTATCCAGAAACTCCAGTGCAGATCTCCTATGTTCGGGCTAACATAAGGAGGTACTGTAGATATAATAGCGAAGTCATCGTGGTTCCTTGCGTGTCACACGTCGCATGTTTCAGGTTGGGGGGCTGCTCTCTACCACGGACGGAGTAGAACATGCAAAACTCCATCACCAATTGCTTGGTTCACAGACATCAGCTTCAGGCCATGCAGAGCGTATGCAGGAGATGCAACCTTTCACTGCATGTAGGCAGGAGGAGCAATAGAATTTCGGCTCCTACTGTGATAGCGCGCATACCCTGACAGTCTGAAAGCTACCCCTGTTTCCAGAAGGCTCAGAAGCTCCGGTCCCCGGAAGCGATCCCCAGATTTGACTCCCCCACTAAGCCGTCAAGGTTCCTTCGGAGAATCGGGGCCTGCGAGGGAGCTGCTGTAAAAATATATTTGTTCGTTGTCAGAGCTTCACTTCCTCCGATTAACGCAACGAAAGTCGAGATACCAAGCGAACCGCTACCATGGCTTCCCGCGTTCTCAGAATTGGTATGCTGCCACTGTTTGCCATCCAGTTCCCAATTGGGCGGATACCGAACCAACGAACTTACAGGTCAACCAGCTAACACGATGGTAACCTCACAGGTCTCATCCCTGGTGACGGCATCGGCCGCGAGGTCATCCCCGCCGGCCGCCGCATCCTCGAAGCCCTGCCCTCGTCGCTGGGCCTGAAGTTCGAGTTCACCGACCTGCAGGCGGGCTTCGAGACCTTTGAGAAGACAGGCGCCGCCCTGCCCGACAAGACGGTCGAGATACTAAAAAATGAGTGCAACGGCGCGCTGTTCGGCGCCGTGTCCTCGCCCTCCAAGGTCGTCAAGGGGTACTCGTCGCCCATCGTCGCCCTCCGCAAGAAGCTCGACCTCTACGCCAACGTGCGCCCCGTCAAGACGGTCCTCACGGCCGCCAAGCCCATCGACATGGTCATCGTGCGCGAGAACACCGAGGACCTGTACGTGAAGGAAGAGCGCACGCTCGACGACCCGGCCTACGGCGGCAAGTACGCCGAGGCCATCAAGCGCATCAGCGCGCGCGCCTCGTCGCGCATCGCCACCATGGCCGGCGAGATCGCCCTGCGGCGGCAATCCCTCCGCGCGAACGGCGTGTCTAGCATCCACAAGGCGCCCCTCGTCACCATCACGCACAAGTCCAACGTGCTCTCGCAGACAGACGGTCTCTTCCGCTCCACAGCGCGCGAGGCGCTCGCCGCGCCCCGGTTCTCCGGCACCGTCAACGTCGAGGAGCAGATCGTCGACAGCATGGTGTACAAGCTGTTCCGGCAGCCCGAGGCCTACGACGTCATCGTCGCGCCGAACCTGTACGGCGACATCCTGTCCGACGGCGCGGCCGCACTGGTCGGATCCCTGGGATTGGTCCCGAGCGCCAACGTGGGCGAGGGCTTCGCCATTGGCGAGCCGTGCCACGGCTCCGCGCCCGACATCATGGGTCAGAACATCGCGAACCCCATCGCCACGCTGCGCAGCACGGCGCTCATGCTGGAGTTCCTCGGCGCCGAGGAGGCCGCCGCGCGCATCTACGCCGCCGTCGACGGGAACCTGGAGGAGGGCCGCTTGCTGAGCCCCGATCTGGGCGGCAAGGCCACGACGGAGGAGGTTGTGCAGGATATCCTGAGAAGACTGTAGAGCACTCCCACTTTCGAGAGCCTATCGAAGGAAGCAAAACAGACAGGTCGGGGGTGCCTTTATACGCATGTTCGAACGAAGAGGTAAAACCTGAAAAGCCATTTAGACGTGATACCCTAACTCATCGAAAGGGGAGTCGAAAAGATAGGATCGTAAGACCAATGTACAAATTACTATATTGTTATTGTAGAGAAGAGTTGTGCCTCGCAGTGCAGACGTATCTAACGCCCGTATGATCCATGCGCCTCGTGCCATTTTTCGCCCATCAAGCTAAGTGGTTGTCTTTGTTTCAACCGGAGATTGATATGTACAAATCTATATACAAGTTTTTACATTGACGCCATCTCTAAAAGCTTGTGACATGTCTAGCTCGTCTCGCAGCGATGCTAAGTATCGTCACAATGTTGTACACATGATCGTAAGTTCGACGTCTGCCACACCGGTGTAGCTATGCGTTCATCGCTGTCAACGCAGCGATGCTTCTCCCGATCTCTTATTGGGCTTCGATTACTTCGATCGCTTCTCCTCGAGCTCCTTCTGGTACTTGGCAACCAGCTCCTTCCTATGAAGATTGTCAGATATCATTACATCCATGTAGAAGAACAGTCACAGCCCAGACAAAAGGGTAGGAGGGAAACTTACTGCAAATGCGGCTGCGCCGGCGCATAGTGGCTAAACTCCATGCTGAACTCGCCCTTGCCTTGCGTAGCAGCGCGGAGCTGCGTGCTGAAGCCGAACATGGCGTTCAAACTGCAGTCGGCGATGAGCGTGAAGTCCTCGCTGCCGATCTCGGTGTCGATGATGGTCGCGTTGCGCTTGTTCATCAGCATCAGGATGTTGCCCTGGAACTCGTTGGGCGCCATGATGGTCGTCTTCATGAGCGGCTCGAGCACCTGCCCGCCGGCCTCGTGGAACACCTTGCGGAACGCCATCTGCGCCGCCAAGCTGAAGGCGAAGTCGGAGGAATCCGTCACGTGCGTCGCGCCGTCGTTGACAACCATGCGTGCGCCGATGACCTTGTGGCCTAGTAGCGGGCCCTTGTCGCAAGCGATTTCGAAACCCTTGCCACAGGCCGAGATGAACTTGTCGGGGATGGCGCCACCGACGACCTGGTTCGAGAAGCTGTTCTTCTCGGGCTCGGGGTTGGGCTCGATCCAGCCGCCTACACGAGCGAAGTCTCCCGGTCCACCAGTCTGTCGTCGCAGGAGGTAGTCGAACTCGGCCTTCTGTGCAATAGTTTCACGGTAGGCGACACGAGGCTGACCAGTAGAGCACTCGACCTTGTATTCTCGGCGCAGCCGCTCGATGTAGATCTCCAAGTGTAACTCGCCCATACCCGAGATAATAGTCTCCTCACTCTCGTCGTCGACGTACAACCGGAAGGTAGGGTCCTCACGCTGGAATCGGTTCATCGCTTTACTGAAGTTATCGGCGTCGGTGCTTCGCTTGGGCTTGATCGAAAGAGACATGACCGCATCGGGCACGAACATAGACGACATAGTGTACGGCAGGTTACCATCAGTGAAAGTGTCGCCAGAGGCGCAATCCACGCCAAAGACGGCGCAAATCTCACCAGCACCGACCTCGTTCACGTCCTCCATCTCGTTGGAGTGCATGCGTACTATACGCGGGATTCGGACCTTCTTGTCGTTCCGGGAGTTGAACAGGTAGGTTCCTTTCCGGAGGGTACCCTGGTAGACCCGGATATAGGTGAGCTGACCATAGTTGTTTTCTTCGAGCTTGAAGGCCAGTCCAACGAAAGGTAGCGAGTTGTAAGGGACCAGCTTCGTCACTGCCTCGTCCCTAGTCTTATCCAGCGCTACGTTCTCCACGTCCGCAGGCATAGGCAGGTAGTCACAGACAGCGTCGAGCATCGGCTGGACGGACTTGTCAGCCAATGCGGAGCCCATCATGACAGGGGTGAACTTGAGAGCAATTGTCGCCCTCCGAATGGCGGCCATCATCTGCTCTGGGGTTGGTGTGCGCTCGTCTAGGAAGATCTCGGCAATCTCGTCGTCTACATCTGCCAGCTTCTCAATCAAGACCTGCCGTTTTTCCTCCGCAAAATCCTTGATATCAGCAGGTATCGTATCCTCGATTCGGAGTATCGTTCCCTTAGGCCCTTCGCTGTAGATGGAGCGCATGTGTATTAGATCGACGACGCCCTTAAATTGGTCTTCCAATCCTATGGGTACTTGGATAGCAGCAGCCGGGAACTTAAGCTTGGAATTGATCTGCTCAACGGCCTTCCACGGGTTGGCACCCATCCGGTCCATCTTGTTCACGAAGCTGATCCGTGGAATGTTGTAACGCTTCATCTGTCTGTCCACCGTGATCGTCTGCGACTGGACACCACTGACGGCGCACAGAATCATGACCGCGCCATCGAGAACCCGGAGTGCGCGCTCGACCTCGATGGTGAAATCAATGTGTCCGGGGGTATCGATCAAATTGACGTGATATGTCTCCTCCTGGCCGTTCTCCACCTTCTTCCAGTCACAAAAGGTGGCGGCAGACTGGATGGTGATTCCCTTCTCTCGCTCGAGATCCATGGAGTCCATCTTCGCGCCGGCGCCATCCTTTCCTCGCACCTCGTGTATAGCCTTAATTCGACCAGTGTAGAAGAGTACTCGCTCGGTCACAGTCGTTTTGCCGCTGTCAATATGTGCCTGTCCCAGCGTTTAGTATGCGCATCCTTCTTCGTCGCAGCCGATGATCGACTGGCTCGCTCGGGGATCGTCGGGAACGTACGGCAATACCAATGTTTCGCACTCTCGACAGTCGCTTCTTCTCTTCCGGGCTCATCTTGGCGAAGACAGCTTCGGGGGTAAGGTTTTGGGCCTCCTCGGCGGCCTTCTTCAGCCTGTCGCGGACACCCCGTTAGTCGACCATAAGATTGGCAAGCTAGAAAGCCAGGAGGTTCCTCACGCAGCACCGGCAGCACCACTCGCAGCCGCGAATCTCGGCTTTGTGAGGCTGAAGTATCTCCTTCCATCAACGCGCAGCGGAGCCACGATCATCTGCGCAGGAGACCGGGTCCCTGAAGCTCTAGGTAGCAAGTGAAGGTATCGAGCGCCACATCTGGAGCCGAAGATGCGGCTGTCGCTGATGGCAGCCACCGCCGCCCGTTGGACCCTCATATTGAAAGACAGGAAACGACCGCGAAAACAAGTGTCGAATGAGAAAGAAATTAGGATTTAGACCACCGATCAATCGATGGGTGATGCTCTTCTGAGGATGCGTTGGAGCTCCTGGAATTTTTTTGGGTTAGAACGGCTGTCGGCGAATCAAAGCCCGCCGCCGACCCCGGAGTTCCCAAGCCCAGAGCCCCTGACTTTAGAAGCTGTTCGGGACCATAGGTAATCAGGATGTTTGAACGCTACCGAAAACTTTGTGTATTCCCGATCGGTGGCAGAGCCGCTTTTCTTGCAATCTGTGCTCACGTGCTGGCTCCTTCGGATAGACTACCGGCAGATCAATCTGGGAAAACCAATCAAATCAAGATATGTGCCAGTAAAGTAGTTCTGCTACAATCGGGAATACACAAAGCCTTCGGTAGACCTCCGCGGTGCCATGCGACCGTGATACCTGCAACTGCACACACATCCCAAGGTATCTCTGTCCATTTGGTCCATTTAGCCTGGTCCATCTGGTCAATTAACAGCTCGCGCGAGAGTAATACTTGCAACTGCATTCAACGCATACCAATCTGAAGGTATATCTGTCTGAATGTAGTGTGCCCAACTCGGATGCAATTGACTCGATTAAGCAAGTGTAGTATGCCCTATCCAAAGGTACCGCGTTTCCTTAAGTAAACTGGCCACGGGGTGGAAACGCTGATCTACGTAGTAATCCGCGTACGACGGTGTTATACCCGGTGATTTGTTTTCTTTCGTCCTATTAAGCGTTTAGCAATTGAAAAGGCTCTGGTTTTATGGAATACTAAAAAAGCATACCCTTGTTAGTTTCCTCGGAATTTTGAGTATATAATTATCTTGATGAAGACTCTGTACGCTGTTAGCATCATGCCCATATTAGGCCACGCAGTAGGTTGCAGTATTCACCTCAATGCGCGGCTCCTTGTCTGGAAACAATTTCCCGAGGAATTCTACGAGTGACGCAGAGGTTAGATTATCGCAAGGGATACTGTCGTAAACCCATGGGCTCATTCCGTCATCGTCCGCGCCACCTTCTCTCTCTTCATCTGCGTTTTTATCATCGTCAGAAAATGCGCCTGGTGGCTTCAGTTCGTCGTCTTCCCTGGACTCTTCAGTCGTATACTCGGCCTGCGGCAGGGCGAATAGCGCGAGGTCCTCCTGATGTCTACCCACATGGTGCTGATAGCGCCTCGGAGAGTCAATCATCTCGTGACAGAAAGGGCATGCTTCGGCTTGGAATTCTTTCCTGGATAGGGAGGCTCGAGTCATCGGGAGGCTCGAGTCATCAAGAGCCCAAGCTCATCATCAGCCATAGAGTATTGATGAATGACTGGCACATGGCGGTGCAAGGCTGGTTCGGAGTCGAATACCGCGCCACATGAGAATGGGCAGTGCCATGTTCTCCAATGCCTCTCGTACACGTGGGCCATCCATCTGTGACGCCTTCCAAATTCTTGCGATGCATCGGTGCAATCGATGTGGATACAGATGTAGGGTCTCAGGTCCGCGAAGACGTGTCTCCCCTGTAACCACAAATTAGCTGCCATCGTCTTGTCAATGCGTTATACTGAACCCTCATAAGTCTCCATACACCCCTCGGGCCGTTCTTAAGATTTGAAAAAATTGGGGGTATTTGTTATCCGTGGAATAACGACCGCGGAATAAGCGTTAAGCATGATTAATCAAAATTTAACGGCTTATTCCAGTATGCTTATTCCGATTTGATAAATATACCGTTATTTGCTAGAAAGGTCGTGTACGGAGACTTATAAGGGTTCAGTGTAACGACTTTGAATACATACTTCCAAGCGGCCCGGCCATTGGCTGTCACCATCATGTAACAGAAGGGACACTCAAAAGGCTCATCTTCGGAATGTGCTGGCATGGGCGGTACATGTCGTCTTTCCGTATTCCATGCTGACGTTGCGTACGATGTCTGCGATATTCCACTTTCGGAGCGCTCGTCTGCGTCAACGAATCCAAAGGCGGGTCGCGAATCAATATAGTCCTTCAGTGCGTCAGGTATTGACGACGCGAGGGTCGTCACTCCGTCGCCTTCACCGTTACCTTCACCGTCACCTTCTCGCTCTTCGAGATTCAGACCAGCTGCTAGCTTCTCATGGTGTGCTTCTCTGTATTTGAAGTATTGTCTTCGCTTGGAGATTGCTGACCCTAATCGCTTGACCAAAGCCTCGCCTGCTTGCGGAAAGTTCGCCTCGACATGTGCAATATCATGCGGCTCGAAGAAGGTAGCGTCGGTGCCGGTGGATAACCCGTATCAGTCGTAGGGTGCTGGATTCCGAATTGACACTGAAAGCCTTAAAAGACAAGTCGTCAGTCGGGCAATGTATGAGAGCGTCTCGTTCAGGTCCCCAACGTCGTCATATTCTAAGGGGCCACCGGGTTCCAGCATGCCCTCAGGTTCATCTCTAGACTCATTTTCTGCTCCTTGAACAATCTCGCGTCCTGGACTATATCAGTATGTAAAGATTCGAACTTGAAACATGCAGGTAACATGTTCCGAGCCAAATGGTTTAGCTGATTGGACTCCTGTAGCTTGTACACTCAGCCCTCATAAGTCTCCGTACGCGCATGGTGGCAAAATTCCAGCAAAGGAAATATTGGAATAAGCACCCTGGAATAAGCGTCAGGGATGTCTAATAAAGATCCAACTGCTTATTCCGGTGTGCTTATTCCGATTTGATGAATTTACCGTGTTTTGTTGGAAGGGTCGTGTACGGAGACTTGTGAGGGTTCAGTGTACCTAGGTAGCGCACCAGACACCATCTGGGATTTCCAAAGCAGACCATTCGAGCCAGCGATGATTGCTATGGACTCCGGGCCTCGTGGGCTCAACGATACATACCTTCAAGAAGCAAATCCTTGATATCCTTCAGGAGCCCAACGACTCGATTGCGTATAGCTGAGGCATCTCGCAGTCGAAAATCTAGGAGCTTGTTCCCCGTCGATGCGCCCCTATCTTGCCAGCCCACACCTGAAATCTGGCCAGCTCATCATCGACTCGCGAAGTAAGATAGGTCATACCGCCTTCAACCTGTGTGGAGTCGGACAAGGCCTTGAAAGAGGTTTGACAGTCCGATACATGGTCCGCGATGGAAAGTGACTTGGTGGACTTGCCTCGTGCACCAGGGAAAGCCATATCAATGGCTGAAGATTTCGCATGAAATGAAAACGTGAAGTTGATGCGTTCCTGCGGCTCCAGAAGGCCCATCCATACGGCCATCTAGCATCCTCCTATTGGGCCAGAACCCTGCTTGGAGCCGAGCTGATCTTACGTTACCCCTCTTTCAGCCGCCAGTAACATTCTGTCACATCGCTACATCCATCATGGTCATGGTACGCTGACGAGGATTAGCTATCAAGACCCCCTTTCACCGAAGAATGTCCGGATTCGAAGTCGTAGGGGTGGTACTGGACGGGATCCCGCTGATAATTGCAGTGCTCGAGGATTGGAAGAAGGTAGCCGAGATGGGTCGCACATGGCGCGGATACCGAAACGAGTTACAGACCCTCGTCGAAGAACTGGGCACCGAGCAGGACTTATACAAGACGACATGCGAAAAGCTCCTCACCGGCATAGTGAGCCAGAAAGAGCTGCATGACATAATGACGAACCCGAAATCGCACCTGTGGAAACAGGATCGAGTCGAGTCGAAGCTCCGCCAAACGCTGTGGTATTCATATGACAGCTTCAACAACACCGTGAGAGACATGAGTCTCGTGGTGGAGGAGTTCAAGTCGCGCCTCGGTGGTACCACGGACGGAAAGGTAAATAAACGAGAGGACACCTCACCTGACGGGAGTGGATCGGATGTCATTGCGCTACAAGCTGGCTACCAACAAAGCCGCCTATCAAGCCTTGATCAAGCGCTTCAAAGATAAGAACACTGCCTTAATGAATCTCACTCGCCAAAATCTGGAACTAGAGCCCAGCAGGCGCACGAATTGGCAGATGGAGTTGTTGAATCTGTCACGGACATGGGCGAGGAAGCTCTTTGAAGTCCTTTCCTTCGGCTTTTCGTGCCGGTGCCGGTGTCACCATACGATGAATTTGAAGCTAGACTGCCGGACCCCTGAGTCATCTCGCCCTGGCGATGACTATGTCGAGAGTCTAAAGTTTCGGTTGGCCTTATTCAATACCAATCCTCCTTCCCGTGGAAATGGGTGGATCTGGGATGAGGTTGTTGTGTGTATTGCCAGCAAAACTTCTACTGTCGTTCCTGACAAGACGCAGGATGTCAAACATCCAAAGTTACAGAAGCGGCAGAAGTTAAAGAAGAAGGTGAGATTTGCAGGCGCCTCAGCTGTTCTTGCGAGCATATTCGCACCCGCTCCCGGAAGTCCTGCAGCAGACACTACTACGTCAGTGACCCACGACCTCTGTTCCATCATCACGCAAAACCAGAACAAGCTGCCCGCCTGCAAGTCCTATGGCCATCTTGTAGACTCTAACACCTCTTCGAGTGATAGCTTTGAGGTGTCCCCGGTCGAATTCCAGCCCGGTTGCCGGACATGGACGATGGTATCGCTCCACGAAATACTACAGGACAAAGGCAACCATTTCCCGAAGCTGACGTTCCGACACAAGACAAAACTGGCCGTTTTGATCGCCTCTAGCATGATGCAACTGCACAAGTCACCCTGGGTGCCGGGCCATCTCACCAGCCGCGACATCTTGTTCATTCGAGGAGACGATACGATGTACGACGCGACATATACAAGCCGGATGCTTGCACCACGGGGTCAGGCACTGACGACACCGCATCCTGACACCCCGAACTCGGATATCGAGAGCGCCGACCTGTTTGCTCTGGGTGTATTGCTTTTGGAACTGGCCCTTGCTACACCACTAGACGTACTACGCTCTCAGATGCAGCAGCAACAGCAGCAACAGGCGCATCGGTCGGAACGGAAAATAGTACTGGAGCATCTGAACGATGTCGGCGACGAGTTTGGGCCGAACTATGCGGCAATCGTGAGAAAATGTGTCAACTGCTTGTTCATTCAGCGTCCAGATCTAGAGAACATGGACTTTCGGCGCAACCAAACAAAAATAACTATTTTTCTTGGCGCCCCGCTGTTAGGGCGCAACCTCGATATCTGTACCAAAGTAGGCACTTCTCTCAGTAACTGACTATCTTTGCCAAGACACAAGAGAATTTTTCTCACAAGCCGGATGGCACCCTTCCACGACGGGCCCCCAAACACGCCCGTGGCCGTCCCAAAGACGACCACTGGCGGCATGCTCAAATCCCCGGCCCCCAGAAAGACATACGGCCCGGCAACTCCGAACAGGCTCTGCCAGGCGCTGCTTGACGACATTAGCAGCAGTCCGTCACAGGTCTCTGAGGCTGACTTCACCGTTATTTCCCTTCTGAAAATAAAATCCTGAAATATTAATGACAACAGCACCACTGGAATAAAACGACCTCAATTGAACAAAATCTCTATAGACCAAGCCATTATATGCAATACAGGGAATAAAGCCTCCTCTTTAGAGTGCCAGAACCAAGTTGCCAAAATACTGGCTAAAGACAAGTACCTTTATGTAGCCAGGATAACAATGTTTTAGGAGTGTATTACAATAATTAATAAGACACTTGAGAAAGCTGGAACCGAACTATACTCTTATGCCAAGGAGTTCAGTGCTTTCTTCTCTAAATGCCTGAACGAGTGGCTGGAAACCCGAGATCCGCCTAAAAGGAAGACCATTCCTGGGGGGATAGGAATGGTGAAGCCCACCATGACCTTCACCCAAGCTGTCTCCTCTAGCCAATGACAGCATCTACAGACAGTCAACACTACTATGAGGAAAACACAGCCTAGCGCCCTCATCACTACTAACCAACTAAAAAAGAAGCAGGATAATCTCCAGGTCTTTGTTCATATGGATAATAGCCATTTAGAGCCTTACGGAATAAAGTCTACACTGAATAGAAGACTTAAGCTCCACCCTTAAGAGCTTAGAGAAGTGGCCCGGTGCCCCTCCGGATTTACCTTACACTCAAGGGACAAGCCAACTCAGGCTAAGCTCTTGGCCTTCCAAGAAGAAATCACTGATATTCCCAAAGCAGAAAAGATTAAGACCCACACGGTCTGGCATCACTACAAGGTCAATAAATGCTCAAGAAAGGTCATCAATACGGAAGGGTTAATAATCGACATTACCAACATTATTGTTGCTAAAGAAATTAAAGCCCAAACAGGTGACAGACCTTTAAGGTGCATACTCTCAAGGAACACAGTTGATTCTGATCTAGAGACTACATGGGTGATCTCTCTGTCCCGTGCAGCAAAGAAACTATTCACGCTTTTTGCTCACTTAATGACCTCAAGGCACATTTAATACTCCCCCAAGGTTCACCAGTGTGCGAGCTGCTTCAGATACTATGATAGGAACTATTGATGTCAAAAGCAAGTATGTGTACTTTGCGCCAATGCAGTACACCAGAAGGAGTGCGAAAAACCAATCCCAAAGTGTGTCAACTACAAAGGACCTCATGCTGCCAACTTCGACAAATGCCCTGCACGCCCCAAGGTTGTGAAAGGTATCATCCATAAGCACACATGGGAACCAATCCAGGAAATCAGGCTGGCCAGAAAAAGAGCCAGATCCAGGGCCTTCAATAAAACAGGCAGAAACCAAGCTGGGTCAACACCTAACAATAATAACAAAGACACCACAATGCAAATTGACACAACAGATACAGCTTATCCTAAGGATGCCGACACCATTGTTGTCAGTCAATGCTAGGTACATCAAACGAAACACATCGACACGGGCATCTAGTCATCCATTCTATAAATACAGCAGGAGGACAAAAGATTGCAGGCCCTATAGAGTTAGCCATCAAACCTGGCTAACTACAATGGAGAACAAGCAGACATCATTCTGATGCAAGAGCCCTGGGTTGGCATACCACCAGGCAGGAGAATGGGAGTAAAGACACACCCTAATTACGATATATACTCCCCAATGGATTCCTGGGATAGCGACAGTACACAACCCAGATCTCTCATCTATATAAGAAAATACCTTTAAATGGATCAATTTTGGCCCTATGCTATACGAGACATTACCTGGGTTAAGGTACAAGGCATTACATTTGCCAGTATTTACCGGCCATGTGACAACCCACAGGAAGTGGATGACATTCTGGAAGTATGGACTCTACCTTTTGGCTGCGTTATAGCTAGAGATTTCAATGCTGGCGATACATCCTGGGACTCGAACAATCCAGGATATCATGGTGGTGTTGTACTTGCACAGACTATGGCAGACCACAGACTGGATCTGATTTCTGAACCAGATATCCCAACACATGATGCCGGATATGTGCTAGATCTGGTGTTCTCAGATGTGCCCATGGCTGAAGCTTCAGTCAATGATGCACTTCAGTGCACCTCAGATCATAAGACATTACGAATTGTCATTCCAATTCAGGGAGATCTGGACTGAATCCCTAAGGCCAATCATTGGATAGTACCGGACAATAAACTACAAGAGCTGGCAGATAATGTCCAAACCAGAATTCATGAGCTCCCCCAGCTGGGTGTATCCCCTGGCCAGGTGGATGCCTTTACACAGAGCTTGATCAACATGATCCAAGGCTGTATCAGGACAGTGGGCAAAAAGCCCCGACAATCTAGGCCCACTGCTTGGTGGAATGATGACTGCAAAGCAGCTGTTCAGACATACAGGGCCCTTTTTAACAGACTACAAGCCAAGAAAGGCGGAATTCAGCCCAACAGGACTTTCGCCGCGTGATTCAGAAAGCTAAGAGAGAGTACTGACAGACTCTAATTGATTCAGCGACTGAGCCAAAGGACCTGTACAGAATCGTTTCTTGACACAAGCTGTCAGCAGGATTGCGTTCTCCTCCAATCATCATAGGAGACCAAATATTTGAGTCACAAGAGAGCAAGGCAAATACACTACGCTCAGCCATGCTTGAACGAAGTACCTCAGACAACGATATCATCGACCTCTGGTCCGCTCAGATCATACAACCCAAGCCACACATCCCCCTTGAATACTATATTGGACTGGAAGAGGCTGAAGGGTGCACTATAGGGACCAAGAGCAATTCCCCGGGAGTAGACACCCTCACAGTACGGATTCTGAAAGCTTGCTGGCCAGTTATTAGGGAACAGACCAGAGCCCTCTTCCAGACCTGTCTACAGATCAGACACCACCCTAAACCATTCAAAATAGCTGAAATAATGATGATCACAAAACCAGGCAAGATAGACTACTCCAATCCCTGGGCCTACAGACCAATATTGCTACTGTCATGTCTTGGTAAAGGCCTAGAATGACTCATCGCAAAAAGAATTACCTGGTTTGCTGTCAAACTTGGAATTCTAGCTCCATAATATCTTAGAGCTTTAGCAAAGCGCTCTGCCACTGACTTAGTAGCTGCATTCATACACGATATTGAGCAGGCCCTTGACCAAGGCCTCGTTATAATAATAGTCACGTCAGATGTGAAAGGGGCCTTTGATGCTGCCCTAATGGGACGGCTGGTGGTTCGTATGAGAGAACAGGGCTGGCCGGGCTTTCTCATAAGATGGGTCCAGTCATTCATATCCGAGCGGTCCGCAAGGGTTTGGTTTGAAGGTATCGTGACCAATATTAAAGCTCTCACTTATGGGCTACCACAAGGCTCACCAGCCTCTCCAATCCTTTACATGCTATATACAGAACCAATTTGTGCCCGACTTGGTATGAAAAAGAGACGCTTTGGATATACAGACAACCTAACGACTCTCTGTATTGGAAAGAACCTTAAGAAAATAACTACAGAGGCTTTTAAAAATCTTTATTTGCTCAGTTAATGGGGACATAACAACGCTATTGAATTTGACCCTGACAAAACTGAGATCATGCATTTCTTAAAGAAAAAGAACTCAGACAACCCTCTAGTCCGCCACGGGACAATGAATAAAATAACAAAGGACTCCATGCGATGGCTAGGTGTTTTCCTAGATAGAAAACTAAACTTTAAAGATCATATTTTCTACTGGGCCAAGAAAGCTAATAAGGTAGCAAATCACCTTTGAGGACTATGCAACATAGTCAAAAGACTTTCAGTAAAGTCAATCAAGAGGGCTGTGAAAGCTTGTGTTATTCCTATTCTTACACACAACCTGGAGGCCTGGTACCCAGGAATCAAGAAAGTTGGGAGTTTAGATAGGACATCAGCATGTCGCATTAAAGGGCTTCTTGGAACAATAAATGCCGTACTACGAACAGCGATCAGGGTTATCTTGCCAGTCTGGAAAACATACCCTGGACATATCCTACACTTTAAATCGCAGATTCCCCTAGCAGGAGTTCTTACAGAGTCAATAAGACGACGTCACGGCCTCTGACTAGGATAAATAGACCAGAGATACCCTCTTGTTGGCAGGCTCCAAATACAAGCTTACAAGAATCCAACAAGGCTACAAAGGAGCTTCCAGCTAGTCCCTGACTTCCAGAGACCAACACTTACTAGGCCATCATGGAAAAAGCCCTCAATCCGTAAAGACAAAGACAAAAAAATAGAGCTCTTCAAGCAATGGCTATAGGAGAGAAACGTGAATACTGACCTTGTCATCTATTCAGATGGATCACAGTTGGACTACCAAGGCACAACCCGCACTGGATGGGATTATACCATCAGGAAAGGTGGCACTACACAAGAAGTATACCGGGGAAAGGGCAGACTTCTCTAAGCAGAAGTAATAGATTCTGAAATCTATGGTGCTCTCCAAGGTCTTGCAGCAGTCAGGGCAATTAGATACAGAAAACAGCTATATATCTGCCTGGACAACACGTCAGTGATAGACGGGCTCAATGGGACTCCACCCGAGACATTACAAAACATTTTTCTACGATTTCAAGAACTTGCCACAGCACACACTCCTAGAGTGACCGTCAAGTGGATTTCTGGACACAGAGATATTGATGGCAATAAAGCTGCCGACACACTAACAAAAGAGGGTGCCATACTAGAAACAGACACGACAAACCTTCATATAATCTCTTGGGTTAAAAGAGATCTCAAAAAAAAGGGCAAGAAAGAGTTCAACCAATGGTGGAAAGACCAATCAGAACCTAAATATCAAGAAGTATACTTATATACAATAACTAAAAGAGACCTTATATCTTTTAAGAGGAGTACTTTACATAGACTTCTAGCGGCCAGATCTGGACATGGCGACTTTGTCAGATACCACGAACGCTTTGGGCATACAGACTCGAATGATCACTGCAGCTGTGGTAAGAAAAAAACACCACAATATATTTTCTTTTGTAAGAGGTTGGGGAAAAATTGATTGCTGCCTAGATACTCGCCTAGGACAGCTTATTTACAATACTTAGGGGAGAGGAGCATAAAATGGGCAAAATTCGTGGAGAAGAGCAAATTCTTTCCATTAATCTGCCCTTGATAGATAGCTGTTCTTGAAGGACCAGATGGATGACCCAAGGTCATACGGCCGCAACAACGGGGATGGGCTCGTGAGCGGGACTGACTGTACCTATTATCTTAATACCTCCACAACCCTGTGATGCCGAGGCTCTGGGAGGCGTGGTTTGCACTACTGAGGAGCAATCCCCCACGTTAAATACAAAACAAACAAACAAACAAACAAACATAGACTTTCGGCGGGAGGTGTACGAGACAGTGATTGGACCTTTGGAGCACAACCTCGGCCATGCCGCTATATGGTAACTATGATATACTGAATCCGTTTGAGTCTCTGTGCACACTCTCACCGTAACTTCGTGTTATTTCCAATCATTTTTCTCCAACACCACTCATACTCGCCCCAAATCGCCACACATCTTCAGCTACGCCTGATAGATAGTTTAGCTTCGTGTTTGCATGGCGATGTCACGAGGGGCCCCGGGCTTTCTTGACTGATCTTAGAACAGTACATGTATCGTTGCGGCTTCGCAGCACCTACTTGCTGGAGCACTGAACCGCACAACTCATGTAAGGCTATCTATTACAAGAAGAGAGCACCATCATAAAGCTACCACGAGAAATCACTTGCCGATTTACAGCTCGTTCTGTAACAGTCTTGACCGAGCAGTGTCAACCCTCTTCGGAACGGTTCGAGTCGACCAATCCCCCTTGAAATGACAAAGTCGGGGTATCACCGACTCTAGACCCAGCCCAAGAGGTCTGACATGTACGATCTTCCCGCGCCTTTTTCCAACAGCTCCTTAACGACCCAAATCCCCAGTCCACTCAACTTAACAAGCCTCATGACACCCAAAATCCCGAACGTGGTCCCCTCACTTACCTCAACATTGAGGCATGGGTAAGCCCCCTGTTCAAGCCATCAGTCTCGTCACCTCGTATGCTGTTTTCGAATCCGATGCAAACCCGCCGTGCCCGCCACGTTCGTAGCATAAACGTGCATACAACCCCCGAACCGCCTGCCGGTCGTACTCACGCACGGCCTGGTTTCGGGTTCGCGCCGAGCGATAGCAGCAGTTCGACAATGGGCTTCTCAGGGCCCTCTTGCAGGCCGGTTAGCTCCGGCGGCGTCGTCATGGTCGGCGGCAGAGCGTAATCGACAGCTAACGCCCGCGCTTCCTGCTGATCTGCGGCATCTTCTTTTAGTTTCTTGACGACGTAGAGCATTCAACTGTGCCTGGACCGCCGCCGCTAGGGACTTTGTGCTCCGCTATTCCTGAAACTGAGCCTTTGGGAGGCCTTTCCTGTTCGTCCAATGGCAATGGGCTGCCGAGTATTGCAAAGGGAATACTGCCGAGATCTGCAGCATCGAGGATACTCTCTCTAGTGATCCAAGAAGCTCGGCCTGCATCCTGCCGGAAATTTTCTGTATCCGCTCATCTTGGTGCGCTGACGGAATCTATAATCCGAGGGAATTGCTTGAGAATCTGGTAGAGAAGGGTCTGTAGAAGTCCACTCTACGGCTTCTGCGCCGGGTACCCGAAGTTCCAGAAGAAATGGCTCGCGATAACGAGTTCGTGGGAGCCAGTCCACGAAGCAAGCGCAGACCTCGTCGTCGGGTGGTGTGCCACGAATCTCATGAGTGTCGACTTGTCACTACCGGCCTTGTCCTGTACCAGTAGACGCCTTGGCTCGATCTCAGCCATTGAGACAAGTCATGCTCTGCATCGTCAAGTATCCACCTGAACGTGTTCCCGTGTGTGTTCTTGATGGATATGTACCCGATGCCTGATGCCAGGGAACCGCAAGCTCTGAAGAATCCTCAGTCGTTTTCGGACACCTTCTACTTCTCGTGACAGAGCGCCAAGATGTGGAACAAGCCGGTCAACTTGAGCCGGCGAATGATTCCGCTCGATCTTTAGCGAGGCCTTGGACCAGCTGCAATTTGACTTCGCCGAACCTCTTTACTGTGTCTGCCTGAGGGTGGCCAAGCGCCACACCAATGCCCGAGTTCTGCACCCTGAGAATCGTCAACACACATCCAAACTCCATCGTGATCGAGGAAGACGAGCCGAAAAACTGCAGATGTCAGAAGTACCATGTCCTTACGGAGCTTGTCTAGTTCCCTCTGCAGCCTTTGAACCCTGTCCTTCTCCTTCTCGGAAAAGCCGAGCTATAAAAAACGCACCGCATTTCCAAGCTGGGAGAACCGAGCCTCGAGGTCACTTACCCAGAGTAGAACCCTCGGAATTATGCCATGGCACGCTCTTCACGGTCTGCCTCAAGGGTGGAACTTCCACGCTCACAATCTGTCTGTTGGATACAGGGCTTATATCATACACATGTTAGAACATCACCATAGGAGGTCCATGGTAACCATGTATAACTAGCGGCAATTGTGAAGTCGCTATACATCCAACGCACACAAGGGTGCGAGGTTGGTTAGAATATCATATGCGACTGAAAGTTGTCACGAGCATTTACGTCGAGTGCCCACAACCCCTATGCCGATCCAATTTGGCACACTATCACAGCTGGGGGCCGGTACCATATCGCGGATTCATATATCGATGTCAATTCTCAAAACACTCGAAATATGTTGAGCCTACTAAACATTATGTACACGGCTCGAATATCTATCATGCAGCTAAATATGCAGGAGAAATGTAACCCCATTTCCCCATGACGCAATGCTTAAAATCCAACGCCCAAGCCCGATCATTGCAGGCCCTTATGCCTATGTTACACTATGTTCTAGAGAGCAAGGAAAAGGCCGCTGCCGACCATCATGAAACCCATGCTAGCGCCAATGACGGCCAGCTTGGACCAGTCCAGAGGTGATGGCATGGAGGCCGCGCTGTCATCACCACTCCTCGAGCCAGCCGACTGAAAGCCGCCACTGGCGCCATAAGTAGGCGAAGCGAGCGAGCCGGCCTGCGTGATGGCATCCTGGCTAGGCGCCGCCGTAGCAGAGGGGATCTGAGCGCCCTGGCTTGGGAAGGCAACGACGTTGGAGGTGGTGGCGTTGAAGTCGGTGGGAGCAATGCCGATCTCGTTGTTCTCCAGGTCGTAGACGACGTAGGCCGATCGGAGGAACGTGTCGCCCAGCAGGAACGGGTCGCTGCTGAAGTTCTGGATGCCAAACTGGCACGCATCCTGTCCCTTGTAGGGACCGCTCTGGAACTGGATCGGCGAGCCGGTCGTGAGTGGGAGAACGAGCTCGTCCATGGTGATGTTGATCACGGGGCCGCCGGTTCCTGCAAGTCCGAACGAGAAGTAGCCCTTGGCGTTCTCCAGCTCACAAGGCAGAACCGCCACACCAACCTGAGCATTGTAGCTCGCGCCCACTTCTTCCCAGACCTGCTCGGCCAGGTCTTGCGGCAGGTAACTGAAGGTAGTACCGGAATCGAGCACGACAGGGATCGGGAACGAGCTTGAGGATAGGACATCGGTACCCGAGGACGACGATGCTTCCAGAGATGTCATCGCGACGGTGAATGACGTGAATGCTTTGGATTGTGAGTCCTGGTAAATCTTGATGCGGGTGAGGTCGCCATGGTATTTGTCGGTGTCGATTCCACCGAAAAGAATGTTGCCCGTGCTTGCGTCCAAATCGTTCAGCCACAGGCTGTAAGCAACGGATTTAATCAGGCCCTCGTTCCGCATCTGCACGGGTAGGTTGTTGTACACGGATCCAACCGAGCCGGTCGAAGCGACAATGGCCTCGTTAAGAGCATATCCAACCCCAACCAAGCCGTAGGGAATGGTTGTATCCAGACCGAGACCCATTGTCAAGTTTGTAAGAGTCGAGCCGCCGATTTCGAAGGTTTCGGTTATGTAGTCGCCTTTCGAATGGCTGCCGTCAACATACGATATGTCGAACTCGCCCGGACCTACGTCCTCCTTTGACGTGGATGCATCTTCGTTATCTGAGAAGCGAGGCCTTGGTCAGTACGTGACGATGTCCAATGGTGGTGTTGAAGTGCTTACAAGAACCCAAGGTGCAGCCTCCGCCATTGGAGCTCTGTTCACAGACGGCGGAGTTACTCGAAGGAACCCAGATATCACTAGACCCGGTATCCAGCTGCAACGTCAACTTCTGGCCGGGTGTCCCGACCTGGCAGGACGCAAAGTAGCCTCCCCGGTTCTTCTCGTTTGTGATGACCTCCTCGACGCTTCCATCGGCCCGCCTGGTCAGCTTCGGCGCCCCGTTTGCCCTCTTCGCGATGTCCCACTGCACGACTTGTGCAGAAGCCACGGAGGCTAGCAGCGAGCCTGTCGCGAGAGTGGCGGCGGTCTTCATGGTGGGTGTCGAGACTGATTGCCGCAGGTGACGATGAGAATGGAAGGGTGAAGTGAGAAGAGAGTTGGAACTGTTTGCGGCGGTGCCGAACACAACCCAGGATTCAGGAAAGCACCCCCTACTAGTCTGCCAGGGAAATCTGGGGCGCGATCGACGTCAGGGAAGCTAGAGATTAGAACACGACGCGGGAATGACGAGAATGACGGCTTCCTCGATAGTCAAAGACGGAGGGAAACAGGTTGCAGGAGGGATCAATAAACCTTGGTCGGGCACAAAAAGATGCAGGTGGTATACCAAAGGGAATTGAAGAGATGGAAAACGAGAAACGAGACAGACCTACATGTATGCGGTCCATGGTCCATGAAACAAGGAGCACCGTCCAGGCAGCCCAGGCAGCCCAGGCCAGCTGAGAGGCATGGGTCCATGGGAGGCGCTGAATGACGAGAGTAGGTAGGTATTGAGTCAGGCAGGTCACAGCAGCGTGGCGCATTGCGTGGACAGGTCTCACCGTGTCCAATCAGGCATTCGGGCAGGTGAGTAGCCGGGCAGACTGGCAGATCGCACGGCATCGCATCGCGTCCGCGTCTTCGGATTCCCGGCAACCAGTGGCGGCGTGGCAATGTTCGTCGACTGTGTCATTGAATGTGGGGTCTGTTGGTTTGAGCAAGTCTGATGAATCGTCTGATGACCTAAGTTCATGGTTATTATCAAGCTAAAAGTGCAAGTGGCGCAGCAGAGGAGGCTTCACTGCATGTGTTCAGAGGCTTCGTTTAGAGTTACCAACTAAAAGCAGGTCCTTTGCGGTTGCACATGCTTAAATTAGTACAGGCGCTATTCTCGCTGTGTCAAGTGTCTCCCGAGGTTCAATGGGAGATGCACTCGTCGCCAGCCCAGCATAACGGGTTGCAGCTGCGCGTAGTCAACGGCGACCACCATTGGGTTCATGGGCCCTTCTAGTGTCTGTCAGGATTTCAAGATGCGGCCACAGAGGCCGCCTGTATCAGATGAATGCATGGTGGCGCAAAATAAGCGCGCGACAGATCTTCAGCTTTCATGCACTACTTTACACCCAGCCTCACCGACGTGATCCGAGAGTATGGCATTCCGTTTCCATCGTCTCAACTAGCTGAGCCAAAGGTACATTGCGACGCGGCACTCTGTGCGTTCTCGGGTTAACTCAAGCTTCATTCATATGCATTTAACTCATCTTTGAACCAGCTGTGCCACGTAACCCAGATCCTGATTCCTGCCTGCCTGCATGCAAGATCAGGCGATTCAGGCCGCGTTCCGAGTCCCGATGGATGATGACCTCAGCCGCACAGCCGATTCCGATTCCGAAACAGCTTCGGTCTAGAGTCTTGGCAGCTGAAACGCCTCCCCGCCACTTCTCGTTGCAAAGCAGCACCCGCAAAGCAATGCCACTCCAGGGACCAGAGGGAAGTCGAGCTGCTGCGGCTCTCACTGCCCGCACTGCACATTGAATCACCGTGGCGTGGATGCGATTGACGGCAATAGAGGTTTAGCGCAGCCTCGATTTTAGTAAAGCACAACACTCAATAGAGGTAAAAACAAGGACATTGAGTTGTCCTAAATCTTAGTCGAGCTGTCGGGATGTGACTGCGAGCCGACGCGGAGCCGTTCGCACAGCCCCAGCAAGGCACCTACATATGTTTCAATACAAACACCTGATAACATCTGATTACTCAGCACGTAGCATTAGTGGTTTAGTGGTAAAATCTGCCGTTGCCATCTCAGGGATACAAATTTCGGCAGGCCCCGCGTTCGATTCGCGGCTAATGCATTGATTTCTCTTTTTGCCTCAATGTCGACCGGGCTTGGAGCGTCGTAATGGCGCTGAGGTGGTGTGTGTGGTGAGTCGGTAAGATCTGGACCAGCAGTATTGATCTTAACAATGTTCTCTAGCTCGGCCGAGTCAAGCGGAGTGAGATACCTTCTTTTTTAATCAGCTTTGAAACCAAATATCCAGTTCACAAAGAACCAGGAATACAACCCGATTCCTTCGACCGTAGTCGAAAGTCCACCATGGGGCCGCAGCTCGCCTCACCCATTCCCGCCGGTGGTGAGATCGGCACGTTGGAACCGGAGTAGGGGAACCGTCCGGAGAATCGAGCCCCTGTCCATATCCGAAAGCCTGTGCCTCGGTGTCGAGCTCAACTCGCTCGATGTTATGTCGGATTCCTGGCAGAACAGGGTGCAACTCTCGACGACGAGCGGCCAGGTGGATCGGTACGACGACTGGTCGTCATCACCGACGGCGGCGAGCTCAACGTATTCCCCGAGGGGACGCTCCTCACACTCGGGCTGCCTTAGGGAAGGTGGAGGTAAACGGCGGGAAAATCTCTGGCGTTAATTTTCCCGTGGCTTTTCCGATCATGCCGGCAGCGCCGAACAGCGTAGAGACGTGCATTGGTCGGGCTTGTGCACCTCACCGCAACGACCGGGTGCCGGACCAAAGACTCGGTAGCCCCTGACCGGATCAGCCAAGGACCCGACAACCAGCAACAGCCTCAACTGCCGAGTTTTCTGTCATATACGGCCTGCGAGCGTATGTTCAGACGAACTCGGTACTCGCGAGAGCCATCCTATAGATGAGATGGCTTTTAGGCGGCACACTGGTCTCAAAACCATCCTCTACGTCGCCCAGGCCTGTGGGACGTATGTCCGATCCGCGCCTGGCCCAAGAGGTCCCCCGGGTTCTTTTGCCTGATCTTCCTTGCGAGAACCGCACAAGAGCAGACGTCGCGGCTTCGGATCGGTCTGCTTCATCGGCTACGGTACGATCGGAAGCATCTTCGTGGGAGCTCGAGATGGGTAGTGGAGAGAGACTGATCAGCCGTGAGAGTCACTGATCAGGGTTGCAACCAAGACCGGCCTTTTTTTTCTTCCTTTAAAAAAAGAAAAAAAAGCTCTTCGACCGAAGGGAAGAGCCAAACCTAAATACCCTAAAAGACAATAAAAAGCAAAGCCTTCGTGCTATATACTAAGTCTATTGAAATAAAACGCTATAAATTATTTAAATTTATTAAAACTTTAATTATAAATGGCGTTTATAAGCTTAAGCCGATAAGTTATACGTTAAACGATATACGTATAAAGCTCCGCTTATAAAGCTAGACCTTACTCGAAATATTACGTTAGTTTATTATTAGTTTTACGATATGAGCAAGTATAAACCGTAAAAAGTAATAACTTTTATTCTCTTTTTTATCCTTTTTTATACATCCGACTTAATAAAATATCGCTAAAACGCACTAAATATTATACCACACTATACATTATAACTTAATGTAAAGGTATTCCACCGGTGGTATGTAAGGCCGACTGGTCACCGATCGGAGCTCTAAGGCTCCACTACCACATCCCCTTAAAATACCTAATTCCCACAAACTGTTAGATTTGAGCCAATCGTCAGAGTGAAGTGTGTGTGTATATATTTCTCTGTCTAGAGTGACCTTGTGTGACCGTGGCCGTTTTGTGCTAGAAGGGGCTGGATTGGGACGGAACAACTAGGTTCTGTTGTCTACCTGTCAAGGTGCCTTCTAGGCATACCTTTAATTCAACACAAACATACCAGGATAGATTTGCCACGGCGAGCGTACTGGGGAGCTGGGACATGGCCTGCAGCAAGCAGCTATTACTCTATTGACGAGAATATCAAGACTAGTATCAGATCATCAGAGTCAGAACATGGGGGTGATGATCGGTCTATTGCGTTGCGTCTTCTATCCATGGGTCTGGGGGACCAATCTAGTACTAAATACACACCAAAATACAAAGATGTACCCATCCATTGATCCTCCAGCCAAAGATCCCTTGTCTATCACCCATGAAAGCCACCTTTCCTGGTGCTTCCATCCCTTTATTCTGCCAAGATGCCTGCCTGACCCCTTGTCAGCTGGCAGCCTCCCTGACTGCCACCATACTGCCACCACAATTCTTACAACTAGAGAGGAAAGGAAGAGAGGGAGAGATAGGTACAGCGAGAGGTTGCCCCTTTAAGGGGATCCTCTAGTCAGATCCTTCCCTTATTAGGAAGTATCGGCTTGTCATGTGGGAAGGTCCGTGCAGGCCGTCACAAGATTGAAGTATCCTCATACACCTACTTCTTGGAATCACCGGCATCACCTTGCTTCAGCATTTAGCTACCTTAACCCTTACACTTAAAAACAAGTCGCTGCATTTTAAAACGTCTTTAAAGGGTTTTAATTCTTCGGAAAAGGATTTTTTAAGCCCTTATTAAAGCTAAATTTATAAAATTAATTAAAACCCCTGTTTTTATATTAACCATTATAATGATAGATTAGAGAAAAAAAACGTTAACTTTATTTCCTCTCAAAATAAAATCCCGGGTCTTTAGACTTATTTAATAACTTAAAGTTAATCAAATTAAGATTGAAATAAACCGTAGCTATAAAGACGTAAAAACGTAATTAAAAAACTTTAAAGCCGATAAAAGATTACGCTTTATAATAAAATATATCAAAAACGTCTAGTTATAACTCGAGAAAAAAAAGAATTAATTCGAAAAGCGTAACTTGTTAGAACAGGCTTGAACGATCAATCATAATACTCGAGTATGGGGTCAAGGTCATGATGTTGCTGATGGTTGGATTGAGAGGAATCTAGCTGGACTCGAAGGTCTGGCCAAGTGCCCTCTCAATCCACTATCTTATCTTATCTAATCATACATATGGGTCCTGGTATAGATGGTTTGCAGTCTGGAATCGCATGGATCCAACACAGGATACTCTTTTTTTTATGGTTGCGATTCCATCAAACCGTCTTTCCAGGTGATCTCAATGCTGAACCCAGCCTTCAACTCGAATTATTGTCTTGTTATCAGAAATAAGACTATGAAGAGCTTTATTTGGAGACGATTTGGTCATCGAGTCAGCAGGGTTATCTTCACCATGGATCCATCGGATTTCTGTGATCTCATGATTCTCGTATGACTGCCGGAGCGCCATGACATCGATTAT